CATAACGTCAAGAAATGCAGCATGAAAATACGACCATAAGGAACTAAATGGAAGAATGATCTGCGCCCCAGGGCAGATCGGGGGGGGGGGGGGGGGGGGGGGGGGGGGTTAGCGGGAGCCATGCCCCCCCCCCCCAAAAAAAGAACCCCCCTTTTAGTGACGTCGCTTTAAAGGCAGGCACTTCGTACACCACCATCTTTTCCTAAAAAAAAAAAATGGTCAAAGTGGTCAGAAATTGCCTCAGATCGTACTGCAGAGCATTTAAAATCCCAAAAAAATTTGAGGCCCTAGCGGACCCCGACCACCACGCCGTAATTTTAGGACCCATTTTTGGGGGGACCCTCAAAAATTGTGTTCTGGATCTGCCCTTGTCTGCACCCTGTGACCATCAATATAATTAATATAACATTCAAATTAATATAAAAAGCTATCAATATAATTTCTCTAATCAGAAGCGATTTACATCAGACTCAAGTTTGGATTTGGCAAATTTGACAAATCACAAATTCACATGGGGCATATGAATAGATGATGGTTGCATGTATATATTTATGGGAATTAAATCTTAAATGTTCTGCACCTTCAGACTCTTTGTGTATATAATCTGTGTGAATTATTACCAAGAACTTACGTTGTCAATTGTGCATGTTTATATTTCAATATTCTCCTTTCAATTTTTGAAATGGTCAGTTTTGATGACTATTTGTTTCTTTATTATCGTATCATCTATAGTTGATTTTAACTTTTATTATTATGTGATGTGATCAAGCTAAATGAGTCGTTTGGAGATACAGGCCAAAATAGAGCCACTTTCATCACATCACTTCATCACATCTCTTGGCGTTCCGACTTCCATAATTTGTGAACTAAGGATGGTACCAGCATGCGGTTTTCACAGCAGTAATGCTGAGATGATGCTCTTTTCAAAACTGAAATAAAAATATATTTTGATCGGGGTCGACAACGACTCATTTCAGTATTAATGACTTCCAAGCGACATGATTTAGCTTGATGGATTAGGGCATAAGGTACTGTAATGGAAGGTTTCATGAAATCCTCCTCAATTTGTTTTTTTTTTAATCAATCAAAGCCTAGGTTAGCCCAACATGGCTGTAACGCGCATATGATGCACTTGGCTGGAACTAGTACGCAGTGTAGCATTGGGGAGGTGCCGGTGTGTTGTTGTGCACGTGTACAGTGGGTGGGACAGACTCAGTGGATTGGTCTATTGATGTAAATCCAACATTGACATGTACTTTGCAATATTTCCAGCAATTCACATTCTTGGTCAATTACAATATGTCTGAAAACTCATTATATGTGTAAATGTAGACATGTACATGTACTGTTAAGGCAAAAAGGGATTGCTGAATTGAATTTTATACCGTCATTGCAGTTTAAAGGGAATATACATCATTTGCTTTTGCTGTAATTTTCCGAAATGGGTGGAATTGGGGGGGGGGTTGGAAATATATAGCAAATATTGTTACACTGACTTTTTTGAGGTTTTGGGTTCGAAAATGCTATAAAAACCAAGAAAAACAATCATTTCCCTGTAGTCTGGTTCCCTGACTCCATATAAGAAGAAACAGAGCGGTTTACATACATTGGGGAATTGTAAGGTCAGGGAACCAGTCTAGCTGGCTTGTACCCGTTCATAGGTGTGTAATCGATTACAAACAAGTGCGATGGTCAATTAGGGCCAGTATTTGAAAAAAGCCAGTTTTTTCCAACGCTGGTCGGCCGACCAGCGTTGGAAATTGATACAAAAATAACACTTTTCTTGAAAATGACAGTATACATGTACCAGGTGCCATGATTTTACAGGATGCTTTACACTGTCATTCACTAACAGTCCAGCAAGGTATTTCAAAATGATTTGGTTGTTTTATTTTTTGATGTTTGCAAATGTTGTATTTTCCCTTTAAAGCTGTGGCTTGTACTTTGTAGTTCAATGGTGTTCCTTTCTCAGATGACTGGAATGGGGCAAATATTGAAGCACACACACACCATGCAGTCTTGTTCCACAGTTGTGGAGACTACGCAAGAGTTATCCTATGGTACTATGGGGACCGAAGATACTGTGGGGACAGCAGAAAGTCCCCACAACTCGTCCTAATTTGCCTAACAATAACACATTTCCCCATAACGCAGTGACTGCCTGTCCACACAAACGTACATACGTACAAGTACTGTGCACAATGTAAGGTACAAATTTATACTTCAGCAGTGATTAATTAATAGTGTCCACTGCAGTTAAGAAGAATAAGCCCTTTGTCTAGATACCGGTACATGTACATACACGTACATAACCCGCTATCACAATTCTGTGTATCAGAATTTCTTCTGGCACCTTGCCCAAGCGAAAATGTCATCCCGAATTCCAAAGGACGCGACGATACCAGCAAGTTCAAAATATTTCCGTTCATAGATCTTCACAATGTAGTTAATTTTTGAACTAGGCCTCTAGATTTTGTACCTGGATTTTCACAGGCTCCAGGTGGGGTAAAATTAGCATAAAACAATGCATGCAATTAACAAAGCTAAGTATAGGCCTATAGCACAATGGGCACAAAACTCAAAAGAGGAAAACAATTACATGTAAAGCAGGGACCGTAAAGCATGGACCAAAAAGCAAGGCAGGAATGGCTCACTTGAAACCATAATGAATTCCTAGGATTAGTAGTCCTCCACCATGAATATTATGTTACCCGGTAGCTACATGTAAGCTTGTGAGTACACAGGGGCCTGCAAGCAAGGGCAGATCCAGAACAATTTTTTTGGGGGGGGGGCCAAAAAAAATTGATCCCCAAAAAGTGTTTGCAAAAAAATTATGGCGTGGGGTTCGGGGCCCGCTTAAGGGCCCCGAAAAATTGTTGGATTCTAGATGCTCTGTGGTGCGATCTGAGGCAATTTCTGACCACTTTAACCAATGTTTTTTGAGGAAAAGATGGTGGTGTACTCATTGCCTGCCTTTATTGCGAAGTCACACTAAAAAAAATTGATCCGCCCTTGCCTGCAAGGCACTACCGGTTCATGTACCGGTATATAAGCCATAAAAAAGCACTGCCAAGTAGTCTTGGTCTCAGACGTTTCTATCTGATAGTTGTGTCGTGATTCATTTTTGAGGGCTTTGCATTTTGGTGTTGTCATCAACAGAGGGCACAATTTACTGGTCGTCCCTTTTTTGATCAACCATCACGCAAGTCAGGAATTAAATAAAAGTGAATTCGGAATCGATTCTTGTCAGAGCTAGGGATCGTGTAAAACAAAGTGGGTAAGAATCAAGTAAAGTGGAGAATTGATTTTGTAAAATTGTGTACAAAGATAATTTTAACCTCAAAGGTCTTTGAACCAAGACTACATTGCCAGCATTAACATGAAGCACGGCCTGTGTGTTGTCCAACTCCTTGACTGTTTCATGCATGCATCCACCAACTCTTAGAGAAAGTGTGAGCACAAAGTATGGTCGACCGTAGTTCGACCCTTAATTGTCATTGGAGTATACTACACGTATTTGCCAAGTTTCATCTACATGTAGATGTAGAACACCCTGTAGTAGATATTTTTGCTAAGTGAGTGGATCAGCTGAGACCCGTCAAATGCCACATTGCATGTCATTTGGCACACATTGGCCATTATTGCTCAGTAAATAACATAGTTTCTTTGACTGGAGCGTGTCGGTTCCAAGCAATGCCCTGGCACCCACTGGGCAGTACCGGTATGTTTTATCACAGTTTGATTTGTACTTTATTAATTGTATCCTTTTTATTTTTTAGAGACAATGTGAAAGGCTCGACCAATCTGTGTCTAGTGTGCTCCAACTGACTCCAAGTCATTTGTACATATTTGAGCAACATTGAAAAGGGTAGAACAGGCAGCACACAACCATGCAACAAACAAACAAAAACAAAATGCAAAAACTTATGCGATAAAGCAGCAGCAGGGAGAGCATGACAAACAACATACAGTACAATCTATGAATTTCATTTTTAAATTTTGTATTAACCCATTGATTTTGTATACATTAACTGCCTACTCCCTACAGCGCCCGACACTGCCCAAGCACTCTATGATTTCATGGCTTCTTCAGTGAGTAAAAGCAATGTAATACAATGTAGTACAGGTGATCGTGGGTTAAGGAATTTCAGAAATGGCGTCTTCGTCTCCTTAGTCGACAGGTGCATGAACACTAGAGGGCCACATTGCATACATCTATGCATACACTAGTTCATGTATTGCTTATGCATGTATTGCTTATGCACAATTACCGGTAATTTTATTTTGAATGTGCACAAACAAATATGCATGAGCACCAAGTGTACGGTGGCGAGGCATTTGAGTCCCTCCTTACTCACTCTTCATCGCTGAGTGAGGGGTACCGGTACCAGTACTTTGTGCACCAATTCTATAGAGTACCGAAGAGAATACGTCACGCGCACAATTATGTGTGTAAAAGACACTTCCCGCTTCTAAACGACGTCACACTTCGGTACTCTATAGCAGAACCATGGTCATTCTATAACTCCAGGGTCCAAAGTGTGACATTTTTCTTGTCCCTGTTACCTTGGTACCGTACTTTGTAATTTGAAATGTTCAAGAATCATTAAGAAATTAAGAATGACATCAAACGATTATAAATTTGTTGTGTAGGTAGTTTGCTGTTCATAATCTGTCTCGGAGGACGACTGCATGAAGGAGTGCATGAAGGAGTGCTCAAATCATAGATGTCAGATGTAACAGGAGCAGGAAAAAACATGGACCCAAAATTTATAGAATGGCCCACATATAGTGCTTCTTCAAAAAAATTGGTGTTACCCCGGTACTTTATTGTCATGCTCAACCTGCGACTGCATTTCTGTTAATACAGGTGGAATTTAAAGACAACAGGTGCCTACTAATGGCATACATGTACTAGCAAAAAAAGACGCCCATTATGTACAAACAAATGTATACAATGTATAAGTTTGTAATTGGGTTACAAACAAAGGGGGGCTTACGTTCACAAGATTACGCAGCATAGAAAAGGCAAGGATTAGGGTCATGCTTGTAAATGTGTTCACACCCCAGAATAAAATACACCATAGGGTCCAGGCTAGTATCTGCACAGTGCAAAGAGACAAGGGTGAAATGACATGAGAGGGGGAGGGGGGGGGGAAGGGGGAACACAAGGATTGGGGTTTCAGTAGACAATTATATACAGTTCAATAAAAAAGTTCTTGAGATATCATGAAAAGTAGGGTCATTCCATGCCAACTCAACAAATGTTGCACACCATCACCTCTTGGATTTTTTTCTTTTTTGGTGTACTGAAAGATACTTAGGAGAAATGCAAATTCTGAAAATTTGGGGTCTCTACGACTTTTCGTTCTTGCGCAACAGCATTTTGAAATTTGAGGTGGGCGGGGCCAAAAGTGCGTCGCGTCACGAAATTCAATGTTTAAAGGGCCATATATTTAAAACTATACCCCCCAGACATTTCAAACTTGGTAATCTGGGCTATTTTTTGCTGTAGATTTCAAATATTTTAACAGAAAGAAAGTAGCTTGTTTCATTTTTAAGTTAAAGGGGCCCCAAAATGGCCCAAAACTCATCTGGACCAATGTTCGGGGGGGTGTAAGTCAAAAATTGAAAATATTGTTTTCACCAATTTTTTTGCCTGTAATAGCCCCCAAGTGAAACTACTTTCATGTAAAATCTTACACTTATATTAACTTCATTGAATGAGATATAGCCCTTGCAAAAAGCAAATTGTTTATTTTTACGATAACTTGACCCCCCCAAAAACCAACGTCAGACATTCCGCCCCAAATTTTGCTTCACATATGTTTGAGGTTGGTCCTTAGTGAAGTCCTCTGAAAAGTTTCATGTTGGTGTCTAAATGTCTTCAGTGGATAGCTGGGCTTTATAATGAGTCTATATCTTACGATGCTGGTTCCGTAACATACAACTAAGTACACGTACATTGTACCAAGAATAACAGCAGTCGGTACATAAAGAATAAGTTGGGTATGAAACTTAGCTTACATTTGTACATGTAGACTTTTGATCAGTTGATATAATTGTTTACAGTTTCACAGGTGAAATTATGCATTCCTTGTCATGTAGTTTTGATGAAGTTGAATGAGTTGCATGATGGTTGGCTCACTAAGTTTGTATTGCCTTCCACAGCTATGTAGAAGTTCTGGTGTTGGTACGCAACACAACACATCAACAAATGGAATGTTACATTTATCCTCTCTTTGTGGCCAATAGAGAGTATTTGTTGATTCCGTCCTGTACATGAAGCGGACATACACATCCTCATGAAGTTGTGATACATCTTCTACAATAGCAATGTACCAAACATCATCATAGACCACACAAACATATTTTCCTGGGTTGAGGTCAGCTGCTACAATTGGTGCATGATGAGTTTCTTGCATGAACTAGGTTCCCCTTATCCATAATGAAAACTAAGATCAATCAGGTTAAAACCATAGACCCTTTACTCAAACTGAATCACTTCTCTTTGGTTCAGGTTAGTGCTATACTATGCTGTGCAAGTGAGAACTGGTTAATGTATACATGTACATGACATGCATGCTGTGTGATGAGCACATGGAAAGAATAAGACTCTCAAGTCATTTAACTTAATTTGCCTATAATGCACACATAGGTCTACAAGCAACTGTTTATTGAGCAGGAAATGGGTAGTCTTGACCCAAGTCTATCAACAGTCTATCAACAGGGATTTTGTTGTGCTGGTTCCGTAAAATACAAGTACATGTACTTGTATGTTACGGAACCTGCAGCATCGTAAGATATAGACTCTTTATAAAGCCCAGCTATCCACTGAAGACATTTAGACACCAACATGAAACTTTTCAGAGGACTTCACTAAGGACCAACCTCAAACATATGTGAAGCAAAATTTGGTGCGGAATGTCTGACATTGGTTTTTGGGGGGGTCAAGTTATCGTAAAAATAAACAATTTGCTTTTTGCAAGGGCTATATCTCATTCAATGAAGTTAATATAAGTGTAAGATTTTACATGAAAGTAGTTTCAATTGGGGGCTATTACAGGCAAAAAAATTGGTGAAAAAAATATTTTCAATTTTTGACTTACACCCCCCCGAACATTGGTCCAGATGGGTTTTGGGCCATTTTGGGGCCCCTCTAACTTAAAAATGAAACAAGCTACTTTCTTTCTGTTTAAATATTTGAAATCTACAGCAAAAAATAGCCCAGATTACCAAGTTTGAAATGTCTGGGGGGTATAGTTTTAAATATATGGCCCTTTAAACATTGAATTTTGTGACGCGACGCACTTTTGGCCCCGCCCAACTCAAATTTCAAAATGCTGTTGCGCAAGAACAAAAAGTCGTAGAGACCCCAAATTTTCAGAATTTGCATTTCTCCTAAGTATCTTTCAGTACACCAAAAAAGAAAAAAATCCAAGAGGTGATGGTGTGCAACATTTGTTGAGTTGGCATGGAATGACCCAGTATCAGTATTAACCACTGTGTCAGTTAGAAAAGAACTGATTTGGGTAATGATCAATTGTTATTAAATGCACATGTCTGTTGAACAAAGAACTGAAGTTAGGAAATTTTTAATAATTGGCTGTGATGAAATTATTGAGATAATGATTCGTTTCTTATTAGTTGTGTAAACGTAATACTTAAGTATGGTTTATTTGTGTGAAATGTATACATGTTGGTACCAAGGCTGACTAAGTACGATGCACTTTGAATGTGAACATGTTATGTACATGTAGGTCAGGCATGACATTTTTCAGACTTCAGTCTGAAATCAGACCTTTTGAATCTGCGAGAAAGACATCGGTATAAAAAGAATGCATCTTTCAGGCCTTTCATCCAATCTTCAGCTTTTTTTCCCCATTCCTATTTGGTACAGTGTATTGGATTCAACTTTCACTTGCAATGAAATGCAAGAAATGAACACCAAACATGCGGTAAGGACTTGGACTCAGACTCCAGTCCGAGCCCTTTTTGTACATACACGTACTTGGATACTTTCACAAGCACACCCACGTTTGTTTATGGTGTAAATCAAGGATTTTCTTTTGTTCTTCTTACCTAAACCTTTGTTTGTACCTTAACTTTTTCGCAACAGCTCTCATTGGTTTTGTACACGTTTTCTAATCGAGGTCGTCCGCGATTTGGTTCCTGTCCTTGATTCACCGATGATGTTGCATGTGTGTGTCCTCGACTTACACCATAAACAAACGCACCTTTTTGTGCAAATAACCACATCCATAAACACGAACATTCGTGTACGTACATGTTCTTGGACCATACTGTCTAGTTTCTCAGGCTTAATTTCTCCACCACCATCACCACATATTTGAGTTTCTTGTCAGACTCAGAGAAGGACTGGACTACAAGTACTTCAAATATTTATGGAGAGGGAAGGACCGTAAGAAAGGACAGGAATTTGGATGAGTGGTACTAAGCTAGGGGAAAAGTCTTTTAAATACATATAATTTTTAAAAGTACCGGGTGTTTAGGAACATTGGATGCGCTGTGATTTTCTAACCTTAAAAAGGATGTACCCTGAACTTGAAAATGTCTTCTGGAGACAACGGTTGCATTGGAATAAAGAAAGGAAACTCTCAATGAAGGAGGATACATTTCTTGCATGTCTGGTGTGAAAATGGTATTTGATCAATGTAGTGTTCACATGAAATAGCGTGGGCTTTTGCTTGAACTTTTGTCAAATGTTGATAGTATTCAGTGTATGTATGTAAGTGTTGAGATCTGGACTAGGAATGCTGAAAAAATATCTCCACATTGCAAATATAGTTTATGATAAAGCATAATCTACTTCATACATTGGCTATAAACTAAGTCCAAGTACAAGCTTTGAGTAAGATACTGTTTCTTTTAATTTTCACTACTTTGCAAATAGGACGATGTTTCTGCTGATAGATGAAGTGCCTTGTGAGAAGGTTTCTTGTTTCTTGCTTTGTATTTCTCAAACAAAAGCATAAATCGCAAATCTAACATTTTTTTTCTTCAGTTGAGTCGACTTTTAACAAATTCATAATGTTCGTTTTTTATCCTTATTTTATGATTCCTCTCTATGGGGTATTCAGTCCAAAATGTAATGCGGGAAAAATTCCCTTTTTAAAGAAGCTAGACAATTTTCTTGGTTTTTATTACTCTTGTGCAATAGCCTGCTGCAGTAGCTTTTGCCAATGACAAGTAAAACCTACATGTATGCATAGCAATGGGCATCACCATTTCCCCACATTTTCCCCTCAAAGTGCAAACAAAGTTGAACCAGCAATTTACATCAAAGAGAAAACCCCTTATTTCTACCAAGCCATTTTGCAGCAATCAGTGTGAAGCAAATAAAATAAGAATAAAGTGGAACCACACTGAAACCAACAGGACAAATTAATGTTCATCATTTGTCAAGGAGCGCAACTGTACTACATGTGCCAAGTATCTAAGCACCGGTGGTGATCAATATTTAGTGCATAGCCCCTTTTTTCATTATGATTTGCAATAGCAGGCTATATTCTCTTGAGTGATTCCTGTTACCATTTGCGATGATTTCAGTACCACGAAACGAGTATCGCAGGTACTCAACTACTCGCAAGTAATTTCATCGCGAGTACCTGAGTTGAAAACTTCACTACTCACCCACAACTAGTTTGCAGCACTGCACATGTTGCTGGCATCGTGGCTTTGGGCGTGAACCCTGGCCACATGGCATATACCGGTTTATTGTTTCTTACTAACACCAAATGAGCACAGACATTGACAAGAGTTGGAGACCCCCAATATAGGGCTGGATAGCTCAGTTGCTGGAAACTGGTCCAGAGAGGACACAGGTTCAATTTCCACTTTTGTCGATTTCTATGTCAACAATTTTCAAAAAGGACTGACGTGCTTCAAGGACTCTGAGGGAAATGGGGAGCTGATGCATACAAGTAAGTACACACTGCACACTATTGCAACTGTGACACACTATTGCAACTATGCACAGCAAACTTTACTGGTTTACTCAGTATTATTAACAAGGCAAGCATGGGGATGTACATAGACAACTTGGCAAATCCCCCAGTGTAGCTACGTAAAGCACATTTTGTTGGCAGTTGGGTCAGCTAGTGATTTGATGTACAATTTGTGACTCTGTTTTGTGGCAACAGTTTTTAAGAAGTCAAAGGAGTGGAATTCTACATAATTCAAGTTACAGTTTGTAAAACTGTATAACTGATAATATTGCTCTAACTTTTGTCTGAAATCGTTACACAGTTGAATTTTTTAAAACAGTGTTTAAGAGCCTTATTGCAAATCTACTTTCATTTGTACCACGATTGTGAAGGTTGTTCATTCATGTACCATGTACTGCTGAGAAGGGAAATGGCAAAAGTGATCACTAGCTTGCCCAGACGGCGCAGGCATTTGCAAAGTTGTCTGTGTGACATTGTAGGAAATATACAGAATCGGCACGTGCAAACTTGAGTGTTCTCAATAGAGGTGTGATGTAATGCAACTTCTGAGACTTTATTCGTTGCTTTCACTTACCTCCATTTTATCATTCAATTTTCGTTGCTCTTCCTTGAATCTGCTCTCACTGAAGCTCTCGGTCTGCAACAGCTCTTCCAAACCCTGCTTTTCCCGGGAGATTTGCTCCACGAGATGAGTCAGCTTCTCTGTTTCTCTTTTCAGTTCTTCCTCCGACTCCCGCAAGCTGTTCTGGGTGGCTACGGCTTCTTCGAGCAGTCGCCTCTGCTCTTTCATTTCCTCGTTGTCCTGCACTATGCTTACTTTGAGTCCTGCCCGTCTCTCTTCCAGTCCAGACAGCTCTTCCTGGATGCTGCACTCCTGGACTTGGAGCTTCTCCCGCAGCTGCTCTTTCTCGTCTTTGATGCCGACATCCTCATCATTGAGGGACGTGAGCGTTCGACTCCGAGTCATGTTGAACTGCTTCAGCTGCTTATTGGTGCTGGTCAGCTTCTCCTTCTGTTTCTCGATGGCCATCTTACGATCTGACAGCTCCTGCTCCAGATAATGCAGATTAGCTGCCTCAATCTGAAGCAGGTTGCTCCATTCTGTTTCCAGAATGTCTTCATCCCTGCGCTTCTGTTTCTCCAGCTCGACAAACTCAGCTTCGATGTCCTTTTCTACATCTGCTTCCCTGGCTTCCAAGGACAGTTTTTCTGTAGCTATTCTCTTTTCTGCTGCTTCTATCCTCTCCAAGTCCTTTCTCAAATCCGCAAGCTCCTCTTCGCTTGTCGCAGCCTTTATTGCACACTCATTTTGCCTCTTCCTCATGCTGAGCTCTGTCTTCTCATTTTCTAACTCAGTCCTACTCTGCCAGATTTTGTCGATGCGGATTTCTGCCTTCGCCTGAATGTTCTTCTCAGCTTCCTCGATAGCATCCAACTGTCGCTGCTTCAGCCTGTCAAAGTTGGCCCAGGCCTCTGCCACTTGCTGGTTCTCCATGGCCAGCTGGTTCTTCACGGAGTCATCCATCGTCGTGGCTAGTTTCCGGGCCACTTCGTGCTTGGCCTTCAAGGCTTCCAGCTTCTCCCGCTCTATCTCCAGGAAGTGGTGTTCTTCATCCCGCTCCCGTTGGACTTGTTCTTGTTGCTTCTGGAGATCCTGCTTGGCCTGATACAAAATAAGGCAGCATTAGACACTACAAGATGATTCTTTACTATTTTTGACAAAAACTGAATAAAAGCTAAGCCACTGTGATCTATGACAAGCACAAATCTGACAGGAATCATTAAAGATGTCAAAAAATTTGTTGTCCACAAGGGGACAGAGAAAAACCTTTCTTAATTACCTTCTCTAAGCCTTCCTTCATCTCTGCTTCCTTCTCTTCAACTTTCGTCAGCTCTGCTTGGAACCTCTCCCTTTCCTCCCTGAGACGGTCTTCTAGCTTCACTCTTTCCTCGGCAAGCTCCTCTTCCTTTTCTAGAAGCATCTTCTCCTGTCTCCTCTCAGTCTCCTCTAGCCGTTGCCTCTCCTCTTGGACCCGCTCTTTGGCCTGCTGCCTCTCTGACTCCAGTGTCGCGGCCATCTCCTGGCACCGCTGCTGACTGTCTTCCCGCTGCCTGTTCAGCTGTTCCAGGCGTTCCTGGAACTCCTGGCACTGCCGCTCCTTCTCCCGGTTGTACTCTTCCAGCTGCTTCAGGATGTCGCAGCTCTGACGGTGCCGCTTCTTGCGCTCTTCTTCAAGCTCCAGCTCCGCCTCGCTGGCCTGCTTTTGGGCATGCTGCCACTGCAGGCGTACTTGCTCGATCTGCTGCTGCTGAACTTCCAGGTCTGACTCTCGCTTCTTCTGGTACTGCTGCCGCTGCGACTCGGCCTGCTTGAACTTCTCTTCCAGCTCTTGAATTTCAATTCTGAAGCAGAATTATTCAGAGTTGTAATCAAGTCACTTGTCATCACAAGTCAGTCACAAGTAAACTGTGAAAACTGCAATGCATTGTCCCCGTCATCTCTGTTACTTGAAACCTGATCTGTACTTTGACTTCAGATTCTCCATTTTTTTTAAAGTTGTTGCTATAAATGTCACCATTATTTCATTCTTAAACAAAAATGTCTCTGATACTTAGGAAACTGATCTGGGATTTCACATGCATATGAGAGACTAAACCTAATGCAAGAATGTCATTTATATTTTGTCAGTGAAAGTCAGTTTTCAAAATGTGCTGACAGCTTTGGATAGCTTGTCCATTGCACTTAAGTTCAAGATCCAATTTTGCTTTTGATTCTGTTTTCAACTTACCTCTTGCGTTCCAGTTTATCCCATTCCTCTTGCTGTTTTCTTTCCATGCCAGCTCTAAAAAGCAAAGGAACAAACAAATCAGAGGAAAATTAAAAGCACAAAATAAAGCTGACAAATCATTTGCACCTCACAGACTATTGAAATCACTGATTTGACCCCCCAATTCCATGAGTGATAATATGGCTCCAGGATTCTGATGTCAAATAGGCAAAATTGATGATGATGCAAGTATTAACAGTTCCGTATTCCACTAAACATGCTCACTTAACGTTACCCTGGTCCACTACTTGTCTTGTTTGACACAGTACCATACAGCTGAGCCATTTTTGTTTCATTTGGATTGATGTCCAAAGCCCAAGAATACTTGAGTTTATGGGTTCTGGGGTAGTTCTTACTACAAAATATCAAGGAGTGAAGGGTCAATGATACAGTACTTGCTATTTTGAAATTGTAAACACAAACTTATACGGTAATGGCTCTCATTAAAAAGACTTCTTTTTTTTTAAATCTTACCCACTGTTCCGGAGTGTGGCTGCCAGTAGGTTCTCAGTGGATCTATACATGCTGAGATCATTCATGGATCTAGACTTTAATTCTCTGCGTAGGCGCTTTGCCTCCTCCGGATGATTGAAACGCAGCAGGTTGGTTTCACCGATACCCACAATGCAGCCTTCACACAAAGTAAGGAAAAAATTAATAATAATAATAATAATAATAACTGTATTTATATAGCGCTTTTTGCCAGAGGATACAAAGCGCTGGGGGAGAATGCAACCAAAGCCAGGTAAATGAAGTTTATGAACATATGAGACCCATTATGTAGCACCTTTTTGCTAGGTGCTGCGGCGCATAATTGCTGCCACTGCCAGAAACAGCAAGGCAAACCCCTCCTCTTAGCGACAAGTGTTACTGGGTTCTTTAACGTGCATTACACAACACACGGGACCTACGGCTTTCCGTCCCATCCATCAAAAGAAATGACTGATTCTAAATTTAGCCTGTGCAATGGGGGAGTGAGGCCCAGCGGTTAGGGTGAGTGACTGTGACACATGGTCAGAAGGTCAGAGGTTCGAATCCCGCTGCTGGCCATATGTTGTATCTTAGGGCAAGTTGATTCGCTTGACTTGCCCCTCTCCACCCAGGAGGGTTCCACGGGAGCGAGACACCACGTGCTTGCATACTGGTCCGCACGCATATGGCGTGAAGGTCTCCTGACTAATTTTATAATGAATGTGCACAAACCCATAGCATCTTTATGTGAGCATCAGGCGCTGTCAACTATGTGTTCAATTGTCCCTCCCAGTGGTCTCCCTTAACTCTCCCTTTGTAACCACTGAGGGGGTACTTGCGCACCGAGTCCATACTCATCAACCCAATACGCCATATTCTTGAGCAAATGAGGGCGCCATTTCCAGGGTACAAACACTAGACAAGTGATCCACCCATCACGTGTGTCAACATTTTCCGCGGTCGATCCCTATATGTTTTGTGCTCTTAAAAAAAAGTCAATTTTGTTTGCATTTTTAAACGACCTCAAATGACCACTAGATGACCTTTGACCTCCAATTTCGGAATAGTTGTGATGAACCCCAACCAAGGATCACTCCATCCAAGTTACATTAAAATCCATTAAATTCTGTAGACAAAAACATTTAAGTATATTTGAAGAATGACCTCTAATGACCCCTACATGACCTTTGACCTCAGTAATCCCATGAAGAATTGTGTCTTCACAACCAAGGGTCACTGTATCCACGTTTCATCAAAATCCAAGGAGGTATGTAGAAGTTAAAAAAAAAAATTTAAAAACTGAACCAAAACTTTAACTTACATACGTTCATACAGAATTCAGGACTGGTTAAGTGCCTCCAAAAACTTTATTTACCCTTTTTAGGCGACACAAAAAAATCACGCTTATTGAAGCAGTTTAATAACTTCAATAAATGTGATACTATAAAATAAAGATTGTAGAAATGTAATATTTGAGCTGTAGCAATTTGTGTAAACTTACGTCAATAACCTTAGATTCACGTCTTTTCATGCCCCTGAATGACATCGTAACAGCGCCCTCGCATGCTCAGAAATCAAACCTATTATTTTTCTCATGTTCCATGCAGACTTCATTTTAGCCCACGCTTTCTTTTTACCTTGAGCTAGTTGTAACGGTTCCCTGACTCTGCTACCATTGACTAAGCACACAGCTTCCTTGATGGGATGGAGCCTGACTACCCCTCCGTTGTTGCTCAGCCAGCAGTGTTTGTCCTGCACATCAACCCCGAACAGTACTGTAGAAAAAAAAAAACCAATAGGTTAACATATTTCAATCTTTTTAAAGAAATAGACCATTTAAGGATTTAAATGTGGAAATGGTTCCACAAAATGAATAGAACAATCAGTTTTGAGATGTCACACTCAGAGTTTTGAATTCTTCCATCGAACTTAGAATGCACTTAAACATGAACAAAAATGACAGCGAACATACATTTTTGGTTTAGACAAATACAGTAAATGGTTAAAACTGTCCAATGTGCAACCATAACTTCACTCTCTGGATTGTACAGCTGTAAAGACAATGTGCTATGGCAGCCAGGTTGAAGATAAAAATGTACAACTACAAAAATATGTTGGGGTTACACACAAAAAATGTTGGGGTTTCTCGCAACCATTACAAATATACACATTTTGTTAAAACTGAAGTGACCATGGAACCAAGGTATCCACATATTTCAGTACATACTTTTTACCTGTCACTGACTTCATCATGACATTTCAGTTTTTAGCCAGTATGGTCAATAAAAGGTTCAATGATTTCTTAATCAAAATCCCAACTTGTGTCATTTCAAATTCGAATACAACAAGCCATCTGTCAAAGAAACATATCACAGTCTATGGTTTATGGCTATAGACCTTAGGCGTAGCACCCATGGGGCAATGGCCAACCTCATCCCCAGGGTGTCGAGCAGTATGCGCCCACCACTACCTGCTCTCTCACCCTGGTATTGGATCATCTGCATGTGCAAAATTTTTGAACATGTATGCAAATGGAGAATAGTCTGGTGCCTGCCTGTGCGTTACATTAGCGTTTGTTTTTGTATGCAGTGTCTGGGGTAAAAACAGAATCAATCCGTCGTGCCTTGAGTTACAAAAACACGATTGTTTTTGAAGTTAAAATGTTACAATCTTATCCCGCCAATATGCAATATCACATTTCATATTAATATGAGCAAATGGGAAAGGAAATGAGTATTTTTGACATTATAAAATGATCATGAACACACGTAATGCATGTTGGAACTAACAACACAAATTACACGATATAAATTCATTTCTAGCCAATTGCAGTATTGAATCAGAATACAGGAAGGAAGTTTCCTATCCAGGGCTTACTATTGGAAACAAGGTTGCAAATAAAGTAAGCACTGGGGACGAGGTTGGGCAATGCCCTTGTGTTGCTGGGATATGCATGAGTGAACCTGTTGTGCATTCATTGTTACTGAAAAAACAAAAACAAAAGATGCCCTCTAAGAAGGCCGCAACGCATACGGTCTATTGAACTGGGCCCAACTTCATAGCTCCACTCACTGTAAGCTAAATATCCTTACTAAGCACTGCAGAAAATTTGGAGCTAATGGTTAGTGTTTTTTTCACAGCTCAGCAGAACCATGGCATTGCGCACTGGTCAATCACTCACCGATATCACACGGTTGATCAGCATCCTGATGACCTATCGTTGTATTTCCTTCCTGGAGAGTTTACGACAAAATAAAACTAAAAAAATATCTTGCAATACTTCTCAAAAATAAACCATGTTGTTGATTAATAGTCTAAATAATCCAGGATTCGACTTTAGCGGTAGCCCGATAGCCAAATGGTAGTCAAAACAGCGGCGGGCTAGTCAAACTATTCCTTAAGTAGCCCGGCTGGCAAGTCCAAAGTTATTGAGATACAGCAAAAATGAAAGGACAGGAATAAATAAATCATTAAATTCAGAAAGCAAACGTGTATCAATTTGTGTCAAATTTTAATAACTGTTTATAGGGCTTAAATATTATATCTGTTTATTAAAAACACTGACAAGATTTCCTCAGGATACACATTTTACACGTATGCACATTGTTGTTTGTGACACACTCTTATAAAAGAAAAACATGCGGGCTAGTGAAAATGCCTGTGGGCTAGTTAAGAGTCTGTTTCAGTAGCCCGGCTGGCTAGTGAACAAAAAATCAAATTGAGGTCGAACCCTGAGTTCATTAAATACTGGACAAAAGCTGAAGACAAGTTTTCTGAAAAACATGTCTCGCAATGGAATCATCAGCATTGTTCAGAAACTGATAACTAATATGCAAGAAGATTCTGGAGGAGCTGCTCATAGTCAATACCCGATAAAGTGGGCCTATTGCAGATAATCTTGTCTTGGATTATTAATGTGATTGCCTTACCTTGATATGATAAAGCTTAAGACCTGTGCTCAACAGATCATCATCCACACCGATCAGATGGGGCAAGGCTGAATCCAGAACGACTCCCATTCCTTCTGATCTCAGGGCTAGAGTACGCTCCTAAAAAAAAATGGTGTTAGAGACAGAGAATTAATATAAGTTAGAGAGTTGTTCCGAGACCTCATATGAATGCTCATATGATGCAATATCAGATGTGAATCAAGTACAAAATGACACCAGATAGATTTTCAAGGATTTATCACTACACATCAAGTTTCAGTAGAAGATCTAGAGGGGGGTTGGGGCTTTGGAAAGGTCTCAACCACAACAATGGTTTAGAGACACACACAAAGTTGCTACAGTTGCACCTGTCAACTTTATGCCTGATCTCTTATCTCTTAACTCTCATCTCTTCCTGAATTTATTAAATTATAGCATACCTTCCTATACACTCTGTACATGTACATGTACAGTCTGTGAAGCATACAACACAATGCAAAACAAAACAGTCAATGCCATCTCTTGTTGTCATCCATTTGCATGTAAAATAAACAGCACAAGTCCACTCACTTGACTGGTGCCAGACTGCAAGTTACACTAAAGTGAAGTTCTGTTACAATTTTTTTGTATGTCCACAAGTTTGACCAATTACCTTCATGATTTTCTGTGTTTCCTTCCACTTGGTGGCCCACTCTTCTGTCAGCATTTTTACCTGTAAGCAAAGGAAATTATTATCAGGAAAATAAATTCACAAACGGAGGCGACCGGGAAAGAAGGAAGCAGGCAGGGACGACAAACTGTTTATTTTGTTTACATGGCCTTATAAGCAAACATATGAAAAACTGAAATGTCCAAAGCCACAACATCCAACAAGCTAATCTCACCAAATATCCTGTACTCCACACATGGGACATTTTTTAATTCGGTAGCACATGTATAATTTTTATTCATTTATTTATTATGCTCATGATTATTATTAAATTAATGTTGTTTTGTTGTTTTACCTCTTTAAAAACTTACCATAGCTTCACTTTCTTGTAATTTGTCCACTGTTTGGAGATCAGTAGAATCCTGTAAAAATGAGTATTTTTATTACAGTTTCATAAATGCTTGTCTTTTTTGTGAGGGAGTGCTCATGTTTCTTGCCAGCTTTAACAGTAATCCTTGAGAAATATTTGACGTAACAAGGATTTTCTGGACCTACAAAATGAATTATAGAGTCACATTTTTGTCTTCTCAAACAGTACTCTCTTTGGTTGAATGGGGATAACATTTTGGGGGTACTCCCAAATTCATTGTCATGAATGTCCAACCTTAGATTTTTTCCTCAGCTTTTTCCTGAGATTTTTAGGTCTCTTACCTAGGGGACTCAACTCAATAGACCTAGTTTCAGAGCATCATATTTTATTGTATGAGGCCAAAGTAAACAGGATATCCATTTTAGTTTGGACATGATAGTCTTCCAAATGATTACAGAGATTAATAAAAAGGAAGCCAAGACTGAAGACAAAGCCTTGCTTTGGAAAACATCTTATTTTCCTGTGTGTTGGTCTGGTACCTAGGCTTCATTTATCTTACCATTCCAGTGAGGCAGGCTTTCAGCCGCGCAATCTCAGCCCTAAGCTGTTTGATGAGCCGCACGTTGGGATCCTGCAACCAGAAGCAAAAATCCAACCAAAGGTCAGTGTTTAAAAACGGGAAAAGGAAAAGAAAAAAACACACACAAAAAGCTTTTCCTAAAGAATAGGAACTCAGAAATTAGATTTTAGGCTTAGGAATTCAGAAATTCTAAAGCTTCAAAGGAGGGGAAGTGGCCATGGGGAGAGTGAGCTCAGTGTTATCTTACCTCGTTAATAGTTGGTTTGTTAATGATGTTCTTGGCTCGGTTGGCGTACCTCAATGTGCTGAGCGTCTCTCCGTAGTTCACGTCAGCTGGGGAAATAGCTGTCAAGAAAAGTGAATATAGATCAAGATCCAGAACATGGACACTTTTAAAATGTGGTGGTTTAATTGACCGAACCTGTTTGCCCCGCCCACTGCACACGTCGACAACCAACACTTGCACCTCTCTGATGCGTACGCATCATTTGCGAGATATTGGCTGAATTGACCTGCTCCTGATGCAAAGTGGTGGGGAGGTAGTCAATATCAGCCAACACCATGAAACCATGGGTGAGTTCCACTAATGTGAGCATTATAACGTTTGCCAATGTTGGCAACCTTTTGCTTGTAAAGAGGGACCGACTGTTTGACACAAACATTGGCGAGAGTTAGCAACAAAGGCACACAGTCCCCCGAGCCGTTAGCTATGTATTCCACGACACACCCAATGAATGTGATGATTCTGTCACAGCTGAAATGTTCCATTTTCAACATCCCAAGTTAACTTGATTTTGTTACTGGAAAAAAATTCACTTCAAGTCACAATAAAGTTTCCGTGGATTTTGAAAGCTATTACCACAGTGACACTTGCAGAATTGATATCTTGGGCACTGCCACTTTGACAACAGTTTTTCGATGACACTATTGTTCCATTTGGGGATGGCATGTTCCCAGGGCCTAGCTAACAAACACAAAAACGTTCGCGTGATTGGAACGCACCCCATTGTTTAGTCAAAGGACTAAATCTGTTTGGGACTACTTACTTGCTACCATGATGGTCTTGGAGTTGCCTCCCAAGCTATCTTTGAGCAGCCAGGTCAAGACCGAGTCCCTGTAAGGGATGAAGACGTTGGATTTGCGCCTGTTGGCCGTGGACATGGGACTGTGGCCAACCATGGAAGACATGTCAGCTGTCATAAAAACAACAAAAACAATCAAACAAAATTCACAGCCTTCAAGTTGAAGGAATAATAATTTCTTAAAAAGTTCTGCACATTAGGCCAAAAAAAAAAAATATTCGGTCTCTGGTCAGACCAAAGTTCCGGAATTGACGCGGGGACGCGGCTTTTTTTTTTTTTTTCTTTTCTTTTTTTTTCTTCAAGCTTGGATTGTACAGACAAGGTGGGGTACTATTTTGCTTTTTTGGTGTCCTCATGTACATTGGTGTCCTCCATAATTTGCCTTGGTGCTCTCAATCATTTGCCTTGGTGCAATTTCCCATTCCTTGGTGCTCTTTGGTAAAAAAAAAAAACCCAGGCACGTAACCAGGGTTTGGTGTTCCCATTGCAGTGACGAGAAAACGCCACTCGGCATCCTTGCTGAATGGTAGATAGGATTTTTTCACCGGACACCCAGACTCCGTCAATTCAAAGGGTGAGAGTGGTTTGGGGGATGGAGTTTGGGGGGGGGGGGGGTTGTACACTTTCTTTCGATGGAGGCGCTGTTCAAACCGGAAAGTGACTGATGAAAGATGGCGCTCTTTAACGTGGCACGACATTTGCGGGGCATTAACAAGGGCACTTGTGGAAAAAGGGTGCTCGTGAAAAATGGCAATCGTGAAAAGGGGCAAAGTAGAAACTATTGAGTTGCAAAATACACTTTTTGTCCCGTTACCCATTTTCACTGTCCCAATTTTGCCTCTATCACCATCCTAATTTTGCTTTTCAAATCTCCATTCTATTTCAATCTGCCACTCTGCACTCCCCCCCCCCCCAGTTACCCTACTGCAAATGAACAGTTATAAAAGCATGTCATGTTCATCCCCTGTTACTTGTGACTGGACTTGCGAATTTACTTGTGATTTGCTTTTGACCTGACTTGTGATGGCACCGACTACAACAATGCTGGTCATGCTGGTGTTTATACTCCTTGACACCATCTATAAAAAGTGAAGTTCAACCTAAATTTCGCTTCTTCGATATATTTTCAAGTATTAAAGCAATAATTTGTCAGATATTTTGAGATGCAAGACAAGTCAATGAAAATTGTCACTTACCTAATGCTGAGATCACATTGCCCAGGGTTACCAGTGATTTGTTGATGTTGGCGCCTTCTTTCAACCGGTCCCCCGTTGCACCTGTGGCATCTGCTCTTTCACTAAATATAAAACGACAGGAAGGAAAGAAATATATAATCTGACAGAAAAAAAATTGATCTGTATTACACATTAAAGTTTTATTGTATTGTTTTTGTATTAAAACTCAGGGTTTTCAATGTTGACTTTACCTTCCTGCAAGATCCACAAGGTTGATTTTGCTGATGGTTTCACTGGGCATGTCATCAAGAAATTTGGCCTGGTAAAATAAAAGATAAAATACAAAATATAAACGACTGTGTTTGAAAGAAAGGTGACTTCAATCAACCTATTAAAAAACGGAAATTATAAATCAAGGTCTCAAAAGAAATCAAAGTTGAATTGTATACAAATCATATGTCACACTTTGCTATCGTTCCACACAATTCATGAATGTTTCAGTTTATATAACCGACATACAGATCATTATAAGATGGAATTTTTATAAGATGGAATTTTTGCGCCGGGGTGATATAAATCAAATTAGGTTTTGCCCTTCACCGACGTTTTTTAAACACTGTATACTCAGTGTGTTACCTCCCGAGTGAAAGTTGGAAAAAATCACAGATCCTTGTCATTTGATTGATGGAATTCACATCACGTGAGATTCGTTTTTACTCCCATTCACGCCGGAGCTCAAAAGGTCCCATTCGCCCATGGGGACTACTATTGAACAGTTAGGATCGCTCTTGTTCCAAGATGCGGTATTTGTGTGCAAATGTATACTGGTGTGCGCAATCAGCGTTGCGCGTAGCGCGTATATCTCCAAAGAGCCAGCGCTACAGAGTTGGGTTCAAACTTTTTAGTGAAGGGGTGGTTTGGAAGAAATACATTTCCCATCAATTTTGTAGTGAAATAAAAGTTCAAATATATCAAATGACAAAGATCTATATGTCAGTTATATAAAACAAATATTGAATGGGAGGAATATTATAGCTTGGTAAAATCTGGACTTTTCCAGTTCACTCGGCTTCGCCTCGTGAAATGGAAAAGTCCAGATTTTACATTGCGATAACATTCCTCCCATTGCACTCTGAGCCACTCAATATTTGTATACTAAAAATCAAGTTTCATAAAGTATAATTTACAGTTAATTTTTTTTGGTGTACATTTTTTTAATTATGGCAAACTCCGAAGGGGTCAACTTGGAAGTGAAAAAGCATGGCAAATAACTTATTGAATGACTTTACCTGGGTAAATGTGATAGTAAAGATTGCGTGTGATCTACTGCTGGTATCATTCATCATCGTGGAAGCCGTCGTTCTGTGCAAAACGAAAATCAATATCATTACATTTAATTATACAATTCTATAGAAAACTCTTCAAAATTAAACTGTGAATGATATTCATTGTAATGTATTCCAGACAGGTTTTTTGGACAGAAAAAAATAATTAAGAATTTTTTTTGGGAAATTCATCCCCTTGAAATATGAAGATTTGTAATCGTCTGAGAAGGCACGTGGTTATGATTGACCAAAAAAAGTCATTTTTTTCTGGTAAACAAGTATATAATGTCAATTTCTGGGTGCAAACACAGGTTTATGGGGGGGGGAGCAGGAGATTGAAAAATGTAAATTTTGAGCTGTAGCAATATGAAAACCTAATCCAATAACTTTGGATTCATGTCTGTTTACACACATATTTATTACATTGTAACAGTGCCCTCAAGAATAAGACCTATAGACAACTTGCAGATAGCAGCCATCTTGGATGTGTTCTTGTTATTTCAAGTTTAACAACTAATACAAAGGTCTATTCATGCATATCCCCGTGGAAAACAAAAAAGCGCACTTAAAAAGATGCCTGTAAAATGGTCTGGTAACTTGCACTTTCCTTAGGTATCTGTAATGAAATGAATAGATATGCGGAGGGTGCTGACTGCTATGTACTGTACCTATGTATGTTCCCCTTGTCCATGAGGGCCTGTACATCTTGGTAGTCAGACACAAGGTGTTTGGAGAGGTCTGCCAAAAGAAACAAAATATGCCAGAAAAGAAATGCATCATTAAACACAAACCCCAAATAGAGAGACATACACACAACCCTGAATTGGGAGACATACAGTGGACTTCCCATGTGGTGAAAAAAAATATAGATCTCATGAAGGGAAATTGTAGAAATACCTGTAATTATACAATTTAGATAAATTATCAAAGTAGAAAACTGTCAAAAAAGGTGAATTGTTATGTTGTCTTCATTTGAGATTTTTTTAATATATATTACATTTATATAGCACTTTCTAAATCTAAGGCCGTTTCAAAGCGCTCTCTATTTTTTAGAGACAGGTAGATGAAGTTGATGAAAATATGAGATCCATTATGTAGCACCTTTATACGGGTTTCCAAGGTGCTTCAGCGCACATTGCAGCCACTGCCAGAAACACCGGGGCAAACCCCTTCTCTTAGCGATAAGTGTTACTGGGTTCTTTAACATGCATTACACAACACAAGGGACCTACGGCTTTACGTCCCATCCGAAGGACGAAGCAATAATGGTAAAGTGCCTTGCTCAAGAGCACAAGCACCATGTTCCCACGGTCATGATTCGAACCCGTGTACCACGGCACATGAGTCGAACACCGAAGCCATTGGACCACAGCGCCCCACAAATTTAATTCTTCTGCTTGCGTTTTCTAACTCAAGTGTCATCCGTTCTCACAAAAAAATCTATGTTTGCTTGCATAATATGCTCTTAATTCTAAAAAATATTCAGGCACAATGATTTAAAACGATGAATTCTTGAGCATTCAGCAAGAGTTGTAAACCTCACCCTGTACGTAGGGACCATCTCGTGGGTGCTCTCTGACCCTCAAGGTGTACTGGGGGCTGGGTCGCAAGAGATCCCGGACCCTCTCGCAATAAATCTCCAGGTAGCTAGATGTAAAGATGACACAGATCAATTGATAAATGTGTAAAACTATACATGAACTTTTGATAGGAATGCCAGCAGATTTCCATACCTGGGAACTTTTTCGGCAGGGAACTTCGGTCTCAGGATGACCCAAATGTTTAAATCAGTGACCACTGGGGCACATGATCCCAAGACAAAATCATAAAGATTCCTAAGAGTTTGTCCAGCCCCTGTCCAGGTTTATAGTGGTGGCTTACAGCCTCTGAGTTACGCTGTCTTCTTGACCATCGTTTGCATGCACCCTGAATCCAAGGGCGGATCCAGAACACAATTTTTGGTCCCCCAAAAAAGTGGATTCAAATTTTGGATTCTAGATGCTCTGTGGTGCGATCTGAGGCAATTTCTGACCACTTTAACCAATGTTTTTTTGAGGAAAAGATGGTGGTGTACTCATTGCCTGCCTTTATTGCGATGTCACATAAAAAAAAAAAAATTGGTTTCGTTTGGGGGGGGGGGGCCATGGCCCCCTTTGCCTCCCCCACCCACTTGCCTGAATCTCAGTCCAGGGTGTCTTTTGGTATCGCAATGCGGTTCCCAGGCGATTCAATATACATGTACATGTAACTCAAACTCAGGAGTATAGGCCTTTTCACACTACTGTCACACCTACGGTACCCATGTAGAAATCAACTCGGCTCACCATAAGCAGAACTTGGTCTGATTGACGGGTCACTAAGGCATACTGAAACTTCACATTTACGACAGTTTGTACACCGGTCAGGCAGGGAATCTGGATTTTCTACCTTAAGTTAACATGTTTCAGATCTACATGTAAATACCAACAAAGATGAACCTATATAATTGGTAAAACATTAGCCTTGAAATGCAGGAGATCTGTGGATTGATTCTGACCGAGTCGGTTCAAATTCACGCACACCATACAATTATAAAATTAATGCATGTGTTGACTCTATATGAATGTGAAATTGTACATGTATCAAAATCTGGGTTTCACTTTCAAACGTGTCAAAATTAGATGTAGATTAAGCACTGTTGGAAGCCAATGCTGCATCACTGCATTAGAAATTAAAAACTTGATGAAATGCCAGAACCAACTGTGTCATGTCTACAAATGTTGCTTCAATAAAAACCAAAATTGACTATTGCTTGCTCACTTGTCCCATTTTGTCATTTCATCCTCTGTTAATCTATGACTTTACACCATTTATTGCGCAACTGAAATCATATACATGTAAATGCAGTCGTGCTTTTAAAGTGAAAGCATGTGACTCTCAAAATCCACAACAGCAGGAACCAAGGTCATCACAAATCAATGGCACGTGACTTTCTGCCATCTGTATTATTTCTCTGCAACCGCTTGTTGTTTTTAAGGCCATACATGTACATGTTATTTGTGGGATGTGGCGAAGTGGTTATAGGGTTCGTGACTCATGATCCGACGGTCAGAGGTTTGAATCCAGCTGCTGGCCATTTGTTGTGTCCTTGGGCAAGCCACTTTACCCCACTTGCCTCTATCCACCCAAGAGTATAAACGGGTACCAGCATTAGCTGGGGAGATAAATGCTGACCTGATGGGAAATATTGGCTCGTGACAGACTGTATTTTTATGGACTGTTTTTACACAAACTGTACCATGTACAGTGCATACTGTGTGCATTTTATCATGCCATTGGTACAAGTGGGCGGTGAAAATCAGTATTCACTTGTATAATTTTTGTAAAGGATTTTCTGAACCGTTGTAACTGAATTGCAAATTTTGGCATGGAGTGCATGGCTAGTCTCCATTAAATGTCTGTAGGATCATTTGCAATTGCCCAGAAATTTGCACTTGGAATTATCAAGAAAAACCTCACTTAAGAGCAAAAGAGTGGACCTGTTTTACCAAATACTGAGGGAAATTGTACCGTCTAGAAAGTTGCCACGAAAAATAATATTTGCAGGTATGTCTGCAGAAATATACTTTATGAATGGTGTTGCATTTTCTGTGACTCTGCTGAGTTTACTGCAAATAATAATAATAATAATATCGGGGTCTTATATACCGCACGTATCTACCAACAATTAGGTACTCAAGGCGCTGGAAATTATGTCTATTATTAAAGACAGGTAAATGAAGTTGATGAGAAATATGAGACCCATTATGTAGCACCTTATAAGGGTTTACAAGGTGCTGCGGCGCATATTGCAGCCACTGCCAGAGAGGATACTGACTTCACAGGAGATAACGCCAACTTTGTATGTCTACGCAAAAACTATATGTATTTCTCTTAATTTTCGTTTAACGGGATCGAGATTTGTGTTTCTGTTTACTGGACCTCGGAATAAAATTTCCAAACCTTGAAATTCGTAAGTCTACAGATTGAACATGTGTATAGAATGAGCTACATGTGCAGGTATATTTCGAGAGTTATTTTTAAACTCCATATATTTTGTAATCTGCTGCTTTTCACAGCTACTTTTTTACATGCATTTTGCATTATTGCTGCAGTACTGTCTGTATTTTGTTTGATTGTCAACTAAATACTAATGATAATAATAAAGGAATAAATATATGCTTGGCCAGTTTTAAACAAAGACATTTAAAACTGGTTAAGGGGCTGGACGTGGATAATGGCCGAGCCAAAGGCGAGGGACATTATTGGTGACCAGGCTCCAAGCCGGTTTTAAATGTACTTGTTTGCTACCGGTCAAGCAAATATTTAATCCCATTCATAAATACCTTTCGGTCAGAAAGTCAAAGCGAGTCAGAAATTCACAATTTTCTAAGCATTTTGTTTGACAATTTTACTTCATGTTTTGTAAAACGCCACTCAGGTTTATGGTATGTGCCTCGCGCGAGTCGTACTAAAAATGTCCTTTTATGGATATTGGTGAGCGCATTGCGCGTACTGCGCGTGTGTGGCGCAGAACCCAGGGGTGCCAGTGTAGTGTGAATTTCGGACTCTATGAAGTACGGACTCATTGGTAGTATTGCGCACGCTTACGTGAAGTTAATTAGGAGAGTGACTGGTCACGTGTGGGGGTTCAACAAATAAAAGGGTAAAGGGACCAGATTTCATAGGAGTCCAAATTTCATGTGACACCGGAAAAATGTGTTTAAAACCAGTCTGTGTTATCAAACCATTTAAATCCACTCACGTGACAGGCTCTCGACCAATAGGAATGGGTGAACTGTCTTAGGTATTTATGAATGATGGTTTAAAGGAGTTTTGATCAGAATAATACCTGACTTCAGTTCTGAAGGACACACCATAGTCATCGTCTTTCTTAATCCTACTGAACAGACCCTGCAAAAATAAAAAGACAAAAGCTTTTTATTGAATCAACGTGCTCCAACAAAGAGGTCATAACACACAACAAAACTACAATAACTTGAAGCAAGGAATTGGCGGGAGCGGGGTTTGTACCTCCGACCTTTGGATTAATATACCGGCACTCTACCAACTGAGGTATCTAGCCCTATGTTGGCAGTCCCCAATTTGCCAATGTTTATTGTTCAATGATGCTAGTCAGAAGCCATAAACCTGTCAATTTCTTTGTTCAATTTTATAATTAAAACAATCCTCCTTAGTTTCTTGATTTAATCACAGAATATCCTTCTTTTTTTTCTTCATTTTTTTTTCTTATGGTGAACTTCATACATGTATATCAGTGTTCTCCAACTTTGAAAATTAAAGGTCGGTGCGCCGTCCAAAAAACGGAGGGGGGGGGGGCGCTATAATTATGTTAGGGGCGCTATTTGAAGCCATACATTTCTTTATGCTAGGGGGCGCTATTTGCAGATGAACATGTAATTTATGTACGGATAACAGCTTTTAAGCCATTTCTAACACAGTAACACTACTAATTAAGTACAATACTGGCTCAGCATCATCTTTTTTAACACATCAGTGACCAGGGACTCTGAGGCAGTTTGGCCTTGAGACTTTTGACCTGGGCCCAATTTCATAGCGCTGCTTAACAGCCGACTTTGTGCTTACCGAGCGTCCATCTATTTCATAGGGACCGTTAAGCAGTAAGCACAGCAAAAGCACGCTTAACCCCAGAAGAAAACTTTGCTTAAATCAGTGATGTAACAATAAAAATCACCATGTGCGCGCAATGAAATAGTGCTTAAGCAGCAGCATGATTTTCTGCTATATTAAGCACAACTTTTCTGCTTACTGTTAAGCAGCGCTATGAAATTGGGCCCTGATTGATTGCTACAATGGACAGACTTGTCAGTTTGACAAACGTTCCATGTTACTACTTTTGGCAGAGTTTCTGGCCAAAATATACCCTGGAGGGTAAGGGTAGTCCCATTGTTTTTCTTTTTTTTTTTCCTTTTTTTTAAGCATGGCGGGCAACTTTTGAAGCTTGGCGGCAGCTTTTGAAGCTTGGCGGGTGCCTCAGAAAGCTTTGCGGGGCACCAGGTTATATTTACAGGCTGGAGAACACTGACCTGTTTTCATTTTAAAAATCAACATAGAGAAAGATTCATGCTCTCCAAATTGTTATTCCTACCCTTACATTGTACAGATCATGATGGTAGTGACTGCATGACTGTTGATGAGGTCACAAGTCACGCTTGACTGGTTTCATAATTCCAGATGAGTAACACAACCAGAGCACAATTTAATGGAGCGGCAAAGCACGAAATCTTGCTAAGTCAAATAATGATTTATGCACTTATTTTGAAAAAAAATATAAATCAGCTTGATTTAAATAACATATGGACTTGTAATTTGTGTTTGCTTAATACCGGTAAATATATCCCATACTTTGCAATTTTTTGTGATTATTATTTAAATCAGGCTTCCAGTGGTAAACATAAATCAGTGTATTTCGATTAGCAAAGAATTTGACAAAATGTGAGAACTAGAGACTCTGAAAAACCTGGAAAGCAACATTGCAATAGTCGAATAGCTCGTTCAATCTATTCTTGTATCCCCCTCAAAGCCATCCAATATTATATAGTTACTCACACCAGGACAGTCACAAAGCAAGATATTCAAGGCTTTAAATGAATGATGGTGGTATACTACATTAACGGGCTGGCATAAACAATGACATCATATGTGACCAGCTCCACAAAGAAGGGTACTATGTCGCAAAAAAAGTGAAATTAAATACATGGTTGGAAAGCCCACATTGTAAGCTTTCACTTGGTATATAGCAGAGCTCCATAGCCCCTCCTGTTCTGGAGATATGATGTATTTGCATATTAATTACTTCCTTGGAGTCCTAATTACACAACTGAGAAAACAGGCTTTAAAATAGCTGGCTTTGTTGTAGAACAACAGAACGATGAACACAAAATGGTTGTTTTTCCACTTTGTTCATCAAAATCAACATTTCTGTGAATGAAACCTGAAACTATAGGTATTAAAGATGACATTCACGACAAAAAATGAAAATAAATTTTGATGAAATTTTCACCCTCTCAATGTTGAGCAGGCCATTACACAATAATGCTCAGCGCAACTTAATACCCTTTTTTGTGGAGCCGGTCACATATAGCCTAAATGTATGTGTTTGGTACACATATTTGTCTTTGTGTGTTGGTTTTTTTTAATTGTCTAGGAAGAAATGACGTCTTACAAGTAACATTGCTTTATAAATGTGAGGGGGCTACACACACGAACCCATGCCTATTAATTTATTGGTGTGTTAGCAAATAATACATGCACATGTTTCATATTCCTCCATGGTCATTACAGAGGGTGCATGGTACATTTACATATTGTTCAGACATGCATGCACTACGTATGTTTCTCGTCAATGACAATGATACATGTAATGCAGTCCAAAGTACAACTGTTTAAATCCTCCTAAAACATGGACCCATCTGGCAAATTTATTCCTTTATCTAGTCTTCATGCCTTTTCCAAATAACTCTACTAAATGTTGCCCATTAAAATATATACATGAGACATTTCTATAAATTGAGGGTCCAAAGTGTGACATTTTTCCTGTCCCTGTTACCTTGGTACTTGGTAATTTGCAATTCTAGTATCATTAAGAATGACTTCAAACAATTCTTTATTTGTTGGGTAGGTAGTTTGCTATTCATAATCACTCTTGGAGGACGACTGCTTTCATCAGAATTATAAAGTCATATAGATTTCAGATGTAGTAGGGACAGAAAAAACGGGGACCCTAAATTTCTATAATGACCAACATCTACATACATGTACATGAATTATCGTGCCGTAAAAATATGGCCTATGAGTAAAGTACAAATGATGAGTTCACTTTATAAAGCTTTCAAGATGAAAATTCAAAACCAACCACATCAAACTGTTACCTGTTCTCAAAAACATCTATGAATGCTTCATGATCATTAAAAATACATCACAGTAAGATGACTCATGAAACATGTAATTGTCTAACTGCTGTTTTTTTGTTGCTGGCCACGTGGAAAACTAATTACTGTTTATCACATCATTAATAACCTTTCCCAGTTTAACCCTAAAGGGGCCGGGTTATTTTGACCATCTCTCAGCCGGGGGGGGGGGGGGGGGGGATTCCGCCCCCCCCCCCTAAGATCTCGGCTATCGAGTGACGAAAAATTTTGAAACTTTGCACATGCATAGAGCAACTCTTCCTAAACATACCCAAGAAATTTCATGACTATAGGTCAAAGGGTTTTGGAATTATGGCTAATTAATTATTCATATGTACGAATGGCAATTCTGCTCTGTGTACACGACGTATATGGGAAAATTCAGTTTTCACGGCGCATAGCGCCGGAAAATTTTTCGCTACCCGGCAACCCGTGGTCCGATTTTTATGTTTTTGGTATCAAAAGATGCGCAAAGCTCGAGGCTAAAAAGTCATAACAGCTCGGGTCGCGAAAAAAATTTTTTTAGAGGCTATCACGGAAAATGTTGGGGGGGGGGCGGATTCCGCCCCCCCCCCCCCCCCCGGCCCTTTTAGGGTTAAGGGAAGGAAACCATTTCTTTCCCAATCTTTTCCTGTAATCATCAGTGTATCAAACATAAAAGGTAAAGTATACATGTGTAAGACTCATGCATTGTGTACTACCAGCTCCCCCCCCCCCCCCAATAATTCCATTTCCTATAGTTCCGTCCAAATAAGAATACATTATTTTGATCATATAATATTTCTTTGACTTGCAACTCGTCAACTTTTCACCGATTTTGGAGTGATTCCTGCTAAACGTATCACAAAAGCCACTCTTGGGGATGATACACACCAGGGTGACCGTAAGGTAATGGCCAAATTCTGCTAAATGCACTTCAAAAATCTGTCAGACTAATCAAAAATCTGCCAAATTCCCCAGAATTACTTGAAATACACTATAAACACCTAAAATCATGGTTATACCAGTTTTACAATATATAAACAATCTCTAGTCACATAAAGATGTTATGAATTTGCGTAAATTTCAGGCGAAACGCGGTTGTGTCACCCAGTGAACCTTCGCACCTAGATCAGCCAACCTGTCCCATTATGCAAGGGTTTGTTTCAAAACATTGAGCTCTTTTTTAAACAAATGTACCATTTAAAATTCCATGTTTTTCTGTCCGAATAACCATTTTGCAGAAATCTGCCAAAAAAATCCATTCTGCCAAATTTTCTGTCAACTTTTTTTTTTTTAACAAAAATTCTGTCAAAGTTAGCCGAAAATCGGCTAAAACGGTCACCGTGATATACACTCAATGCTAAATGCATCATAACAGTCAAACCAGTAATTAAAAAATTATATTTTAACATTAAATATAGAGCATACCAGAAGTTTTGAAAGCATCCCACGGATTCTCAACTTAAGGCATTTACAGCCTGTCCCCCCAAAAAAATGCTGCAAGCAGAAACGGGTTCTGTGTCCTTGGAATATTGAAAAATATTTCATGATGCTGAAATAATGTTAAACCTGGGATATTCAGCTTTCAAATACCATTTGTTTTATCAATTTTGCTTTTGCCAAACCAGTGATATGGTCCGTTGAACACAAACACTCAAAAATCCATTTCTGCCACTTTCTACATTGTTAGGCCTAATAATGACAGGACAAGACATGGCACCTGTTCAAGCCCGACTGTAACTGAGGTTTGCTAAGTTTCCAGAAGATATGTTTTTATTATGATGATTTGGAGAGTGTGTCACAAATAATGAAAAGAACATTATAATATGAATAACAAAAGCGTTTCTTCACCAATTCATTACTAATTGTTTTTCTGCGTGATCATACATGTGCATAATACTGGCAATACTGCTGTTTATAGTATCAACTTACGGAAAGTGGCACAAATCGATTTTTGAGTGTTTTGTGTTCAACGGACCATATCTCTGTTTTGGCAAAAGCAAAATTGATCAAACAAATAGCATTTGAAAGCTGAATATCCCAGGTTTAACATTATATAGACCTAAGCATCATGAAACATTTTTCAATATTCCAAGGACACAGAGCCCGTTTCTGCTTGCAGCATTTATTTTTGGGGGACAGGCTGTATTGGATCATTTACATTTATCCAAAAAGTGAATTATTATCAAAAAGCTTATTTGAATTAAAGATCACACTGGTACTTAACACCCTGTGAAATTGTTCCATCTGGCTTGCTGTCATTTAGAAGAAATCAAGAACTGTAGGTGATTTCAGATGATCAGTCGATTAACTGATCGTTGTAAATAAAGAGTTTTAATAAGGAAATAGTGTTTCACAATCAAACGGTTGTAGGCCTACATGGTTTTTCACTGTTTTCTCAAAAAGTGTAGTATCCACTGAGCTGAAACTTTAACAGGTAGGTTCTGAACATTCTTCATTAGATTTTGAGTGGTGTTATTATTGGAAAAGAACAAAATGATCCTAGAAATGCCCTTAAGATTTGAAAGACTGTACATTTAGCTTAACAGGTAATCGGAAGAAGTGAATTAAAAAAAATAAAAAATTTCGAACAATTTCGCAACTACCACCCACACAAATTCAACTCCTACAGGTTTTATACACGGGTGTGCAATGCATGACGACACATCAGACAATAAGAAGAATTTGGTCCTAACAAAAAATACCCAAATACTGATAAAGTAAAATCTCAAGCGTGGCAGGGACTGACATCCAGAGTAAAATTCCCCTGCCCCTTCTTTGTTACAAAAAATATCCAAAGAAATAAGCCACCAAAAAAAAATGGTATCTATCATAAACATATATTTATAAGTCCTGTCTAATGTTGGACACAGTTTGTGTAAATGCGCGAGGCACTCACGTGAATTTATCGAGCACCGTGTTGAAACTAAAACTGAAACCAAGTTAAAACCTGTTGACTGCTTGATGAATACATGTACTTGCGTGTTCATTACGTTCTTCATTTGTTTGCAAATATAAACAACTTTAATAAACTGAAATGAAAGTGAAAGAATTCTCTGCGCTCACTTACCTCACATATTCTCGGTATTAATCCCTTGCATGACTATGGAGATAACAAAAACAAAGAAAATGATCACGTTACTGCAGAGAAATTGGAAGTGAAACATTTGCCTTGAACTCCATGAAATGAATACTCAATCCTAACGCCCTGGTAGTTTCCCAGGACTACCCTGCTAAATCCAACAGTCTGACGGTTATTAATTATGAATTTCCTGCTCAATCCAACACAGTCCTAGCCCCATAAATGTGGCCAATTTACTGGACTACCTCTGTCAATAAAGGCCACACTTCCACCATGTACAAAAAAAAGTCAAACTTTGTCAAATTTTAATTTTCACATTTACAAATGTAGGCTTAGTTTGTAGTTTATTTTTGCTTTCGAAGCATACTCACCCTCTTTATAGGCTAATCAGAAAGTGCTGCCTTTTTCAGATGTCTAATGTTCGTGAAATTTCCAGATTCGTTTGCACACATTTGCGTATCAAAATTTCAACATGAAATTTCACGAAAATTAGACATCTGAAAAAGGCAGCACTTTCTGATTAGCCTATAAAGAGGGTCAGTATGCTTCTAAAGCAAAAATAAACTACAAACTAAGCCTAAATGTGAAAATCGAAATTTGACAAAGTTCGACACGTTTTTGTACATGGTGGAAATGTGGCTTTATTTACGGAGGTAGTCCAGTATGGGCTAACACAGTCCCACACAATCCAACTTGCCAAGTTGTGTTGTACCTGAACTAAATCCAACAGAATTCGACTGTGCCTTATTTTTCAGTTGCCTGCCGGATCCAACAAAGACAGGAACAGATACAACAGGTTTACAGCTTAATCCGAAGGCCCCAACAGATGTGTATGTAAAATAGTTGGATCCTGTTGGATTGAGCAGGGTTAGGGTTAAAACTGATAAATTTATTGATTGGACCCACCAAAACTTGCAACACTTGATGAAGTTCAAAAAGCAAACATTGTGACAGCCAATCCCGCTGCCAATTAATAAATGGTTCTCCCCTGTCATAATAATCCTGTGACTTTTACTCTTAATCTTATCACAACCAATCCCACAGTGATTGTGTGAAGAAAAAATAATTCCTTCTTCATTCATGATTTCATAAATTATGATTAGGAAATTTTACATGCACATTTGATTACCACAACATTCTTCAGTGTGTTGGTTCTTACTGATCACAGAGCAAGACAATATTAGTTGTCCCGCGAGCGTGAGTGGAACACGGAATAATGTAGTGCGCCTGTGTCCCACATACCACGAGGCCGACGGCCGAGTGGTATGTGGGACACAGGCGCACTACATTTTCTGTGTTACACAAGGGCGAGCGCAATAACAAATTTATCTTCAAGCAAACTTGACGCACAGTAAAGTTGGAACTATCACGCTTTAAGTTTTTGTGGTTTAGCACATGCAGCTGGAATGTCGCTCACATCTTGGAATAGCTCAATACGCGGGGTGCTATATGGATCGTGCGATACGGTATAATATCACACTGTTGTTGCCATGGATTGACCAATCAGGATCGAGGATGCAAGTTTGCTTGAAGATAAGTTGCCATAATTAACTCTATGTTCACAGACAAACAATTATACAAACGTTCTATACAGTATCTTTTCGGGTTGTTTAAGCTACCAGTAAGAGTCCTAAAAGTTAGTCAAGAATGTCTACATATATACAGGGAATACGGGTTTTTTTGCCTTCTCGCCAAGTAATAATACACATTTTTCAATTAAGTGATCTTGCAGGGAATAAATAGCACATATATTTATGCGTAAATGATGATCATTTTTGACAATAGAATATCCATTTTTTTTTTAAATGGAGCATCCAAAATTTCCAACTTCATCTTGGATAGTGATGTCTGGTTGGCAAAGAAAACAAAGAGACAGAGAATTTCTTGCATGTGTGTTCACAACGTGAGCTGTTCATTACCAGTAGTTCTCAAACTCTTGCCAAATATTTCAGTGTCTGTGTGAATGCGGCTATTATTCAGTGGAAACCTTAAACCTTCTGTCAATCTCATATTTTATTTTTTTTTTAAATACAAGTGCTTTTGGCCGGCCCACCCCAAAAATTACAACAAAAAAAGACACTCGATAAAACCTGGACCGCAGTGATCTGCCATATCCTAAAATGGTATCTGCAGAGGTACAGATTATACAGGTATCCTGTCGACCACATACATGTACAGTGGTGTTACTGTGAGCATGCTGTGAGACACTAGTCCATCTGTCTATCAAAGGTTTACGACCTCAGGGCGACCACAAATTTAATTACAAGTGCTTTGCCCCCAAAATAGGATTTCAACCTGGTCTCAATCTATCTTGTCTGTGGTACGTGACCAGAATATTGAATTTAGGGTTTTCTATGGTACATGTACATGTAGATGCATGTACATTGTATCATAGAGCAAGGCTTGCTCTATGATTGTTTGGACAGTGCATAATCCACAGACAATCAAAATCTCCATTGACAGTAAATTACTTGATTTCAGATTCAGTCCTTGTTTGAGAAGACAATCTGAACATACATGTACCATGGAGGATTCCTTCCTCCATGCATGTACACACAACTGTCTGAAATGTTGAAATCAAGCCAGCTTGTCTTTCCTTAGCATACATGTAAATGTAAACCTCAACTGTATCATGGCATGGCCTGGGTCAATACAACACAAGTTGATTATTAGAATAGTTGTTCAAACTGAAGATTGCAGATAAAGGGCTCTGTGCACGAACAGTAGATGCTTTGTGAACACTTTCGAGAACCCCATGCTAGGGGCACACCATGTTCACATACTGGTTTGTGCACCTACGGCAAGAATGCATAACTCGTTTACTTTGAAAGTACACAAACCCGTAGCGTTTTCAAGTAAGCATCAGGCCCGGTCATTAATTCCTTTGAATGTCCCTCCCAGTGGTCTCCCCCAACTCTCCCTTTGTACCCGTTGAGGGGGTACTGAGACCATTTTGATCAAAAGTTCAAGTTTGCCAAATGATTCATCTCAGAACCACCAAGAGCTGTTTTTAGGATTGGCCACTTTACATAGTGTGTCAACTTGCTTCTCCCAAGTTGTGCTCTTTGGCGTGCAAAGCCTTCACTCGCACGCCTGATCATTGATTTTAAAATGCATTCAGTGGTGGGAGTTTTCACACTCTAAAATGAAGTTTAAAGAAAAGGCTGTCAAAAATCTGTGAAAAATTACTTCATTTTTAAGCTGTGAAAAGATTTAGAGAGCCTAGAAGGCAAAATGTGGTATGAATACATGATGCATGGTTGTTTCCAAATCACATGAATCTATATGGAAAGTGGCTACAACCAATAGCCAGTGGCTTCCATATACTGTAGGTGCACTGATTATTCCTGGCCGTAGCCAAGTGATTCGGACCCATAGAGCTATATCAAATTACTAGAGCGCTAACTCCACATTCTGCGCGCGGAGACGCTTTAAAGCTGCTCTGGGCACAGACATTTTGAATTCATGTGCGTGTTTGTAGAACATAATGAAATTAGATGGATTGAATTTTGAAAGTGTACTCTACATGCAACGCGCAAGTAGAACATACGCAAACAACTTAAGCGTGTCAGTGACGGTTCAAAAAACGTGACGGCAAAAAGCATCTGCAGCGAATACGCACACGCGTTGCGCTGTTTGCGTAGAGCAAAATGGCACGCTCATTTGCTGATCGTGCGTTTCGGTTTTGGGCGTATTGGCTTCGATAACGCACCGGTATGGAATACAAACGCAGATATGCAAATAGCCGTACAAAAGCCGTACAAAATGTCTAGGTCTCCATAGGTTTGTGCACAAACATGGATGCGCCCAGCAGGCATTACTTTGTACACGAAGTTAGCACTCTAGTAATTTAATATAGCTCTATGTTCGGACCCAGCTTTACACATACCTCTTATTATAAGCAGTTTCACGGTAATAAGCGCCATCTTGTTCATGACAGAAAAGAACATGCGTTGCTAGACGCGGGCGAATTTTGAAATGAACGCATGATGACTTGGAAGCTCAAAACTTTTTGATCGACGATGCATACACAGCAACGCGCGTAAATCTGCAAGATGGCGCACATTACCATGAAAGCACTTATTCTGATATCACTTTGCCTTTGAGAAATATTCTGCTATAAAACTTAAAGCGTCAGGCCTTCTTCTTAGACTTTTAACTTTTATTCCTTGTCTTATTTCAGGTCACTCAGGTCACTTTCAAATGGCATTCAATTTCCTCTGAAGGTCAACTTACTGGTTCTCCCATCATGGTGTAGGATTTGCCCGAGCCTGTCTGACCATAAGCGAAGATACAGGCATTGTAACCCTCAAAAGCTGACTTGAGAACATCCTGTCCCAGATCACTGAAGACCTGATGAACAAAAAAAAATGCATAGATTGGAAGAGAAAGTTTCAGAATTCGTTGATGAAAGTCCAGACTGGGACCTTGAGTGCAGAAAAACATGCAAAATAACATCAGGCCAACTCTACTCAATCTTTAGCTGACAAAGTGTTTATAAAATTGTCATGAGTCAAAGAGATGGTATACAAATATTGAATGCTTCGAGTGGTGTAGTAAAACTAGCCTACCGAGGTGATCCATGGACATTCTATTTCCCCGAGGCAAAGCCGAGGGAAAATAGAATGGTCCATGGATCATTGAGGGAGGCTAGTTTTACTTCACCACGAGATAAAGCATTCAATATTTGTTTTATAACACTTCACCCACAGATTCTGCTTGATTTTAATATTTTAAATTATTTAAATCTAAACACAGTTGAAATAAACTTCAATTTCAATACAAAATTGGTGGAAAATGTATTTCTCTCTTCCAAACTACCCCTTCACGAAATGTATGAACCTAAGTCTGCGGCGCGCTGTCTTTGGAACAATACGCGCTACACGCAACGCGCACATCAGCATCCATTAGCACACAAATACCGCGCAGTGGAAATACTACTTTGGTTGCTAATGGACGTGACGTGATGTGATGACTACATGTCTGTGTAGAAATATAAACTATGTACCAATACCAGATGTTTCTTTTGACACATTTGACTGATGCAGTAGTAAAGGGTTGTTGGACTGATTGTGTCACGCGCCAGTCTATTTTGTTGAGTTGCATGTTTTGGACTCTCATACACAGTATTGCGAGTCCCAATTGTTATCGCCCTGTATACATTTGAAATGTATACAATGTACACGTACACATACACAAATGTACATAATTCATGTGCAACAAGAGTTCCATTGTTATGTCACTTTGGTAATTCCTTTACAATTACAATTGTACATGGTAGATACTTGAACTAAATATCTAGTTCGGTTAAAAATTAAAGCAAATAATCAAACAGACATACTGCAAAAAGACTGCGCATGATTGCATTGAAGTTAACCATGTTTGCATTGAATTATCAACAGCAAATAGTCCAATGATATCAAGTAACCTTCGTACTTTGAAACACCGCCTTGCAGACTTGATTGTGGTGTTCATAGTGAAACCATGTCCCAATTCAAACAGTTAAGTTTTAACATTACTGACAAATTTAGAGTAGGCTACTTTTGCACATACATGTAAATCATTCATTTCATTTAAAAACAGTCAGGTTGCTGTGTTGTTTATATCAATATGGATGCCTTGTGTACAATTTTAATCGTTTTTTTTTTCATCAAGTCACATCAAACATGCATACATAAAGACAACAATAAAATGTTTTGAAAGGCACGTAGCGATTCAGTGTGCAAATACATGTATGTAAGTGTACAGGTACACCCTCGGGTGAAAATGTGAAATGGCCTATACAGTAACAAACAAAAAACAAAAAAATGCCGGGACTACTGTTTTAGTGAAGTTCTGCATGTAGCACTTTCAAAATCTAGGATATGAAAGCCCAATTCATAAGCTTTCTTTCAACTGGTACAAGAATCATTCAAATCACTCACTGATATACTTTTCAAGTTACGAAATTTTAAACACACGGTTTTTAAAGTTCTGTCCACGGATCGCAAAAAAAAGGGGTGCGTTCTTTCGGGAAAACGAAAACAATTCACACACATCCCAATGTGATTTGTTTTTGTTTTGCTGAAAGAACACTTCAACCCAAACCCCTTCTCCCCCCCCAAAAAAAAAAATAAGTGAGGTGACTTACCCTTTCTTGAGATGCAAACTGTGGGTCGGATGGATTGACTGACCAATAGGAATAGTCGTAGGTGAATGTTTTGACTCGCTCTCGTCCTAGTCCCACCTCTCCCTCCCCAGAATGGGCTGGTATCTGCAGATAAAAAGGGGAAGGAGGTTGAATGAGTTGTGTGTAATTGTAAACAAAAAATATGTTAATGTTTGGGGGGTTTTTAACTTAGTCTCGAACCATTTTCTGCAACCATGCACAGCCCTATCTGGTTTAAACCTTGTGTTTATGACTGCTCCATTAAAACAAATTATTCCCTTATTACACTTGCAAGGTTTTTAGGAAAAAAAATCTCAAAAAAATATTTTAAGTGGGACCACTAGGAAATAAAACACACAAAAACACTTTCAGAAAAGCAGTGGTACATGCAGGAGGATCTCAATCCCTTGTTTTGCAAATTGTGTCACAAATCTAAACGCTTGTTCTTTCACAGATTGTTGTACAGAGCGTGTTCTTACAATAAAATGTCTTAAACAAAAGGCATAGTAGTTAGGTGTATATGTAACACATTTTGGATTAATTTTCAATGCGTGGATAATCTAACTGTGAGGAGTAATCTTCATTCGTCATTCTGGCCCAAAATTTATGTAAATCAGACACATTACCCCCCTCCCCTTCCATGCTATAGGTAGACCAGTTCTCTTAGCATTTCAAATCAGCCTGGTTTACAATTTATGATTCTTATGTAGTGCACCATCTAGCATTTGCTTTAGAATATCTTCAATACAAGGCATACAGGTATTATGATGTAATGCATCAAATACACAATATTGAGAATTCCAAATTTTTGGTCTACAATTCTCCTAATTTTTTACTGCAGTGCCACCAAAACACAAAGTTCTGCATACATTTGGAAGTCTCATTAATCAACTCAATGATACTCACACCCAAAAAAAAACCCTTCATGTATGTATGACCAAAAAAAGAGTTACTTAGTGCAATAGCACTTTACATGCAGAAACACATTTTTGTCTCCCATTTTTTTGAAAAAAATGACCTGTCGTTAATTATTAAAATTAATTTGCACAGACTGCATTGTGATTTTTACTCAAATTGAAAATTCCCGCATCAGAAAAATGTTGACACTAAACAAAAATGTTTTGCTGAGATAACAGCATAACTGGACAAAGTTTTGGTGAATTGAAAACAAAAAAATATGGTAGGCCTAATAGTTATTTCGGGAGGATTCGACTCGGAACTTACTTGCAATCTTCCAATACCAAGGGGAGCTAATATAAACTATCTACCCTCAAACATTTGGAATGTATACATGTACTCATTTACTGGGCAAGCTCTTCACTTCCATCCCCATTAACTCAAGTACTTCTTTTGGCCAAAAAGCTATCAGATATGAGAAACCCAAGCTATGGAACTCTCTGAGTGATTTATTAAGAAATTGTACAAATCTCTCAACTTTTAAGCGTATCTATCTTATTGAATGGTTATTGTTGATTTATGTCATTAGTTATTTTACTCTCTACAAAATACCCATGCTGGCTTACATATGTACATGTATGTAAGGTCCCTTGTCTGTCCTTACTAGTATTATTGTATGCAACCTTTTCACAAATGCAGCATTTGCTTCGAGTTATATTGTTATCACTTGGTGTTTAATAAGCACTGTATAAATATTCCTTTTTACCGGTAGGTCAAAGGTATTAGGGGCCCACTTTTACAAGTTACACTTTTTATGGGCCTCTCTACCGTTTTCACTTCTCTGAAAAACATGTAAAAATTTGTAAATATTGTAATACTTTGATATATTTATTTGTGAACATATGGGTAGTACATAGAACTGCACTCGCTATTCCTTCCTCCATAGTTGTACCGGTAGGAAGCAGGAAGTGCAACCTGAACTTGTTTTTTTTGGATGACATTTCCCCACTGAAACAACAATTCACCCATCATGCCTAATTGTCAAGGATATTCTTCTTCTTCTTTTTTAATAGTGCGCATTGTACAATGTATGTTGTTGAGAGTTTGTCTGTCTCTTTCGGTTTTTGTTTGTTTTCTTTCCCCTTAATGCAGAGTTTCGATCCCCTACAGTGCTAGGGCTGTGCCGAATTTACCAAATATTAGAAAATTTGGTCAATCATCAACCAAATATCCAGATAGCAGTTTTTTTTATTCAACTATTAACATAAGTGTGAGTTCTATTGTTTGTCAAGTGCCACACTTTTGTTGAAAGCCACTTTACGTCATGATTTGAGATCTTCCATGAGTAGTATCAGCTCAAGTTTCCTTCTTTAAGAGCTGTTAAATATCTGTTCCACTACCTTGACAAAATACTTCAATATACCCGTAAAAAATTCCTTAACTCTTTCAGTGCCCGCGAAATTTGAAAAGTTTAACCCTAAAGCGCCCAACTTCGAGCGTTTTTGTTAATTGTTCAAAATTCTGTAAAAAAAAAAGTAAATAAGTTTTACTCACTAAATTTGTTGTTGTTACTCTCTGGTATATCCTTGATATATTTGAAAGTCAAAAGTAGTCACAAACATAGTGATACACCCTGAAACACTGGCCTGAACACAGGGAGATTCCGCACTTTTTGCAGAAAATACGAGATTTAGTGCTGCGCCCTCTCTCAAGAACTCGAATGAAAAAATAAATACAGGTCGTACATGCATGAAAATGGTACCATTAGAAAGAGCAAGAGCGCCCCCTTTTGATAACATATTTACTCTACCTCGTACATGTACGAGGTTTGGCAATTTTAAGTACGAACATTTACGAACATTACCTCGTACATGTACGAGGTTGGCGCTATTGGACTAACAAATATACCTCGTACATGTACGAGTTTGGCACTGAAAGAGTTAAATGGAATATACAACATTTGCAAACATCTAAAAATAAAACTACCAAGTTTTTATGAAATACCTTACTAGGATGTTGGTAAATAACAGTCTAAAGCATCCTGTAAACTTATGGCACCTGGTGTGAAGTCATTTTCAAGAAAATGGTATTTTTGTAAAAATTTCCAGCGGTGGTCGGCCGACCACCGTTGGGAAAACCTAACTATTTTTCAACTACTGCTCCAAATTCACCATTAATTCAGTCCAAATTTTGTTCGCTATTGGTTACATGTTCAATAACGAGTGCAGGCCAGCTAGACTGGTACCCTTACCTTACAATTTTCCGGCATCTGTAAATTGATCCATGTTATATTTAGTGGAGTCAGGGAACCAGACTACTTGAACAGTTTTGTTTTTCTTGGTTTTTCCAGCATTTTCGAACACAAAACTTCAAACATGTCAGTGTAACTATATTTGATCTGTTATACTAACCCCTCAAATAGTTCATTTCTGAAAATTACAGCAAAAGCCAATGATGTATATTCCCTTTAAGTTTTAGACAAGTGCAGGTGCAATCAAATCCCGATCAGTGACCAGTTTAGGCTAGTGCATGTAAAACTTGATCATTGAGTCCCCCCCCCAAAAAAAATTTAAATATTGGATCAAGTCCAAGTTAGAATAAATGAAACACTAATTTATTCGAAAATGTACTAAATTTAGTGCCAACACTTTACAAATTTATACTTAGAACACAATCCATATTTGTGGTCCATACATTGTATTTATATTCAAAAGCCTTTCAATTTTTGAGAAACTTAATTCTACACTGAATACATGACCAGTACTATAAAGTTGTTGGGAATGATTAATTCCAGCTTTTTTGGTCATCTTCCAGAGTCACTCAAAATTTTACGTTTTGAGAATTTTACTTTTGCAACAAAGAAACTTTTGTTCTGATTTTATGATGTGTTTTTATTAGCAAAAATAATAGGGCCTACCAGGTTTATTTTCTTTTTGATTTCCAAGAAGGGGTGTTTATTTACTGTGTACACATGTGGTCAATTTGTCCTAAGCTGTCAGCTACAAGTACTTGGTTCAATGCTAACTGTTGATCACTTCCCTTCAAAGTGTATCAGCTTATAACAATACATTATCCACTTCAAAAACAAAATAAACAATGGGGGTATTAACACCTGTTCAAGGTGACTTGTACATGTATACATGTAGTATGTAGTTCTAAACAGGCACACATCTGAACACGTATCTGCGCTGCAAACAAAGACCTATTTTCATTCCACCTTGACACAACATTGTACCATACATCTGGCAGTGGCAATCTGGCCCACACATAGGCCTTGGGCTTAGACAAGGTACACTGCATCAACTGATTTGTATACATACCTGTACACATGATCATATACATGTACATGATCATTATTAAGAGATCTAGGTCTCAGGCTTAAAGGGAACATACAACATTTGCAAAACATCGAAAAATAAAACTACCAAGTTTTTACGAAATACCTTACTAGGATGTTGGTAAATGACAGTCTTAAGAATCCTGTAAAATTATGGCACCTGGTGTGAAGTCATTTTTAAGAAAATGGTATTTTTGTGTACATTTCTAAATGGTGGTCGGCCGACCACCGTTGGAAAAACCTAACTATTTTTTCAACTACTGCTCCCAAATTTGCCATTTTTTCAGTCCAAATGTTGTTTGCTATTCGTTACATGTTCATGAACGGGTGCAGGCCAGCTAGACTGGTTCCCTTTCCTTACAATTTTCCGGCATCTATAAATTAATCTATTTCATCTTTAGTGGAGTCAGGGAACCAGACTACTTGAACATTTTTGTTGTTCTTGGTTTTTCCAGCATTTTGAACACAAAACTTCAAACATGTCAGTGTAACAATATCTGATCTATTATACTTACCCCTCAAATATTTCATTTCTGAAAATTACCGGTACAGCAAAAGCCAATGATGTACATTCCCTTTAATTAGTATACACAATAACATACTGTACTGGTCATTCTATAAATTTTGGTCCACTTTTTTCCTGCCCCTGTAACACCCGACATCTATGATTTTGTAAAAAATGCATTCCTTAATGCCTTTTCCCCCTAACTTAGCGTGATTATAATTTATATGTAAAGCAATCAACCTAACCATCAAAGGAGAATAGTTTGAACTCATTTTAAATGACAGGCCTACGTACTGGAGAGGCAAATTAAAAAGTTTAAAATGACCCACATGTGTAGTAAATTGGAATGGTCTATACCCCATGATTAAAAAAAAGGAAAACAAAACAATTTTTTTTTGCTTGTTAACATTCTCAACACTGGACCGTGCCATCATTAGACTGTACAGCTTCCTCATTATTGCGTGCTGATTCAGAAACCAGATGGTCTGGAAATTGTGATTGTCCCATGTAAGGCCAAGCAGGCATGCACAGATGCGCACGCAAAAATGAACAATAACAATTTTGTCCTAAAAACATGCATGTAGGTACATTGTACACGTACAATGTCATCAACAGAATGCAACATAAACAACCCTTAGCTTATATACAGTGTGTGCAGTATACAATAAAGCAACCGGACAAAGGCGTGTTGTGTGTCAAAGGTGTTGGTTCAAATTGAAGTTGATATATTTTTTCAGCACCTGGTAAACCATTTTGTCCATAAAAACTCTCTACAGGTAGTGTATGTGCTTGGCTGGTGTAAACATTATAAAATGAAGTACAATGCCATCTGTGTGTTACATGTCTAGCCATCCGATTTGGTTTTGGTGATCACTTAAAGGCACACGTGATCATTTTATCCCAAAAGTAAACTACCAAATTGTTATCAAAATGCTTCGTACTTCATACTGGTACTGGTACTAACACCCCCCTTGAAATTATTCTGTCTGCGTTGCTGTCACTTAAAAGAAACTCTACAATCGATCAGTTGGCTAGGTTTTTTTTATCGTGTTTTTGTGATCAAAAGGCTCTGCATGCTTTTTCATAGAGCAAGGAATTCACTGTTATCTCGAAAAGTGTAATATCCATTGAGCTGAAACTTTAACAGGTTAGGTTTTGAACCTGTAGTCTTCTTTGGATTTTGAGTGGTGTCATTATTGGCAACGAACAAAATGCATGAAAAGCAAATTTGATCTTTAGATATGCCTGTAAAACCATGGAGCTATATGGTAAAACTTTGGTCAGTCAGCAGTGTTACTAGGAGCTAAACAAACAGACAAACAACATTATATTTTATAGCTCCATGGTACAATACACTACCCTGGAACAAGGGGCTCTGGGCCGATTAAGCCTGATATTTGATAACACTACAGATTTATTCTTGTGACAATATAAGTTAATACTGTCTGTGGCATTCTTGTTTTCAAGTATCCAAACATTATTTCTTAGTTTGCATACATTCAGGGTTCAAAAGTCCAACTACTGTGTTAAACATTGTGAATTCATGTTTGAAAAAAAAAAAGTTGAACTTTAACACATGCAGGAAAATGAGGAAATAAAGAAATTGGGGGTTTTTTTGAAAGGAATTTGTATTGAAAATGAAGCAAATTTCAATAAGAAGGCCAATTAGCCATAGAAAATCTTTAACCCTGACCTACCCAATCCCATCAAAGTCCCCCCCCCCCCCATTTTGGTGCTTTTTGGGTGACTTGGTTCTGCAGGCCTGGTTTGACAAAATATTGATAGAGTTTGGCCTGGAGGCACTGAAGCAGTGCTAGGGGTATCTGATAGATTTTGCCTAGCATCCTGTACTGCCGTTGTCATAAGCCATGTGTCCCAAGTCCATCAATATCCACCAGTACTGTGGTGGATTCCATTACGTCATGTATTGGAAGCAGAGTGAGTGATGCATTTTGGTGGATTTGGTCAAGTACTTAGTAAACGACAGTAGGGAGTTAGTGAAAGTAAAGGATTTTTAATCAGACATTCAATAATAGTTTCAAAGTTATTGTTCAATTTCACATACATTTTCATTTTTTTGGTGTACATGTATGTATGTTTGTTTTTGTTTTAGTTTCTCTATTTAACAGCATTTATTAAAAACTCAAACTCTACGGTCTCAATGAAACAATAAGTTAGGGGAAATTACTGAATTGACTGGTGTCCTACAACTACCAATTAAGCCCGCCGCACACCTTTTTGATTTTACCGGTTCACTGGATCATTGTACAGAGATGTGCGCTGAAAATTCAGACCAATCTGACCGTACATGTATACCGGGCGGCCGTATGAAATCAAACATGTTTGTTTGGTTTTTTTCACACCTGATTTCACCGGATCCATGTCATCGGGAAGGTGTAAGGGTAGCACTTCAATTTCACCGGACACGATAAATACGTTAACCAATCAAATCATGAAGCAAGTCACATGATTAAAAACTGACGGCTGCCATTTTGTCATCATGTGACTGGTCATCATGTGACTAATCATGTGACCGATTACAGAACGGAATCAGGCATGTGTGCGGGTAGCGTTGCGGTCTAACCGCAACGGTGGAAAAACACGTAGTTCAGTGGGTGATCCGGTGAACAGGTAAAATCAAAAAGGTATGCGTCAGGCTTTACATTTTATAACTGAATATTGCTGTCAGTCTGTCAATCACTTACTTTTAAATTAGTTATGCTGGTCTTTTTTCCCTCTGTTGAAATAATGCAGGTGGATCCCAAGTTGATTTCTCTGTCAACAAAATAAATACAGGACCAACAAATTTACAATAGGTAAAGAAAATGTTTTCCATTATGCCATTTGTCTGGCACTTTGAGTGCAGAAGAACATGCAAAGCAAATTCAGGCCAACTTTAGGCCTACTCACACTTTAGCCGACAAAATTCTCCACAAATTTTCATGAAGCAAACAAGGTCCTCAGTATTTCACCAACCAAATTTGAAGTCTCAATTCAATTGTTAAAGGAGACCTGTCTTCAATATTTTGTAAAGTGAGAGTGAAGCCAACTGATTTAAATTTCAAGATAGTACCGTACATAATGCATCCAACTGTTTGAAAAGACTGACCTCTTCAGTATAGTCTGGTGGCAGACTATGGAGAGATGTGTAGAAATAAAGACTGGTACCAGATGTTTCTTTTGACACAGATGATTGATGTATTGGGCTGGTTGTTTCAAGTCAAGTGACAGTCAATTTTGTTGTTCATTTTTGTATTGCATGTTTTCAATACCTTAAGTTTTGGGACTCTCATCGTACACCGTGTTGAGAGTCCAACATTTTTGGACTCTAGGCAAAAACAGACCTATAGATAGATATGAATCAGCATATATGTACAATGTTTCCTCATGAAATCATTCTTTTAGAAGCTGTCATCGTCTTCTTTGACTCAAATGAAAGGAGAATAGAGGGTGTGCACAGCCTCTTTCCCACAGTAAAAGCAAGATTTGACCTCAGTGAGGTCATGTTGTGCATCTCTCTATAGGACTGATATCATACGCATAATATATTGCAATAACTCAGAAATTTGTTAACTCTTTCGATTTTTTGAACTGGCTATGTTTAAACAAAAATTACGTCAATTTTGTGAGTAAATAGGCCTACTTACAATGTAGAACTTTCCTGATTTTAAAATAGGGGTTTTGCCTAGTCTTACCAACGCAATTTTCCAACATTATTTATGTACCGGTATGTATTGCTGTCAAAGAACTTTCAGACTTGAAGTAGAACCAGTCCCGGCACAGTCCCCTGCTGCCTACAGTTGACTCTCATCATAAACTCAGTCGGACCTAACCAAAATGTTTGTTATATCAGAATTTTGAAGAGGAGTGCGGGTCCCATTCATTGTGCACATAAATGCATTGTCGGGACCAAACTTTTATGTTTGTTATAACCAGAATTTGTATTAATATTGTTTGTATTATACGAAAGTCAACTGTATTTATGGCAAGCATCTGTCAACAAGTGATTTGTAGGGTCGGAGTGGTAGACACAATGCAGTATCTCGAAAAAATGTGTTTGTAACCACAATTATAATAAACCTCAACTTGATGATCTGTCATGTTGGAAAAAAAACAACATGAATTTGGTAATCAGAAACTTGGGTAATCCTTTTAGGACCCCGTTCCTATAGGAAGGGAAAGACTCACCAAAAACGGTTGACTAAATGACACTCAAAAGTGACATTCTGATATTTCTTGGCACATCTAAACAATTGGCAATGACACCTTCTTGAATATCAGCAGGTTTAATTTTGTGGAAAGAGGGCAGGGCTTTGATTTATGAGGGAAATTCAGGGGTAAAAGACGACGATGACAACCAGAAAACAGACTCAAAAACCAAGATGGCAAATGTGAAAGCTCGATGCGATGAAAGCTCGATGCTGATTGGCTGATAAAAAATAAACATCTTATTTATTTTTTTTAGCAGCCAATCAGCATCGGCCTTTCATTATGTAGGGCTTTCACTCGTGTTGTGAGAACTACAACATGCACGTCTGACTGCGAAAAAAGGTAGGAAAGTCACATTTTCTTTGAAAGTGCTTTCAAAATTACAACTAACATGAGTTTATATGAAGAAAAAAGACTGCTTCAGCCTGCAAAAGTCACTTTGGTACTGGACAGTCATCTGCAAAAGTCAGTTTTGAACAGAAATCGTACAAAATAGAGGTGTCCTAAAAGTAAGGATTACCAAACTTGTCCATTTCCAGAGAATACCGAAGAAATTAGATTGTTAGTTTTATGAAGTGTTTATTCAGCTGTGAACCTGTCTCGCATTTTTTTCGTTCTTAAGCTGGCAGATGGTATAGCGCCCTCATGCCGTACAAGTAGGCCAACACCATATAGGATATTAAATTATAGCGCACCTGCCTCGCAAGCAACGCCACTTGAGTTCAAGTCCCAGTGTGACTGATGTTTTTGAAACTTTATTTTTTGTGCCCCCAAAAATTATAATTTTTTTCTTTTATTGTTTTAAATCAACATTTAATAAGGTGTTTCACGGTAATATGCGCCATCTTGTTCGCGAGGCAAAACGAACACGTGTTGCTAGATGCAGGCACATTTTGGAATGACCTCATGATGACTTGGAAGCGCCAAAGCTTTCCAATGATGACGCGTACACAGCAACGCGTGTAAAATTGCCCCACGGGCAAGATGGCGCACATTACCGTGAAACACCTTATTGCAGAGTTTCATCTTCTTTTTCTGATTTGTGGCTCTGGAGGTTGTTTTTTTTCGTCCAAAATTGTAATAGGTCTGATTCCCAACTTTCACAAAGTCACAACAACAATTAAGCACGCAACCAGACATTAATTCGTCATGGTAAAAATGACCAAGTCCCCAAAACAGTCACTGCGCATGTTCAGTGCCATGCCGGTGTAGCATGAATTTAGGTTTTATGAAATACGGACTCATTGGTGGTATTGCGCATGCTCATGCATAGATAATTAGGAGAGGGACCGGTCACGTGAGAGGGTTTAACCAATAAAAGGCAAAAAGAGTCCGATTTTCATACGAGTCCGATTTTCATATGACACCGGTACAATACTGAAAACAATCAATCAGGGACTGGTTCACGGTCAATATTCGTCACCGTGCTGCTTTTTTTATCTCCCAAAAAGTAAGAAGGACCCACAATACAATACTCAATAGTCGTATTTTTCATAAATAAAGTGACAATGGTAATCACGCATACTGCACACAAATCTTGATGTCATCAAGCATGTCAAGCTTTCATATTTTCAAGGCTTACCTTTTGTTAATGGGCCTGACACGAACTGCAACTTTCACCGAAGCCATGACATGAGCTGAGTGACTGAACACTACAGCAAGTTGATTTTATTGTTTTAATGCACAGTCTCTCTGCTGCTCCTCTCCGTCAGTGGTTCTGTTGCATAACACGACTCTATCCCGGTCCCATGATTGTTACGGTTGCTCATATTCCCGTAGAATTAATTGAAATATGTGTACATTTGTGCGTTGTTTCAGCAGACAGCACTTTGCATTCCGTTTGTTGTGTTACTGTCTGATTTAGTCACGTATATTGTGCATGTCGTGTGGGTATCAGGTCAACTCGGACCCAAACCAAGTCGGACCCATGCCAAGTCGGACCCATGCCAACTCGGACCCACGCCAACTCGGACCCACTACCAACTCGGACCCACTACCAACTCGGACCCACTACCATCTCGGACCCACGACCAACTCGGACCCACGACCAACTCGGTACCACTACCAACTGGGACCCAAGCACGACCAACTCGGACCCAGCAATGACTCAATCATTAGTTTTAGAGATTATATTTTTTAGGTGATCTTAATGTTAGTGCTTATAAAGTGAAGATATTCTGTAACTACATTGGGCAGAATGGGGCTTTTAGTTTTGTTGTTTTCTTGTATTGCCGCTGTGTGGAGCGGTATTTTATGATGCGTACAGTAAATACTGTTGCTAAACGCTTATTGTTTTGAACGTCATGAAACTAAACGTGCTTAGCTTTTTGAAACCGTGACCTGTGAAGCTAAACCAAGAGGTATTAATAGCGTATAGTATAGGTTAGGCATATCGTATTTCATTTGTACAACTTGATATATACGTGCTTTTTCAAAATCTCGATTTTCTTTTCCAAACGAAAATCAAAGGATTATAATTTTCAGTAAAAAATAAATTACTTGTTTGTTTTTGCAGGCCTTTGTGTCGTGTAACAAATGGTTTTAAGTGGCACATTTTGTTTCAGTGAGGAAGTTATTAATTTAAAATAACTATTTGGGCCTTTCATTTCATGTAATTGTTTGGGGTTTTTTAATTCACATGCTGGCTTTGAATTTTGTGGTTTTTTTTATGAATCTGTTTAACTTTTAATAATTTTTTGATTTAACTTCCCCCCCCCCCCCCCCCCCCGTGGAACATCATAGTGGAACATACAGGCAGCTACCTGTAAGGCCTTGAAGGATAATCTTCCCAGAGCTCCAATACTCCTTTTTGATGATTGACATTGCATCTATTTGTAGGGGATTAAACTTGATCATTTTTTAATTCACATGCTGGCTTTGAATTTTGTGGGTTTTTTTTACGAATCCGATTACAAATGTAACTTTTTATACTCTTTTGATTTAACTTTTTTGTTTAATATGGAACCTTTATTTTATTTATTGATTTCTAATGTTTACTTATATTTATTGAGTTAATAATGTTATGTTTGAAAGTGTTTGTTTTAATGCCATACTTTCCAATTTTATTTTTCTATGAAGATCTGTTCTTAATTTGTATACTCGTTATGTTGAAGTTTGGAGTAAAAAAGAAATAAATTGCTGTTAAATTTAGCAAGATGGTGTAAACGATGTAAATTAATATGTTTGAATGAAAATAAATAATTGGTTAAACTTTTAAAGCATAATATGTTTTAATGGAAACAAATAAAAATAATAAATAATTAATTACACTTTTAAAGCGCATTTCAAAATAGCATTTTAATGCGCTTTACAACGACAAAAATGTTATACTGCTGCAATACAGACATGACAGATATGAGATAATTTACCTTACAATTACAATGAAAATTTATACTAAACAGCATCACTGTAATAACAGATGGGAAGTGGACAAACTTTATGAAATGAATGATTGAAAACGATGTCGAATGATTGAAAACGATTGGTCCGAGTTGGTCATGCATGGGTCCGAGTTGGTAGTGGGTCCGAGTTGGTTGTGGGTCCGAGTTGGTCGTGGTTCCGAGTTGGTCGTGGTTCCGAGTTGGTAGTGGGTCCGAGTTGGCATGGGTCCGAGTTGGTAGTGGGTCCGAGTTGGCATGGGTCCGAGTTGGCTTGGGTCCGAGTTGGTTTGGGTCCGAGTTGGATCGAAACCGTCGTGTGCTATGCTCTCAGATCACCGGTTCATGGTGATGTTTGCTGGAACGCTCAAGACTACAGAGGGCGCTATTCCTCAATAGCGGAGCCGACTTGCTCTCGCCAACGTTCCAACAATGCCGAAGTCGGACGCAGAGCGTCCTTGAAAGAAGTACCTTCCGTGCTATTTTCGCGTTTCACCCTGAAAACTAGTGTGTGTTTTTTGAATTCCTCTTGTAGAAAAACAAATTTGTAATGAGTCATCGAATGAAACAAAAATAATTAACGTTCAAATTCTGGAATAACTTGCTGCACACATGTCGACTTATCAGCCGTATCTTTTTGTGCATCAGAAGAGGCACAAAAGGAACACGCAATATTTACTACAAGCCCTTTATTTAGAGGGTTGCAGACGCCAAAATAAAAACGGATTTTTTTTCCCCGTTAAAATAAAACAAACCAGTTGATAGTTCGTTAGAGGAAAGACTTTGCTGAAGAGCTTGGCGATATATCCTTCATTTAAAGGAAATTTTACGCCAATCACCCAACTTCTAGTTCTCTCCGATCAGAAGTAAGCTGCGCCCGGATCACTTGGCTAAGGCTGGAAATAGCACACGGACCTATGGGGAAGTGGCTGCAGCCGCTTCCATAGGCTAGGCGCGTGTGTAATTTCAAGCCCTACACAAGTAATTAGGACACGCCCTTACTTGGGGCATTCATGTTGTACAGCACCACTGAGTGTGAGTTTGTGTTGTGTTCGGCCCTGGTTTTTTTTTTCGAAAGAGCTCAGAGTTCCTGCCCATAATGTTTTTCTTTCGGGGGGGGGGGGGGCAATCCTTGGGGAAAAAAGTTTGACTAAACTATTTCCCCCAATCTCAGATACGTTTCATTCACATGCACAGATAGCCAGCTAAGGTTTGGAATTTTCACGAATTACACTGGAATTACAATGGTTGAAAGTTGAAACGTAGTTCGGAGGGCAATGGATTTGAATCACTGGGATAGATATGAGTGAACTATCGTTCAAATATTGCAAAGAACACCCTCTGAAAGCTGCGTACAGGCCCACAAAGTAAGAGACGAAAAAGTCTGGCTCAAACATGCGTTAAGCATGTGATGTTCCTATCTTAAGGACCAATGCATCCGTCCAATCGCTGCTTCGATTTCTTTGATCAATTTCCACATGAATGTTTGCAGTACTGTAATGAGCTGTTTGAATAAAGGACGTTAATTGCAGCGGCATAACCAAGGGATGGGAGCCGTAAGTCGCCCCTCAGTCGCCTCCACTGGAAATTTGGCAACCGAAAATCGAAAAGCACATTCCTAAGTAACCATGATTAGCGGGATTAATAAAAAAAACAAAAAAACATTGTTTTCACGTTTGTTGTTTAATTTTCAGGAAAATCGTGATTTTTGCGACATTGACCATAATGCCGGTTTTGAACAGCGTTCCCCCCCCTTCCCCCCCCCCCCCCACACACACACACACACAGACATACTTGTTTCACATGACTAGTGTGGACTTTCCATTGCTTTCGTGTAGTTAAGAAAAACCAGTGAAAAAACTCATTTTTCTCAAACTGTGAAAACTCTTTCAACCCAATTTTTTTTCTATGATTCCCTTTAGTGTTTCTCTTCATTCTGCTACAGATAAACCTAACCCAAAAATGCCTCTAAACCTGTTTTCCAGAAATGGGGAAACACTGTGTGGACGTGGGCAAGTCCACACAACGTCGGTGCTACCTACATTATGTGGACGTCTTTTGTTCGGAAGTCCACACTGCGTATGTAAGACAAGCTCAGTCTTTTTTTACTATACGCCTGAGGACAACTATTGTGTTTTCCTTTGTCCCTCTAATATAACACTTTCCCATAGACTAAGCACATAACCGTACGATCGAGGACCGGTTTTAACAATAGGCACCGTCGTCCGAGGGTCAAAGGCTCCTTTGTGCTCCCTTTAGTGTTTCTCTTCATTCTGCTACAGATAAACCTAACCCAAAAATGCCTCTAAACCTGTTTTCCAGAAATGGGGAAACACTGTGTGGACGTGGGCAAGTCCACACAACGTCGGTGCTACCTACATTGTGTGGACGTCTTTTGTTCGGAAGTCCACACTGCGTATGTAAGACAAGCTCAGTCTTTTTTTACTATACGCCTGAGGACAACTATTGTGTTTTCCTTTGTCCCTCTAATATAACACTTTCCCATAGACTAAGCACATAACCGTACGATCGAGGACCGGTTTTAACAATAGGCACCGTCGTCCGAGGGTCAAAGGCTCCTTTGTGCTCCTTTTGTTGTCTGTCCTCGAGCGTAACACAATACAAGAGCACACTTTTTTGATTTTACAGAGGCCGGGGGTGCAGTGAATAAAAACCTGTCCAACTTTCAGCACAGGAAAAATGGGTGCCCCTTCACTGTAACATCCACCCCCTCCCCCCCCCCCCTTCTCCGCCCCCTGACCCCCACTCGCCCCAAGGATAAGCACTCTGGCTAGCCGCTGGGTAAATGCTACTTTAAAAAGGGGGGCTTTGAACCAGAAGCAACACTAACTGAACGCTGTCAAATTAACACAACTTGATCCAAGACCTAGTGGTTATCGGCTCAGCTCCTAGGAACAAAATCACCGTATAGCTGACGCTTTTGTATGCTGTTGCGTTTAATAATGATGATAAAATGTATATAAAGATTTAATCTATCACAGTGTATTGCATGAAAACCAGTTTTACACGTCATTCCAAATATAAATGATTCATAATATTCATTTAAATGTTTCCATAAAGTTCTTAAAATACACAAATATTACATAAATGGGTGATCACATTCACAGGACATAGTTTAGGAACTGGCTGAAAAGCCCGAGAGGAGTAAGACGAGTAAGCCCTAATGAACAACGACGTGCACACAATTTGCAAGTTCGACAACAAAATATCGCTTCATATCGCTTCATATCATAAAAGAAACTTAACTTTTAAGTTATTTAAATAATAAGCTTTTGGCAATCAGATATATAGGGTGGATAAAAAAAATCACGAAACCTAGATATTATTGCTAATTGGAACAGAGTTGCGCACATGTGAATCAAAGGGAGATAGGGTTGAATCTCCTCTTTAAAATGACACCCTGATCATGTCATTACCTTCACGGTTGACTGAATTTCATGAAAGGGTCTATTTAGAGAATTGAGCCACTTTTCACGGTGAAATCTCTTCTTTTCCCCTACCTGCCTTGTTTGGCAACCATAACCTTTCACTCTGTGACAAATGACACCACAAAAACCTCGATTGAAAAGTGGCGCAATTCTCTAAATAGACCCTTTCATAAAATTGGTCACTGCTCAGTCAACCGTGAATGTAATGACATGTTCAGGGTGTCACTTTAAAGAGGAGATTCAAGCCTAACAGAGGATATCTCCCTTTGATTCACATGTGCCCTCCTTCTGTTCCAATTAGCCATAATATCTCGGTTTCCTTTTTTGATCCACCCTGTATAGACTATTTTGGAGTATAGATAGCTGGAAATAATGGTCACAAATTACATTATAATAATATATTATATATATAAAAAAACATGACGTTATATTTAAGCCTTGGTTTCAGAGATTTTGGTCTTTGAAAGTCTTCATATTTCAGTAAATCTATCAATTCCTGGATTACATCACAGGAAATAATGATCAGATGGCGAAGCACACACACTCAAAGTCACTGACTCTTTTAGCATTTCTGACCAGTCGAATCGCGTGGTTAATTTTGTATGATGGACGTCCTGTTTCTTAAATTACAGGACAACATATATTATTGCTGGTATTTTACTTTGAACGATAACAATAAAGTGATGTTTCTGCTTCTTAAAAGAACCGTGGGAAACTCGCCGTTTCGGAAAGTATGCTCCGTTAGTCTCCCGACGACGGGTTGGGCAGAACATACCGTCCGGAACGTTGAGTTTTCCCGGTTCTATAGACCTTTATCATGCTGCCACCATTTCAGACATGTCCCCTGTATGCAATAACAGTATTGAATGATAATGGTTTTTGTGCAAAAAGGAACCAGACTATTTTTCCTTCCAGCCTCGCTATGGTTACGTTGATTTGAATGGGGAATCTCAGGATGGCCGCAACATGATAATGGTCTATAGGCCTCACAATCTCACCAAAGATGTGTGTTACTTGGTGCAACGGCAAACTTACTCAAATTGTTCTCTTTACAATGCAAGTCTTTCAATCTAATCTGATATTGTTTCGATTGTACAAATTGCAAAACAACTGGGTATATAGCTGAACAAATCTAACTGTTGCTTATACATGTCTTTATTATTATTCAGGTAAAGATAAACGATTTCAAATTCTGCTTTTCTAGTGGTACACCACAATTGGGGTAGTATCTTTTTGAACTTAGTATCTATTAAATAGTACTCCGGCCGATGATTCCGTGTGGGGTTCCATTGGAAGGCTTACAACTTAATCAATTGGAGGTATTTAGCAATACAATTTGGGACATTATTTTACGAGGTGGCACACTTCTTAAACAGTACTGAAATCGAGACAATTTATGACGGCTTTTTGGTGACTTATGATGAATTAACTACGATATTGCACCCAAAAGCGCTAAAAAAACACCATCTTCGCAATTTTGTTTTCTGAAGGAAACCCACAAATCATTGCATCTGCACATATAGATGTTTAGGCTTCTTAACGCGCCGGTACGCCAGCAAGGCTACGCCCCCTACCACAGCCAAGACCGAAATGACAATGAGTACCACCACGCCGCTCGACAGCCCGCCCTCATTGGCCACCGATGGTCCACTTTGCTGTTGGTCATCTTGTTGTTGGTTTTGTTGTTGGTTTTGGTCTGGGTCCTGATCTTCGTTTCCTGGGTCCTTCCAAGATTCCTTGCTGTTCACGTTCGTGTAAATATACGGGAAGTCCTTTTGGGGAAATTGTAAAAAAAAACAAAGGTTTCATCCTTGCCCCAAACGTCGTCTTGTTATATAGTCTAGTATACGGTGGACTGAAAATTGAATTTTTTTTTAAATTCATCTCTCTCTTTTTAATATTAGAGATGCACAGAATATGGACGAAGTAAGGAAGTCCAGTTAGTTGAAATTTTAACAAATCGCTTTCATTATGTTATAAGGATAATCCCTAAAGCGCTATGGATGTGACATTGGAAGTTTGGTTTTCAAGAAAGAAAATAGACAAACTAATAATTAGAATAACATAACCAAGTATGAGAAGTATCACAGGTAAGAAACTTAACACAAATAGGTAGCTCAAATCACAGGGCTGACAGTGAAACCCATTTATCGATGTAACAACATGGACGGCAAGCTCTGCTCTTTCTGTCTTTATTCAAAGAAAACTCACTCCAAGAACAGTTCGCATACTCGAAATAGGCACGTCTCTTTGATGGTAATTCTGGGAGAAGTTGGCCAATTCGGAATAATTTTCTTCACGAAAAGATACAAAACAAATCAACTTTTCCCGGCCCACCTACCTCTGATGGACAGCGCATATTCTCGCCAGGATTCCAGCTTTTATCCTTGGACCCCACCGGCTGGAGCTATGGAATGGTAAGGTGAAGAAAGGATCGGTATTTAACACTGATTTGTTGTCATACTCTCTAAATTCCAAAGAGTGAAAAGTCACTCCATTCGAGTGAAGATTCACTCCCACAGTCGGAAACTAGGGACCAGACGTTTTAGAGTGAAATTTCTTTAATCATAAAGATCGAGTTTTCACTCGAGCTTCGACTGAAGTGGTTCTTTTTCAGACTATTTCAATCGAAAATGAGAGTGATTTTCGCTCTAAAACGTCCCTAATTTTACTCTTTGGAATTTAGAGAGTAATTCTTTTATGAAGCTTCGCATGCCATAGATGTCGTTCACTTACTTTTTTCTGCATGTTTATAACAATAGAAGCAGTAAAGCATACAGAAAAATTGTTTAAAATCACAAATACTTAAAATGTTTATCCTAAATTGAAATAGGCATCATAAAGCATACTTATGTCTGATAAAAAGGAAATGACGGTTTCTATCGATGATACCGATTGAGATGAAATCGAGTTAACTTGTCCGGCGCAGACGCGAAAACGGTACAGGTCTATTTTGCTCGTATGTCTAATTTCTTTAAGCTTCCATACGACGGTGGTCATCAGCGAAATGTTAATGTTTGCAAAAAGAAAGACTTTAAACACCCAAGTCTCCCCTACATGAAGTTCATTAGAACTTTATTTCAACCACTCACCATGTTATTCCACGTAGCGACAGCCTGTGCTCCGTGAGCCTTAGCGCTGAAGTGGAAACAATCTGGAGCGAAGTACGAATAGTCCGGCTGGCCGTCCTGAAGAGTAAAATCACAGCACACATTACATGTTGAATGGGTATAGGCAGGGTTGCTGACAATGTTGCATTTCCACCTCAAACGTATCGCTGTGTGTTTACCTTTTGCATTTTTGTGACATGAGTTCGCAGTCATCGAGACCGGTTCATCACATCGACGTGACTAAAGTAAAGAATTCACTCTGGAAATTCGCAATGGTTGATTGCATTCTCCGGCGAATTTCCAGCGAATTCAAGTGCTTACGCTTTTAAACGTAACTTTGCCTTACTACCTTTTTCGGTACGATCTATGGCATTCTTTCAACTTCTGTATGTTTCTAAAACGATTAATAACGGTCACATGTGCAGAAAACAAGAACTTTTCATGGATGTCAACAGATTTACACAAAAATGGAATATTAACGCCTTTGTTTTTTCTTACATGAGGGGAATATTCATTTAGTTTTATCAGTGTGTATTAAAAATGCAATGTATTAGTTTAAGTAATTAATATACATTTAAAATGTTGCAAATTTGACTTTTGTTTTGCAATAACGGCCGTCGATATTTTGCCGAACCACTGATTGGCAAAATCTTCGTCTGTGCAGTTGCAAAAGATAGGTAAAAGTCCTGTACACCGAAATGTGAATGTTACCGTTACTGAAGGAACGTACCGGGTGTCGTGGTAGAATTGTGTCCAGGAAAAACGGCTGGAAGACGGCGGCAAAATCCTCCCTGTCGAATTTCCCGCTGTTGATGCTATCTTGCAGCAAATTCTGTCGTGGATATTATAGGTGCAGAAAACATTTCCGGTGTGACAACAAAACTTGATGATTAATGATTTGGTTATGTTTTATTTGTGAATAATTTCATTGCGGTACCCGCTGCTACATCAGATTCGAACCAACCAACTGACTTGTTCAGAATGCTTGGTGTTAACTTTGAATTCTCCAGACCAAAGACACTGTTGCTAATCACATGATTTGGGCAAGCTCTTGCAAAGTTGCGTAAGAGACGCCATGCAAATTTCATCTTGTGAATAATTTATCAAGTTGAAAGTTGATATATTTTACCTGATACTCTGTCGTGGCTTTTTTCATCATCTCCTTGCCGTCTTCACTCATGCCACACGGGCACAGAGCACTAAATAATCATTCCAAAAATCATTCAAAAATTATTCTCCTGTCTTCATCAAAGCCGTATAACATGAAATGCAAAAGTCGGATCAAGGACCAATATTCATTCAACGATTGAGGGAGGCAGAGGTAGTGGATACCACATGGCATCCACAATTTATGGGTTGCACTGTCTCATGAACGGAGAGTCAGGTTGGTGCAGTGGTTACTCTACTCATCTTCCACCGCTATGGCCCGAGTTCGATTCCTGCAAGAGGATTGGGTTTTCAGTCCCTACCTGATGTCGTGGGTTTTCCCCAGAATATTCTTCTGGGGTTTTCCTCCCACCTCTAAAACTGTAGTTTCTTCTCTTTGTCCTGTATGTTTCTTCAGGCTTTCGAGCTACGGTGCCTACTGCACTCAAGAGGAAGACTTGTACTCATAAATAAAAAGAGATTAAAAGAAGAAAAGAAAAAGAAGTAAAATATTTAGCTAAACGTCAAGTTCAGAGTGTCAAAAAGTTCCCTCTTCCCTTCTCATTTCTGAGTTGTCATGGTGACAGAACTATATTTATTCATGGTCGGCACCCAAGTTGTTTGCATGTATCGTTAGGCCTATGCAAATGGACACTTACAGATGAAGTACATCGCAGACTATTCCTGTCAGCTCGGCGACACGCCACGCCTCCAATATGCCGATGACATTGACAAACGTTCGGGGCACCTGAGTGGAAAACATAGACAGGTATCACTCCAATGATGATGACCGATGCTGGATTATGTAGTGTTCAACACAATGGGTGCTGTCAATTAAGGCGTCCCATACTGCAGAATTGGAAAGTTCGTAAATATTGACCAATATTGACCAAGAGCAGCGTGAGATTCATTCCCAAAGTAACTATGCCATTTTAGCCTTAGGACTTTACTTTACAAACTTCTGAGCTGTTCATGGGCTGAAGCAAATCGGCCCTTTTAAGGACAGACCGGAACTTATGCAGTGATCGGTTATATGTTGCAGAGCATTATGGGACAATATGCTCTGATATAACGTTTTGTCATGTGCAAACTATCCCACAGTGCAGCCCAACATGAACAACTTCTCGGTCCGAGCCGGAGCTCATGATCGAACTGCCGGCGCCACTATTCAACAAGCCTTGTGCCGGTCTATAACGTTTGAAAACGTTACATAATTTCCCAATTCCAAAACTCCAGCGAAGCCGGGATATGAAGTCCTTTTCCCCCATTAAAATCTAAACTCTGAAGAAAATCGATATAATATATCATTTTTTTGAAAAATTCTACAAAGAAATTGATTGGAGCGGGGTTTGAACCTACGACCTCCGGAGTACCGTTCCGGTGCTCTACCAACTGAGCTATCATGGATTCAGCCCTATGTTTGTTCCAAGGTCTGCATCGTGACTTTGGGTGTGAATGTTGGCTACGGGATGGCATGTGCAGGTTTATGGCCTTTGACTAGCGCCCCTTGAACAAGGACATTGACGACTTGGGAACAGCCAACATACGGCTGGATAGATCCGTTGTTAGAGCACTACAATAGTAAAATCCGAAAGTCGAAGGTTCAAACTCCGCTCCCGTTTCTTCGATCAACTTTTCAAAATTATGGTTATAATTCGCTCAGTCAATTTTCATATGTGGTTTATTTGAAGAAAAAAACCTCCTTTTATCGAGTAAGAGTTTAATTCGAATTCTCTCACTTCAGACAGAATTTGTATAGCCTCCTCCACGTGAGCCACGTAGTTGGCCGTTGAGAAACGGTCCGGGTTTTCGCACTGTCGACACAGGTCGTTGCCGCCAATGAACAGAGTCACCAACTTCCAGTCGTTGTCGAAGTCGACGTTTGGGTCGTTGCGCATGCGATCTACTAGAGTTTTGGCCTGACCTGGCATCCCTCTGTACAAAAAAAATCGATAACTTTTTCGTCAACTTTTTTCGCGATACCCTTGCAATTTTTTTCGCGACCCGAGCTGTGCTGACCTTTTATTCTCGAGTCTTGCGCATCTTGATACCAAACACATAAAATTCTTTTCCGGCGCTATGCGCCGTGAAAACTGAATTTCCCCATATTATTGCGACAGCTAAAAAAAAAATGCATTTTTACGATATAAATATTTAAGTTAAGTTTAACTTACTGAATTGATGCAATTAACGGTTTTTGTTTGTACCAAGATGGCGCCCCCACTCGTTCAAAGACAAGGCCCATTATTCCATACACTGACTTACTCAGCAACTGCTCCAGGTATAGCCACGTTTAGCTTGGAATTTGGGTTGCTCACGCCTCCCGTACCCGTGGAGAAGCCATAGACAGCCGGGTTGTATTTCTTCACGACATCTGTCAATGATGAGGAAAATAAGTTTTGCAAAGTTAAAACAAGCGATATTAACCGCACCATTTGCCAGAAAAGGGAGTATTTTTTTTTACCGATTCAAGGAACAACAATACAATCAGTCTAAAGCAGGTTATTCAAATATTAACCTGTCGAAATAACCGCTCAATGGAAATACTTTTTGAGAAAAGCTGTGAAAATTCGTCTTCATTTTTTTTTTCGACGTAAAATAAGGTTTTCGTGGAAAGCCCTCTCTTAGTCCCCGTCCAAAATGCTCATTAAAACATTAGGATTTTGTTTATTGAGCCTCCAGTGGTATGCTCCCCAGGTCGATTTTCGGGAAAGTAATTTTCATTCACGGATATGTGACCGATTGTTTAGACTAAATTAAATGTGGTAATTGTGGGGCAGTATTTGAAAATATTGTTCAAGATGATTTAGTCCCAACCATCACGAGAAAATGATGGCAATTCCTAAATAATGAAAGGTTTGCGGAAACATGGTAATTCCTCTTTCCTTAAATATGACAGCATATATCACAGGATGCATGATCCTATCATTCACTTGCAATAAATAGTAGGTTAAATGTTTTTCACAATACTTTGGCAGTTTCAGTTTTGAATGTTTGCAAAAAGTGTCAATAGTCTTTGACAACCGATGCGAGAGTATCAACTCTTCTCTTGTTTGTTCACCACGCGAATAATTGACTCTTTTGCATTGAAATGCAGGTAATTATTAACAATCACTCATTCTAGGATACTTTTCATAATTCCACTAACATTTTGGAAAGACTTACTGAATCTATAAATAAATATAGTTTGCAGACCGAGGAAGGATTATAGCTCTAGAAGATCTAAAGGAAATTCAAGGTGTAGGCCTAATCCTTTAATTGGTTTATGACTATATTTTATGACAAAAAGTGCTCCAAATGAAGGCGAAAACTTATTAAACGCAAACTAACTCTTTAAAAATGTAAGAAAAATTGTGGATTACTTGGAAGTGTGACGACGCTAGAAAGGTCCTTGTCGCCTCCGATCCTGTCAATACCAAAAAAATCAAACAGAACAAGGAATGTGAGATCCAAACTACGACGACGTGAAAAGTTGGTAAAGGAATCACAACCCCTTTAACGATTCTATAGCGAGTACAAAAATTGGTAATAGGTACAAAGTTCATGCCCTATATAATTTGACCGAACGCGGAAATTTGTCACAAATTGGAACCATACGTCTCAAATGTCTCATTTACAGATTCATTTACTTTCCAAGGTATAACAATACAATGCATCGAGTAATTCAGTGGGCAAATTCTTAATTGTTGTTATTCGTTTAAAATTCATAACCTTTCATCCCTTGCAATAATCTTGGACATTATATCTTTACTCACGGAGCTGATAGACCCCTGTACTCTATGGCAACCCCAATTAGTGTTTTCGCACCAGCGCCATTGGCTGCCTAAAATAAAGGAAGAACACAATGAATAATACTAAACAGATGATATGAAAATATTGTGATATAATATGATTGGCTTTTGAGGTGACATTCACAGTGCTAATCTCCACGGTGAGTCGGAGATTTACTTGTAAGATAAGTTTGAATAGCAAATCTCACTCCAACTTGGAATTTGGCGCTAGAAAAGCCCGCAGATAATAGGCCTTACTTCGGAATGCTGCAAAATAATGTCAATTCATCATGATTGCACGAACTGCTCCGCGTGAGTTTCCTGTTTTGTTTGCAAAGAAGATCATGGTATAGACCTACTTTATGTAACACTTTCGCTTCTGTCGTCTTATGAAAAGTAAATCTCAATTCAACCGAACATTTGGTGCTGAAAAAGCCCGCCGATGATCGTGTACTTGATGGGAATGCTACAAAATAATGTCAATTCATCATGAATTGTAAAAACCAAAGGTTTCGCGGAGTTTCCCGTTTTGTTTGCAAAGTAGATCGGGCACTCTCTGTTCCACTTTCGCTTCTGTCGTCTTATGAAAAGTGAAGCTCATTCCAACCAACAATTTGGTGCTAGAGAAGTCATGACCGTGAACTTGGTGGGAATGCTACAAAATAATGTCAATTCATCATGAATTGTATAGAAACCAAATGTTTCGCTAGAGTTTCCTGTTTTGTTCGGGTTACATCAGGCACTCTCTGTACCACTTTCGCTTCTGTTGTCTGGTGACACAACTAGACTGCCGGAACCATTACCTGATTGATCTATATCAAGACAAGACATGACAGTCATGTGCTGCATGTGGCCTCATTAAATGCATAAACTGCTTTTTGCTGATGACCCATGACTGGACTAATTCGGAGATAGTTGGCAGACGGTCCAATTTTCGAGGAGGAGGGGGGGGGGGGCGGGGTCTCATATTTTCAGAGGAGGCACTCATCTGGTTTTGTCATGCTTTCAAATTAATGAATGAACGGTCTTTAACTTTTCAGAATTCTTAGCGAGGGCTGAGGCCTGGAGCACAAGTAACACTGATACAAGTTAAGCCACAAACGAGACTTGTACTTACAGTGAGAGAATCTCCCAACGCACCGACTATGTTAATGTCACCCGGACGCAATTTGTTCACTGCAGAGAGAAAGACAAATCTGGTTGAACAATAATAATTTAAAGGAATAAGTAGAATCAGGTAATAAAATGAAATACACCTGAAGTTTTCTAAGTTTTGACTGTTAAAACAACATTATTTGCCTATACCCAGTCAACACACACAAAAATGTCTTCCTGTACATGGATATCCCTGTTTGAGAATAAGGCTGAATGATTCTTTCCTTGTTAGTTTAGATCGCATGCAGTTTAGGCAATAACCCACAACAATATTTCTCCGTGCACATTATATATCCCAAATGTTAAAAATGTTAAAACAACATTATTTGCGAATGCATTCAGTATTTTCTTAATACTCTCTTTAAAGATATATCATTCATGCATTTCGTTCGTTTCCAATAATAACTAAAAATCCTAAGAAGAGCGCTCAAAACCTCAGGCTTTGAAGTTTCAGCTCAGTGGAATCACACCTTTTGCGACAGATAACCCTAACCCAAATGTCCCTAAACCTCAGTTTTCCAGAGAGGGGGAAACCTTGTGTGGACGTGGGCAAGTCCACACAACGTCGCTGCTACCTGGCTTATGTGGACATCTTTTGTTTAGATGTCCGCACAGTGAATGTAATGCTTGTATGCGATTTTGTCGACAGCACTCTTTATTTAAAAAGCTAAACAACACACACACAATCAGTCAACTGATTTCTTTAATAAATGACGGCAACAAGCCAGACAGAATAATTTTAATGGGTGTTTAGTACCAGGACGGACTTAAATCCAAGTAAACTTCTTTGATAATAATTCGGTATAGGTTACCTTTAGGATAAATGTTCAGAATATAGATCTACTGTCGAGTCTCGTTAACACAAACTCGTTCGGACCTAGCGAAATTGTTTGTTATATCAGAATTTTGTTTTAAGAGCTATATCAGTCCCATTCATTGTGCACATACATGCACAGTCGGGACCAAGGCTTTAATATTTGTATTAACAGAGTTTGTACTAACGAGAGTCGACTGTATATACATTTAACTTGGATCGTAAAACGCAGGAGATATGCCATTAAAGTTTGAATTTTTAATTTTTTTTGGTTCTCACCTGAAGTCGGCTTTTCCGGGGACACAGACGGCTTACAGTCGAAATTGACATCAATCTGATTCAGAATTAACGAATTAAGAATTATTACCAACTATTGAAATATTGGCAATAGTATGAAGCAAGAAAAAGATTTTTTTTTTTTTTTTTTGGCTGGAGTTTAGCTTTAATAGAAATATGAAACAATAATGCGTGTTTGAAGCGCATACATATCCACCAGTATTGGTGCTCAAGGCGCTACATCATTATTACCTTGCTCATTGGGCCACTGAAACATTCCAAAGACAATCTCAGCTCCCTGGGAAGTATACAGCTCGATGCAGCCATTTTGGCGCAAAGCAGCTAAAGTCAATTACAATGACCATGCATCTCTGCCCTAACAGGCACCCGTTTATTCCTGGGTGGAGAGAAGCAATGAGTGACAAAGCGCCTGGCTCACGGGCACATGCACCATAGCCGCAGGCTGGACTCGAACCCACAACCTGCAGAATTACCCGCAGAGCGTGAATTCAGTGCTCCAGACCACGAGGCCACGGCACTCCACATAATTTGTTGCCTTCGGGAGCTGGTTTATATACCTCTTTTCAATAAATTACATACAAAAACTGATTGAAAGATTGACTTCGTCATTTGTGTGGCCAATTCCTAATCATTTTCAATCTTGCTTTAGACTTCTTTCAAACACTGTTTTAACCCTTGTCTATTTTCTGTGTTGGCATTTTCATTTTCTGTCTGGGGAGTGATACCTATTATCACCTCAAATTTGACTTACATTGGATGAATTTTGGTGGAGTTGATCTATGAGTGTAGGATCCCCGTAGCCGTACTTGTCCATGGTCTGGATGAGTGCGATATACTTATCCCAAAAGCCTGAATTCAAACCACAGAATTATACATTATTTGTCAGTTACATGCATTGTTTTGTGTTCACGGATAGACGTCTTGACATATCTGTCGTCATTACTGCAGTATGTCATTATAAAACAATGAATCATGACCAACCCGCTCCCCAAAACAAAATATAGTACCAACTTGTTTGAATCCTGAATGGAACATTGGACATCAACCATACTAAATAAACATCACCTCCAAAACTGGAATATCACGACGACGACACGGCAGGCCAGGCCGACATATACTTCTTCATTTTTCCCAAGAACACTGAAAAAGTTGGAATGACCTCCCAGAATCAACAGTGGCGCTCACCAACCCAGACTCCTTTAAGAATACTCTTTGCGACAAAACCTAAATTTCGACCACTCTCACCAGACCTCAAGTTTAAATTCCCCAGGTGGAATATTTTGGAGGACACCAACCGAGTACCAAGTAGCAAGCAGAACATGATATACGCTCCAACATTTGTGTTCAGCAATTAAGCACAATCTTGCTATCACTTTGTAAACATGTTTAGAAGCTAAACATAGGCCTACGCGTCCGAAAAAAAATCCTAAACATCAATGTTCTATTGCTAAACCTTATCCATCATTGCTCTAAACTTGTTTAGCAGGCCCATTTTAAAAGTGTTTACGACGTGATTGCAAGAAGGTGTTCAGAAAGATGTTTAATTGCTATACACGTTTTTCGCAATGTAAAAAAAGTAAATAGTGATGACTAGGAGTGTCTTTTCCCTGCTTGTTTTGCTGGCAGTGACATGAACAACGCGATGGTGGTGGTGGTTCAGCGGTGGTGGGGCGGCGTCAAACAACCACACACGCACAATAAAGCGATGCCCGCGATAGCAAAAATCTTGAATCTCACTGTGACTTAAATCAAAGTAGTTTTACATTTGGTGGTTATAATTTGGGTTAAGCCTATGTTGAATAATTTCTAGGCCTACAGCTTTTCCCTTATCCCCTGTTGTGGACAAATCTATTTCGCTAGAACAAGTACTGTTTTTAGTGCAAACAAAAATACCATGCATAGCATTTGAAATAATGATAACTTAAACAAGAGGTGCTTACTGTCAATTTCATCGGCTACCGATGCGGCTACGATGAGGCAAGAGACCGCCAGTTGCAGCCAGGAAAAACGCATCTTGACTGATGGCTGAAATCGCCGGTTCAACTCTGATCGTATGATGATTCAACAAAACTATTATATTTTCGTGCCAGTTTTGAACTTTGTACCACTCCGTGTGTGTACTCTGAAACAGTTATTCAACTGGCTGAACTTCTGATAGAGCATGCAAACAAATATGATCAGGGTGGCCTCTTCAGTAATGCTTATCATTTATTATATTTATAGGTTTCAGTCACGAGGCTTTGCTATATATTGCTTCCTCGAAGGCATGTGATCGTTTCGTTACTTTGGATCGTACGCAATCAAGGAAACAGTCAACCCACAAAAAAATGTCTTCATGTACATTGATATCCCTGTTTGAGAACAGGGCTGCATGATTATTTCCTTGTTAGTTTGGATCGCATGCAGTTTAGGCAATAACCCACAACAATATTTCTCCGTGTACATTGATATCCCAAATGTTTTGACTGTTCGAGAACAGGGAAGAAGGATTGTTTCTTTCGTATACAGGAAATAAGCCACCAAAAAAAAACCCATTTTATTCGTGTACACTGATATCCCAAATGTGTTCAGCCAGGCAGAACTGTTCGAGAATGGGGCTGAAAGATTATCTCCCGATTACATTAGATCGCATGCAATCTACGAAATAGCCCACAAAACAGCATAAATCATCGGACTATACTGTCTGTGTACATGAATTGTTATAGTGCTATAATTATCATACATGCAGTAATTAATAATCTTAGAAAATGGCTTCTTAAGTATCACCAAAGAGATGCAGATATTATGACATATGCAGATTAACTTATCATGCAGGGACGTAAATCCATTTCCACGCCCCCCTCAATTTTGTGCCCGCCAACCATTCGGGCAGACGGCCAGTCAGCTAGCCAAACGGCCAGTCAGCTGGCCAATCAGCCAGCCAGCAACCAGTGGACAAGCCAGTTTAGTAAGTCAACCATGCAGCCAGCCCGCCGGCCGGCCAACCAACCAACCAGCTATAGTAGAAAGAATCCATGTCAAGGCTCCGCATCTATATAATTTTTAAAGTAATGGTTTGCTTGAGTTTAATACTTTGAAACTCGGGACCCAGGAAATGTGTTGCGCAGGTACGGATGTTTAAGTAAAATTATAGTTATGAAGAATCGTCTTCATTTTCACAGCAATATTGAGCGTTTGGGGTCATGATTTTCCCGAGGGGCCATGGATATCTTATAGCAAAGTTTGTTCCCGTTTTACCTTTGTTCCTATTTGCCAGTTAATAGGTTAAAACGGGCTTTGGTAACATTGAAGAAAAAGCTGCACTTTGATCAATGACCTGCACATTGCACACCAAAACGCTATCGTCGTCTATCATCAATATCGCACCTGCTTGAAAACCTGACTAGATTGAACAAAGCAGTGATTGTTTTCTACATAAATTGAGCCACATTTCCGCATTGATTCGTCATCAAGAAACTCTCAAACCATGAGTGACTTTGTCAGGCTTGATGTCGGCGGTTGCCAGTACACGACGACCACATCGTCCCTGGTCCGTTATCCGGAGTCCATGCTGGGGGCAATGTTCAGCGGGCGGGTACCGTCCGCTCGCGACGACCACGGGGCATACATCATCGATGGAGACGGTCCCATCTTCCGCCACGTCCTAAGCTTCCTCCGACGATCCAAGCTCGCTCTTCCGGAGGATTTTCAAGACTGGGACCTGCTAGCTACCGAGGCAGATTACTACCAAATCAAGGAACTGGAAGCGGCAGTGAAGGCAGTTAAGGCGGAGAGAACGGCGAAGGAGATGGAATTCCTTGAAATCATCGTCAAATATAAGACTGATGAAGATGCTCGATTCGGGGAATTCGACAATCTTGTCTACCGGGGAAGCGACGACACACTCCAGAAGGTCCCAATACTCGACAGCTACTTCCAGCCGAGAATGATGAGAGGAGATTCCATCACACAACGCTTGAAGAAGCCAGAGGATTATTTCGAGGCACCTCGAACCCATTCCCTGGATCTCATGCAGTTATTCCAGCAAATCACCAGGCTCGGGTTTAAGCTGAGCTCTTCATCGCGTGGAGATTCGCGGGAGGCATGGGTGTTTACACGGAAAATCAAGTAAACTTGTTTTGTCTGAAGTATAAGTGGAGCCTACACGAAGGCCAACTTAGGAAATAATGCGATTTAGAACTGTACATAGAGCTGAACCAACTTTAAAACCGATAATAATATTGTTAAATATGAAAAAACAAAACGTTAATTTTAAGCGCATAATTAACCAAGACTCTCTAGGACTGGTACAACAACCTCCTATGAACAAATAACTTGTGTTACAATTGGTGGCAGCGGTGGTTCACCTGCCCAAGGCATCGTCAAATCTACATCTGTCTCCATATCTTCATCTTCATCTTCTAGCCCCTATATTCTGTAACTCTGTGTATTTTGCTGCTGAAGAGACGAAACAGAACTTCTGTTTCCCACATCCCTGCAGTCGTCATCGTCATCCTGGCTAGAACTTTCTTCATTTCGTCCACCTCTTCATTGTCAATCAGGTATAAACTGCCTGATACCCCCTACAAGTTTTCGTCGTTTGCCTGTCCGGTGTCCTGTCTTCTAGCATCCGTCTCTCCACTTTTCCTGCGTCCTTCCAGTCACCTTCTTCAAACTTTTCCAGCTTCTAGCCCCCTTCGCCCCATCACTCTTCCTGCGTCTGGCTGATATGTTTCCTGCGTCCTCTAAACTGTGAGTGTTCCTGCTCCACACACCAGTGCACTAGCTCACACCGTTTCGCCCAGCTCTTCTTTCCTGAACTGTTCCTGCTCGCCGACCACCATCTCATCCAGCTCTTCTTTCCCGTAATTCGTCACCCGTTCCTGATCATCGAACTGTATTCCTGTCTTCTTGTTTCCTGCTCTGCTCGTCGATCTGCTCTCCTGCCGGAACATCTCCTGGCGAGCCAAGCTGACATCCTAATAGCAAGTTACATTGTATTTTTTTTGCCCATAATCTTGTTCTTTACCATTTGATTGTTTTGCTTTGATTTGTTGTTCATTTTTCCATATTGTATTTTGTGATTTCTGTTGACGTTACTCCTTAGCTTTGCTTTATATTCAATTGTTTGTCTTTCAAGATTTTGCTATTTCCATAGTGAGTTGTTAATTATTCTCACGTCCGATATATTTGTTTTTATCCTCATTTCATTGGATATATTTACTTGTATTTTTGTTCCTGTTGTATCTTAAGTTTTGATCAACTCCCTTTAGTTGTTCCCCGATATAGTATTTTTGTTATTATTGGGTTCTGTCCGACTTCCCTAGCCATGGCCCCTCCTTCCACCCAGCCCTCTAGTTCCACATCTCCTTTACGTTATTTTAAGGCTGACCTCCCGGCCCCGTTTTTCGGTAACGGCACAGAGAATTTTACTGTGTGGTGCCGCCGGCTAGAAGTAGCCGTTAATGCAAGCCCCCCCCCCCTCCCCCCCCCCCCCCCCCCCCGAAAACTAACTAGCTTCCCTCCTCCCCTCTAAAAACTGAGTGACTACATGTTCACACACCGAGGGACGTTTGTCTGTTCATGTCTATGGTCGCTGGCCACGTGTCGTAACCATGGACACGGGAGTGAGTGTCCTGTGTGTATTTTACCCCAAACTGACCTTGAGTAGGGCCAGCCACCTTTCACTTTGTTTTCTGCGAAATGTCCTTCCCCCCAGTACTCCATCCCACACTCACCCAAAACTGGGATAGGTATTCCTCTCACTCGCACAAGAAGCGGACGTATAGCCTCCCGTCCTATCCATCTTGGTTTTTCTACCGATTCATATTATTAGTATGTAGTTAACATATTTCACAGTAGTTAAAGTATACCTCATTTATGTTCACTTTTTTCAGGTTGTACATGTCTGCTTGATTAGACAATTGTATAACTATACATGTATAAATACTTTTATCCTTTTTTGTTGTTTCCACATTTATCTGCCAAAGAAACAATGAGTATTTGGTTTTGTATTATAAAGCCTTATAAGGTAGTTAGTTCCTGGAGTAATTAGGTTGTAACAATTTCGCTTATTTTATACTTATTTTATTTGTTTAAATGTCACACATAAGGTGTTCTCATTATTTTCCGAATTTATCAGCACTCTTCTCTATTCATTGTTGCATTTAATTTGTTTATTCTATAGCTATACATGCATCTTAATGGTTTTCATATTTTTCTTGGTGTTTCATTTTTTTTCCCTCATTATTTTGAAAATGAGGACATTTTCTTTTTCACAGATGAAAGTAATGTAAGCCCAGATTTAGTATCCCAATTAACTTTAATTACAGTAGCCTTACTTATTACCCGTTGACATCTTTAAGATTATTTCAAATTACGTTGTGGTCCACAGAGACACCCTGTCTCCATTTGTGTGGTCACACTAGGCTCAGTCGTAGACCTGTAAAACCACATCCTAGATTCCTAGTATTTACCATCCTTGGTTTAATTCACTTACAGTTACGCACAATCCATTGTGTTCCATTCCTGTATTTAATAAGCCCCTCTCCCCTCAGTCCTTCACTTTTCATCTTACCACTTTCTCCGTTCACTCTCTCTTTCTCTGTCAAGTGATTTTAGTTGGTGCTCTCAATAAACACACCTAACCCTATAATCCTTGTCACGAGTTTTATTCCTTCAGTGAAAGTATCTTCTCCGTCTTCAACTTAATGAATTTGTCCGCTCCGGCTACAGTGTACGCGCTACTAGGAGACATATCATTATAAACCTCCATGTAACCAAGACTCTCTAGGACTGGTACAACAACCTCCTATGAACAAATAACTTGTGTTACAGTAGCTTAAGCAGAATTGGAGAATCACCAAAAACAATGGGCGCAATTTCGGCGGGAATGGATAAATAGGGCCTACGTCTTTTCTTTAGGAAAATAATTTCGTCTTTAATTCTTACTTCCTTCTTGAACTTATTCCGTTATTTTTTTAATTATTCTAATTAATTTTTAAAATTCGTTGAAAATGAGAGTGTTAAAATAGATCACAAATCAATAAAAAGTTTGGATGAGAGTTTAAATTAAAGTAATTAGAGGTCAGAACCAACATTGCCAAAATCCTAACTCACGCTTGCTTCACTTATTGACAAGGGTGGAAAGGGTAATCAAAGAAGAGCACCATGAATAGCGCCACCTTGTGTCAAATAACTACCAGCTCCCCCCCCCCCCCCCCGTGCGATTATATCACATTTTTAGTCAACTTAAAGCATTTTAAAGAACAGCTGTCATCGACCTGCCGAAGGAAACTAGTGGATAGTGAAACGAGCTATCGAACGAGTGGGAATCCACAGATGTCCATTTTTCTTCGGTGGAATTGTTTAAGGTGCAAAAAAGAGAACGAGAACGTAAGAGCGTATTCGAAACCCCGTCTCGTGCTGAATGAGCAGGAGAACGGGGTTTCGAAGTGACGAGAACCAACACGCGACTGTGTTCGAGAACAGGATTTTCACTCCTCACTTTCTGGGGAGTAGATGAAGAACATCAATGGCGGATCCGGGGGGCCAACGGGGGCCATACCCCCACCCCCACCCCCCCCCCAAAAAAAACCCCGATTTTTATTTGTAAGTGACGTCGCAATATAGGCAGGCACTGCGTACATCATCATCTTTTCCTAACAAAACAATTGGTTAAAGTGGCCAGAAATTGGACCCACTTTTGGGGGGACCAATTTTTGTGTTGGCCCCCTCAAAAAAGAAAATGTGTTTGGATCCGCTCTTGAAGAACATCAAGAACATCAAGAACATCAAGAACAAAGATGGCGGACTTGCTTCAAATTGTGTGCAAACAATTGAAAGTATTCATTAAATGCAGCAGCGGTATACACTTTTGAAATAATGATACATAAATAAAATTGTACGTGATCATAGAGTGGACCTGTCTTTGCCAATTTTTATAGCTGCTCCGGAATCTAAATTATTTTTGTAAGATCATTAGTTTCCCCTCCTTTTCATTCGGCCTTTGATGCAATGATTCCAATGAACATTTTCACCCACCTCGGTGGAAACAAATATGCGAGGTATGGCCGACACAATATGAGGGCGCTGTTTGGTTTGGGTAAATTGCAAAATACTCAAATACTTTACCCAAATCAAACAGCGCCCTCCTATTAAGTCGGCCGTACCTCAAATATGCTAATATCATAGGACTCCGACAACGTATAGCTAAATCTAACTGGATCCACCTTGACTATGGAATAGTCATGGGCGTCTCCAGGATTTTTTTCTCGAGGGGGGCAAAGCACTTTATTTCCAATAATCCTTGTACTTTCTGTAGCAAATTCTCAATTGATCATATTTTTTTAGGGTGGGCTGGGGAGGGGAAATTTGTCCACCCCACCCCCATTGACCCCCCTGCATAGCCCATGTTGTTGAATGTGCATTAAATTAACAGCAATATGACTTCGCACCTCGTTTTCTTATTCCCCCCCTTTTCCCCCCTAATCTTTCCTGGGGGGGGGGGGGGGGGGGGGGGGGACTCTCTTGCCCAATCCGGGCGATGCCCATGAATAGACTGTCGCCCTCTACATACAGGAAGGTAAAGCGGTCTTCGCGAAAAATAGAAAAGCAAAGGGGGGTTGGGGATGGCTGGACATCGCTTAATGCCCTTGGGGCCCTCGTTCAGCCAAATGCATAGATATGTTCATTATATTTTTTGGTCAGGAGAGTTACAGTGTTGCCTTGCTCTACCAATAGCACCTGATCCCATTTATGCTGATTTAATATGTAAACTGGTATTACAAGAACAAAAAAAGCCATCAAATTTGCTCGAATTAGAAAATAAATGAAAAACAAAACACACACATCATTAGCACATACATTCCGGAGTTGATTTAATAATTAATAATAATTCTTACAAAATCCATTTTCATAAACAATGTTTAAAAATCATAATGATGCACATAGACTGCGTCCATAGCTTTCAAATTAAATTTAGAAACTCACCGTTCAGTTATGTCAGTTGGTGGTATCCCATTTAGGAGTAAGCCGTGGTAGGCTCCACTTATTTTGATTTCAAAATCTTACTTTACAGTTTAAATTAGTAAATTTAATATTTCAAGTTAGCAACAGCCTTCGAGACTATGGTAAAAAAAAAATTATGTTGTCTGTTCGTATTCACGTTCTTGCGTGTGATTTTAATTTAAACAGATTTTTTGATTTTGTTTTAGTTTGTGTACTCATTCCAACCTCCGTTTAAACAGATTTTTTAAAAATATATTCTTTGTTTCTCTTTTTATTTTTAATTGAACACCGAATTTTTGGTATATCTTTGTCCAATTTTGACAATCAACAGTAGGGTCTGTAACTTTTGGTCACAAAACAGCTGTTAATTTCAAGACAGTGTACCGAGTGAAAAAAAAAATCAAAAAAGGAAAATGAATGAAACGGACATCATAAGGTAGAATAAGCATGACAGCTTTAAAAAAAATGAAACCCACAATAAAAATCGAAACAAAATCTAACGATTTTTGTTTTGAGGGGATACAACTGTGCTACTTAAAACCATATCTATTGAAAAACAGTCATTGAAATAAAACTTAGGCCTAATTGATTTTGTGCGGAAGGATGTGTCTTACAGTGGACCAATGATTTTGCTGAAGTTGTTCAAATTTGCAGGTATGACTATACATGTACTTTCTTAGAATTTGAGCCGTTAGATATCCCTCACATCACAGCTGAACCAGAGGCAATTAAATGTAAAAATTAATAATGAATAAAACATACACACATCAAACTAAATTCAACAGGTAAAGTTTGCGATGTTCATTATCTAGAAAGGACCCCAGAAAGTTCAGCTATACTATCTTCATTGTCCTGACAGGCTTGGGAGAGAACATGCTTGGCCCTTTCCGTCAAGCTGTTGAACGTCTGCCCGCAAGTGAAGCACGAATGCGTCTCCGACTCACCGTGACGCCGTAGATGCCGGCGGAGGTTGGCCGGCCGCTGGTACGTCTTGCCGCAGTGCTCGCACTGGTAGGGCGACGACCGGCCCGTGGTGTCACCGGTGGGGCTGGGTGTGCTACGGGGACTGCTGCCTGCACTTCCCGTACCGGGGTACTTCGATTCTGGGGAAGCAGGGAGGAAGGAGGGGGAGTTTATAGGTAGATCACTGACGGGTCTTGGCTTGTGCCAGCGACGGTGGGAGGCCAAGTTGGCGTGACAGTTGAAGACTTTATCGCACTCCGGGCACTGGTACACGACGTTTGCGATACGGGAGCATTGATGCTGGGCCAGCGAGAGCGGGTCGTGATAGTCCTGCTTGCATAGTTTGCAGACGAACAGGCCTCTCGGTTGACCGCAGTCTGGGATCGATCCAGCCGTTGCCTTACTCTCCCCGTCCTTCTCTTGAATATCACAGCCAGCTGCCCGTATGAAAGTGCCAAGTATCGGGGACTGGTCGTCCCTGTCGAAGTTGATTTTGCGGGCAGCCTTTGGCTTCTTGGCCGTGTCACGGCGCGGTTTTGTGGCGCTGTCTCCGGACCTGTCGGTGGATGGGCGGGGTCGTTTTCGAATCGTGGAACACTTGGTCGGAGTTGATTTCGTCACTGGGGTAGTAGGTATTTTTAAAATTGGCTTGAAAATTCGATTATTTTCATCAATGTTTCTGGACGTTTGGTGAAGTAGTCCATGCGATGAGGAGGCGCTCCATGTGTGACAACTCACGGGAGTCAAGACATTTGAGGGTGACGGAGCTTGAGTCGTGAAGGTTTGCTCCCCGGCGACTGGTGTTGCTGGACTGCTCCCGTAGCCAGAGTCCGGTGAATCGTAGGGGTAACTCCTGAAGCAGTGCACCGCGTGCACGGCCAGTCCACTGCCCGTGTCTGGTGCGAGTCCTCCCCACGGATCACCATCGTAGTCGAGGCATCTGGAACGATACGACACGGCTGCAAAGTCCTTGTTTCGCTTCACCAAAAATCCCCTCGGCATTTTGTCTACCGGTGGAACAGGAGTGAATTAAATTTGAGTGTTTGCTCTTAATAAATGATGTAGAATCTCAGGCTAGAGCTTCAAGGTCCCGGGTGGTTGACACAATTTCTCTTCGATACTCACTCAACTTGATGACACGTCTCGTCACTGATTCCGAAATGAAGATGCTGTTACTTATGTACACTCGGTCCGAGCTAATTGATGTATGCAGTGTGGCAAATAATGCATATCATTAACCAAGGCGTCGATGAAAAGGAAAACATATTAATGCAAAAAGGTGGCCCAGAGGTTGGGGGAAAGCCGAGGTGTAGCCCCCTGGGCCCCCACCCTTTGTTCGTCGGTGTTTGTTGTCTGTAGCTCCGGGTCCCAAAAGGCCTGGCACGCGCTGGGCTTTGTTTTGGATTGTTTACTCGGCGCGTGCCACCGTCCCGAGTCTGGTGCGACACAGATGAGGCTCATCGGCCACAAGGGACATCATTACGAACTTCCCCTTTCATTCAGTGTTGGCATCTGACCATTCAATGTATGGAAACCACAACCACTACAGTCATTTTTACCAACTCATTCTGAACAGGTTTCTTTATTCTGGTTAATGCGAAATATGCAGAGTCGATCCCCAAAACCAACTGCTGATATTGCTCCATAAATGAATTAAACTGGGACGGTTACCGCTGCCTATCAGCCTACTATCTTTCACAAACTAATTCGATCTAGTCTTTATTTTTTATTAGCATATCGATCGGTTTTAGATGGATCTACTGGTATGCAATTTTATCAATAATATGATAAGAACCACGGGGAGGGAATTCCTCAATGTAAGAACGAACCTTTTTTTTTACCCTCTCTCTTGGTAATTATTCTACTGGTCTGCGGCAGTTTCGGCTGTGGGCCATTCTCCCATCTGATTGGATGAAACCACGGACTATACACAACCACAAGCGACACCCCCTGCCCTTACACATCGTCATTATCTTCGGTTCACATTGCATTGGCCTATAGCCACGCGACTGGCACGCGAGTGGTGGTTTTTCTGTTAATCCCTAAACAAAAGAAGTCGAAAGCAAATGGCATTCCGCAAGTAAAGCCCTACAAGTTGCCGGGCCTTGCCTTTTGTTTGCTGCAGCTGCCGGTCCTACCCGCATCATTTTTTATCTCTTGTATGAGGTTCCGGGTTGTGCTGAGCATACATCCTGAAGCTGTAAACGGCACAAGCTCTGGTCGCTTTTGTCTCGCCTTGTTGACACTACATTGGGTCTATTAACAAAGACCCATAAAAAAACACTAACCTTGGTAAAAATCAAATTATCTTGAGCAGTTTCGATGATAATTATTCAGTCAGAGAGCGAAACTACACGGGAATTCCGTTGGACAATGACCTGAACAAAAGGATTTTTTGTCTTGTATAAATATGCAAAGACTCACTTCAAAGTCGGCTTTAGTTTCGTTGAGGTAAACGTGACGTATAGGCTAGGGGGTAATTCATGACTTCACGGCATAGGGAAAATTTACCAAATCGTGTCGATATTATTGAGTTTCACTTCCCTTTTTTTAATGCTGAGTTCAGATGCCGATTGGAGTAACGGAAACTTAGGTAAATTAATGAACCATTTTGCCGTTAAACACACAAGAAATTGTAGTATAATTATGCTCTTCAAAGTTAGTCTTAATTTGTAAGATCCCCTTTAACTGTTAAGACAGTGCATCTTTACTTCAAGAATCCTGTTATCCATGAATTTTTGAAATGTTCATTCCACAAAACATATCCATAAAAAAAGTGTGTAACAAAGAAATTTGATACAAAGCATTTCGCCATGGAAAGCTGTAGTGATGTTCCAAAACAATTAAGCACAGATATTCTTTCCACAGCCCATGTGATTTCTCTTTAACAAAATACAGGATAAGCTTGGTTCTATTGGAATTTCCAATTCGCGGTTGAATGGTCATTCCTGACCAGCTCGGAATTGACCATTATTGCCTGCCAATATTCCGTCTCATTGTCCACTCACGCGTTGTAAAATTGGGTCAGCTTCAGCCTGGACGGACAGACAACTTTGTAACAGCAGTTCGGCGCACTATACGTGCGTGCTGAAATTGCTGAGCAGTCTGAAACTTTTGTTTAAAGGGAATGTAGGCCTACATCATTGGCTTATGCTTTAATTTTCAGAAATGAACTATTTGAGGGGTTAGTATAATATATCAAATTATTGTTACACTGACATGTTAGAAGTTTTGTTTTCGAAAATGCTGGAAAAACCAAGAAAAAAAAATGTTCAAGTAGTCTGGTTCCCTGACTCCACTGAAGATGAAATGGATCAATTTACAGATGCCGGAAAATTGTACGCTAAGGGAACCAGTCTAGCTGACCTGCACCCATTCATGAACATAAAACCAATTAGCAAACAAAATTGGACTGAAAAAAATGGTAAATTTGGAGCAGTAGTCAAAAAAAAGTTAGGTTTTTCCTACGGTGATCGGCCGACCACCGTTGGAAATGTAAACAAAAAATAATTTTCTTGAAAATGACTTCAAACCAGGTGCCATAATTTTACAGGATGCTTTAGACTGTCATTTACCGACATCCTGTAAGGTATTTCGTAAAAACTTGGTCATTTTATTTTTCGATGTTTGCAAGTGTTGTATTTTCCCTTTAAGGAGAAAGGTGCCATGACTTGACTTTTTTGGCTGCTCCCATATCTTCTCACGAGGAAGCCGTTTTCGATCGTGTTCCCTGAATATATTTTATAAACTGCAAACTGTTGAATGGGATGGTGCCAGACTTTTTTTTTTATAATTGGTGTGCGTTCCAAGCCACTTTCAATTTTTTTTTGTAAATGTGGCTTAAAACATTAAGATATGTTTTAATCAATTTTTAAAAACTTATTCATCAGAGCAGACTGGTATTAATTAGTATTCAACTTTATTTCGTTACTTTCATTTCTACTTGCAAGTTTCAAAAATGAAGAATTAACCTGGCTTTCAATTCAATATGGCCGACTCGCGAAAAACGTGTATATAGGCCTAGTCATCTTTGTATCCGATAGACTGACTGACTGACTGCCACTTGTGAATTACACTGGTTACTCGTTTCTATCGTGTTACAACTTCAACTAACTCTACGAATTTGTTAGCCATTCTAGATCAATTAAATAGAATTGTGCGCTCTGAAACCAGCGGTATATATCATGGCTTGCCTATTGTAAATTTGCTTCTGGGTGATTGAACTTACTCATTTTTTCCCCTAGAGCTTGCGGGTTCGAGTCCCATCCGAGTAACCCTGATGATTTATTTTCAGAATCTGTCGGAAAGCGCTCCCAGCTTTCCACTGTTGCAAGACAAAGCTTCAAAAACCATCTAAACAAGGGACAACTTGTTATTAAACTTCGACTTCAACTGATCAGAGATTTTAACAACACGTGTACAGAGTGATTCACTTGAAAATCAAATCACTTAAAAATCAAATCAGATTGGTTCATATTTTCAACTTGCCAAAGATGTGGAAAAAAATAGTGACTTGACTGACTTAATTCACCTCCGAAGTCCGATATGCTGCAAGTTTCAACTTGTCCTAAGCATGAGAAACGTTTATCTTTAGGATTTCTCAGTGTTTCAAATTCGAAGCCCGGATTACAATAACGCCTTCTTGCGCTAATATTTAAACAGATGGACAAAGACTTGTTCTTCTTCGCATACGTAGACCCGCATCAGTTTAACATGGGATGGTCTTTGTGGGTTCATGCAGAGGGCTATTCAGTCGAATTGTTTGCAAAATCACGACCCATCTCACTGTACTTTTGAGCCTTTGTAAAAATGTAGTCATACACACTTTAGTTATGCGCACCAATTCAGTTCTTTTCGAAGCAAATGCTAATGAGTGGTTTGTGGTTCATTAACGTACACCACGCGCAGAGTTAATCATTGTTATTTTCATGAACACATAGAGTGTTTTTGTCCCAGATGGCGCCTCATTAGCGGGCACAGGAATATACATTTTGGAATTTATCCAGCAGATTTGAGCTTTCCCCTCACAAAAGGATTTTTGATTGGGTAGCAAATGGAAGATCCTACTTTTTAGCATATGAACATTTTGTTTGATATAAAAAGGTGCAGCATGTTTCGGTTCGAGGGCCAAAGAAACAGCTTGTTAAAGTCATTCGTTCAACATAAGTTGTGTACTGGCCTGAGTAACATGCACTAAATGTGATAAATGTACATGTAGTGGCATCTGCAAATTCAGGAATATAAACACGTCTAAAATTCTAACATTGGAACTCATTGTCTGAAGAAAAAAAACACATATGGGTCCAAACAATTACGGCGTGGGGTTCGGGGCCAGAAATGTTTTTGGCTTCTAGATGCTCTGTGGTGCGATCTGAGGCAATTTCTGACCACTTTAACCAAATTTTTCTTATGGAAAAGATGTGTACGCAGTGCCTGCCTTTATTGCGACGCCACTTAAAAAATAAATGGTTTTTTTTTTTTTGGGGGGAATCCCCCCCCCATCCGCCCTTGGTAGTCGTATTTGTGGTTGAGAGGTAGCACTTTTGACGAATTTGATTCAAATAAACACAAATGCTATGAGCTACATGTAAATTGTTTATTTTTTTTATGTAAATCTTTATTTTTATTCTTCATATAACTGAAATATTACACAATGTATACTGCATAATTGACACACAATCGAAAACAAATATCTCTAAAAAAGACTTAATGTGATGAAATGGGGATTCACAAGATCTTTAATACACTTTTAATTGCAATTCATTTTGTAGGTATTGAACCCTGGGGTGCAACATCCAATATTCTGCTTAATATGTAAGCAATCATTATGGTTTTAAAACCAAGAGGAACTTTCACAATAATTTGAAACATACTTTCATTACCATGCTTTAGTGCTTCCCCCTTACCGGCAAACAATTTCACAAATGCATGTCAATTTTTTTGTCAATTGGTGGATATTTTTGAATAAGAAAATGCCAATTGTTTTTTTTAATTAGTCAGGTTTCAAACTCAATATGGCTCCAGATTTGTCAACAATAATTATGATTATTGAAAAGAATGAATTTGAGGTTCATGTTTGGTACTTCCTGTGATACAGAGATTGCTGTTAATTGGGTACTAAATCTAAGGCCATGATCAGCTTGTTATCAGTGAAATCCTAAAGATTGCACGATAATAACAAGACAAAATTATGCAGGAGTTTTCACTCTAGATTTTCTTGACAAGCTCAGAAATCACTACCAATTCAGTTGAAACTTCAACATCTAACTTAAAAATTTGAGGGTTGATTTCCAGAATAACCAATTAACATGAAATCCTGATCGAATCCGTGGGTATTTTAAGACCGAAGCCTTGTAAGTCTTGCCTAATGTTTAAATCACTTCTTTCCCATTTCTTGCATTAAATGTACACAAGACAACTACAAGCAACCCATACTCTTTGCTGAACATCTTTGGTTTAGAGCAAAAAAAGACGACAAACACAATCGTAGTATCATGAGTTACTATCCTGTATAGTCTGATGAATCCTAAGAATGACATTGGCTGTGTCTACAGCAACATGTAATGCATTGAGCTTTGCAACAAAGGAGTCTAAAACCAAAGGTGTGCTTTTGCCAGCAACAGGAGTATTTGGTGAATGCGTGTCATTGCTTTGCAGTTTTCCTAGCTCCTTTTGTTTGGGCTGCTTGTCCAGAGTTCTGTTTTGTATCAGGTCACCCGATTGGTGGTTCACGTCACTGGTCTGTTGTCTGCAGCCCAACAGCAGCCAATCGCTGCCTGCCTGAAAGGACTTCATTCCACATGCACACTGTCCTAGCCAATCAGATGGGCTAGTCTGACTGAGTGGGAGGAGCCACCTGTGGTGATGGACATCGTCAGTGACTTGGCTGTTTTGTCCATGTTCCAGGGCCCTCGCTACCGACTCAATGCAGTGGATGAAGTTGTCAGCTGCCATCTTGAATTGCAATCTGGAACATCCAAGATCATCTAAGATGTCTGACTCTTTGGCTTTTATCTGCAATCAAGACAAAAAAGATTAATATCTTCTTAGCATGAAACTTATTCGACCATTTTTTTTCCTTTGACTAAAGGTATATTTTTTTTAATGCTTAATATAAAGATTAGGCCTATTTTTTTTCAAAAATGCTCAGGAAAAAGTTTCATTTTTCTGCTTCAGTCCAATACAAGCTGAAATTTGAATGCACACATGTTCTCTTATGATTTGTCATAAACTTGCATAAATGGCTTTTTCTTTTTAGCTGCTGGATAGCAACTCATTAAATCGTCGGACACACCACGAAGTGATGTATAGTGTGCACAAAGTCCACAAATGTACGTCACTTCCTGGTACATCATGTCACCCGTTAGTTAGTAAATTAGTAACACACGTTGACATTATCTATTGCTCCTACATATTTTGACCGATTTCAACCAAACTTTGTCAAAAGTATCAGTATCCCAGCCCAAGCATGTCACATTACCAAACTGGGGTCAAAGGTCATCATGGGGTCACTCGGATCAAAACCTAATTTTTTTTAACTTAAAACATTACTCCTTCCTGAAATTACATGGCACAATCATGCGACTCATGCATGAACAAGCATGAATTCATTGGTCAACAGCTTCTGAGATCTGATCGAGCTTGATACATGTACTTATTCTTTTGCTTTCTTGTTACTTGACCACGGCACTGATAAACAACATTATTGAAAGAAGTCCAATTTACATCTTCATATATGTGTACCTGTTTCTGTAAAAATACCACAGGCTTCTTATTTATATTCTCACTTGATTTTTGAGACCAGTGCATTTATTTACACGATTTTAGTTTTGTCCACAATAACAAGATGTGTTCTCCACAAGTTGGGATGTCTAATGCGTGAAATAGTCTATGTTTAATCATAGTCATGTATCAGATACACATTTCCATGGCAAAACAATAAAGCATGCATTCTCATATCATGATCATCAATGAAATCGTTTATACCCTAGGCCTATACAGGCAGTCATACTTTTGGTGTTCCAAAATAAAGAGCAAGGAAGTGAAAAGAGGCAATAAAGACGAGCTGACTTCACCTGTTGTTTGAGGTGAGCAGCCAGACAGGCCTCACAGCAGCCAGCCCCAGGCAGGGCCAAGGGACGAGACAGGGTCATTGCAAGGACATGGTGGGCAGCACTGCAGGCAATCTACACAAACAGAAATCAGCCACGGTATCAGTGGTGAAGATTCAGATCCATTGGTTGACAATTTCTTGTGGAACATGAAACACCAGACTAGGTGGTAAATGAGAACTACAAGGTGGGATTAAAATCCAGATTTTTTTTTCAAAGTTGGTTTTAATTCCATTCTTCAGTTATGATTTTGAAAACCAAATTTGAGTAACTAACCTTAAAAAAATTAAGTCTCCCACTTTTTTTGTGACACAAACTAAAGAAAATAACTGGAACATCCCCAATTTGCTGTTGTAATTGCATTCACTCGTTAGCAGTCTTTTTGGTTAATGAATAGCCTGGCCATTCGACTGATCAGAGAGTTCCCACCCTATTTTTCAACATTACAGCTCTGGAGTGTTTTTGTAAATGCCCTGTGGTCATGGAATCCTGCAACGCATACCCAATCATTGTGGAGGGCATTGCAGGCAGTACCTCACTTGTCACTTTTTGTTGGCATGACTGTGAGCTGGATGGGAAGTTCGGAAAAATCAGAAGAAATTTTTTTCTTCTACTGATATCATCACCGTAAATATTTTTTTTTAAAGCACGCAGAGCCTTTATGAGTTTTAAGACTGATGTTTTGCATTATTTCCTTTATTTAAAAAAGGAAAGTGACATAGCATTCGGGCAAAATTTCAAATTTGGGAGTGGGAACCAAAAACTGTCTGTTATTCTATTGACTATGTGCAGGAGAAACACACTCATTCTTACTCATTCACAGATGGAAGCATGGAGTTTTTATTATTATGATTATCCAATATCATTGAATATTAATATTCATAATAGCAGTCTATGGTCACAGCAACTGGTCATTGCACCTTTGAGATCGGGGGTGGGGGATGGGGGTGGGGAATGGGATGGGGGAATGGGGGTGGGGGAATGGGGTGGGGGAATGGGGTGGGGGGATTCTCACAGAGGGTAAAATTACAATTGTAAATCAGACGTTATCTATTGAATATATTTGTCTGAACAAAAATGGACATGATAAGTCAATAAAAGTTAATTCTTTATTAGTGACAGAGCTTATCACTCTATGTATGAAGGCACACAATTGATAATGCTTTTTCATTTTGTACGACCCTTTGTGTCTTATTTCACCCCAGCGAATTTAACAAACCATGACCAACCTTTAACTCCTCCAAGGCCGATTCTGTGCGGTTACACAGGACATAGGTGCACACTGGACGGCAGCGGTTCTGTAGATGCATGTAACTCTTGCCATACAACACAAGGTGGGTCAGATTCCCTATAACACCGAGGGCATCTTCTGGAATGGTTGACTGTACAGCTCCTAGTGGTCTGGCTCCTAAAGGAATAAATAACGATGATGATAATAAGGTCCTCTTTGTATCTATCTCACTGAATGACTGATTTCCTGACTGACCTGTCACTTGTGAGCCAGAGAGTGCTCATACAGGATTATCCCGTAACACCAATGAACCGGCTAAAACCGGTCCACTGTGTAGACCAGATGCATGAAAAGACTGGTTCTCTCAAAAGTGGTAAATTAGCGCCCTCTCTTGTTCGTGCATGGAACCCATGGGGATCTTGAGTGCAGAATTGCTGTTAGCAGAGCCATTCAGATGTCAGGTGTTAACCCTCCTGCTATTTAAGCAGTCAGTCGGGCAAAATTCACTTCCACTTCCCCTGCTATACTTTTAACAAAGGCTAGTCACCAGCAGTCAGATCATACATATGTATGTCCAGCAAGCACTGTATCTAGTCAAACTGGGTAAACAGACAAAGCAGGCAAGTTGTGGTCACAGCTGTTTTATCACTCTCTGGAGTCAAAGCACAGCTGTATCAGGTTACTTAATCAGTCCAAGCCAGTCAATCCTGCTTTGTGTGGGCTGGGAATTCTTAAGGGTTGAAAACAGTCACTTGATTGATTTTGACTGCAAGGACAACTTGTTTGTTTGCTTAGCAGCTTAAATGACATGGTACCAAGAAGTCAGGGTAAGAAACACATCATGCCTGGCTAAAGATCACAAAATCAAACTCATCAAAGGGGTAACTTAGTTTCTTCTACATCCAAGAAAAATCCTACATTATCCAAACAATTAGAGTCCAAAATATTGCAAAAATCCTTTGTTAAAAAAAACCAACAGCTCTGTTTTGGTTATAAAAGAAGCTGCTGAAATTTGCTGGGATCCATTTTTGTTTTTAGAATTTATAATGAATTAAGAAAATTCAGATGGAAAAAATGGACGAGAACAGAGTTTGCTCCGTACCTGTGACCATCTGCACAGCATCAATGTGGACAAGGGACAACCTGTCTATTGTCAAGACACCGTGGCTTCTCAGGAAGCGTTTGAGGCAGGGATGGACAACCTTCTGACAAGCTAAGAGCCCAACCCTCAGCTGGACGAGGCAGCTTCCAAGGGTAAGGAGGTGGTTCTCTGAGGCTCTATCAACGGTTACACCCTCTCCGGTCTCTAGGTGAACATCTGGGAAGCTTTCTCCGCCCCCAGCTAAGGAGGTGTTGAAGAGGGCTACCTTGATGCTGCCATCGTCTTGCCTAGGAAGGTTAAATCCTTTACTTGTGTATGGTGGAATCTGTGGAGATTCGATGAGAACTCCTTCCACAATGTGTGAATTCATCGGAGTCCTGCCTTCGACAAGGACGTACTTTAATGACGGGATGCTTATATTCGACTCTGAGGATGGTAGACCATAGAGGAAAGCCTGAAGAGTAAGGTTACAGATAAGGTCAGTCTCTCTCAAACTTAGCCCGCAAGCAGGCTTTGTGGAGATGACCGAGCGAACAAGACTCATCATTGTCTGCGAGTCTGCGATGTTGACGTCGACTCGACAGGAGTCATCTGAGTTCAGATAGTCCAAACACAGCTTCAGCATGAGCTCGTTGATGTCAATGCATAGAACGGGGTGAAGATCTAATTCGCTGCAGCTCTGGATGAGGTTTGTCATCAGCAGGGCACAGAACAGGCCGCAGTCGCTGCAGGAAGCCACGTGGCCCTCAAAGGCGGCTAACATGAGTCGCAGGAAGGGTCTGGAGACAGAGAGCTGTCTCACGAGTACGGATGCAGTGGAGGTAACGGTCACCTGACCACCGCAGGAGTTCTGGATTGTCTTGAGATGCCCAGCAGGGCCATAACATGATTGGATCAACAGCTTGAATGTCTCTAGGGCCTGAGCAACGTCACTATGTGACAGCTTCTGGACAGTTGTCAGAGTCTTTTGCTGCTGTACGCGAGGGATGCCTGGTGACATAGCAGACATCTGAAAAGTTGCCAAAAAGATACAATTTAATCTAAACAAGACTGGGCAAGACTAGTAAAGCTGGTCCCAGGCTCATTTGGTATTTAATAGGAGTCTAGGTTATCATCTGAGTAATTTTTTGGGGCAAGGTGAGGCTCATGCAAGTCTAATTTACTAGTGAGAAATAGGCTGCATCAGAATCAGCTGTCTAGAGCTAGGTCTAGGTCTGCGCCCGTTGAAAATGCATGGGGATGCGCTTATAATAGACGTAGCCGCAGCTCTGGAAGCCTGTTTCGGACACAGCCTCAGTCCATCAGTCACTCAGTGACTTACGCACAAAGAGGACTGTAGGCTTATCCTTTGGGACCAGAAAAAAGTCAAAAAGATGGGCAAAGGAGAGACTCATTGAAATCTAATTTAACAGAGAGAGTCAGTGAGTTTGCCCTTCTCCGACGTATAGCTTGGTGGTTGAGTGGTAAGACGTTTGCACTAGAAAGCAGGAGGTTGTGAGTTTGAGGCCAACCCAAGCGATTTTTCTAACTTTTACTCAGGAAGTAACACACTGAGTAAAAAGTGTTTACGTCAGAGAAGGGCAAAACCTAATATCGATTTACAATGAGGACTGTTGGCTGGCCCTCTTGAACCAATGGAAATGTTAATCTAAACATTATATTAACAGCTTACTGGCATGCATCAATTTGGTAAACAATTATATTTTAAGAAATGATGTTTTAAAGACACTTCCGGTCGAGTAGCTAACCCGAGTGAATTTGTCACAAGTTCATTTCAAGTCAATCATGAGTCACCCAGTTCCAAGACAAGTCTGAGCTTCTCCAATAAACTGTGACAAAAGATATTTCTCTCCTGTTACTTGTGACTGGACTTGTGATATGATGCGTGATTTACTTGTGACCGGACAAACAGACTTGTGATGGCCTTAACAACACTGGAAATAGGGGTGTGCATTGGAACCTGGTACCCGAGTACATGTACTTGCCGTTGATGTCAGGAACCAGTTCCAAATTATGGAAACAGGTATCCGTAACCAACTTTACAAATTACTCAGTAACTTCTTCTCAGACAAGGGTCTATTGCTATTTTTTTGGACTTTTCGAAATGAAAACCGGGATTTATGGAAAACCAAAACAAAAGTTTTGTTTATGTGCCCGCGAAAGTTTCAGTTTATACTGTAAATGCTCTTTAGACAACTTCCGGGATTTGAAGTTTGGGGTTGGGTTTCTTTTACGGATACTCTGGTACCCGTGTTTTACTTCAAAGGGTACCCGTGTACCCGTACAGCCCATAAATGCACCACTAACTGCATATTTAAGCACTGTATATCGTAAAGCAATCTTACCTTGACTGCTGGTAAGTAAGACTAGTCTTCCTTGTCAGCAGGCGGTGATGGCCCGGTCAGGCTGCGTCTGGTCTTAGAAGTGCTGAGGGCCGTTTTCTGGACGGTGTAGATAGTCAAGTGAATGGTCAGCAAGGCCATGCCCACCGACAGCAGCTTGTGTTTGGCCACCCAGACTGGTAGTTTCATGCTTGTGGTGAATATGTACAAATACCTGTTGAAAATTTACAAAAAAAAGTGTGCACGTTAATTCATTTTCTTGCAAGCCTATTTTATGCTCACAATCAAATAAAGGCTTCTGACTAGCGCCCTTGAACAGAGACATGGACTAAATCAGCAAAAGCAACCAAATTTTCTCCAAAAGGAAGAATCAAATGTCAAAATAATTTGTCGGTGGTTGTCACTATTAAAGCAATGATCTTTTGGGCATACAATGTAGTGCGTAGGCATTATATTCACTGTGTGGACTTCTGAACAAAAGAGGTCCACATAAACCAGGTAGAGGAGACGTTGTGTGGACTTGGGCAAGTCCACACAGTGTTTCCCCATTTCTGGAAAACAGGTTTAGAGGCATTTTTGGGTTAGGTTTATCTGTGGCAGAATAAAGAGAAACACTAAAGGGAATCATAGAAAAAAATTGGGTCGAAAGAGTTTTCACAGTTTGAGAAAAATGATTTTTTTCACTGGTTTTTCTTAACTACACGAAAGCAATGGAATGTCCACACTACGTATGTAACGTAAACATGTGTGTGCAAGTGAGTGTGTATGAGCAGTCGACAGATGGTTGATTACAATAATAATAGTTTCGACTACACTATAATGAACAAGATGGGGTCCACAAAATATTGTTCAGTATAATGGGCATTCGTTATTGTGATTTTCGGAAGCCAATTATGCTTGATGTACTTTTGCATATAATTTGGAAGCCAAAAAGGATGGTTGTCATAGCCCAAATGTTCAGTATAGTGGTGTTTGATATAGCGATGGTCAACTGCACCATATGGACTTTAATTATGTGCATGTACATTTTTGGTATCTTGTTGTTAATTTAGGTAAAAAGTAGAATCATGTAAATATTGTAATAAAAAGCCATCCTCTCTGAGTGATCCCTGTTTGCTATTTCCCAGGTTTGCAGCATTGTTAATGTTGCTGGCATCGTGACTATGGGCATGATCCGTGGCTACACATGGCATACACAGGTTTTTGACAATGATAAAATGGAGAACCACTAATATAGAGCGAAGTAGCTCAGTTGGTACAGCGCCGGTACGGTATTCCGGCGGTCGCAGGTTCAAACTCCGCACCAGTCAATTTCTTTGGCCAATTCTATTTAATTATTTTTCTAAATAAAATATGAAGTCACAGCCCTACCTTGGATGCGATGTTACTTAGCCTCGGCTGCCTGACCAGTTTGCTTAGCACGTTTGCTCTTGTAGTAAGCAGGAGTGATGTCCAAGGGTTTTTGGGTGGGGTTGAATGTTGGACTGCTGGCTATGTGGTACCAGCCAGCATGAATTATGGCAAGGCCAACAACTCCGACTATTAGCACCCTGTAACGACTGAAGAAGCTCATTCTGAACGATGGCAGATGGTTTTCTGTGGGAATGGATAAAAAGTATTAATTATTGAGATGAACTTACAGCGTAGGAGTAACGCAGCGTACAGGACAAATGCATAATACCAATACAATGTAGGGCTCATGACTCAGAGGGTCATGGGTTCAAATTCAGCTGCTGGCCGTATGTTGTGTCCTTGGGCAAGCCACTTCTCCCCCACTTGTCTCTCTCGGCTAAGCGCGCAAGCACTGGCAGGATGCACACGCACGCGCGGTTGCTATAATTCGTCGGATCAGTGCGCGACATCGCGTAGCTGCAATGGGCTCAGTGAGAACGTGTCTCGGACGCTGAATTCAATCCCAATTCAAAACACGATTCAGCAACTTTTGATTTGAAATTGAGATCCTAGAATGCTGTTTTTCTCGGAATATAAAGCTGAAGCTGAGCTGAAACTTCATCAGGTTAGTTGTTCAGTACCCTTCTTTAGATTTTGAGCACTTTTGTTGCTTCCAACGAACAAAATGCACAAATTTAAAAATAATGGACTATATCCTTAAACATTTTGAAACTTCAGGTATAATTAGCTCATGCCGTACTGTGTCGATTTTTGCATCACATAACCAGAGGCGACAATTTCTTGATTTTACATTCGCTGGTCACGTGACAATTTTGTTTTAAAATTGGGATTTTTTTTTGAGGAAATGTTAGGCATATCTGGTTATAACATCTGCATGCGAGTATAACTTGTTTATAAAGTTTTTCGTGTAATGGTGAGGATGATTTAGCAGATTTTTGTTAAATCTAGCAGGATTTTGAAGTGCAGCTAGCAGAATTTTGCGATTTTCATCTGGTCACCCTGTCAGTTGCACATTATTGTCATTTACAGTGCACATGGTGCACAGTGACCGTTTTAGCCGATTTTCGGCTAACTGTGGCAGATGTTTTGTTAAAAAACAAGTTTTACTGAAAATTTGACAGAATGGATTTTTTGGGCAGATTTTTGGCAGAAATGCAAAAACGGTTATTTGACAGAAAAACATAGCAAATTTGAAAAAAGATGATACATTTGTTTAAAAAAGCTTAAATTTCAATCTTTTCAAACAAACCCTTGCATTATGGGACAGGGGAAACAATGTTGCAACCTGATGCCACTTTTTCGTCATATATCATCTCAATGATGGTCAGTCATTGCAAAAATTAGGATTACACATGAAATTAATTGGGAGTGGAGAAACATTTCCAATTTTGTTAGGAAATACTTAGACAATTTTCTTGACTCTCCACAGACTTTGTACACAACCACAGAAGTGGCGTCAGGTTGCAACATTTCTTTTCTGGGACAAGTTGGCTGGGCTAGAACCACCGGAATTCGTCATGAAGCAACCACATTTTGCCTGAATTTTTTCGCAATTGCATAACATAACAACATCTTTATGTGACTATAGATTAGATTGTTTATAATGTAATTTGAACCTTAATTAAGGCAATACTACTCCTAGAACTATGAGGCTCCACGTAGTGGAGCCTCATAGGTTCAGAAGCCCGCAAAATTGTTGTCAGCACAAAACACTAATTAAGTACAAAAACGTCCATCCCAAGCAGGCCGTTTTTCACAGAACCGCTGCACAGTTTGCCCCTAAACTCCATACAATACCTCATGAGATACTCACGTTATGTGCACCCAACAAACATCGGTGGATTCTGTCTGTTTTTCGGCAAAAATGATGAAAAATATGCCCTTTCTGCACTGAGCCAACCTAACACTTGAAACGAGCACGCGTGCAGAATGATCGCAGTCATTTTCGGTTCGATCGCTCGGAGCGCGCCGCGGGGGGTATGGTGTAGGAGCGGAACCACTGATCTCTATATAAAGACTGGATAGCGGATATGCATACAACATTCACACAGTAGACTTTGCATATTGACCAATTCGCCCCCGGTCTCACGAAGATGGCCGCGCATAATACGAACGTTCTACGCGTAAATACGCGCGCGTTGTATCAACAGTTGACGCGCATTTTGGTCACGTACACATATTATGATGTTCTAAAAGGAACACATTTCCGTAGTGATTATTTTTTCAAAAACGCCAAAAAAGTGATTTGCGGCATTATAAAAGTAACCACTACGTTAGAAAAATTGTAGTAAACCTTGGTCAGTTGGTCAGTGGTGGTGGCCAAAATATAAGTCAAGTGAGCCGCGACGTTACAAAAGAAATCATGCTGTCTATAAAGACGGCAACTTGTCCTTTGTAGATCACCAGCCGGTCTCACCAATATGGCGTCAAATTCGTACATTGTGCAGCTCTTTATTAGCTATCCAGTCTTTATATAGAAATCAGTGAGCGGAACGATAGTATGCCCATGCGTACAAGTGCAAATACGTACCCCCCGCGGCGCGCTCCGAGCGATCGAACCGAAAATGACTGCGATCATTCTGCACGCGTGCTCGTTTCAAGTGTTAGGTTGGCTCAGTGCAGAAAGGGCATATTTTTCATCATTTTTGCCGAAAAACAGACAGAATCCACCGATGTTTGTTGGGTGCACATAACGTGAGTATGTCATGAGGTATTGTATGGAGTTTAGGGGCAAACTGTGCAGCGGTTCTGTGAAAAACGGCCTGCTTGGGATGGACGTTTTTGTACTTAATTAGTGTTTTGTGCTGACAACAATTTTGCGGGCTTCTGAACCTATGAGGCTCCACTACGTGGAGCCTCATAGTTCTAGGAGTAAGGCAATACTACAAATCTGCATGTGATTTTAAGTGTTTATCATAGTGTAGATAGTGTATTTCTGGAGAATTTGGCCGATTTTTGATAAATCTGACAAAGTGACAGATTTCTGAAGTGCATTTGCCATGACTTAGGCCGGTTGCCGGTTGGTCGGCCTGGCTGGGCTGCATTGACAATGACATGATTCTGTTTCTGCATGATCGATCGAGGAAGGCATAGACTGCTGTAAATTCATGGACGTCGAGGGCTGACGTTCACGTCTTTTCAACATAACGACCAATCAAAAATGGTGAAAATAATATGCTAATAATTTCTACAGAGCAATATGGCAAAAGGCATTCAAAACAGAACTTTTCTAACGACACAAATGACCAATCAACATTTCTTACCTGCCTACGAAATGATGTAACAGACAGTCTGGTACCTTGTTCATGTCATGCACGACTTAATATGAGGCTGCATAAAAAAAACATTTTTGGCCTCTGACTAAAAAGTCCACTGGGGCGCGGAGTTTCATTTTCTTGACCAGAGATTTGGACTCCGTTATATCTTGCACGATGTGGGCATGACTCAGCTGCAGCTTTGATGTTCTTGAATTTGAAAAGTGAACTTGCAATGATATTACAGCGTAATGAACAAGCATGGACGAGAAATGCATCACTATTTGAAGGTATAATTTGGGACTAATAATAACGTAACGAATGTAGGCCTACGTATAGGCCTATACAGTACAGGTTCTTTTTTTACACACGTTTTGGACTGAACATGCACTGCTGAACCGGTTAGGGGCGGAGATTTCAGCCGGGGGGGGGGGCTTTCTGCAAAAATAGATTTGGTCAGAATTATTATTAAGGAAAGATTCCCATATCTGGTCATCACTTGTCACCCAGTGCACAAACCGTATGAGACTGGTCTGAAAATTTCCAAATGTTTTCTCAGTAAATACTAGTCTCTAATTTTCCCTGCTAACTAAGTTAAGTAGAAAGTAACATGACCAAATTTGACTTTTTACTTTTTACTAGTTTTAGGACATTAGGCCTAATTATTTTCTGATGGCTGATGGGTCACTGAAGGGAAAAATTAGTGATGGCCAGATATGGGAATCTTTCCATTATTAATGAAACCAATTAGCTCGCAAGCCTGCTGAAGTGAAGAGACCTGTCAGCCTGTAGCCTGTATCAATGTGCCAAGAAACAGCGCCGTGAAAATTTTGGGCCTGTCCAGCCAAATTTGCACAAGGGTGTCAATTTACGATTAGCTGGAGTTACCCAGCCCTAAATTTTATAATTGGGTTGTCATTTAGGACAACCATGACAACCCAATGATAAAATTTAGGGCTGGGTAACTCCAGCTAATTTACGACCACCTTTACACAAACTGTAAAGTGCCCGCATAAATTTAAATTGTGCAGTGAACTTTGCGTGCTTCAGAAATAATTGCGCAATTTGAAATTTTGTAGGCAGGCTGTTTGTCATCCATTTTTTCATCTTTTTTTTCCTAAGATTGCAGAATTTCCAAGATGGTGGATGGGTTCTGCCATTTTCTCGGCTAACACAAAACTGTGTCCAAAGGAGCCGTAACCCTTTCTACATCTACATTTTATTGGAAACAAATAAAAAGACAATAAAAATAAGCCCATTGAAAATTTATATCAGGTCACATCACCCATATATGATCATTACAGTAATAAATGTCACTTTGTCGTTTTGAATTCTCAGCTAGGTAAGATGCTGGTCTCCTTAGATCTCTGCATCCTCAATCAAGAGAGAAACGATAGCTGGTTTCAAGAGAGACACCGACAGGTAAGTAAACAAGCTTTTGTCACACAGATTCTTGTGTCATACAGAATCTGTGTCATACAGAATCTGTGTTGTTTTGGTAATTAAATTAGCTACTTGTACATCCATGACATCATGACGTTTTCTTGGCAGTTTCATGTACAATTTTGCTTTGTTCGTTTATAGCAATACATTTGTGGTCTCAATTAAAAAAAGCATCAATCATCATGAATTTTTGTACCGAAGCGATATCTTGTTATAATGTACAGGACTATACACAAGTGCATGTAAGTGTTACGCCCCAACTATAGCAGTGGTACCAACTACTGTTGCGATCATTCCATCTATATTGCGACAGTTCCCATGATAGTTGGGACGATCCCAATATCTATATATGTGGTATACGTTGTGATTGGACTTTGCAAAGGGAATTACTTAATGCCCAAGTGTTTAATCATATTTCGGAAGTAAAAAAATTAAGCTTTCAAATTCCCCATTTACAGGAAACAATTGCTTTATTGCAAGATGTAATCGCTGAAAGGATCCGCCAGTTCTACGCCAAGAAACGAGCAGCGCGGGCACGCAGGGATGACAAAGAAAAAGTTCTTAAAGCAGAACCTTCAAAGATGCTGCAGGGTGAGCCAACCAAACAACAAAAGACCTTGATATATTTCCCTCCCCCCCCCAATCATCCCATTCCCCCCCCCCCTCCTGCTTAAATACATTCCCCAAATCGGGGAGTATTATTGGGCCAATCACAAGTCCATCAGAGATTAAAATATCAGTAAGGTCACGAGTAACGGGGGGGGGGGGGGGGGGGGGGAGGGGGGGGGGACAAACAAAGCTTTATCGGAATAGCCTGTGACTTTACTTGAGACTGGATGACTTAATTGTAATTTCCTTCTGTTGACTTGTGCTGGTTTGATAAGAACTCCAATAACATTAAACAAAACCAAACCTTAGCATAGCTGAAGTTACTGCAAAGCTTAGCCCATCTCACAACATTATCCCACAATTCCCCTACTTTTCCCCCAAACAAATGCTACATTTTGCTGGCATCATCCAATAATTATTTGAGTGCAGATTGTCCAGTGTAGTTCATTATATGGAAATACCTAATAAATTATCAATTATAGCCACTCCTGTGAAAATTAACAAATGTACACATTTGAAATACAGGTTTTTTTGTTTAACCACCTATATATAACGTGTTAATGGATTTCTGGATTTGTTTGCATTCAATGTGTTTGTAATTATTTTGCAGGTAATACAGTGAAGATTGGCTACAAGTTTACCAAGAGGCCTGTCACACAACGATGCCTTTTTATGAGTAAATACATGCATATAACTATATGTGTTCTAATGTTTAATCCCACATGAGTACAGTAACTTATTATAGGAGTTATCGTAATAATAATGATAATTACCATTACCCTGGATTGGGCATTTGGGAGACATCCCCGTAGACTTGTGCACACAATTTTTCAAACTTAAATGTGTCCTAACCCAATATTCCCTTGTCCTTTTTCCACAAATTTCGATATGTTTACTAATTAGACCACAAGCAACAAATATAATCTAATTGCGACGGTAAAATTGTGCCTCTAAAGGGGGGCTGTGACATTAGGGAGACATGAAAATGTCTCCCTAATGTCCGATGTCTCCCATCGTTCAAAGAAATTACGATACCGTGTCTCCTTAATGGTACCATTACACGTATAATAGCAGGCATTTATATAGCGCTTGTACGCTGCAACAGGGTATCAAAGCGCTTTACAATGATTATTTTCCCTGTTTCAATGGGCAAACACTCCTGAAACCCTTCTTGGTTAGCAATTTAATATTGGGTTTTGCCCTTTACAGACATAATTTAATGAGCACTGCATACTCAGTGCTATCTGAGAGCTAGCAAGAAAAAATTCACAAACTGACTACCGTGAGACTTGAACCCATGACCTCCTTTTTACCAGTGCTGACGTGTGAACCACTCGATCACAGAGGTTGAAAGGGTTGGCTGGCTGGCTCGAATCCAATATAGCAGCAGGTTCTGTTTATGAAATTATGTCGGTGCAGGGCAAAACCTGACACACATCTCCCTGATGCAAAATTCCGTGATACAAGATAAGATGGTACCGAGTCACCGCATATCATTCAAAACCTAATCACAACTCATTCAGTCAAATGGTAAGCTGTTCAAATGATCTGTTACAAATTTTTGTCATCATTTGTCACCTGTCTCTTGTAACCTGACTTGTGATTTAACTTGTGTGAGCTCATATGGATCCAGAACAAATATACAGGTCCAAGATTGGATTTGGATTTTGTTTGCTATTTGCAGCTGGTCCTGATCAGGGTCAAGCCACTGTAGCATGGAGGATGCTGTCAACAAGGTGAAACTTTTGCACTCTTACCCAAGAAATTCTGCATATACCTCCTGCGCACTGTATTCGCGCTTATGGGGTGTGTGAGGTATGCTTGGAATTTCTAAAGTCCGAGTGCCAACGTTCCCCAGACTGTATATGATTAATCTTGTTGATGGCGCCCTGTACTGCCACGGCAGCTTGACCAGGCATGTCAGGGACCAGCTGCAAATAGAGAAGGGATAAAAAAGAAATTCAGTCTTGGACCAAGACTAACCCAGGCTCAACCAAAAGCCCATGAGAAATACCATCAGTATGCAATTGTTCAAAAGTGCTCTTGGTTTATGCCAAATATAACAAATATATTTGAATATTTGATCATCAACGAAATATCATAATCGCATTTTCCTGTTTTTATTCAAATATTAGAAAAATATGCGCAGTTTGAGGAGATGATGATAAGCGTATAAATTGTGGTTTTATTGTTTGTCAAATGCCACACTTTTGTTGAAAGCCACTTTAATGCATAATTTGAGAGCTTTCATAAAGAATATTACCTCAATTTCTTCTGTAAAATAAGTCTAATATCAGCCACTCCTCTACCTCTTCTTCATATTATAAATAAGCCCTGTCAATTATTGACAAGCGCAGGTGAACGCAAATCCCAATCAGCATGTTTAATTTGATCACTGCATTTCCACAATCGAATATTCAAATATTCGTTCAAGTCCAACTTGGAATAATCGAATACTAAATTATTCAAAAAATGCACTTAGCCTTAGTTGCATCGCAACATATAAATTGACACCCATCTGATTATTTGATGCAGAGGCAAAATTCGAGCACATCACTCTATTCCCTGAGACGTTGCACGTCTACGTCTGTGAGTACCACCCCTCCACCGTGCTTCAGACCACCGCCCAGCTACTTCACACCATGTACAGGGAGACCGACCCAAACCCAGTGGGCGTCAGCAACTACTTTCAGTCAGCGACCAATCCTGACACGGAGAGCATCACCAAGGCAACAGTATCTGCTCAAAAGAAGAGGAATAAACTGAAGAGAATGTAAGTTTTTATTTATTCCCTGCTGGATCTGATGTGATGCAAATCAGGCAGGCATCCTAGCGCCATAACTAAGTGGAATTGGGAACATTGATGCTTAAAATATTCAAAGCGTTGCGCAGCTCTGTCAATTTTTGTGAAATTGATTGAAATGCGTAGCACGAATCCCACGCATAGCGGAAAGTTTGCACTGTTTCATGAAACTAGCTGCTGATGAGGAGCTTGGCATTGTCAACATATCGTGACACCTGACATATGCGTGACACGTTGCCCACAGTGGCTTGGAGTCGTAAAAAGTTTAAAAACCCGTTCATAAATACCTGGAACAGTTTACCCATGCCTAATGGTCAAGCGCCTGCCACTTGGGTGGTCTTAAACCACCGTTTGAAGACTGGTCAGCTTTGATTAAGACCGGTCTTAAACAGTCCGTGCCACATGCGCGTATTGCGCATTATGCCTACAACCGGGTGCCCGAAACCACTGATATGATCTTCATTAAAGAAAATGTTCAGCAAACCACGCCCAGGACGTGCACCATAGAATTTTCCTGAACATTAGTAAAATGTTGAACAAAACATCATCGGAATTTTGTCAATTTTTTATGGTTATTGATCGAAAAAGATATTTATGAATGGGGATATTAGTGTGATGGAGCAGTTATAAACGTGATGTTATAAAAAATGGTTAGGGGGACTGGTCGTCAATAATAGCCCTTGCTTTTGGCTCAGGCCATTATCGGTAGCCAGGCCCTAGCCAGCTTTAAACCACAGAGTTATAACTGCCTCCTCACACTTTTACCTCTTAGTAAAATCTTATTCTTATTTCAGTGTCAAACGGCAGGATCGTGCAGTGCAAGCACAGACAGAGCCAGACTCCACAGAGAGTGGCTATGACACTCCTGATGGGATATCTGCAAAACTGGTGTCTCATCAGGACAAAGCTGGAGCCACAGGAGGAGATGCCCAAAGCAGTCAAGACTTTCAAGCCGGTTTCATAAATGGACAAGCTGAAGGGAAATCTAGTGTTGACTCCAAGAGTGACACTGCATTGGGACAAATCATCAAAAACCATGAGGCTTTGAGACTCGGGGGACGTTCAAAATTGGCGACAGGGATTGCTGGCATCCCGGAACAACCCAAGAAAAGGAAGCGGAACAGAGATTGGGCCCAGGAAGAGATTTCAGCCACGTCAGCTCACACCAGTGCATCCGTTTCAGACGGAGAAACCCGGGAACCAGTGAAGAGACAGAGAGCCAGTGATACCAATGGAGAAGCAGAGACTGTGCGCAGCAGAGGCGGCAAGCTTGACCCAAGAACCGGAAAGCAGACACTCGGTGCAGTTGCCAGCGATGTGGTTGCTAGGGCTAATGATGTTGAGATGGCAGCTGTTGCTGATGAGATAGTGGACCTGTGCGCAGAGGAGGTATATTCAGATGGAGATGTAGATTGTCTGGAGAACATCACGCAAGATGTTGAGTAAGTCCATTTGTTGAAGTGTCTACGGGATACTAATCAATACCCATTTCTTAATCTTAAAGTTGAACAAAGAAATTGAAAGTTGAAACAAAGAGATTGCCGTTCCGGTGCTCTACCACCTGAGCTATCCAGCCCTATGTTGGCGGTTCCCCAATTTATCAGTGTTATTTTGTTCAAGGGGCACTAGTCAGAAGCTATAAACCCATATGCCATGTAGCCAGGTATCACGCCAAGTCACGATGCTAGGAACATTAGAAACATTTCAAATAAAACACAAAGGGAAACTTATTAATTCAATCAATTCAATTCAATTTATTATACTCGTCACGTAAAAAAACATGAAAATTGATTTCCAGTGTGCATTATACATGTACAATAAGACCACAGATATATACAAATGTAAAATAAATAAAATTTGATGTAAAAAACAAAAGGTACTATAAGATATTAACACAATGACAGAGACTATATTTACAGACTACCAAAAATTACAAGGTTGTCATCCATTATAATAATTGCATTATACATGTAATAATTTTTAAGTTGAATACAGAAATTTAGTGAAGACGGATGTAAACCTATGATCTCTCGAACACTGTACTGGCGCTCTACAAACTGAGGTATCCAGCCCTACGTTGATGGTCTCCCAATTAAGTCAATCTCTTTGTTCCAAGGCCGGTAGTCAGAAGCCGTGTTTTCATGGCAATTAAACTGGAGCAGTTCACAATACATTGCATTGCCAAGAGGTTGCATCAGAAAGCCCATTTTGTTTTCTCAACGAATTATGTACAAAGAAATTGACTTCTGCATGCCAATTTTGTCTATTCACTTTGTGCTACCTCAGCAGGTCTTACAAATTTTTGTTGTACATAGTTCAAATTTCAATATTTTATGTGAGTACGGATGAAACATGTTTGTGTGATGCTGCATATAATCAATGGACGGATAAGTGAATAGACCTCTTGCAAAGAGCGCCCTCACGGTGGACAGCTTTTGTTATTTAAACCAAGTGACAATGGAAACTTGTACAAGTCTACTAATGCATATCACAGAAGAACAAAGACCCTAGCGAGGGAGCTTTATTTTCATGCTGTCACAATGACTACATCTCAATTTTTACAATCAATTGAGTTGCAGCACAGCAAGCGCAAGTATACAGGTTCATGTATGCATTTAATGCACAGCTACAGACCGTTTCACGGATACCGCCATCTTTGTGTTCACGGGGTAAGCTTTCAGGGCATTTCATTGAAAAGATTTCCATTATGCTTGCTCAGGATACAATGGCATGATGGTACATACGGTATTTACAATGAAATGCCCCAGGGTTACCACGCGACCACAAAGATGGCAGCATCACTGAAAACGGTCTATGGGTTGAATACCACTCAAAATGTGACGTGACAAAATTTGGTTTTACTGCAGCAGTTGGAAAGAGTCAAATCCTGGGTTGGGCACTTTATTGTAAAATAGCTCTCAACACAGAACTCAACCCATCAAACCCCAACAGCATGTTTTGTTGGAATCTGTCAGGATGGGTACAGTTACCCCTAAACTGACAGTCTTTTACATTGGGTTGGCACACCTCCAGAATCAAAGTCAGAAATATGTGTGTGCAGTTTTCCCATTTGGGCTTGGAATTTGCCAGGATGGGTATGGTTACTAGTACATCATGCTAGGGAGTTAGGGTTAATATTGTCTCCATGTTTTGGGTTTGATGTTTTCCTGCAGAGGTATGAGTAAACTCAGCTCCCTTCATCTGCAGAGACTTGTGAGCAGGAACAAGAGGTACCTCAAGGAAATCTTTGTCGGAAAGGTAAAAACCTCCAAAAAGTATAATTTTTGTTCCTAAAATATATGTTTTGCACTGCAAGTTTTTAGTACGGTGCTTGCATTAACAGTTTCCTTATAAAAAAAAAGAAAAAGAAAAAAAATCACTTAGAAAAAATAAATGGAAAAAAAAAATATCACATGTTGCCAACCCATACTCTTTTGCCGACACGAGTGCCACTTTTACTCCTTGTTAGAGACAAGGTAATGTGGGGAAATGTTTTGTGTAAGGTCACCGGCATCACTGTTGCCTGTAAGTATTTGAATCCAAATTTTGGTTAACCCTGCTACAATAAAAGTATTCCCACTGTCCATCAGAAAGCCAACGACACTCATCATGTAAAAAAGGTACATTTCCTCCAATATGCCATAGTTATGCAGCAAAGTCCATATATATTCAATTTCAATATTTTCTCTTCAATTGCAAATAATGTTTTGTTACAATGTGTACTATACCACAAATATCCTGCCAAAAAAGAGCCTACTAACAACCCCCCCCCCCCTATGTTTCCTTGCTCGTTTGATAAAAACAATTTACTGTTGCCTTTGTTGACTTGAATATTGTCTTGCAGAGGCCTTGCAAGAGGCATGCTGATTACAAGCAAGGTGGGTCAACACGAGGTAAGCATCTGTTACATCACTTATCTTGAGGTGGCCGTTTTGGATACAAGTACAGAGCTCCCAACATGTACGATTTTGGCGTACTTTTTACGATTTTCCACCCATTTTACGCTTTTACGCTTTCATTCTTCAAATCCGTTTTTTGACGATGCCGTTTTCAAAAAATTATTCATTGAAAAAAAACGCCATTCCAGCCTTATGTTCGTGCAAGGAGTTCGCTTATAACGTCCGAAGGACGGGTAGCCAGTCTATGAAACTAAGTGCGCTATGAGAATCTGCGCAGGCATGCTTTTCGTGAGACAACTCGACTTGCACGGTGCGGCATGCACGATGGGCGCCGGGCAGGTACACATTGTGGCGTGGCTTGTAGGGGTCCGGTGGCGAGGCGCCGGTTGAGTTGTCCCACGGGTCGAGTTGTCCCGCGGTCGGGATGTATATGCCGGCCATCTTGGTTTAACGTTACGTACCGTGGAATGCTTCGTTTCATCAAGTTGTTTTTCTGTGTTAGTCAGTGGTAGTGTAGGTTGGAAATATGTCTACCAAACAATCTAAATACAGCCGAAGCCACGACAGAGATTTTTGAAGCAAACGTTCAGATTATTTCGGTATTTGTACGCTGTGCAACGCGGATTTTTGTGTGAGTCACGCCGGCCAAAATGATTGCCAGAAGCACATCGCAATGGATAAACATGCTCGGGCAGCAGAAAATGTTAAAAAACACCCCCAAACTCACCAACTTCAGCTTGGACACATTGATATAATAAATACCGAGGTACCATTTGTTGATTTTCTTATTGAACACAACCTAGCCATCGCTGCTTCTGATCATGCTGGCCCAGGAAAATGTTTCCCGATAGCAAAATTGCCAAACAGTATCAGTGTGGACAAACAAAAACAAGATCTATTGTTAGCATTAAGAAAAAATAGAATGAAATGGGTTACACTCTGTGGGAACTACTTAGTACTGTTGTGACGGGATTTGACTACCTTTTTGTTAAATGGTAACGCGCCGAGCAATAAATACCAGCTCGATGAAAAGTACTATTTCTGAAATCTGAATGTTGGGAGCTCTACAAGTACCATTATTGCCATGTGCTTGGGGGGTCCAGTCAATTACAGATTTACCAGTAACCGGGGTGCCACACTTACTTTCGAGAAGTGTTTTCGACAAAAGATGTTCGTTCGAGGACAACAAAGAATCTGTTGTTCTCTCTTTGTGTCTGTCCTCGGAGTGTATGTTACACAAGAGCATATGCTCTTATAATTCCTTTCCCAGAAGTTCTTGTAAGTAGGCCACGTAGTGCCATCAGATGTTCCTGTATGGAGACAATTTACAGTACATTACAAAATATTAATAGTACAGATAATGCTACAGAATTTGATTTGTGTAATATCAGTGGTCTTGTGTCAATTCTCTGTTCATAGCCAATTTGGCCTACGAGGCTTGGTATGGCCCGTACTCTGAGGAGCAAGTGGACTGCGTCATGAGTGAGTTAGTCACAATCTACTGCGCTAGTCACAACAAGGTGAGTTCAAAGGTGTAGTCATGCTCACACCATCCAGTGTAGGACATGATGCAGAGCTGGAGTCGAGTCCATCACAAGTCCAATAGACCTGAGACCTAATGACGTCACTTTTTGCTTACATGTGCGTTTTCCTATGAGAGCCAGGTGGGACGCGTCCCTCGTAAGAAAGCGCACAGTAAACAAAGCGTGACGTCATCAGGTCTTAGATCTATTACAAGTCAATCATAAGTTTAAGTTGTCCCACACTTTTGTTACCTGTTCTAACCCAGCTGCAGTCAATTTTACAACTGTAAAATCATTGTCATGCACCTGGTCAGTTTCCCTTTGTGGTATATTTGGCAAAAAGCTGTATCCACTCTGAGTGATCCCCATTTGCTAATTCCAAGGTTTGCAGCATTGTGACTTTGCGTGTGATCACTGGCTACATGGCATATACAGGTTTACTAGCGCCCCTTGAACAAAGACATTGGCAAAATAGGGAACTGCCAACATATGGCTGGATAGCTCAGTTGGTAGACACTGGAACGACAATCCGGAGGTCACAGGTTCATACCCCGCTCCATTCAATTTAATTGTCCAACTTTAAAATTACTTTTATCATGGAGTGAAATTTTCAAAATTTTCATAATTGTCACAATTTGTCACTTTTAAAAAGTATTAACAAATATAAAAAAGATATCTGCAATCAAGAAATAAATGCATTCAATTAATAAATGCAACTCGTTGACTGAGATAAATTTGCATGTCATCGCCTGTGGGCACCATTTTATGGTATTATCGGCTCACTGAACTTTTACACAGTTTATGTTTGCTAGATGTCCAGACTACTAATCGGCCATTACAATATCTCAGTTAAGGGTGAATAAAACCAAATCAGATAAAATGTTTGAGAAAATATTGAACAGTGTTTCTTTTGTTTCTCTCTCCCAATCCGTTTGGACTTAGTATTTTGACTACGTCAGCAAGGTGCTGTTACCCGAAGCCTTGACCAAGATCTGTATGGATGTGCTTCACACCTCGCTTGAGGAGGCCCAGGGCGTGCTAGAGAAGACTCCCCTGTGTGGGGACGCTACCATGCTCGGGAGTCACTACCGAGGGGGTGTGGCAAATCACGCCCTCTAGTGTTGAGATACAGTGACCAGGGCCAGAATCAGCCAGCAGTGAATTCCCATTGCCTCCGGGCGCAAGTACCCCCTTGACCACTTCGCGCTGGGATTATTTTTGCTAAAAATTTATATTTTCGCAAAGGCAAAATTTTTCAGCCAACTAACTTCTGATACACAGCCAAACACCACAAATACATGAAGAGTTCATGTGCATATTTCCATTTTTCACCTTTTGAAAAAATCTGCTTTAAAACAACACAAAGCCCATTATTTGTGCACAAATGTGGACTGCCCATCACATCATATCTTGAGAACTCTTGACAATTTTTATTTGCAAAAAATGTAAATTGTTCAGGAAAAAATATTAATCTGGTGGATGGATTTTCTCCATTTTCGTAAAATGGGCTCCGTGCGCCAAAAGCGAGGGCACGTTTTTACTTCTTTTGAGAGCTCCATGGACGAGACACACAGCCTGCGTGTACTGTACTGTACTGGTTCGCGCGCGAAGTAGGCACGACTTTCTGAATGAGCAATTACAGCCACCGCGTCTTCACACGAGCGTCAGGCGTTCGTCGGCGTGTAAATACGTTCGAATTCAACTTGCGATGGTCTCCGAGACTAATCCCTGCCTCCAATAACTTTGGCTACATTCGGAATACACAGTGGATGGATCGGGAACCACTCTAGGTCACCCCCAACTCTCCTTTTCTGGCCGTTGATAGGGTACTTATGTACAGAGCCCATACTGAGTGAAGTGTGCTCTCAATAGAGTTATACATACACTTACATTTTCTAGGGAGTTGGACCACCCTATGCAAATTGTGTGCGTAATCTTTGTTGTCTTAAATTTTCTGTTCTCGATCTAAATATATTCGATGTTATATATAACGAATGTTTATGAGTGCAATGGTAAGAATAATTTCATGAGGCGACAGATGGAATCATCGCCTCGTGGAATGGAACGTTCCACCTGTCACCGAATGAAATTATTCTTTCCATTGTGCGAATGTGAAACATTCATTATTTGTTTTATACAACACCTGCATAAATCCTCGTCATCTGATTGGTCAGAGCCAACAATAAGTGTGACCGTGTAATGGGACTTCTATTTACCGTGGAATAGAAGTTATATTTTTGTCGCACAGCCGCAACCTCGTCCCCAGTGCTTACTTTATTTCCAACCTCGTTTCCAATAGTAAGCCCTGGATAGGAAACTTTCTTCCTGTATCCTGATTCGATACCGCAATTGGCTAGAATTCGATTTATATCGTGTACTTGGTGGTGTTATTCACAATATGCAGTACGTGTTTTCGTGATCATTCCTCCACGCCTTCTGGAAAATATTCCTTTCCTTTCCAATCTGTTAATATTAATATGACATGTGATACTGCATGTTGTTTCGATAAGATCGTAACAGTTTAATTAAAATAAAATTGTGTATTCGTAACTCACGCCATGCTCGCGCTGCGACAAACTGATTCTGTTTTTACCCCAGACACCACATACAAAAACAAACGCAAATGTAACGCACAGGCAGGCACCAGACTATTCCTCATTTGCATACATGTTCAAAAATCTTGCACATGCAAATGATCCAATACCAGGGCGAGAGAGCAGGTAGTGGTGGGCGCGTACTGCTCGACACCTTGGGGACGAGGTTGGCATGGCCGTGCTGTGGGCTGGGATGAATAATTCAATGACATGTGATCAACGACCCACCAATCAGATGACGGGGATTTGTTCAGGTGTTGTACATGTATAAAGTCCTTCACACATATGCTGCATTGTACTGATTCTGCATGTACCATGATACCAGTACTGTTTTTTTTTGTAAAATTAAAAAAATTAGAGAACCAATTAAAACCACTCTGCTATGCAACATGTGTACTTAAATGTATGGAGGTGAAAGGTTTGAAAAAATATTTCCAGACAAGAGGCTACAAGTCAAATATAAAAATTCTGAATCTACCTTAAAGTATTCCTAAGTTATTTATACATATTACAATGTATGCAATGGATAGTTTGTCACGAAAATTTTTTCGAAGGAAAGAAAATCTGTCCATGTACATGATGTTTATGTATCATGTTTGATAGATTTTGGTTTTTCATGTTGTGTGAATGCATTTCCATGACAGTGATTTCAAAAATATGCACATTCTTGCAGTTGATGTTTTAAAGATGTTTATCCATTTACAAACTTGTATTATTAAAAGTGCTCTCTGAATATTAAGATATTACAATTGCTTAAGTCTTGCATATTGAAAGGCCTCGAGTATTTATTGGGTATTCTGATATCACTGATTATAATACGACAAAGTGTCAAAAACCCATCAAATTTTCATTAAAATACAAAGTTAATTTTTCCCAACTATAGTTACGTGTGATAAAAAAACCACACCACTTTTATCTTCAGTAAAGTTGGGTTCCTGCAAGTTGTGTGCATAATTATTATTGTCAACTTCTACTTGCCAATGTTCTTGTCTCAGTATGACCCAAAACAATTGTGGGGGGATATTAAAACTACTGGTCATTTTTAAAAGTGCCAACGCTGTACCAAAAAAGCCACATAAAAACAAACGTTTTTCCTTTATTTATATGTTTATTATGCATGTAGTATGTTTATTCTTGATATTAAACATTTTTTTTTTGCAAATCAAAATTGTTTTCGTACAAATTTATTTTAATACTCAGAATTTATAATTTAATACTCATGATCACCAACTCAATATAATTTGTCATAAAATATGATAACATTCTGTTCCTCAAAATAAAGGAAATTTTTTTGTGTGTGCATAGACCCTTTGCATGGTGGCCATCTTGGAGATGCAGTGCTTTTGTTTCACAGAAATACACAAGTAGACCTTTTGTGTATTCATTGCTACTGAATTAAAATATCAAAAAAAATTACCTCCAACATGGCTGCTGTAGGCAATGGGTCTTTCAAACATTTATCAGAATTTCTTCACTTTCCACTTTCATACACCCAGTGACAATTACCGACATGATCCAAAGTACTTACAATTTACAACTTATCCTGGGCATCAAGATGGATTTGAAGTCCCTCCTTTTAACAGTACATTCTTATTGGTCTGCCATTGTATAAACAAATTTGCTGTGAGTACTTGAACGAAGACATAAGCTCAAAATGTCTGAGTATTTGCGGAAGGAGTCCGAATCACGTCATTCCAAACAAAGCAAATTCTAAGATAGCAAAGCAAATACTTATCTTTCTACTTCAATATTTCTTAGATTTCCTTTTCTATCCCTTCTGTGTGTAGCCCTCACCTTGACTGGCCCTTAAATAGGCTTTGTGATGGGAGACTCCCATAAAAACAAAATTCAAATACTTGAAAGTACTTAGGGTAAGAATCAGTGAAAGGTACGCTGAAAATGAGCTTTTGCAATTGGACTTGGACAGAACTAATCCGAGTCCTTTTGCAAATTTCTTTACCAAATTCATGTCATGAATACCTTTGGCAAGCTGCGTGTCAAGCACACATTCATACTCCAGTCAAGGAAGTCTCGATTCTTACTGAACCACCATATATTCAGATACTTTGGAACTTAAAGCAACGTAGGATCATTCGCAATTTACCTACCGATTCAACAAGAAAATCCTCGATCAAAGTGAAGATTGGACTTGTACCAAGTACCCTGCAAATTTATTCCACCATAAATGGTATCATTTCTTAGACAAACCACTAACATTGGATGGGGCTCAAAGTAGGGCACTCAACCCCCATGGGCGTCGCCAGGATTTTTTCTAGAGGGGGGCAAAACATATTTTTCCAAAAAAATTCCTGTATTTCTCAACATATTCTCGATTTCTCAGTTTAAGAGGGGGGGGCAGGGACATTTGCCCCCCCCCCCAACTCATTAAATTTACACCACTATGACTTCGCGCCTCTCTTTCTTTTCTTTTTTTTCTCTTTTTCTTTTTTTGCACTTTTTTCCCCCGCTTTTCCGGGGGGGGGGGGGCAAGCGCCCCCCCCCTCGCGACGCCCATGCCAACCCCCTAAGGCACAATTGTTTTTACGCGTTTGCAAAGGAATCCACTTACAAGACCCAATCAAATGTGCACGTTTTCTGTTTTTTTCAAATTGTATAGCATCCACTGAACTGAAACTTCACCAGGTGAGTTGTTATTCACCCTGCTTCAGATTTTGAGCAATGCTGCTTCAAATGAGGAAAAAATGCACAAGAAGCAAACGATCCTACGCACCTTTGAGAAAGAACCTGATTATTGCACTCAAGGATTAATTTTTGGAGGTGAGGAATATTTTGTTTGTGGCTGAACATATTCTTAACCCTTTACCAGTGCAGCACAAAATTTGACAATAATAATGTGATTTTGGTTTAATGTGCATGAAATTCAAACAAGTACGTCACAGGCGGCCAAAATATTAGCAAACCAAAATATACAGATAAATAAATTTACTATCGAGCCATTTCATGTTCAAGTAACATCTGTGATAAACAACTTTCACTGATTATCGCGACAGAATGGAAGCGGCAACTCACCAAGTGAAAAAAGTTGTGTTGACAGAAGTGAATATGTTAACCCTAAACCACCCAACCCTTCAAAATCCAACTGCATGTTTTGTTGGATCTGTTGGAGTGAGTACTGCATTAGTAAACCGATTATGCTTTACATGGGGTCAGGCATACCACCATAATCAGAGTCCAACAGTTTGGGTGTTGAGTTTACCATATGGTGTTGGATTTTGCAGGAGTGAGGAAGGTTTCAAGTAAATCACAGTTAGGGTTAAGGAAAGAAAAGAAAATAGTTGGTGTCACTTCTCAGCATCCAAAGCTGCTATTCTGAAAGACCCTTGACCTTTTGTGTTTCAATATGACTGATATGAGCAGGCTATAAAACTTGCTTAATACTTGGAGTTGGATGTTAATTGGTTCTTAAATCTCTTCATAAGTTGATGAATGGAATGGTCTCGAATGAAGCTGCTGAAGATCAGTTCTTCCACTTGACTGTCTAAAATGTGACAGGAAAAAAACCAGAACATAAAAAAATGTTGTTACTTCTGCAAGCCTAATAGTCACGAAGTCACGAAAAATACAAATACATGAGGAATGTTTGCTTAAAGATCAGTCCCTTTAATGTGGCAAACATAGACTAATTTGGAAGATTTTCAACGTTGTTTTAAACCGTGAAAAATTAAAGGCTTCTAAAACCTGATCATGTTGTCAAAGTACAGAACTTCTAAGAAAACATCTGAAGCGAAATGTTCATTCCTAATGGAAAAAAAAATTGTGTACATGTCGGCAACAGCACCACATGTCAGACAGTGTCAAGTTCTGTCTGCATTGGACAGCAACCCAATGGTATCACATGTTGGCCATCAATTTTTAGCCACTCTCCCCTTCTACCAAATAAGCAATTTTTTGTGTCAATGAGGGGCTGTACCAACGCCGTTTTCTGGATACAAACTGTAGAAATACCTTTCTGACTAAAGCAATTCAGTTACTTAACTTCAATTTTAAAGAATTATATATTGTAAAAAAGTAACTTTCCAAGTATAACAAGTCAATTTTTGTTAAATACTGACGTGGTTTCACGTCTGTACCCCAAAAATGGCATCATTACAGCATCCTCAAGCGTTCAAACATTTGTACCGCTTCACAGGTACTCACCGAGTTCCTCATGACGTCTTCAATGCGTCTCGCCTCGGGTGTTCCCCCAGGCACTTTGCTCTGGTACTTGAGCAATCGCTGGCGGTCCTTGACTTGGATCAGCGCGTCTACCACCACGGCATGCCGGGTGAGCTTCATGGCTAACGAGATGCGAGACTCCGGATCCTCAATGTATTTCAGGTACTTGTCCAGGGCCTGGTCAGGACAGGGGAAAACAAGCCATGCTCTGTGAAATCGACCCTGTCATTGCTCCTCCGAGGACTTTTCTTGTCGTATCCAGGCAGGGTAGATTTCCTGGGTACGACTTTCAAAGATGTGTCTCAAAATGCACATGCTCAAAGGCTATGAAAAAGCAGTTACATACATCATTCATAAGATAGAATTTTGCGTCGGGGTGATGTTCATTCAATATTTGGATTTGCCCTTCGCTGAGCAAATGCTCTGTGAAGGGCAGAACCCAATATTGAATTTACATTACCCCAATGTTAATTCCATCTTATGAATAGTTTGGTTGCGGTACCCGCTACTATATAAGATTCGTACCAGCCAACAGACCCCGGCAAGCTCGGTGGTCGAGGGGTAAGACGTCTGCACTAGTAGGCAGGAGGTCTTTGGTTTGTGTCTCACCTGAGTGATTTTTTTTCTGACAATCACTCGGGACAACACTGAGTATACAGCACCCAATTTCATGAAACTCATCGTAACTTGCGATGCATCGCAGCGCTGCGATGCGTCGTATCCCTACGATGCGTCGCAGCTGCAACGCGTCCTGCGATCCACTTCACAAAACACGTCATACGCGTCGTAGGTGTATTTATAGCACAACACAGTGACTGTTTTATGTATTTAGTCAGCGTACAGTAAATAGTCGTCTGACATTCAACAAAGAGTCATCGGATCTCCTCTCGAACTTTGTTAAAATGGCGGCCGTGTCATGCAATTTTAAAGGAAAATACGCTCTCAGTGGGCTGTATAGCTACTTTGAAATTTCAACTGCAATATTCTAGGCTAATTCAAAATTATTTGATACATTTTCCATTTACAACTTTACACGCATTGTCTCGGTATTGTAGTCTCGTTTGTGTATTTTTATGGCATAAAACTGGCTAAGGAAAGACGCTTCTTATTTTGTGATGACCACTAGACACGTCGTAACTTGCGACATGTTGTAAGCCATTGTCAAGGAACTTACGACGCGTTCAACTCATTGCAAGTTTCGTGAAATGGATTATTCGATGCGTCACGAGTTGCGATGTGTTACTCGTCCTAACTCGAGTTGTGACGCGTCACAGCGCTTCGTGACATCGGGTGCTGTGTTTATAAAACACTCGGTGAAGGGCAAAACGCAATATTGAATTTACTTACATCATGTGGTGCATTTTGCTGCACAAGGATTTCCACAACTTGCTCAAACTTGACGGCTGACTTCATGGTGGCTTTCCCTCTCCAATTCTAGTCATAACAAAAATTGAGTCCATCAGGGTGGTTAGTAAGTCCGTCACAAGTCTGTCACAAGTCAATCACAAGTCTGTCACAAGTCTGTAAAAAGTCCATCACAGTTTAATCACAAGTCTGTCATAAGTCTGTCATAAGTCAATCACAAGTCTGTCACAAGTCTGTCACAAGTCTGTCACAAGTCCGTCACAAGTATGTCACAAGTCCATTACAGTTTAGTCACAAGTCTGTCATAAGTCAATCACAAGTCTGTCACAAAGTCGATCACAAGTCTGTCACAAGTCCATCACAGTTTAATCACAAGTCTGTCAAAAGTCAATCACAATTCAAGTCACAAGTCAATCATAAGCCAAATCACAAGTCCAATAAATAATCGGATCACAAGTGATGGGGTGAACAATAGTATAAGGAATACCTTAACTGGAGGATGTAGGAATGTTAGGGTCAATAAACCAATGTGGCATTGCTTATTTCAAGGTATGGCTCTGCTCATTTGTCGTCAAGGCACACAGCTTCCAAGCGTGGTGGACCACTGTTTTTTGGGTAGGGAAAATTCTCTATTTTTTTCTGTTAAGTGTAACGTGAGGGCTACACTTAGGTTTTTTTCTAGCTTTGTTAAACATCAAAATTTTGAAGGAAATGTGGCAGGGATGTGATTGTCAATTGAAAAAAAGTCTGAAAATTTGAAACGATGTAATACTGTCATTCTTTGCAAAGTATACAAAGATTCAAAAGGTCTGGTTTCGGACTTAAACCCACCTTTGATGTCAGCAAGCCATCCAGGTCTAGCCACCGCCTCAGCATGATACGAGACAACAACACTGTAAACAAGTATTGCTTCTCCGTCAACTTGTGAAACTGGCGCATCCCTAGAGGACTGCCAACGCTGACCTTTGACAGAGATAATGAGGTATACTGAATATTCAGAGGGTATTGAATATTCATGACAAAAGTGGAGGTCCAAGCTCAGGCTTGCATTTCTAGGATGGTATACTCAATATTCAAGGGATTGTGAATTTGAATATTCGAGTAGTGAATTATTCAACTGACTCAGCCCTAGTTAAATGTATTTTGGTTAACAAGGTTGTGTCTTGTCCTTTTTTATAGACTATTTAAAATTGGTGTATTCTAACATGCTTTCAATCCTTTCAAAATGTAAAGAGCTTAAAGTATGTTTTAATGATCATCACAGTCTACAGCAAGGTGGAAGGAATATATACGATTTTGATGTGGCTTTAGGCCAGAGAAAATGGAAACTCTTTAGGGAAATCAATAAGACAAATGTGATGCGATCAAGCTAAATGAGTCGTTTGTCGACCCTGGTCAAAAAAATTTTTATTACGGATTTGAAAAGAGCACAATCTCAGCATTACTGCTGTGAAAACCGCATGCTGATACCATTTTTAGTTCAAAAATTATAGAGGTTGGAACACAAGAGATGTGATGAAGTGATGTGATGAAGTGGCCCTATTTTGGCCTGTATCTCCAAATGAAACTTCCCGACAAACAACTCATTTAGCTTGATCGCATCACAAATGTTGTTTTTGTAGTATTTTTGCCATCACTTATAAGCAAGGGCAACTCAGAGTGTTGGCTTCAAAAGAAAAAAAATGCATTAAACCTTAACACCCTACCTAATGTTACTAAGTAGAAGACCAAGTCCGTCAAAATCCATCACTCACTCTGCTTCACATAATGCTTCAGGACCAAATCCATTGAAATCCACCACTGGTGCTGGTGGATTTTGATGGACTTGGTATACACATGGCATATCTGCCAAAATCCCCCTAATGGGGGGATGGATTTTGATGGAGTTGGTAAGGTCAGGGTTTTAATGGAAAGAAGGAATCTGTTGACATTGAAATGTTGAACTGGAATAAATAATAAGAAGTGGGAAATAAGGATTTTGGCAATGGATAAACTGAGGAATCTCCAATCCTACCATCCGATGGAACACTAGCAGTATATGGATCAGAAAAGAAAGAAAATCACGAGACGTGTCTGGAATTGTGGCCTCCAACTGACCTCTGGTTCACCGTAATGATAGTAGCAGCAATAGAAGAGGGTGGTGATGACCGACTTGAAGTACAATGTGAATTTCCGGGGGAATTCTTTGAACGGTGGCTTGCCTTCCCTTTGGGCTCTTTCATCCATTGCCTGTTGAAAGAAAAATCAGGATGTACAGTTTTTTTTAAAGCCATCAGGTATTTGGCTATTGTTTTTATTGTTATTTACATAAACTCTCTTTTGTCTCTGTGTTCTGATTTCTCTCCACCCTCTTCCCCTTTGTGTGTGTGTGTGCTCTAACCTTACATACTCTTTGTGGACCTGTGAACAAAAGAGGTCCACAGGGTGCAGGAAGTGTGAACGCTTTGTGGACTTGCACACGTCCACACTAGCTTTCCCCCTCCCTGGAAACAGGTTCAGAGGCAGTTTTGGGTTAGCTTTATCCATGGCAAAATGAAGAGGAACACTCAAGCAAATCATGAAAAAAAAATTGGGTTGAAAGAGTGTTCACAGTGGGAGTAAGATGACTTTTTTTCTATGTTTTTACTTAACTACACGAATACAAAGCAATTTCAACAGTAGGCATGTAAGGTGAGTCTGTGAGTGTGTTTGAGGGATGGGGGGGGGGGTGATCGGGGGGGGGGGGGGGTGATCGGGGGGGGGGGGGAAGGATGGGGAGGAAGTGCAAGGAAACAGGGTAAGAATAAAAAATGTAAATGACACACGGGAGAAACATAATTTCATTCATGAAGTCAAAGAATAAATATATCAGTTGAAAAAATAATTGTATTTTTTATTTTCTAAAGAAAAAGCAACAACCAAAAACCCACTGACTTGATTACCTCAATTTGGAGTTGCCTGTTGAGTAAACTTATATGCTCTTTGATGTGTTCAGACTCAGTAGCTAGGGTGGCTGACTTATCAAACCATAAACTGGAATAAACAGGAATAAAAATTACAAGTCAAGATTTGAAAATTGGCCAACAAACTCACTGATTCTCACCACAGAATTTAGGATCCTTTTACGATCCACATTCAAAGTAATAGGCATCTAAAAATCTCTTACAGTCAGGGATGTCCTTCTCTGGACTCCTTGCTAAAGTATCCCAAAAACAGTGACAAAGAGGAAGTTATTCTGACTCTTGGGTAAGTGCATATGATGAAGCTCTGGTGGTTATATACAGCCCCAACTACCGTATAGTCATAGACAAGCGAACTGTAATTAGAGTATTGTAATACAGGGTTCCCACAGAAATCTTAAATTTAATTCTATGAATTCTCCATGATTTTCCAGGACAAAATTAGGGCTTTCCATGACCAGTTCCTACGCTGTATTGGCATTTTACTGGAAACTGGCCAGGAAACTGGCCCGCGTTCACACTGAGGCAAGGAACACCACTCCCTTTCGGCCTTCCTGTTTCACACAAGACCACTGAGCACCACAACAGAGAAGCACCACAAAGGAGCAACAAGTACAGAGCATACACATACATACATAACGATAAAGAGGAATTATGGTAAACTGGAATGCAATCTGGAAGACTGCCATAGCCAAATATTACGAATCATCACATATGGGTAATGCAGGATTCCATGACTTTTTCCTTGGAATATCAACTTTCCATGACTCCTTGTAAAACAACACAATTCCATGACTTTCCATAGCTTTAATTTCCAGGATTTTTCCATGACTGTGGGAACCCTGCTAACAATTTCATTTGTCATATCTTAAAAGGCGTTTCTTACTTGACATTCTCCGATGGATTGCTCCGGATTCAGCCACAACCCCGCCCACCTTTGGTTTGTGTACATTTCCCACAGCGTTTGTGACTGAGTTTGACCGAGGTCCCAGGGTCACATGACCAAAACTTGTGATCTGATTGGCCAATGACAAGTGTTTGATAAACGGGCAGGATGAGTCCGCTGTATCTTTGCTCACCTGTGTACTTCCTTTAGGTTCATCAGCTGCCCATGGGGTACTTGGTTCTCAGTTGCCTCTTTATATCTCCACAACTAAACACACAGGGATTGATAATTTCAATAAACATGCTTTCCTTGAAAATACACTAACAGTAATGAATTGCCACAATTGTGCAAAAACTCTGAAAAAAAATAACCTTACTCTCTAGGCAATTGTTGCAAAGGTCAGGAGGTTCAAACCCCGACAGGAAACATGATGCTTTTTGAGTGTCCTTAGGCAAGGGACTTTACTACAATTGCCTCTCTCCACCCAGGAGAATAAATGGGTACAGGTCTGTGAAGGTAAAGACCAGATTGAGCTTATCTCGAGCTGCTGCAGAAAAATACACTCTCATGACCTGACGACCAGGGGTAATGATTAAGGCTTTGTATCCTTTGGTTTAAAAACTTCACAAACACCGGTTATTATTATTATTGCTAAGGTCCTTCCTGAATTTCCTGAATCTTTAAAATTGCTTGACTCGGCACAAAACCAATGACAATTTATTAGTACAGTAACTTCCAAGGAGCATCAAGCCCCATACAATGCGATAGTGGTTCGTCTCTACTTTCCTCAACTCCTACCAAATCCTACAAAATCCTCCAAAACCTCATGGTGGATTTTGATAGACTTTAGAGGATCAAGAAGGTTATGAATCAAAACAAGCAATTCAGTTTGAAATTCATTGTGTAGGGTAACACAAGACAGCGTGGGAAAATCTAATTACAAGCAAACATGTAGTGAATCGAAAAAGTTGTTCAAATTTAAGCCATTCCTAGAAAAAAACCTGTCACACAGTTTTATTAGCTGTTGAGTCCATGTAACATAAAAGTGTCTGTTACAAGATTATTTTCTTCCCGAGTCAGAATAATTTGCATCAATGATAACCACTGGATCATTGTCTTAAATCTCAAAGAAAAACTTTAACTGATATAAAAAAACTCAAATGTTACTTACCGCAGCATCTTCTATTCTTCCAAGTTGGCTGTTGGGGGTGAACAAACAATGAAAGCATTTTGTTCAAAGTTGTGCAGGTTAGTGACCAATTTACAGGCAGCTGAAACATACTATGAAAGCACACTACTTGGGTGTTTTGCTAGCGAATTTGACTCGATCTGCTTAAATTCTGGGCGCCATGTTTGAAGTACAAACAGACATGAACCCGAGGTAGTTGACTGTTGCCTTTCTTCAAAGTTACATTTTTACAATTTTTGTTTTTATTATTAAATGTGAAGTTACTACATACACTGCTTCAAAAAATGCATTATTCCTACTCATATAGTAAAATAATGGCACTGTTACAGCGCCCCCATTGGCTAAAATATATATGGCCCATTGCAGGAGCACTTGCATTCCTGAAATATGCGCAGGGTGAAAAGCACAGCCTCGTTCAGGTCATGAAGTCAGTTTAATAGACTAGTCTGGCGACAACCAGGCTCACGCGAGTCTCTCTCGTGCAGTCCAGGCTTGTTTGACAAATGGTGGTACCAAAATGTGCGCCTTGTCTTTAAGAACGGGTGCGGTATGCACGCAAACATGGGGCTACCTAAAAAAAATGGAGTCCAAGTTTGATCGCCGCATTAATCCATAGATAACGATCTTACCCCATCTCACTTGCTACATTGTCACTCTGTTCATTCTGTTTCTTAATGAAGGCAATGTACTGGCTGGCAGCGACCGGTCTCCTCCTCATCTCATCATAGAAGACCGTTTTGGAGAGAGTCCTCCTCAAGAACATGACGATCTGAGGCACAGAAAACATACAAGACAAGACAAGCCCTGTGAAGCTGGTCCAAGAGTGCTCAAAATTTTATTTGATTGATTCAAAATGGCTGAAAAGTTTTTAGAATAAGCTGTAGTGGAAATGAAAATTATACTTTCGTACTTACCAAGGAAACATGACTTCTTTTTTTTACACAGGTATCATAAAAGTACATGAACAAGTGGTGTCAGACTAATGTACAAGTGGTGCATTAGTCTGACTTTAACAGTGTAATTCATTTGACATGAAATATTTGTGTGATACCACCAGCACTTTTGATCGTTACTAATGGCTACTTGGGGCACTGGGAACTACCGATCAGTTGGCAGATGGTAGGCTTGTTGCGCTGGATCGCTTCTTTTGCTTCCCTGATGCATTAGTAACATGGACCTGTGCTAAACATGCATGCAACTGGAAAGTCACAAAACGAAGATATATATTCAAAGCTTTACAAGACGCTCTGCAGTGTTTTAATGTTTAAAACAGAAGTAAAAAAAATGAGGAAATCAGTTGATCCGAGGAAAACTTGCATGCCTTGCAAAAAGAGCATTCAGCTCATGCATGTATGAAGTATAAGAACATACTGCCTTACACACATCTTTGCAGGGCCATGAACTTTCCCTCCTATTATATCTCTTCACTAGATTTTCCCTTGGTAGGTACAACTCAACAAAGACCAACTTGGGGGGGGGGGGGGGTACCATTATTCTCTTTGAGTCTTTGTTGAAGGTGGCCCTTCACAATGCAGGCTTGCAATCGAGTCAGTCACAAGTAAATCACAAGTCAAATTTCATGCTAAACCACGAGTCAGTTGACAAGTAACAAGGGATGAACAATGAGAAAGATAGCCTCTGTTACACGTCATTTAAACCTCCCTCTCTGGCTGGCAAATTCAACAAAGCCATCCCAGCAGTCAAAATCAATTGAGTGACTGTTTTTAACAACTGAGTGCTCCCTGCATACATAAAGTAGGATTGACTGGCTGTGACTGTTTATGTAACTTGATATAGAGCAAAGCTTTGCCTGAAGGAGATTGATAATCCAGCTGCAAATACCAGTCACCTGCTTGTCTGTTGATGGAATTTGACGAGTCACTTTGTTTACAAGAAAAGTGATGTGACTGTTGGGGACTAGGCATGGCAGGGGAGGAGGATTGATTTGTTGCCTGTCTGTGACTGTTCAGACTGCAGTAGAGTTAAAGAGCTTGTGAATTGACTTGAGACGTGACAACTTGCGATTGACTTGATTACAAGTCTGACATGTCCTACCTACCGTTAGGATAGCGTTACCGTCGTGGTACCCTATGGCAACGTCAAGGAGCGATAGCTTGTCCTGTAGTGACCTGTAAGGTTCCAGGGAGTAAGGCTCTCCTGTGATGATGCGCGTTACCGTGTCTGCCACGGGGAGGGCAGCCCATCGGGATCTCTCAACACTCTGCCAAAAACAAACAAATGTTATCAACCAACATGAGAAGAGGGAGCTTTCAAAACTATTTTAGAAGTTGAGTGTAAGTTTGAAAAGGCGGAAACTTCATCCATAGTCTCTGTAGGAACTATGGACTCGGTGTATGAACAGTAAATGGTACTCTATCATCAACAACAAGAGCTCCAGTGTGCACTGGTTCATGGGAATACCCATCTTTGAGTGAGCGTCAGGCGCGGTCGGCAATGTGTCCCTCCAAGTGGTCCCTCCCAACTGTTTACTTGTAGCCGTTGAGGGGGTTCTTATGCACCAAGTCCATAGCAGTGTGTAGTCTACAAACTGGGAACTGGCTTGTTGTGTACATGCACTGGTTTGCCGTGCACATTATGCACATTGATGTTCATGTTACCACTTTTCAACTTGTTTGCAAAATCATACACGGTACTTGCAAGAGGAAAATGCACCCAAGATTGCTACATTGTTTCTATTTCCCTTCTTTCTTACAGATGTACTGTCTGGGCTCTTATACCAACTTGGTTTCTTTTTTTGTCCTGAATAATTTTGTCTGCAATCCTCTGTAAATGTGAATTATTGGGGGTTATTTTTTTACTCACAAATCAATCTGTCCTGCATTATCAGTTCTGATATAGGGCAGGAACCAGTCATCCCTGCAACAAATATTCCTTGACTAATAGACTGATTCTTTTCCTCATTCAAAGGAATGATATTTCTATTGCTAGAAAAATAACAATTTAAAAGAAATCTATTTTTTGAGGTGAAACTTAAAAGTGGCAAGGGCAGTACATCTTTAAGCTTGCTTGTTATTACAATGGATGACATGTTACCTTTAATTTCCTTCTGAGTGCCTGCACCTCTGCCTGCAGTTTGGACATCTCTGCCAGAGTGGGCTTGGAATCTCTTCGTATTGCTACATGTACATGAAAAATATTTCAAGAAGTAAAGAACACAAAGTCACAGAAGGTCATGGCATTCATAAGTCAAATCATAAGTAAAATCTTCAGTCACATCACATGTAACAGGGAATGAACAATGACACAGGAATATTGTTTTTCTCACAGTTCATATGACGGGCTTATTCCTTAACTTGAGATTGGATGACTTGTGACTGACTTATGACTGACCTGTGACTAACCTAAGACTGACCTAAGACTGACTTGTGGCTAACTTGTGACTGACCTGTGACTGACTTGTGACTGACTTGTGACAAACTTCTGAATGACTTGTGACCGACTTGTGACAGACTTGTGACCGACTTCTGAATGACTTGTGACTGACTTGTGACTGACCTATGACTGACTTGTGACCGCATTGTGACCGATTTATGATTGACTTGTGACTGACTTGTGACCGACTTGTGACAGACTTGTGACCGACTTCTGAATGACTTGTGACTGACTTGTGACTGACCTATGACTGACTTGTGACTGCATTGTGACCGATTTATGATTGACTTGTGTCTGACTTGTGACTGACTTGTGACTGACCTATGACTGACTTGTGACTGACTTGTGACCAAATTGTGACCGACTTATGATTGACTTGTGACTGACTTGTGACTGACTTGTGACTGACCTATGACTGACTTGTGCCTGACTTGTGACTGACCTATGACTGACTTGTGACTGACTTGTGACCGAATTGTGACCGACTTATGATTGACTTGTGACTGACTTGTGACTGACCTATGACTGACTTATGACTGACTTGTGACTGACTTGTGACTGACTTGTGACCGGGACATCAAAAATGGGTCCTAGCAACACTGAAATACCGGCAACTTTGAGCTAGCCGGCAAAAACTTTGAAAGATTTGACAAAAGAAGTGAAGGACATAAAACAAGTTCAACAAGAAATGGAGAATGAAATGTGAATTTTCTCAACCGGCTGCCTTCCCTCGTGCAGACTAATTTTGTCCACCCCATGATACCGAATGGGACGATTACTATGGCGGTAATCAGTATTCGTATTATTTTGTTACAGTACCAAGCATTTCATCATAGATCATGGGCTTGTTCTTACCGTCTTCAATTGATGCTGAAGATGAACCTGTACTGTGTGTTGATCTCTCATCCATGGCCCTCTTATCAGCACCTGATATTAAGAGAAAAGGAATATTAATAAGAAAAAGAAACTGTCAAACTATTGTAGTCTTTACAGTCTGCAACATACTTTTGTGTCCTAACAGGCACAGACCCCATGGAACGCCATGGTCCAGTGGTTACAGTGTTTGACTCATATATGAAGGAGCATGGGTTCGAACCCGGCCAGGAACAGGGTGTTTGTGCCCTTGGGCAAGACACTTAACTACAATTGCCTCTCTCCACCCAGGAGTATCAATGGGTACCTGTGAGGGTTGAGGACCGATTGATCGCTGATATCGGCTGCCGCGTGGTCCCATGGTCTGATGAACAGGGTAATAATTGTAAAGCGCATTGAGATTGTTGATACGATGGAAAGCGCTATATAAGCCCAATTCATAAATACCTAAGACAGTTTACGCATTCCTATTGGTCGAGAGCCTGTCACGTGGCCGGTCTTAAATGGATGATAAAGACATGGCTAGCTGGTCTTAAACACTTTTCCAGTGTCACATGAAATTTGGACTCCTATGAAATCCGGTGCCTTTTAACGTTTCATTGGTTGAACGTTCACATCGGGTAATTATCCGAGTGGGTGATAATTACCCATCCAGACTCTCACCGGTCTTAAACAGAGTGTTATAATACCTCCCGAACACACATTTATTCCCTTATTATTATTAGACCTCTGATTGTATGGTTTGGGTATGGATGCCTTGCATAAACATAAGATGACGATTCGGACCACTAATCAGAGCTCCGTTGGAGGGACAAACTGCAAGCTTGCACTTGTTCATATGTGTATGGCGCCACGTATGAATGATTCTGAATGCGCACAAACACATACAAACAAACTTGTGTTCACCGTCGATTGTGGACGTCCTATTGTCCCTCTTTTGTTTGTACTCTAACTTTTTAGGAAGACTCCCATAGGTTTCGTACACGACCCCAATCGCGGACGTATGCTGGGAATCGTGGACGATATTGTTCTCTTTTGTTCTCTGGTATTTTTCATCCATGGTTTGAAAAGATGAACACGTACATCCTCACATGATTGATGGGTGTGTCGTGACAAAAATGTGTTGGAGGCTCTCTCTTTGTAAATGAGGTGTACTTGTGCAAGGAGTCTTTATAGCTATCCCTAACAGTCCTGAATCCTCCAATTTTAATACGATTTTGTACACCCCCTAGGGAGTGTACTATATGAGGCTATTGTGCAAAATGAAGTTGTATGACATTTGCATGACAAAATGAGGGCTTTCAATGACCAATTTGGTATCTTAGTTATTACAAAACATTGGACAGTCATCGCATCGTGTGTCAGGTATATGGCGGCTATGCATTTTAATGCCTCTGCTAGGACTGGGATTTGGTAGGTTCTGCTAGGATCAAACCGTAAGGCCCTCTACCTTTTTGGATTTGTATATTTTAGGTACGCAGTTTGCAGCATTTTTTTTCATTTTCCAAATCATTTGACCTTTAAAGCCCAGCTTCCAGCATACAGACCTTCAGTTGAAAAGCTTGCCGAGTGAGGCCGGCCACCGCCCTTTACGACTGAATCAGGTGTAAGCAGCACGCTCCCATTCCTCATCCCGCTGGGCTGGTTCCGGGTCGACACCGCTCCGGAGGGTGCACTGGTTGCGTACGATGATGCAATGGTTCTTGCTGGCTTTGCGGTGACGCCTACGGTGCCCCTGGCTGATTGGGGCATGGTGGAGGGCCTTGGAGGTTTGGGCTGGCTTGATCCCTTGGTGCTGAATGTCACCGATGATAGCTCTGGAAGTTAACAATAAACAAACACAATGAAAATAGCTCATAATGAATAAAATAAATTTATAGTTTTGGATGTATAGAGGATTTTTGCTCCAGAAACCTCGGCCATATCATGAACTTGCTTATCAGAAAGAAGTTGTGCCTACTATGGCAGAAAATTGTCATAACCCTAAGGTGTATTTCACGGATGTACACATGGTTTTGCAAACATGAAGATTTCTATTGTTATGTCATTAATTTAAGCAAATTGTTCCTCTGAGGATAGCGTGTCTTTTGCTGCGCTAACTGCTTACAATCTCTGTGAAGAGCTTGCTACAAGAAAATTCAGGGTTCCCACACTTCAAGAAACAAGATTCCCTGAATTTTCCCTGACAATTCCCTGAAAAAAATTCCAAAATCTCAAGAAAAATATTTTCACTTTAGCAAGGTTGCTGGAAAGTCAAGAGGTGGGCATAGATGTACATGTACACAGCCAACTGTTATTGTTTGGAGAGGTATGTTACACTAGAGCTTAGAGGCATGTCACACTACATAAACTCTAACAAAGCCACCATAGCCAGTCAGCCAATGGACACAACTTGGAAACATGGCCCAAGATACACATACGCCAAACTGGCGAAAACCTTTCTCTTCTGGGTCACTCCCAATTCCCTGTGTTTTTTCCCTGATTTTGGTTTTCCCAAATTCCCTGTCTTTTCCTTTCCCGGAAAATGTGGGAACTCATTTTCAAGGTTTTCCCTCATTGTCACAAAATTGGGCTCTGCGAAAGATCAAAATTTGTCAGAGAACTCACTTCCATCCCAGTCAATGATGGTATCTTGCTCTTCCTCATCTTCGTCTAGTCCAAGACCAGCAGCTTTCATCGTCTCCTTGAAGGAGAGGGCTTGACTCTTGTCGGCCCCAAACACACTCCTCCCGTCCTGGTAAAGATTAATCACAAAAAGGGATACATCAGGGAAACAGGCCAGTTGTCCCAACACGCGTACTACAGTTCTGTGAGTATACAGAAAGTTGTACTTGTATTTGTTTTAAGACTGCTAGACACAATAGCATGTTTGAAATGGATGGCGCAGAGAAAAAAAGTCCCTGAAATTATTTTGGCCCAGAGGTGTAATCAAGACATTCAATCTTATGTGAAATCACAAGTCAGTTCACAAATAACATGTATAGAGCACGAACAACAATGACATTTTATTTTAATAAATTGTCACTCGACGTGAAACAGAACGACCCCTGATTGACTTGTGAAGTTGTGATCGACATGTGATGACTTGTGATGACTTGTGATAACAATGCTGGACCGACCAAGCACTCGCTTTTCACAATTAATTCCTTACTATTATTCTGGTTCTGCGTTTGAATTTGCAAATTCATGCTAACAAAATTGCAACTAGTGACAGCAAGTACTGCTGGGCCAGTAACTCAATTACTCGAGCACTCGCGAGTAGTATATGCTACTCGTTGTTCTACTCTTGGTTTGTCATCCACTCGAGTACTCGTCCTGACGCAAGCAGAAGCAGGTACTTGCGAGTAGTAATTTAGGGTTTATGGCTCATGGCTTAAGTCCCCTGCAAACAGGGAATCACTCCCTCCACCTCTCTCTCCCTAGGATTCCATTCTCAAGAAAAATTTAAAAATTCAAACAAATGACCCAAAACCTCGCACAGCAGGATATCTTAGTGCTGAAGAATGTGGCGTGACTTGCATGCTATTTGCTTGTAAGTTACTTCACGTCATACAGACGTATGTCATTTTTCTGCTTTTATGGGAATTTGGTTTACTACTCGCGAGTACTCGACTACTCACGAGTAATTTCTTTGTGAGGACTCGAGTAGCAAAATCCACTACTCGCCCAGGGCTAACAGCACGTATGATGGTTGGATATATTTGTTGGTTTTCTTATCTTTTTGTTTTTAATTTTTCTAATGGTGCCCTTGGGCTGAATGGACTTTTCCACATATTTGCAAAAAAGTATATGTAGTACCATTATAAAGGACATAAGGTAAAAAAAAAATAGTCTATGACAAATAGACCTTTATATGACAAAAAAAACAAAACAATTGAAACAAACAAATACAAGAGAATAAAAAGTTCACAAGTACAAAATAAAGGTTAATCTTTTCTGGATGAGAAATAGAGTCGTCAACTTCATGAAAACTGAGCAAAGTAAAACAAATATGTCCTCACATTGTCCGGAGAGAAGTCATCAAAGAAGTTGGAGCTTTTGGTTCGTCCCGTCCTGGATGACATGTGCCAGTAGTCATCAAGCTTGTCATCGTCAGCATCATCCTGAATACATGAAGATACATTTTGTGTTTAAATTGGTGATTCAGTAAGAAACATTTTAAAAATATTTTATCAACATTGAAACCATTTGGGGGGGGGGAGGAGGAAGCAACATTTTGGAACTGAATACTGCATTTTTAAAAATCCCCTATCATCAATATCTATTTTTCGTGAAATTTCCAGATTCGTTTGCACCCGTTTGCGTATCAAAATTTCAACATGAAATTTCACGAAAATTAAACATCTGAAAAAGGCAGCACTTTCTGATTAGCCTATAAAGAGGGTGAGTATGCTTCTAAAGCAAAAAAAACCCTACAAACTAAGCCTAAATGTGAAAATCAAAATTTGACAAAGTTCGACATGTTTTTGTACATGGTGGAAGTGTGGCCTTTATTTACGGAAGTGAACTTTTATCGGGCTCTAACGTAAAGTTCAAACCCTCCCATTGGTCAACTTTTGACCCGTTTCAATTTAAAGTTGAGAGAATGTTTTCTTCGGCATTGATTTTCTGATTTGATCAAAACACTGGCATAGTTGAAAACTTGGTAATCGTGTAGTTTTATAGGACCCGTTTCATATAGGAGAACGAATTAAAGACACTGATGTTTGGGACTTGGGCCTAATGCCTAAACATTTGCTGATAATACAAGCAGGAAAAGTCACTTTACGTGTTTGGAATCATCTAAATAGTTCGCTAAGATACCATGTTGATTATTAATATTAATCAGCTACTTTTTTTTTTTACTTATGCTTAATTTTGTGGAAAGTGGGCAGGGTTCGATTTATGAATGTGAAAGTAACATGGGTGTCCTAAACTACACGATTACCCAAAACCGCCAGTGCAGTAGGCCTAAAACAGGCTATGTCAATTTTAGGTGATCATTCTACCTCCATGATCAAACTACCGTTTTATATGCACTGCATCAATTAAGTGAAAAAAATATGCATTAGTAGGCCTAGGCCTGTTGAGTATTTTGACGCACAAAACTACGACACTGTGTGCCATTGAAATGTTTGAAACAAAATATTGAAACTAACATCGAAAACTGAATATTGTGTGCATGGCTAGTTGTAGCATACATTTAAAAAAAAAATACATACCCCAGGTGCGTTGAAAGCCATCTTCGATTTCTCTATTTTGTGAATTGTGATTGTGCGAAAAATAAACAAGGAAACAAGCGTATGGCGCCCTCAAGATGTTCTCTGCATATGCTATGCGCTTGTGCTGGTTGGGGGCGGGGCCGCCGGTACCATCGGCCCACGTCTTACACGCAAATTAATATTGATGCTTTTAAAACGTAGCATTTGAAGTGAAAACTTGCATGAAAGGACATTGATATTTATATCCGTGCTCCGGTAAAACTTCCAGTGATGTGATTTATCCCCTAAAATAGGGAATAAACAGTACTTTAAAAGAAAAAAAACCATAAGGAAAAAAATCATTGCTGAACCTTGTCTTTGAGGAAAAAAACAAGGGAAGGTTGACGACAACGATGATAATAACCAATACTACATGCAATATGTTTGAATTGACTAAGAAACGGACTGATCTTTAACTTACCGTTGACCCAATTAATTTCTCATTTACGAATGGTTCAAGAAGGGATTTGACGCCCAGCCTGGAAAACAAATTTTCCGGCGCTAATTATACAAGAGACATAGCTGCTGACCCGCAGAATGTTATCTTCTTATTATTCTACAGGGTGGTGCAAAAAGAAGGAAACCCACCTTTGACAGGAAATTTAACCTACTTACTTAACTTTCTTGAACTGGTTTTTTTTTTTAATAATGTAGTGAAGTATAGCTCTTCAACCGTACATGATGAACACATCTTTAAAAAAAAAGTCGCAAGAATATAGTGTTATTGTGCAGCTAATTGGAATACGAGTCGCCAAAATCACTGTTGTCCACCTGTCCTAGTATAGTGTTTTTGTCAGACCAGTGACCCCCCTTCAGATCAAGCTCCGGAGCTCAGTCAAGGGGATGGAATGAAGCCGTCCGTGGTTAAACAGGTTTGGCACATGAAAATTTGAAACCACCCATATCCCAGAGACAAAATATGCATTTGCAATCATTTTTTCGTAACTTATGCTTAAAGATCAATATATCAATACCGTTAAATTGAATTTTTGAAATATGCTCAACGAGTAGGTGAAAATTGCTGTCAAAAGTGGGTTTCCTTTTTTGAACCACCCTGTATATATCTTCAGGTATTTGTCAAAGTTTAAAAACCGTACTACACAAAAAAATACAGTAGTCGGCTGAAACAATTTTCAAGTTGGACGCACATTAAGGCATTTTATTACTGTCATTGATTAAAAAAACACTAATAGGTTTCACATCACTCACACAGGGAAAACTGAACGAGTGACAGCACGATTTGGGAATGAATACCCACAAACGTAAATGGCATCTTAGTCATTTGACATGTAACTTATCAAAGATTTGTCACATTTTGGGTGAACAAAAAAAAAGTTCATTTTTATAGTATTAGGTTTTGCCCTTCACCGATCTTTAAACACTGCAAACTCAGTGTGTTGTCTCCCGAGTGAAAGTTGGAAAAAATCACTCGGGTGGGACTCAAACCCACACCGAGAATACAGTGTTTAAAGGTCGGTGAAGGGCAAAACCTAATATTGATTTACATCACCCCGATGCAAAAAATTCCATGAATCATTTTATAATAGTAAAATAAATTTCAACAATAATGAACACATCACACTTTGGCCAGGAGGCCTTTCAGAAATACCTCATTTCAAACTTATTTAAAGTATCACAAGTTTCATGCAAACCTTATTTTTGTGTAAAAGTAACTCATAACAATAACACATAATAAAAGTAAGTAAAATGGTAAAAAGTGAGCTATACTGGACAATCAGATATAAATAACATGATTTACAGAATAAGTAGTAAAACAAACCTTGGATATGTACAAATACAAAATATGTACATTGGACAAACCAATTTTCAAGATTGTGTATTAAAGAGAAAAAAATGTCATGGATGACTTATTGATAAATTTACAAGTAAAAAATAACATCCAATATAAAAAAAACACAGTCCTTATCCAAAACAGAGTATATATACACAGTGACTTCAAAATTTAGTTGAAATTAGCAAAATGAACGGAAAATTTAATGTGATCTTTAAAACAGACTGATTATAGAAAATTTGTTTACAAATTCATTTCAGTATAATATCCAGACATTTTTTCTGTTTTTTTTTTAACAGTTGTATAAATATACAAGTACCATTTTCATAAAAATATGAATCAAATTCGTGAATACTGATTTCTTGAACTTTCAGGCACACTTTCAGTAGTTTATTATAAAATGCAAGGCACTCTAGCAAGATTTAGCTATGGGCCTTATTCACGAGTCGGCCATTTTTGTCGAGTTCCCTGAATGTATTTCATTAATTGTTAAATGTTGAATGGAATGGCGCCAGACTATTTATGCAGGCACAATGCAGCCTTATTTTACTGTCATTTTTTTTTAAAATATGGCTTTAAACATTAGGGAATGTTAATTACAAATTCAAAAATATTTATTGAGGCAGACTGGAATTGTTTATAAATTAAGTTGCTTTCATTTCTCTTCGCAAGTTCAAAAAATTAAGATTTGTACCTAACTTTCAATTCAATATGGCCGACTCGTGAGTAAGGCCCATCCTATTAAATTCTGTATTCAAACCCTGTTTGACAATCGTCATGTCAATAATGTCATTCAACAAACTAGTAACACACCTGTCTTTGATGATGTGTCATGGTTACAAAATATATAAAAGCCATTACTGTCCAATATCGTGGAAGACAGTTTTATGGTGCAAAACCTCGGAATGGAATGATGAGACAGATATTGCCAGCACAGGAAATACATAAAGCATACCATCTGCACGTGTATGTGGACAAAGATTTAGTTTGGAATGAAGGCTCGCTCTTATTTTTCATTTTCTCCCTCGATCCTTTTGCATCAGCAGCCATCACTGAGGGTTGTGGTTACTGTACATGCCATTAAAGACTGAAGTCAGATGCAAGCCTTCTGTCACAGGGTTCTGTGATTGAACAATTCACAAGAGAGTTTCTATTTAGTTCTATATTTTGCACCAGATTGCAGTCCTTAATTACATGATTTTTTTAAAGTGAGAAGGTACTCATGCCTTCAATGTCCATGAAGATAAATGCCTTTCTTGTAGTTAAGTCGATATAATACAATCCAAAAAGACATATTAATATCCATGTGCCGAGTTTTAGAATGGTTGTTTTTTTCATGGAATCAATGTCACAATGCTAAGGAGCAATTGTTTTCTTAAAGTTAACATAATAATCACATACAAAGTATGATAGAAATAAATTACCTTTTCTAATGTGGAATGTCTGTTTGAAAATTTTAAATCCAATGTTTATTTAGTACTTTGCCTTTAGTTGGACGGAGTTATCAGATACATAATTTTAAATTCAAGCGGTCAATACACGAATATGACAAAATAGTTATTTTTTGAAAGATTTAGTGTCCTAAACAAAGTGCTTCCAATGAAACAGAGTCAAGGTGATCAGGATATGTATTGCCAATTTATCTAATAATAAGAAAACTATTTCATTAGTTAGTCATCAATGATGGACAACATAACAGCTCAAATTGGTTCTCTCTCCTTGTTATTAGAAAGAGCAATTTCAGTTCATTAGGTTTCTTAAGATGAAGACTAATAATACATAACATCTCTTTAGAGGCATTACTCAGAGCGTGCTAATTGTTTTTGTTTATAGCGGGTCGTCGATACTGTTATTTAATTGGCCTAGAATGGTGACTTGTTTACGAAAATTGAACTGTTCCATCATGCATGCAAGGCCGGATCCAGAACCAAATTTCAGGGGGGGGGGGGGCAAGATAGCTTGCTGATTTTATTTCATTTTTTAAGGGGATTAAGTATATTTCCACATTGTAATATTAAAACTAAAAGGTATGTGTAGCTGATGGCTTGCGAGGGCGGTACTATTTTTAAAAATTTATTTACTAAAAATTTAAGACAAAAAGGCGTCTTCACTTCTCTGATTAAAAAAAAAAATAAATAAATTGTGGGTGGGGGGATGGCCCCTGTTTCCCCCCTGGATCCGACCAATGCATACACGTCACTTAAAATAACAGTCCGTGTGTTGTATGCAGTGCATCAGATGCGTATTATACGACCCGCAACTCTGCGAAAATGCATTTTATGTCAGTTTAGGACAATTCACTGAAACCAAAGGCTGCCTTGATGTTTTCATTCACTGCTTGAAGACAGTCACAACTTTGATCTTTTCAACATCCTCAAAATCTCTCACAGCGGATTAAGAGACTGAGACTGGTCAGCTCGCCACTGGCCTGTTATGGGTGTTTATGTACCACTTATAACAAACATAAAACCACTTCACATTATTATTACCCCTGCTCATCGGGCTTATAAAACATTCCTTAAACCATCTCAGCCACCTGGTGAGGGTACAGCTCGATTCAGCGTTTTTCCAGGCACAAACGGCTTTTCAAACACAGTAACCATCTCTGCCTTCACAGATACCCATTTTACTCCTGGATGGGGAGAATCAAGATATAACAAAGTGTCTTGCCCAAGGGACACACGCCATCACAATCCAAGGCTGGAGAATTACCCATGGTACGGGTCACCTTAATTGAAATATCCACACTAGTACAAATAAAGTGCTGAGTTTCGTGTGACGTATGACATGCAGGAGAAACAGCATAATCTGACTAGAGAAAAGTGGCATGGACAAGATGCAAAGCAACCAAGATGATTTTAGAACCTTTGAAGACATTGCCTGTTCTCATATACACAAGTGATATGAGGTTCCATCGTCACTTTAGCCCGAATACATGACGTAAGGAATCAGTGAAGGGCGCCCTCATCAGAGGACAGCCAGAGAGACTTTCCTTAAGAGTCGAGGTTCGTTCTCCACTTTAGTCTTGGTGAGGGATCCAATAAAAGAGCGCCCTCATCAGAGTACGGCCGGAGAGACTTTCCTGATGAGTCGGAGGTAGACCTGGTTCTTCTCCGTCAGGTTGTGGCAGGTCCTCTCGGCGTTCTTCTGCCGTTCCTCCGTGATCTGCAATGCTGTCTGCAGCTTGCAGTTCTCCATGTACAGCTCCTTCACCATGATGTCGCTGCGGGTGGATCTCGTCAGCTAGAAAAAAAAATGACAAAATTAGAGCAAGTTTAGTCAGGGAAAATAGAAGCTCTGACGACTTCAGCCTCATTTTGTTGGGTTGGATCACATTTACTATTGGATTATTAAGGATCTTCAAGTAACACAGCCTTAAAAAAAAAAAAAAAACACGGAGTCTGGCAGGGGCTCCCACCTTGGACCTTCCTTGACACCACCTGTTTATCTTTGGGGTGCAATCTTAAAACAGGCAATTGTAAAAATTCAATTTTTGAATCAGAGCAATATGTTAACTTACATCAATCACCTTGTATTCACATCCATTTATTACCCCAAAAAGGCATTGTTGCAGCTCCTTTTTTGCTAAACAATATGGCTTAGTGCCCTGACTCCTACTGACCTGATCCTTGAGTTTCCTGACGTATTCATCCAGCATGGCTCTCATCTTCTTCTGTTTCCTCTCAAGCTCCGCTTTTGCCTCTTGAAGTCTCCTGACCTCCTCTCGGCTTTCTTCCTGAGCTCTGGTCGTCAGTCTTCCAGCCTCCTGGTCCTTCTCGCTGACCGTCCGTTCCAGGTCCACCAGCCGTACGTCCTTGCGTAGGAGATCCTCCCGTAAGGATTGCAGCTCCTTGGCTGAGACCTCGGTCTGCTTGCCTTTCACTCGCTGCAGCTCCCGCAGGTGCTGGGTCTCCTGCACTGACAGCTGCATCTGGGCTTCCAGGAGCTGTGTGAATATGTGATACAACAAAGGTGATCATTCATCAAATGATGTATTTCATGTCCGTCTTACATGTATCCTAGATGTATCGGTTTTCAAGGGTGTAAAGATTTATTTCAAGCAAGAGAAAAACACCGACATAGCCTTCGGTTACCAAATTTTTGGGCTGGCGGTGGAACACGTACTGCACACACAACAAAAAATTCTGCCTTGAGATGTCCACATTCATTGCATCTAACGCAGAATTAGTTGCTACCAATCCCCGTGCTACTTTAATGCAAGCAAATTGGCTGAGAGGTTTAAAGGAAAAAGGAATGGAACTCACCCGTCGGTTGACATCAGACAGATCTGTCACTAACTTCTCCTTTTCACCAGCGACCAACCTGAGCTGGGCCTGGAAATTACACACCAAAAAAAGAAATATTAGAGAAAAACATTTTGAAGAATCTGAGATGGTTGGGTTTAAGCAAAATGAGTGATGCAAATGGTGGATCTGTTAGTTACTGCAAAGCAAACAACAACACAAGCATATCGACAGCAACAGAATGAATCCGAGTTAAACTCTGAACTCTGACCTCATGTATCTGAGTGCTGACCTGGTGACTCTCCTCGATCTCACTCAGCAGTTTGAGTTTCCCTTCTAAATGGCTGACTGTTTGCTGCAGCTGATTGTGGTCAGCGCTCAGCTTGTTATATGAAGACTATGGCATGGGTGCACAGTGGGATGATAGGAAAAGTGATTGTTAGTAGTGGTTATTGAAGAAAATGAAAAGAACGAAAGTGGAAAGATCAGAAGCTGCTTTTGCAAAACTTTACGCCATGGTGAAACTCAAGGCTACTGCCTTGCGAAACTCGATGTATTTTTTATTTGGTACAGCGATAGCACGGCATTTAGAATTCAGCTCCGCAAATTGGGTTTGGCGTGGCACAGTCCTTTGGCTCGATAGGGCCTGCCCTGTTGTAGTTGTTCCGACTGACAGTGGCATGGCACTGTTCTAAGTGCCGTGCCACTGCCGTGCCAAACTCAATTTAATGTGAAGTTAGGGTGAATATTTTAGGAACGTGTATGCTCACAGTGACCTCTCTGGCGTCTGCATCATGGGGAATGAATACAGGATGAATACTTGATGGCATTGAAAGTGCACTGAACTGCTTGACATTTTTTTTAACAATGGCAAGGCTTACTCTGGATGCATTTAGTTTGCCCAATAAGTCCACCAATTAGAGCAAATACCATGCTACAGCCAAGCTACTTTCAAGTGAGGCACTGTGTTTAGAACAGGCCTTTAATACCACATTTTGCTGCTTAAATTATGTGACAAGTTATGACATAATTGGAGAATGTTTCAGTATACATGTTCAAGTCATTTGTTTTTCGGTTGTATAACTTACAGTGTACAAACAAAAACAGCTGATTTAAGGTAATTGTGATCACCTCAAAGTCTGTCATTGCAAAACTCATCAATGTTGAGGAATTGCAACTATAGCTTTGAGGGTCACAAATTACTGTGTTACCCATGACAGTAAATTTTAGAATTGTTGTCAGCCCAAACCCCCCCCCCCAAAAAATAAATTAATACAAATTTAATTTCCCATTGGCAGGTAGAGCTTATTCAGCCACTGTTTTTGTGTTCGATAAATAATTGTTCACTGAGTATGTTGCACATGAGTTTGTTGTTGCGCATATCCTACTTATTTGGTATGTTACAATGTTTGTGAATCAGCTGATGAAATGTTGGCACAATGATTTCCCCTTAAGAGGGGAAAAAAAGCTGTAATTACTGAATTTCCTACAAAATGGAATTCAGCCATTTTTGATAACTCTTACGGTTTGTATACTTGATGAGATAAAATAAAGATAATGAACTGACACAGAAGATTGACACAGAATTTAGTACTCTCTCAAAATACCGACTGGACAATTTTGAAAGGGAAAATCACTAGCTCCAAAAATGTCATCATTACCCGGAATGTAGTTGAGAGGAGGTTGTTAAATGGACAAACAAAGAGTGCACCGCAATTCTGAAGTCAAACTTCACTCATTAGTAAATTATGCAAAAATGGCAAACACAGCAAAGCAAATAATGCAACCCAAAAAGATTAGGCATGGGCAATTTTTTTTTTGGGTGGAAGTGATCTCAAGAAAGACTTAAGCCGATATAATGGAGTGGCTAAGCACTGAAAAATCATTTAGCACAGAAACTAATTGCTAAGAAAAGAGCAAAACAGTTTACAGGCTACAAAATCATGTGCGGTATATACAGTTTGAGAATGTATCTCAGCTGAATAACATGAATGTTGTTAAGCAGAAAATTCACATTATGTGTACCTTATCAGCCTCTGCTTCTTTCTGCGTAGCCTGAAGAGTGTGCATAGTGACGACGCTGACTGCTTCTTGGGCAGCTACTTCAGCCTGCAACATCAAGGAAAAAGACAAAAGACAAGACTAGTTTGAACTGGGCTGCTTCACTGTGAGATTGCGATTCTCACTGCAATAAGATTCTAACGAGCCAGCTGGCCCTGGTCAGGTGATTAAGACATCTGTACTTGTAGATAAGAAATTGGAAGCTTGTGATTTTTTTTTCTCAAAATACTTAGAGACAGCACTCAGCATACAGTACTTTTAATATCACATCGGTGAAGGATAAAACCAACTATTCAAATGTCAATCTCCCTACCTGTTGTAGCTTGGATTCCATCTCCTCCTTCTGGTAAACCAGCTCTTTCCTTTCCTCATTGTAACCTTTCTTGAACTGCTCCATCTGCTCCACCAGCTCTTTCTCTAACTCCCTCTGGCAAAGTAACGGTCGAAAAATGGTTAAATTAAATGATTTTCCACTTGAATTAGCTTGAAAGAAAACAAATGGAGTTGCAAAATATTAAGTGAAAATGGTCTCACTTATCTGTTACAGTTGTAAGGAACATTGAACTAGTAACTGGAGTTGTAGTGTAGTATTCACAAGTCCCCACAATTCCTTACGTCGTCTAACAATCTTCAAACGTCCTCACAAATCCTCACAAGTCCTCACAAGGCTTAACAATCCTCACAAGACCACAAAAGTCCTGACAAGTCCTAATATGTCCACACAAGCCTCACAAGTTCAAACATGTCTCTTAACAAGGCCTCACAAGTCCTTAAAATTTCTCACAAGTCCTCATACGTTCTCACAAGTCACATCAAGGCTTGGTAAGTCCTCACAAGCCCCCACAAGGCCTCATAAGTCCACACAAGTCAAACACAAGCCCTCCAGTCAAGTTTGAAGTCCCAAACTATTTAAAGCTATAGTCCATCATTTGCAGCCATCCGAAAAAGTAACTGGCGTATTAATGTTGAAAAATATACTTGGTTGAAAGATAGTAAGTGGACTAAACTCCCTGTGAAATTAATATTTCTGGCAAGCTATCATTTTGAAGTAATCAATGAAAGAAGGCCTTTCCAACGGTGTGTCTTAAGACGCACTGTAGGAAAATTTAAATTAGTAGTTCGTTTTGTTATTCGGCGCAGCGCGCGCAAGCTTTGGCACGACGCACAGGCGCGCGCCGTTGCTATAATTCGTCGGATCAGTGCGCGACATCGCGTAGTAGCTGCAATTTAAAACAATTCAAAACATGATTCAGCAACTTTTGATTTGAAATTGAGATCCTAGAATGCTGTTTTTCTCAGAATATACAGCTGAAGCTGAGCTGAAACTTAATCAGGTTAGTTGTTCAGTATCCTTCATTAGATTTTGAACACTTTTGTTCAAAATGCACAAATTACAAATGATGGACTATATCTTTAAATGATTGCATTAATACAGGTATTATTTACTTGCTCTTCATCACCTGTTACTTGTGGCTTTACTTGTGACTAACTTGTGATTTGACATGTGATGGACTTGACTAAAACCTTTGGTAGTGGCAACATTATGCTTACTCTAATATCTGTTTTGAGTTTGTCTTCAACTTCTTCATGGACCGATCTCTCTAACTCATCCTTGTCGACCGTCAGGCTCATCTGCATCTCACTGAGATCCTGCCGGAAACGGGACTCGAGCTTTTCCCGCTCCTGCTTGAACTTCTGGCGCTCCCGCTGCATCCGCTCCTCTATCTGGCTCTTCTCCTGCTCCCGTCGATCCTCCAGGTCCGTCACCTGCTTCTTGTGCCTCTCGGCTAGCTCCAGCTTCTCCCTCTTGTGCTTCTTCATCAACTCCGATTTCTCCTCCTTGGCCTTCTGCAGGAGCGAGGTCTTGTCTCCTTTGCTGGACTTCAGCAGCTCGGCCTTCTCCATTTCCAGTTCCTCTATCAGGGCTTCCTTCTCCAGCTCAAAGCCTTCCAGGAGGGCCTCTTTCTCCTGTAGGAAGTTACGTTCGATCTCGGCCCTGTGCTGCGCCAGGAGCTCATCAAAGTCTCTCCTGAGCTGGCCCTTGAGTCCCACCTCCCCGTCCACAAACAGTGTCTCGAGCTCGTGGACCTTCTCTTGGTACATCAGCTCCAGCTCTGCCCTCTCCCGCTCCCACTGGGCCTGCATCTCCCCTTTCTCCTCCAGGAACCGCAGCTCCAGATCGGACTGCATCTTCTTCAGTCTGATCTCTGCTGAGTTCCTCTCTCGGATGATTTCCTCACTGAGAGAGGACTTCTCCTGAGACAGTTCTTTCTCCACGCCGGCCTTTTCGTCCAGCAGCTTCTGTTTGACCTCGGCAATCCTGTTGTCCATTTCCACATTGTACTCAGCTTCCAAGCGATCCCTATTGAGAAGAAAATCACAAATAATTACTTTAAGACATAAAAAAGAGCCACTATGATGAATTGGTCAAATTCCTTCCAAGGCCTGCAAAGTCTCATCCAAGAAGGCCTGTTATGAGATCCTCAACTGACCTGAGTTCCCTGGTCTCCGTAGAGAACAGCTCCTCCAGCTCCCGTTTCTCTTGAGCAAACACCTGGGTCATCTCCTGCTTCTCGCTGCCAAAGCGCCGCTCCACTTCCTCAATCAGCTGCTGCTGCTCCTTCTGGAACTCCTCCCGCATCTCTTCCTTCTGCCGCTCGAAGCCGTCCTCCAGGTCCGTGATCTCCATCTTGTAGCGGAACTCGATGTCCTTGGAGTCACGCTCGAAGGCTGTCTGGGATTCAGCCAGCTCCTTGCTGTGCTTCTCCTTCAGGGATTCAATCTCAGCCTCCAATTTCGCTCCTACGAGAAGGAGAGATGTAATCAGTCAATAAAAAGTCACCACAAGTCATCACAAGATGATCACAAGTCATCCAGTGTCAAGTCAAGATTGAAGCTATCAAAATGAAATGTATAACTCCTTTGTTATTGATCATCCAATTATATGTGACCTGACTTGACTGTTAGAAGCAAATAGAAGCTATGCAAAATACAGTGTGCCACCAAGACATTACCTTGGAAAGGCAATTATGGGAAAAAAGAAGAAGATATCCACATGCTAACTTTGTGGTTTTCGCTTGTACAATGACTCAACAGTGTTTACTGTTTAAAACTTTTTTTGTGAGCAAAATAAAGGGTCCACAAGTTTTTTGGAACCCAGTTTCTGCAACTTTCTTACTCCTCTTAAATGTATGAAAACTATTCGAAATTCATTTTTGGTTAATTTTATTGAAAAGGCACTTCTTTAAAAAGACGAAAATAAAAAAACCAGTGGTTTACATTGGACTCGGCAGACATTTTGTGGCATAACCATAGGCATTTCAAGCCGTGTCCATTCAATGTAGGCTACACATTACCAATACACAGATGTTGTTTTCTGCACGTCCGCACAATGCAATGTGCAGCAGGATTCACAACTAGCACTCAACAGCTTAATTTTTGAGTGTCAAAATTTTGACCCCTGAAATTTGTTCTCACACGGTTCTCGCAAGTAAAACACAAAAATGCCCGCTTTTTAAAGGATGATTGTGTGGACATTTCTATCCTACTTTTAAATGCTCTTTCCAATTAACATAATTTCGTTTAAAAAAATGCATTTTGTAGCCCAATTGGGCGCATTCCAGGTCATAATGTCCCTTTAAAATATGAATGACCATTGACTGAATGAATGTGTTTTGTGCCTGAATGTTGTGAGAAAAAGATTGCAATTTGACTGACTTTGTGAGTCCTCTTCCTCATTGCTGTTGCCGTCACCGCCTGACCGTGCAGTTAGAGGTAACCGCCTCTTGCCCTGTGGATCTAACTCTTCCAGTTCAGACTCGTTCTCTGAAGGAGGGGGAAAAAAAAAAGAAACAACAACAATTACTGAAAACGTTTTCACTATTAATTAAAAAAAAATGATAATTTTCATTGCATGAACACATACTGGGTGACAATGATTGGACTGGTCTAGGCAGCTATTTGGTACAAGCCTGTACAGGTTGGTTGCATCACTGGTTACCAATAGCCATTTGCATTATAATGTACAGCAGGGAGCCAGGAGCATTTCTTTTTTTCGGCACAAACTTTTGACCGAAGTTCAGCCAGGGACAATTTATACTTTGTGATTAGCGTGTAGGTGTATGACACTTCTTTAAGTCAACCACAAGTCTGCTAGTAATACATCAGCATGATACATCATATTGTGGAAAAAGTGGCACCATTAAAACCCTGATTTTCAACCAGAAAACATTAACTAGTCGATTTATTCTTAAACAGAAATGAGACTTGTACTCCACGATGCAAACATCTCAAACCGCCGCTGTAACAGCCATTACTTAAGCTCACATTACGTTTTTACGATGCATAAAGTATTGTGACCCCAGTGTCGTAAAATGTATCAAATTATGACATGAGACAAGACAATTAATAAGATGGGATTTTTGCGTCGGGGTTATGTAAATTAAATTAGGTTTTGCCCTTCACCGACGTATAAACACTGTATACTCAGTGTGTTACCTCCCGAGTGAAAGTTGGAAAAAATCACTCTGGTGGGACTCGAACCAACGACTTCCTGCTTTCTAGTGCAGATGTCGTACCACTCGACCACCGAGCTAACGGGATCGGTTGGCTGGTTCGAATCTAATGTACATAGCAGCGGGTACCGCATAAACTATTAATAAGATGGGATTTTTGCGTCAGGGTGACGTAAATCAAATTAGGTTTTGCACTTTCAGTGATAGGCCAGATGACAAGATTAGTAAAGCTGGTCCCCGAGAGCACAAAATTCTATCCAATCGATTCACAATGGCCTATCACTGGAAGTCTTTTCATGCATCTATTCTACACAATGGGTTGGATTTAGCCCATTCATTGGCACTACAGGGTATTGCTATACAATAGCATTGCCTGGCTATCAGGAGTCAGTCAGATAGTCAATCAGTGAATCAGACACTCAGTAAGATAGGTAATGTACAAAGTGGACTCTAGACTAGCCCTCTGGGACCAGCACATGTATGACCCGTTTGCAACCCACCTGATGAAGAATGGCCACTGGATGACCTCTTACTGATGGTGGGTTTGGTGTAGTCGGACAGGACCGAGCCCACACGGCTGGGTTTGTTGGAGTGTTGCAGCTTGCTGCCCCGTCGTCTGATCTTGCGTTCCGAGGTCTGGTGCTTCAACAGTTCATTCTCTTGGGTGATCTCGTCCAGCTGGTCTTGTAGCACCTGAAAGTCATAGTGAAGATCATCAAGTTTTGTTTAGGCCATAAATGCTCTTACCCAATAGGAGTATTTCAAGATAGAATGTGCCACCAATTGATTATCATGGAGAGGTCACTTTAGCAGCTCTTTATGAGAAAACTGTTGACAAGTGCTGTTTGGTATTCCTTCTGCACATGAGCACGGCAATTTTACATTTTTTGGGCACGCTTGACTTTTTTAAGGGAATAAATGTGTGCTTCGGAGGTTTTTATCACTCTGTTTAAGACCACTTAGAGTCTGGGTGCTGATAATTACCCGAGCCGGAGGCGAGGGTAATTATCAGCACCCAGACTCTAAGTGGTCTTAAACAGAGTGATAAATACCGACGGAACACATATTTATTCTCATTCATAAATACCTTTTCGGTAAGAAAAAATCATATAATTCGTTTAAAACATCCCGATTTTGTTCAACAAATTCACTTTATGCTTTTTGAAGCATCCCTCTTGCAAAATAATGGAGTGTTCAGCTGGCGAGTAAGATGTAAACAACCCTTTTATGGAGATTGACGCGCGCATATCATGTTCTGCGCGATGTCGCGCAGAACGCACCTGGCGCGTTGCGTTTTGAATTTAGAACTATAAAATTCTGACTCCGTGGTAGTGTTGCGCATGCCTACGTGAGGATTGTGAACGTTCAACCAATGAAACGATAAGAGGCACTGGATTTTTTGGAGTCCACATTTTATTGTGACACTGGAAAAGTGTTTAAGACCAGCTAGCCATGTCTTTATCATCCGTTTAAGACCGGCCACGTGACGGGCTCTCGACCAATAGGAATGCGTAAACTGTCTTAGGTATTTATGAATGTGCGTTAATACTGATGGCAGTGTTCCCTCAGTAATATTAAAATGAAATTCCAAACAGGCCCGAACTGGTTACTGCCAGAGACAATGCTAGTCTGGTTTACAGACCAAACATTTCTGACTATTCTGACAAATATTAGGGTCAGGTAGGTGCACATGACTTTCTGAAAACGACCAAACTTTTCCAAACACATTTTGATAAACAATCGGATATGTTCACAAAAGCTCGGTTATTTAAATGTAACAACAAAATATCTGCTATGCTTGATGTCAGTCCTGAAAATTTTTTGAGTTTAAACATTTGAAACTTACATCTGCAAAACTCAGTGTCAGACGATATGTCCAGTATCTGAATTTAAAACCCGATCAAGCTTTGTGCCTGGAGTGTATACTTCGACGAGGGGATGGCTTTGTTACACCATACTCTATGTTAGAATGTGAGGGTCACCTGACCTTCAATTTATTACAGAAGTCAGTAGATCTTCAAATCCGGGAACCAAGGCAACCACTGTCACTGCATTCACTCACCCTGACATGTTCCTGGTACTCCTTCAGGTTCTGTTCAAAGTATTCCTCCTGCTGTTTGGAGACAGTTTCACGGTTGGACTCCAATTCGGCGAGCTTAAGTTTTTGAATAAGAACAATTTTGTAACTTTTTTATTTTGGCACAAGAGGTTTGACAACAATCTTGATCAATACAACAACAGAATGTTGGTACAGAATGCTGCAACTTACCCAGATGCAATGGACCATATTCCTGAGGAAGCCATTTTGGTCATGTTCCCTGAATGTATTTTATTCATTGTGAACTGTTGAATGGGATGGTACCAGACTATTTATTCATTCTAGTCTCACTTTCAATTTCTTCTTAAATGTGGCTTAAAACATAAGGGCATGGTTAATCACATATTTTAAATTATTCATCAGAGCAGACTGGTATTAATTTGTAATTACATTTATGTCATTGCTTTCGTTTCTCTTAGCATGTTACAAAAATGAAGATTTTTACTTCGCTTTCAATTTAATATGGCCGACTCGTGAATAAGGCCCATGGACCTATTATATGAAAAAATTTTCTCCAAAACTTTTTCTGCGATTACGTTTTGACTCCTTATTCTTGGAAAATAATTCTTGCTTTTTGAAGTGAACCTACCCTCTCCTCCAGCTCCTGAAACCCATCCAAGTCCCTCTGCTGCTTGAGAATGGTTTTCTCATTTTCAAGCAGTTTCTCTGCCGCCTCCGTCAGTTCTTGCTCCAACCGTGTGATCTCCTACAATTCAAAGCAAGACAACGTGTGTTTTAATCCTTACTACATTCGTTTCCCAAATATAACTTCAGTATACAGTCGAACCCTGATATGAAGAGCGCTGTTAATACAACATGCAGCTTATTACGAGGACAAGTTTAGGTCGCAGGTCTTTGTTTTTCTTTGTTTTCCATTACTGTTAATACAAGGTACCTGTTATAACAAGGTAATTTGTAAAGTCCCAAGGACCTTGTTATAAAGGTGTTTGACTGTAGTGGGTATCGGCACTGTATCTAGTTTGTTGCACACACAATGTGAAGATGTACAAGTCACACAAGGCTACATTTCAGCTGTATTAGTATTGTATTACTTGCACAGTTTTAGTGTTTGTCAAATTCCACATTTCGTCACCAGTCATTTTCAGTGGTTCATTGATGCGCATGCAGATCTTTAACACCACGTGCAAGTCCCAAGTGGAGCACGTAATTTATGCTAACACATGTAAAATTTTATAGGCGACCATCGAATATTTGATCAAATCCACATTTGAAAAATCCAATCCTCAAATTATCCCAAATGCCAGCTATACAAATAATGAATGTTAATGAGTGCAATGGTAAGAATAATTTCATGAGGTAACAAATTTCTATTGAATATTTTGTTGAATATTTTGTTGAATATTTGACTCGGAAAAATTCTATTCAGATATTGGGTCGGTGACCGAATACTCGAATTATAAGTGTATCCAGCACTTACTTTCTGCATCTCGGTGAATCTCTCTCTCAGTCCCGCATCCCCAGATTTGATCTGATTGATCTCTTCTTCCAGCCGTTGCCTCTGCTTGGCAGCCTGGGCGGCCATTTGCTGCCTCTCCTTCTCAACCTCGGCCTGCATCGCCCCCAGTTTCTCCTGGTGCTTCTTCTCGGCAGCCCTGTCGGGAGAACAAGGTCCAAGGTCCAAGTCGATTCATTGAGTTAATTTGTCTCCAAATGCTCATGAGAACAAGACTAGGCAATCCTAGTAAAGCTGGTCCCAGAGCTCACCAAATTCAATTCCATTGATTTAGAATGGCTAGAATGTTCACAGACTAAGCTGTAAGTAGTAAAGTTTGAAGGTCTTGGTCACAGAAATTCTGCCTAATGTCTTACATTTAAGGAGAAAACATTGAAAAAGACATTTGTTTACAGTTGATGCAGCAGTGATATATTGCCTTGTCTATACATATTTCCAGAAGTTAGAAAAGCTATCCAATTTGAAGCCAAACTGTCAACGTAAGACAGGCGCCAATCAAAAATAGCGACATGCATTTGAAACAACTTTATGAAAAGAAACATGTGACTGGAAATGTGACTAGCGCTCCAACAGCTCGATTTTGAAGATCAAAATATTGTTACCCAAAATTAATTTGTGTGATGTCATTGTCATTTTATTTAATTTTTGTTACTGTCATTTTGTGAGAAACGACCAATTAAGTTTAAGAGCCTAAAGGATGCATTCCAGTCGAAGGTGTCCCTTGCATGCTTTAAAATAACTATTAATTTCCCACCAAATCCAGCAGCGAGATAATAGCCAATTACAAGATTTAATAACAGAGTTAGTACTGAATGAGTGTATTTCTCACTGTAGCTTCGCCTCATTCGTCTTGATGATGTTAGCATGGGTTTCATCCACCTCCTTGACCAGCATGGCATTACGCTGGTTGGCTTCGGTGGTGTCAGCTCTCAACTTGTTCCTTTCATCTGTCATGGAATCCAGCTGAGATCTGGGTGGAAACACAGCATAACCAAAAGGAATATAAGGAGTCATTTCAATTTATATCCGGGAAAAGTTGCAGACAACTTCATCCACAATGGACTCCGTGCACAAACAGCAGATGGTGCATTGTGAACACTTTCAAATGCCCAGTGGGATAGGGACAAACAGCAGGCACGTACTGGTTTAAGCGCATAATAACAGCACATAGTAAGCATGCCAAATTTTATTTTGAATGTGCACCAGTAGCCATGCATTTAAAGGGAATGTACATCATTGGCTTTTGCTGTTATTTTTAAAACTTAACTATTTGAGGGGTTAGTATAATAGATCAAATATTGTTACACTGACATGTTTGAAGTTTTGTGTTCGAAAATGCTGGAAAAGCCAAGAAAAACAAAAATGTTCAGGTAGTCTGGTTCCCTGACTCCACTAAAGGTGAAATGGATCAATTTATAGATGCCGGAAAATTGTTAGGTCAGGGAACCAGTCTAGCTGGCCTGCACCCGTTCATGAACATGTAACCAATAGCAAACAAAATTTGGACTGAAAAAAGTGTAAAGTTGGAGCAGTAGTTGAAAAATAGTTAGGTTTTTCCAACGGTGGTCGGCCGACCACCGTTGGAAATGCATACAAAAATACCATTTTCTTGAAAATGACTTCACACCAGGTGCCATAATTTTACAGGATGCTTTAGACTGTCATTTACCAACATCCTAGTAAGGTATTTCGTAAAAACTTGGTAGTTTTATTTTTCGATGTTTGCACATGTTTTTTTTCCCTTTAAGCGCATAATAACAGCACATACCGTAATTTCCTGCGGATAAGGCGCGCGGCGGATAAGACGCAGGTCCCTAAAATCACCCAAAAAAAATTCAAACGCCAACAGATAAGGCGCACCGCCGCATAAGACGCATGTTTGACCGCACACAGAAGAACACCAGGTGTCACCCGGTGTCGGTACATCGCCACAAAGGGGCCATTGTGTTGCCTTAGAACGATCACACTATTCGGAGGATGAATTAAGCCGTGTCCGCACTGGACTTTTTTTTTGGAAGGTTTTACCGAGACGATAGTAAAATGAGAAATGGTCAAATGTGACCACTGTCCGCACTTGGACTTTCGACACGGGAAAATTTACCCAGACCGCGTGGGAGAAGTAACCGAGCTGTCACAGTGTCAGTATAATTACTCACCGTACACAGAAAACAAATTGCCGATCACATTTTCAGCCGCCGATACGCACAGTAATATTACACACGCCATTTGCATGCACAACATAATCGTTTACACGATATTATTTCATCTTGACACGCTAAATCTTGACGAAAAGGCCTGTAATTCTGACGCATTTGTGATGCACGTCGTCGAAGCCATGCCGCTGTACGATATTCCGTGCGGCAGCAGTGCCATCAGTATTCGTTGGTTCCCATCGCATGCTTACAGAATCGAAGCTATGATGTGGGCCAGGAACCAGCGACTACGGCCTACGTACGGTACCGGACCATGATGTTCCGTGCATGACTACAGTAGCGTATCAGGACGAATTTGGATCGTAGAAAATAACATACATCGGTGGAGAAAGAGAATTTCCGCAAATTAATTCTCAGAACGTGATCTCTCTTCTCTGTGTATGTATTTGTCCGTTGAAATATATATTTTAACGAGATTTTACCGCTCGGACTTGATGATACACCGCAGCGTGTTTCTACAAAATGTTCGGCCACACGTGCACTGAGGTTCGCGCGGTCTCTGTATGCATAACATGGCGCTCGGGCCGGAAGTACGCTTTCCTGAGCCGCTTTTACCGACTCGCACTGTTTTCATCTTGATCTTCAGGCTTGCAGACTTCGAAGATATCCTGTACAATAAACACCCTCAACGTTCACACAATAGAACTTGAGTGAATGCGATTTCCAAACGTTTAAGTAATTCTGATTGCAGCATTATCGGAATGAAAAAACGGCCACAAAGAAAAACGTTTGTATGACGGCATTGTTGGAACGAAAGCACGATCACTAAGGGGGATCAACGCATTGCGGCATTGTTGGAAGGAAAGCACGATCATGGGGGATCAACACATCGCGGCATTGTTGGAATAAAAATACGGTCACAATGTCTGGAGAGTTGAGCCTCGGTTGACCGCATTATTGATTGCGGCATTGAAAGAATTCTTCACACAAAGACCGTCACTTTGAACTCAAGCGACACCAGATAAGGCGCACCTGTAGATAAGGCGCAGCGATGTTTTTGTGGTCTAGAAAGTCAGATAAGACGCGTCTTATCCGCAGGAAATTACGGTAGTAAGCATGCCTAATTTTATTTTGAATGTGCACCAGTAGCCATGCATTTAAAAGTCCCTCACAGTGGTGGTCTCCCCTAACTCTCCCTTTATGTAACTGTGAGCGGCACATGTGCACGGAGCCCACAGGCCCACTGTATACGTTATAGATCTCTCTCATAGGACGCCATCTTCACAAGAAAATTACAACTGCGTGTTCAACGCCATCAGTGCATGCGCACGCAGTATGTAAAGTGTTCTAAACACGCGCGCATGTTGCTCAAAATTTCTTTCATATAGATGCAGGTCACGAAAATTTGACACCCACCCAAAATGCCGATTTACGGGGCAATCTGTAGAAAGTGACATTATTTGAGAGAGACCTTTTAGTTATCATTTTTCCCAATATGAATTTATCAGCCTTGTTTACGAACTGACTCACTTCAATGCGGAAAGAGTTTGGAATTTTTTTTCAGAATCCTGTAACAAATATGCAAATTGGCCTTGTCTGCAACTTATCCTGGGTATTTCATTAGATCACTCCTTAACTAGGGAAGAATTTGAACCCACTTCATGTTTCATTTTTACATGACAAACCTTAAAGCATTTATAAATACTGTGTACACTGAGATCAGTACTGTTTATATTGAATTTCACAAATGGATTAAAAAGCAACCCGTTTTCAAGTCATTATCCTTTTAATCGGCTTGGATCTTATTTTGCTTCAATGGAAACGATTTATGTTAATACTCATTAACTGAGCTTTATGGCATCAGGGTCCGATATCATGAAACTGTTTAGCAGAAAATGTTTCTTACCAAAGCTATACAATTACTAGCAAAACCCAGTTGAGGACCAGTCACCACCAATATGCATTGCATGACATTTTGGCTGGTAACCCATTTTTGCTGAGCGACATTTGTCTCCGCTGAGCAAATTTCTGAGCTCAGCGGCTCCATGAAATTGGCTTCAGGCCACATTTTTGGAGTTTTGTATTATTTTTTTTTCTTCAAAACCCTCATCTTACTTGAGGTGTTTGAGTTCTGACTGGTATGACGTCAGCGCAGCCTGATATACTCCATTGGTGTCACCCGTCGTCATCAAGACATGCTCCAGAGCCACAGAGAGTTCCGGTAGACTCACTTTACCTGCCTCTGTGTCGACATCTAAACTCTAAATTGGTAAACAACAAGAGCACAGGGACTTATAATTTAAGAAAGCACTAAAGTAGAGGTAGAATGTAAAATAATTTCACAACCAGTAGTTCAAGGATAGCCCTTTTGGATTTAGGTAATACATTTATTTAAAAAAAAAACCCCAATAAACACAAAGAAAATCCCCAAGTTTTAAGAATGTGTGACAAACATGAAAAATACGTCATCAATTGAATGCTGTTTTACATAGGTACATGTACATGCATATTGTCACCACGAAACCTGAGATATGACGTCACTCTTTGTCTACATGTGTACTTTCTTATGAGAATTTGAAACATGGAACAAATATGGATCCATTAAAAAGCTTAGAATCAGAAAATTCAGAAACAAAAAGCTTGTGAATGTTGGGGATACTTACGTGTAGGACTTCTACAGGGTTGTGGATGCCTTGCGCAGCAAACTGTTCCACAATGTCTTCGGGACTGACATACCTAATGCATTGGTGATACAATAAAAATAGCATGCCTTATAGGAGTGTCAATCAAATAGGTTAAAATTCCTCAACATGTGCAATACCATTGCTTCACAATTGACTCCATGAATTAATTAATTTATTTATTGATTTTAAATCTTGGGACAAAGGAAACATCTCTTTAGCAGGGGCTGCCCAAGGAAGGCAAAAGTAAAAAAAAAAAAATTGTCTTCAAGATGTACCCTTCCAATGATGGCACTTTGTGACTACATTTCAGAGCCCCAGTGGGAGGCTGGGGTCGATTTTAGAAAATAAAAGTTACATGCATAACTGAGATGTTTCCTTAAAAAAGGGCTGAAAACATAAAAAAATGCATGCACAGGCACAATTTTACATGCACAGAGCCAAAGTTACATCCATCTGAGCATGTAAAACCCCTCCAAACTGACCACTGGTGGGAGGGACACAATGCATGCGCCAATGGCACAAAGTTTGCGAGACTTGTTTTATTCTGACCATGCATGGTGTCTTTGCGTAAGCTTCAGGTGTCATCAGCAATGTATTCAAATGTTCCTCCCAGTGGTCTCCCCCAACTATCTCTTTCTTACCGTTGAGGGGGTACTTGTGCACAGAGCCCATAGAGTACCATCAGGCCTTCCTCTCAAAGCATTACCTCTCATCTTCAAGGTAAACACACTGCACACACACGTATATTATCCTTCAGATATTCACCCGTTCTTCATTGTTCATTTGCAGTACCACACAAACACAGTGCGTTTGGGAGCCTCGTAGAAAAACTCATTGTAATTCGTCTCCAAAAATTTGACTAAAATTATGCCTTACAATGTAGAAAGCAAAAACTGCTACATCCATGTTCAAAAGGAATGCTGTTTTCCACACAAATGTCAACTTTTCCCCAGTTACTGGCAATTAATTAAAAGCTTCTCTCTGACTACCATATGCCTATTGCAATTCCTATTAAGGTTTTAACTTCTACAGTTTTGCTTTAGACATGCCACAATGCATTATGCACAAATAGCCAAATTACAAAAAACTCATTACCACCGGCAATTACAATTTGAATATTTTCCATAACTGAACTTTCCTACCCATCCAGCTGTTCTGTCCCAGCTGGTTTCAGCTCTGATGCTGCGGCAGGATTTTTCTGCTGGAAGGGCAAGAAATCCTGGAAGTATTTCTTGAACATTTTTCATGCAATATCCTGATGCCTTTTATAGTAAATTCCTTGTCAAAACTCCAATGGTTACCGTGTTCGTACATAACTTTAAAGTATACCGCACACACCCACGCCAATAGTGCAATTTAAATGTGTATGTATATTGTACTATAATTATATGTACAATTTACCCAGGTCTGACATCTAGTCTACACATGTATGCAGTTCTACATGTATATCATCTGGCTCTGCAATACAATGCACATGTAAATGTACATGTACTTTTACACCATATGTTGGGATTGTCTGAACAATGGGAAACAACATGTGGGGCAAATGTTTGTTGATATGCAAATAAGACAGACAATGCATCATATGGAATTCACTGCCAGCAGGCCATATTTTCAGACATATTGGCTTTGTGTAGCATACAGAATATACTATGTATAAGAGACTGGTTGGAAAACAAGTGAAATACAATCTACGTAAATGTTAAAGTAAAAAACATATTGGAATGTTAAATGTATATCATTCCAATGATTTCTGAAAACTGAAATTTCCTACGATTCTGTACAACATCAAGGGGAAAAATTTGCTTAATATCTGAGATATTTCTGATTTTTCCTCATACTGTTAACACAGTACATGTATACATGTACTTGTTAGTGTTGTAAATGTATTGTGCACAAATCACATGTTCAAACATGTACACTAGGGTTAAATTCTAGGGGGCACCGGGGTGCACCGATTTTTCAAGAGAGGCACTGAAGGTAACTGGTATATTGTTTTGGTGCTCAAGATGTTAAGTGGGGAGGGGGGGGGGGGGCAGACCTCCGCTAGGGGGTTCGTTCCCCCTCCTCCTCCCTGTTGTTACACCACTGTCTGAAAAATGAAGTAACTACATGAACCTGTAACTCAATGGCAAGTACACAACAAAGGGAAACTAACTACATGTAGGTACATAGGTTTCCCAGCCCATTTCAGCCCAAAAATCTTTCAGTTTCATCAACACACATTCAGATTCGTGCAGATTTTGTTCATACTGGGATTTCTTTTCCCTTTTATCGCATTCAATTTTGTTTTTCGTGCACACATGATTTTGGTTTTGCCATTCATGTCTGTTTTAGTCAATCTATTTCATTTAAAGGCATTTAAGACTACATTTTAACAGTTTTAAAGTTTAATTTCTACTTTCTTTTCCCAATTAGTGCAATCAAATTAAAAAGTCATCGAAGCGTACAGGATCTTTATCTGCGTGAGTTTTTCTTTTTCGTTTACAGTCAATCAGTTCAAACTCTGAGTGTTCAATTTAGTTGTGATATGGATTATTGGAGTAGGTATTGCTATCTTTCTTTCACTGTAAGTTGTTCTGAATGATATTCTTGTTTGATAATCATTGTCTCGATTTGAACAACTCCTTTGTATCATTATTCTGTTATTTGTGTCTACGCCTGTCTCTTGAGTCATATGAAATCAAGGCAGGATTTTGGTAATGTTTTTTTGCTCTTGATTGTGTGAACAACAGGTGCTGGTCATGTTGTTTACTTCTGTTTATAATTATTTGGACCATTTCAAATTAAAAGTTGAAAAAACTAAGGTAGAAACAAAGGTAGGGTCGACATTATAACAAGAAAACAACATAATGTTGCTTTTTATTTTTTTAATACACAAACACAAATCAGAAATCGCATACCACAGAAGGGAATTTGAATGCAGACATGAGAAAAATGTTTGCCAATTGATTAAATTGAATTCTTGATCAACCTCTTTCTAGGCCCTTTCGACGAATTTGAATGATCGAAATGACTATTTGAATTAGATTGACCTTATATATCGAAAGACTTCTCAAATAATGAAATCGAAAGACTTGTTTTGATGTTTGAATATAAGGGAGCATTCATTTTAAAACAAATCTGAATGGGCCTTGTGTTAAAATGAACGATTTTTTTGGATGAAATTGGCCGGGGAAACCTGTAATATTAAAATGTAACAAAGAAATTGACTGGAGCGGGGTTTGAACCTGAGACCTCTGGATTACTGTGCTGACGCTCCACCAACTGAGCTATCCAGACCTATGTTGTGACAATGTTCATGCAACGCTTTTATCAGAGCGGCCTCATAGCCGAGCGGTTAGAGTGTGGAGCTACAGAGTGGAAGGTTGGTGGTTCACATCCCATTCAGACCAAAAACTGGAAAACTCTCTCTGACGACCCAACAGTAAAATGGGTACCTGATTCGTTCAGGGAAGGTAAGACGGCGAGAGGAGAGGACTGGGCACCGCCACTCATATGCCGCGCCTAAGACACAGTGGACCTCTAACATCCCACTGCCCCTACGGCCAGTAATGGCTATGGGACCTTTACCTTTTTATCAGTGTCTTATGGTTGACCACATCAATATTTTGAAGAAACCCCAAAATAAAATTGTGATTTGAATTTTCTGAGGGGCTTTAAGTTGCAAGAACCCAACAACAGCACTGCAAGTTGATGTATTTAGCCATGCTCAAAAGGACATTACAATCTAATTAACCCTTACCCTACTTGACCCTCCAACGCATGCCAATATGTGCCTCAAGAAAATCTCCTATGTTTTTTGCATGGCCCTCCAATATCTGCCATGTCATTTCAAGGGTAACTGGACAGGCACTCCAATACATGCCACAGAGAACAATGAGAGTCCTCTGATAACAAAGTGAGTGCCCCCAGCTGGTCAGTATCAGGCACCCTCCAGGGCCTCCAACTCCTGCCAATTGGAGCCTTCACTGTCAAGATAGTTTATCTGCCAAAATACTGCAGCTGGAGGGCATTGGCATAACCAACTGACATGCAGTAAACTACCCTCAGAGAGTAAGGGTTAAAGTAAAAATGAAAAAAAAAATTGAGATTTTGTTGGTCCCAGAGGGTCAGCAAGGTGTTGTCTTTGTACCATCTCCCTGACAGACTGATTCACTGACTGACTGACTGACTGACTCCCCGACTGTTACTTGTGAGTCGGGCAGTGCTATCATATAGCATTCTCTTGTAATGCTAATGAATGGGCTAAATCCGACCCACTGTGTATACCAGGACCCAATTTCATAGCGCTGCTTAACAGTGTATTTGTGCTGACAGAACCTCTGTCTTTTTCACAGAGACTGTAAGCAGTAAGGACAATGTGAGCTTGCTTCACCTCGGAGCAAAAAGTTGTTTAAATCAGTAACAAAACAAAAGAAATCTCCATGTGTGCTCAACTGTTAGCACGTCCACGCCATGAAATAGTGCTTAAGCAGCAGCATGATTTTCTGCTATAGTTGGCAAAACTTTTCTGCTAACTGTTAAGCAGCACTATGAAATTGGGCCCTGATGCATTAAAAGTAAGCAGAATTTAAAGTTGATCACGTCAACTTGGGATGTGTCCCAATTAAACTGTGGGTGCGGATTTACCATTATCTCCCAACAGTGCATAAGGCCAAAAAAAAAAGTCTCCGGTTTCTGGTATGCGCGCGCGTCGCCGTAGCCATGCGCGTCGGCAAAATGAAAATTTTTTTTTCAATGAAAGATGATGTCTCAAAACAGCCAAACTCACTGGTTTGACTAGAATCCTGCTGCTGCACAATTTTAACGTGTTTTTAGATGGGGTTATGTTCGAGAATAAGCTTTATGAGGCCTCTCTGGACTCCCATATATTTGCACTAAGTTTAGTCGGGCACCATTTGCAGTCATCAGCCGACACTTGAAGCAAAAAAATCAAAAAAAAAAAAAAAGCTGCGTCGCCGCACAACTTTTTGGGCAAGCTCCATACCAGAACCCGGAGACTTTTTTTTTTTGGCCTAACCATAGCCAAAGCAATCATGCCCTGATCACGCAAATATGAACACAGTTTTATCTAAAAACTAAATTATTCAAAAATGCAATAGCTAGATATCTCCTAAATCTGACGTCAGAGATGAAACCAAGATTTTAAAATAACTTCCAATAAACCATGACTCACCCTGTGTTGTTATGATCCAGCATGGTGAGCAGCTGGGTGCCGGGTACCAGCATGAAAGACGGTGTCGCCGTCCGGTAGAGAGGATCGTCCATGGCGCTGCCCATCATGGACATACGGAGCTTGGCCTTCTGGGCGGTGGACAGACCACTGGTGAGAGGGGTGGTGGGAGTGGGTCGCGGACCCTCGTGACGGAAGAGACCCTCCAGGAATTCCTGGAAGCCTACTTTGCCGTCCTGATCCACATCGAGCTTGTTGAAGAGATTGTTTAACTCCTATCACAATACAAGAATATGAAACCAAGATAAAGGAGATTTTAGTTGACTAGAACATGTACGTGGCATTTATTTATATTTATTTCTGTTATTATTATTTTTTGAGTTCGACCTGAAAAACATGAGCTTTTTTCTTAAGATATGAAAATTATTCACTTTAGAATGAATTTATTTATATTTATTTCTAAATAAAGTCACTTTAGAATGAATTTATTTATATTTATTTCTAAATAAAGTGGCTTTCCAAATGCTATTTTATTAGTTCGAGCTGAAAAACATGAGCTTTTTTTTTAAAGATATGAAAATTATTCACTTTAGAATGAAACATTTGAACAAAATAAATCTGCCCACGTTTACTTAAAAATTTATCACTTTACAATGAATTACTTACAGCCCAAAAATTCAGGTGGATTTTTTTGCACATTAGAGGCATGAAATCAACCTCAAATAAAAGCCTTTTAAGGGGTTAGCAAATGGCCAAAACAGACAAAGTAATTCTTTTGTCAAAATAAATCCAAGAAATTGAATATTTTGTCAGGAGAAAAAAAAAAAGGAACCAATTTGTTGAAGATGGGAGAGCAACTGTAATGAACACCAAGAGTTCCCTCAAAATTGCACCTAGCCTGTAGACAAAAGCTCAAATAATCCTCGAGAGAGAATGCAACATAAAATTGTTCAGTTTAGAGGTGGAAGGAAAAGTTTTAAATGATACAGAATATGCTTGAATTCACTATAGACCCTTTCAAATTACCCCAAATCACCTTGATGGACCCATGATAAACCCAGAGATTTCAGGAACCCCTTTCGCACTAGCAAGAATCCATCATGGTTTCTAATAGGGGTAAAATTCACCCCTGGTCTGTACCAGTGTGAACGGTTTGCCTTGTCGACCCGTGTTCAAATGTACACGGTTATGCTCAAGATGTACCCGTGTTGATTCCAACACGGGTAGGCGAGACGATATTGTGAAAAGGCACACAAGTACAAGACAGCAATTCTTTTCTGTCACTATATACTCTCTATGCACTTACCTCATCATCCATGTCCTCCATGCCGATGTGTTGACACACAGTGGCCAGCTCATTGATATCCAGGAACCCGTCCCCACCCACCCCTACCTCATCCCAGATGGCTTGCACCTTGTCTGCTACGGTAGACATCCCAACTCCCTCTATTCGTTACGCCCCTATCCTTTTCTGTCGCTATCTACTCTCTACGCACTCACCTCGTCATCCATGTCCTCCATGCCGATGTGTTGACACACAGTGGCCAGATCATTGATATCCAGGAACCCGTCCCCGCCCACCCCTACCTCGTCCCAGATGGCTTGCACCTTGTCTGCTATGGTAGGCATCCCAACTCCCTCTATTCGTTACGCCCCTATCCTTTTCTGTCGCTATCTACTCTCTACGCACTCACCTCGTCATCCATGTCCTCCATGCCGATGTGTTGACATACAGTGGCCAGATCATTGATATCCAGGAACCCGTCCCCGCCCACCCCTACCTCGTCCCAGATGGCTTGCACCTTGTCTGCTATGGTAGGCATCCCAACTCTTTTCGCTACACCCCTGTCCTTTTCTGTCACTATCTACTCTCTACGCACGTACCTCATCATCCATGTCCTCCATACCGATGTGTTGACACACAGTGGCCAGCTCATTAATATCCAGGAACCCATCCCCGCCCACCCCTACCTCATCCCAGATGGCTTGCACCTGGTCTGCTTCGGTGGGGGCCGATTCCATCAGACTCATCGATGCGTTCATCTGACCTGAGGCCACAGGAAAAAAAATATATCATCATCATTATAGCGGCGAACGTTTCAAAATTTGAATCGATAAATCAAGCCATGAAGCAAATTTAAATTACATATTCCTTGAACTAAGGTATCATGGTACATATGCCCAAACTACATGATTATTATTTTTCTGTATGGACTCCATGCACAAGTACCCCCTCAACGGTTACAAAGGGAGAGTTGGGGGAGACCACTGGAAGGGACATTCGCTGCAGACAACACCTGATGCTCAGTAAAACAAGTTATGTACTCTGTGCCACAGAAAGGGATTTTCACTGTACCTGTTTGTGCATGTCCTAATCCTTACAAACAACATGGCATATAATATGACAAAAGAGCAAATGAATTTGATGGAAAAAATCATTATTTTCCACCTGAACAGGTATCTCATCCTTTTTAGTCCTATTTTAAACCCTTTTAGCATCATAAATGTCAAAATACAAAAGAAATTGCACAAACGAAGGATAATTGCACAGTAGGCTTACAGTAAAATGTTTCACTGTTTGAAGTACTTGACTACTTTTACATAAGTGGCATTTTCTCAGCAACCCAAAGTGCTATTTTTATGATTTTTTCAGTATTTGAAGAAAAAGCTCTCAGCTTTAATCTGATACCAAAAACATACAAATTCACAGATCCCTTTGTTTTTAAAGGCAAATGTTTTTCCAGTCCCCGTCACCTCTGAACTTTATAATTTACCGCTCACGTATCATTAAGAATGACTTCCAACGATTATTTATTTGTTGTGTAAGTAGTTTGCTATTCGTAATCACTCTTGGAGGACGACTGCATTGAGGAGTGCATCTGGAATCATAAAATCATAGATGTCAGATGCAACAGGGACAGGAAAAAAGTGGACCCCAAATTTACAGATTGACCTATACCATACTTGTTTGCTGTTGCAATATCTGATTTTTCTTGGGGGGGGGGGCTGGTTTCTTTCAACTTTTTAAAATCATTTTCATATCTTTAAGTGCCCCGCAATTTTAACAATAAACCAATTTTTCTTGTGTTTCTGGACTAAGTTACATTGAAAAAACACGCAAGTACACTGTAAATATCATGTGATTGTTTTCATATACAAACCTTCAGCTTCAAACGTCTCGTGGACAATCATGGGTATGTCTCGTTTGCTAGATGACGATGGGCTACCGCCAACAATCTTGTGCTCCCGATCAAATACATCTTCATTATGACCATCACCATCAAAGATCTGGAAAAGAAGAGCGCGATGTTAGAATGGGGAGAAATCCTTTCTATCTAGAACTAGATCCCTTGCTCTTTTGGTGTAATTTACGGCACGTCATTTGGACATGCCAAGGCACTCCAGCTGAAGTTTACAAGCATTACATTCACTGTGTGGACTTCAAAACAAAAGATGTCCACCTAAACCAGTTTTCAGATATGTTGTGTGGACTTGCCCACGTCCACACAAGGTTTCACCCTCTCTGGAAAACAGGTTTTGAGGCATTTTGGGGTTAGGTTTATCTGTTGCAAAATGAAGAGAATCACTCAAGGGAATCATCGTAAAAAAAATTTGACCTGAAAGAGGTTTAGGTTTTTCTTAACTACACGAAAACAAAGGAATGTCCACACTAGGTATGTAACGTAACCATGGGTGTATTGAAGGGTACTTCGATTCACTAGCCAAGTGAATTCAGGAGTGCACAAAAATGACATTAGAGGCCTATGGTTGCAGGCCAGTAAATCGGTCCAAAATCACCAACGCCGGCCAAATGACGATTTGCATGCCCTCAAATTGTTCGCTATTTGAGCATATTGTGGGCCATGAACTTGAGGGTTTGTGAGTTTGTAGCAAACAGGACTGTGAGTTTGTAGTTCTGTGCAATTTGGAAGAAATTGGAGCTCTAAAAGCGCTCTATTTTGCAATGGAGTGCAGGCGTCATTTTCAAAATGGCGATGGGCTTCAGGACCATTTTAAGTTGTGATCATCTTCGGATGGAAATTTCTCCTAAAAGTCATCAGTTAACCCCCCCCGAAAATTGAAAAGAAAATGAAAGATGATGAAATTAGCTTTAATTTGATGTGTGTCTCGAATAACTTGGCGAGTTGTGAGTATTTTTCCTGAATTTTTTAAGTGAGGGCATTTATCATTGGGGTCTATGGCAGTTTATTTACTGGTCTACAACCCTATCTGCCGTTTAGCAATGGCACTAATTTGGAGGGATTAGGAGGGCCTAGGAAGCTCACTACACGCTCATAATACTGGTCTGTTTATTGCCAGTGATTATTAAATGAAAATCTTAATACTGCGATAGATATTGAAGAGCAGTGTGACAAAATAGGGAAGTCACTTTTGGAACATATTGAAGTGAATTGGGGATGTTGTTGAACAAGGGTTAGATTTGATTTAATCTTCATCACACCATACCTCGCTTATATCATCAGCAAACGACAGTGACTTGCTGGGCTTCCAGCTCCTCTCCGATCTCTTGGACCGATCACTCCGTCTCTCTTCCCTCCCCCTCGACGTGTCATTACCGCCATAGTGGCTGCTGAAATCTGTGTCAATGTCCGAGTAATCGGCCGTGTAGCTGAGGTCAAAGTCGGGCCGCGACCGGCGGCCGTATTTCTTGTTACCCTTGACATATTTTGGGGAGACTTCGACCTCTTCTGCGATGGACACTGAAAAAACAACAAACTTTACAATAAATATTTTACAAAAATCATCAACAGTAATTGCAAAATTCACATTCAAGTTTGATACTGAGTTTAAACATGAGCTTTAACTCCAGCTGTTTATTGTAACAAAAACTCTGCTATCCTTACCCCGGTATTTCATGGGTTAAGCATGTTAAAAGCTCTTGCACATGTACTGTATGCATACATCCTAAAGTTTCTATGCCTTAAGGGTATAGCACTGAATGTCTATGCTGGCCCTGTGGACAATGATGATCGCAATTCTGTAGCATAGTTTGGAATTCCATGTTTAGCAGAACCATGAAATCTGGCCCAGATGTGCTACAAGTACAGATAATTTAACACAGGCAGGCAACATATACAAACTGACCTGAGTAGCTTGTCATTGGCAGATTAATCTAACTGAGTAATGCGTGATTTATTTGAAACGTTAATTTCTAGGGCACTGGATTCAATATGGATAAACTAGTCATTGGCTTGGCTAGTTAAAAGGAAAAATCCACTGTTAACTAGATGTTTAAGATACTTGACCAGGACGGCAAAATATTTATACATTCATGATTTATTAGTTTACAAGAATATATTCCAGCAACTGAGTTTGAAGCAGGCCAATTTCACGGAGCTGCTAAGCATAATAATTTACTAAGCTTAGAAAATACTTGCTTAACAAAAGCAGGTAAACAGCCAAAATATCATCACATTCATATTGCTAGAACCTGGTTCCCATCTTATTTTGGCTAAGCAGATAAAATTGGCTAAGCGATATTTTCTGCTGAGCAACTACATGAATTTGGGCCCAGAGGTTGCACAGAATAGTTCACCTTCATTGATGCTTCCCACACTGACGTTGTCTTCCCCATCACTCAGGCCTTCGATATTATCCAGATCCACAGCGCTGGAGAGCACCATCACAAAGCCTTCCTTGAAAGTATCAAAATCAACCTACAAACCCAAACCACAAAAAATCATTGTTCTCACCGCTTTTTGTTTTTTTAAACACAACAGACAGGTTTATGATTCAGGAATCAAGGCAGGAATCAAGGCAGCGAAAATTAGAAATTAGCATTTTAGTTTTGGACTACTGGCTTTTGAGATTTGAACAATTCTATTCCTGGGACTGGCCAACATCCAAAGAGTAATTGCTAATTACGAGAATTGTTTTAAATTAAAGAGGCTGTGGAATGCTCGAAGACATTTCCGTCATTTTTTGGGTATATGTAGCCTAAGGTGTGATGAAATAAAAACGACTATTGTTTCTGTCATGAAATGAGTACAAAGGGTACTTTTGAGAGCTATTTTTTCTGCATCGGGAGTCCTGTTTATTACGTCACGATTTACTGTGTTTTGTTTGCTGCCCGCAACGACGACTTTTACACAAATTGCACGTTCGGGTCGAAATAGGCATGACAGGACTTGAAAAACAGCTCTCAAAAGTACCTTTTGTACTCATTTTATGACAGAAACAATAGTCGTTTTTATTTCATCACACCTTAGGCTACATATACCCGAAAAATGACGGAAATGTCTTCGAGCATTCCACAACCTCTTTAAAAAAAACACCTCAATTGCAGAACAATGTACATGTGAATCCCGACACGATGTTTTGGGGATCCAAGATGGCGGATCAGTTGGGTTTTACAAGCACAGCAAGCTGGTATGGGCACGGAAAATGTATACAATGTATACAATGTATACAAGTAGCCAGTCCCATTTAAATAGTATAGAGGTATGTGAATCCTACATACCAGGGTCTTGGTGCTGTCTCCCACCAGGTGTTTGAGGAGTTCTTCTGCCTGGTCCTCCAGCTGTAACTTGGAGCATAGTTCCACCAGCTCCTCCCTGTTCAGCATGCCGATGCCCCCAGCATCACAGCTATCAAAAACCTCCTTCAGCTGCGACACATACATGTCCTGATCCCCCGAGTCGTCCATCTTTGGAGGCTTATATAGTGATATCCAAACTGTAAGGAAGTGACGTTAATACATGTTAACGAGAAAAATATATGTTTGGGCATTTCATAACTTTGTTTATTTGCCGCAATGCAAAGCGCCACCTATTGTCCAATCTGGTCCAATATCATCTGCTTTTAACAGCACCTCATACAGTTAGAGAGTGTTCAGCCCCCTTCCCCCCCCCCCCCCCCCCCCCCCACTTTTTGATTTCGCAAAGGCCAAATGACCGGGGGGAAAAAATCTTGGCTTACACACTGCCTGCGACCTATCTAATTTACAAAGCATTACAAGCCCCACAATACTTGATCACATCCAAGGAAGACAAATATATTCCTCTTTGTGATCGGTAACCATGGTAACTAATTCTACAATCAATCAGAAATGTGAATACACTTTATTGTGTTTGATGTTTTTAAAACAGTGATACGCCTGGATGAAGTTTTCCATGCCCCTTCTACGGGGAGGGGCAGCAGCCTTTGTATGGGGTTTGCAGAATGTTTACACAACGCATGAAAGTTTTGTTATTAATGTTTACCAAATAAAACGTGGATTTCCATTCTAACCTATCTACAAGATTGTCAGATCTTCAACTTGGCAGGGACTCTTGATCTGGCTAGACTTGTTCAGCGTCTTTTCTATGGTACACAGCATCGTAGGGCCTAGCTTGCTCCATGCCTCATCCCGATGTTTGGCTGAATGCATGACTGACCCCTTCTGACATCTTGGCCTGCTCTGGAAAATAAGCATGCAGTTAAAATTAACACAATTGCGCAGAACTGACCCAAATTTCTACCAGAACAAAAGTAGGGAATAATAAATGTGATGCAAATTGATAAAACCCTTCATGTGGAGGAAAATTTGCATACCACACACAAGCAGTGATGAGCATTTTTGTTTTTGACTTTTTTTTCAAAAACCAAACTAGAATGTTGTCAATATATCATTTTCATAATCAAGATCTTAACTTTCAACATGTGAAGGGTTTTCACAAATAACATCACATGTGAGCTACATGTAGAAAAACTCCACTAAGGATATAAAAATTTAACCTTTTCTTTTTAACTTCACTCCAATTCCGTCGAGATTCTATTAACCAGTTCGCGCCGGGATTATTTTGACATCGACCGGACCCACGCGCGGGATTGTTTTTCACAAACCTCGATGCCAGATGGGTTCAGGCCGTCATCTGTGGGTAGCACACCCTGATATTTCCGGCTTTGCTCGCTGCGAGCTGGTCGCTGACAGATATTTCTAGCCTCGCTCACTGCGTGTATATCAGTCATCCGTTCTGAATACCGCAAATACGTCATCCGACATGAACTGGTTAAGAATTGACTCTGAGTTTCCTTCAGTGGAAAAAAACTAGCTCGGTTGCTCACAGTCATCAAAATCTATTACACTTCTGTTGCGAATCAAAGAGTGAAGAAGCATGGTTTAGAAGTCCCAAGCACATTTCTTACAATCCAGAAATGCCCCAGTCACAAATTTATGGTTTGGAGCTACGGATATCCACGTTTTAAAATTCATGATAAAACTGTGAGAGTGCTGTATGCATCCTTAGTACCTCCGTGGTTATCCGTCATCTTCCTTGGGTATTCGTGGAGGGGCTACGGAAGTTTTAAACTGTTCCAAACTTCCGTGGTGAATCATCATGAAAATTAATCCATACTGCAACCTTGGGACATCCGTAGGACAACTGTACCAACTTGTAGTGTTATTCGTGGCTATTCGTACACATTTTTGGAGATTCGTAGCTCATTCGTGGTAGAAATCCCTAGGAATTCTCTACGAATGTCCTGCGGATATGCCCAGATATGCTAGGATTCTGCTAAAGTTGTACTACGAATATGTATGCTTTATTCGTAGGAGAACCTTGGTCATCCATGGCCCAATCGCAGACAACCGTGGAATTAATGTCATTATTCTTAGTAACACCGTCAATTTTCTTCAACAATTCGTCCATATTCTTGACAAACCACATGGTGTATTTATAGAGAAACGTGTATTTATTAGGACAGTCGTGGCTATCCGTCCTGAAACTGTAGTGCATTCTTAGAATGGCGATTTCTCAAAGAATCTCGACGGTTCATCGTGATTGATTGATTCTTGGTAAACCGTGGATATTCGTAGCTCCAACCATGAATGTGTGACTGGGGCTTTACTGGCTGTTTGCCAACATTCATCTAAAAAGTTCCAAAATGTTTGGATGCAAGGAGGGGTGGGGGTGCACAAAAGAACACTGACCAACCATGGCTGGCTTAAGGGTCTCCACTTGGATGAATAATTAAAGAGGAATTAATGGCTGGCTGTTAAAGCCAACAAGATTAAAGGATTATCCACAGGTCTTATCACTAGAAATGTATTGATCCCAGTTTGAAAGGTTTGAAGAGCACATGGATTAGTGAACAAAGTGTCACAAGTACTGATGTGACAATCAAATATATCGACTGGATGTTGGGAAAACTTTAAACTATTTTGGAACGCACTCTTACATCAACATAAATATTTGTATTTTTAACTTGACCCAATGAAATTTGTATAACGCATCACAATTATTTGGTACTTGAAGGAGGTTTTCTGTGCAGAAAACAATGTGTACTGCAAGAAAATTGTCAATTTTATTCTCAGATTTAGAAGATTTCTGCTCTAATGATAAAAACACTGTAAGGACTAAAACTAAAGCGAGGCCCATAACTTCACAATCACCAATATACAATGAGTTGAAAGCAAAAAGTAAAAAAAAGGAATTTACTGTGTTAACAAACTGAAAATTAAAATGAATTTTTAACTAAACAGTGATTATCAAATAGGATGTATGACAACTTCATCGACGGATTAAGCAATTGTGCCAACTTCAGTAATCCTTGGTGTATAGTACGCATGAGGCACACTATTCACCAAGGATTGCTAAAGTCAAGCGACAGCCGCCGTGACTGACAGCAAACGTGGGGTCGTGCTATTAACCAGCGTCAACAAGTTGTAAAAGTACTTTTAAGATGACTAAAAGCCAGACAGGGCTCTGGAGTGCTCTGAAACGTGCAATACTAAATCAGGCCCACTTTACTCACAGTTTAGCCAGCAAATTTCTCCAAAAATTCCACTGGGGCAAAGAAAATGTCCTCAGTATTTCACCAACCAAGTTTGCAGACTCAATTCAATTTTTAAAGGCGACTTTTCTTTCAAGTGATTTCAAAATGAGGCTAAAGACTAGACTGGTACATGTCCAACCATGGTCCAACTATTTGAAAAGACTGACCTCTTCATTCAGTGTCAATAGTCTGGTGGCTTGACTATGGAGAAATGTGTAGTAAATTGAGACTAGTTCCCGCTTTATGCCACATGTTTCTTAAATTCTTTTGGCATGGTTGATTGATGCAGTACTGAAGCTGTGTTGGACTGGTTGTTTTAGGTGCCAGTCTATTTTCTTGTTTTGCATGTTTTCAATACCTTAAGTTTTGGGACTCTCACACACAGTATTGAGAGTCCGAAATTTTCGGACTAACTTAAAGCTAACAGTTTGCGATTACCAGAGACACCACGCGCACGCCAGACGTACACGTAGCTGTGTTATGATGCACTGTAAGTGGTCCATGAGCACGACCCCACGTTTGCTGTCAGGCACTGTAAGTGGTCCATGCGTTCTCTTTCGATTTCTTGTGGACCGCTCACAATGCGTCATGAAACAGCGGCCGTGCTGCCAGCCTGATTCCCAAAACCTATGTGATATGAACAGTCGTGCATGCGCATGCATGGTGCCGCTGGTAATCGCGAGGCACATATCATTACACGAAACAGTCGTTGACTCAGTGCGACTTGTTTTTCTGAAATAGTGACGTCACACACGCGCTCGACGGATCAGCCAAGAAATGGATGGCACAACTTGGCAGATAGTGAGCGGTAGGTTTATCAGAATATTTTGTTCTTTTTTTCAAATTAACGCTTGTTGGGAACAATTTAAGAGGCTATTAATATGGAATGTCATTAATGTGTGGATCTATCGGGGATAACTTCCTTTCTCATTTGTATTCTCTTTACCAGTTTTTTGGGGCCTGTTGTATTCTTGTTCTTCTTCCTTCTAAGTGCTGCCTTCATATGGTTTAAGATAAACGCACTGCGTTCGGAGCATGCATTGTATGCAAAAAAATGCACACCGTGTGTCAGTAATATAAATGTGTAGTCAAAGTACGGAGGGTACCGTAGTTTCAGCGTTCCACTCAGTACTAGTAGCCCCACTAGTGTGGCCGTCGGTATGCTGCGCTGAACCTTTGGCCACACACCGTGGTACCGCGCGCTACTGAGGACGAAGTTTTCATAAAAATTCAGGGCAGTTTCTTACATTCTCAGTTTCTTACTTTCTTATGGTTGTATTCTATGATGTCTCACCTGTCACTTCTGGGATGCTTAGGTCTAATGATGTTCCATTTTCCGAGATATTCTTCAATCTTTCTGGAGTCCATATGCACTCGTGAAACGTCTGGTGATGGCAGCCATTTTGAATGGGACAAGAGATGACCTCAAGCTGTGACGTCGCGTGTATGCAAATTGCTTGTCGAGCGCGCGAGGGCGCGAGTTGCAAATGCGACGGCTGTTTCCTGTACCATGCATTTATCGTCAGGGGGCCACGTGCACCGATCTCTATTCAGGATCTACGGCACAGAAAACAGCCGTCGCATTTGCGACTCGCGCCCTCGCGCGCTCGACAAGCAATTTGCATAAACGCGACGTCACAGCTTGAGGTCATCTCTTGTCACATTCAAAATGGCTGCCACCACCAGACGTTTCACGAGTGCATATGGGCTCCAGAAAGATTGAAGAATATCTCGGAAAATGGAACATCATTAGACCTAAGCATCCCAGAAGTGACAGGTGAGACATCTAGTCCGAGTAACTTGGACCCAACTTATCGCCTTTTTAAAAATTTGGACATGGTCTATCGCCAGACCATGTCCAAATTTTTAAAAAGGCGATAAGTTGGGTCCAAGTTACTCGGACTATGAGACATCTAGTCCGAGTAACTTGGACCCAACTTATCGCCTTTTTAAAAATTTGGACATGGTCTGGCGATAGAAGGGTCCAAGCCCATTCCTCGACCTAGACAACACAGTCACTGACAGTCCCAAAAACCAACATTTTCCTACAAAAAACATCAGATTTCACCTTCAAAACGGCCTCCAAATTACTAGATATGTCACCTGAGGTACAAGTAGACATAGATGATTAAGATGGTTGTACTTAAGTTTACTTACGATCCGGAAAAAAAGTGAAATTTTCCGTTCAATTCTGGAGACCCCCTCTGCCTAGGTTGTCGTTGTTGTGCTCACGTTCAAAACTGCATGATAATGGCGTCTGACCTCGACCTCATGCAAATGTGGTGCGGCGCGCTTGCGCATAATGCACTGCATGCATACACGGCAGATTCCCCTGCGCCGCGCCGACGACTGTTTCCTGATGTAGAGCGCTGTGTAAGTTCGCGGCTAGCCAGCGCGACTCCCAGGCGTACCGCGAACTTACACAGCGCTCTACATCAGGAAACAGTCGTCGGCGCGGCGCAGGGGAATCTGCCGTGTATGCATGCAGTGCATTATGCGCAAGCGCGCCGCACCACATTTGCATGAGGTCGAGGTCAGACGCCATTATCATGCAGTTTTGAACGTGAGCACAACAACGACAACCTAGGCAGAGGGGGTCTCCAGAATTGAACGGAAAATTTCACTTTTTTTCCGGATCGTAAGTAAACTTAAGTACAACCATCTTAATCATCTATGTCTACTTGTACCTCAGGTGACATATCTAGTAATTTGGAGGCCGTTTTGAAGGTGAAATCTGATGTTTTTTGTAGGAAAATGTTGGTTTTTGGGACTGTCAGTGACTGTGTTGTCTAGGTCGAGGAATGGGCTTGGACCCTACTATCGCCAGACCATGTCCAAATTTTTAAAAAGGCGATAAGTTGGGTCCAAGTTACTCGGACTATGAGACATCATAGAATACAACCATAAGAAAGTAAGAAACTGAGAATGTAAGAAACTGCCCTGAATTTTTATGAAAACTTCGTCCTCAGTAGCGCGCGGTACCACGGTGTGTGGCCAAAGGTTCAGCGCAGCATACCGACGGCCACACTAGTGGGGCTACAGTACTAGAGGCCTAGTAATTACTAGTGTATCCCTGTTCAGGCTGTTGCCAGTGACAGTGTTGGTAGACATTGTCATTGGGGAAAGAATTTAAGCAATAAATGTGTTTAATTGAAGCAATACAAACCTCTAAACTCGTGTCCTCAAGACGTACAATTCACGTTCCAAAGTCCAAGAAAATCAAAAAGAAAATCGATGCCCTGACAAATAAGTTGTCCGTTGTTTACTAACGACTTTTTTACGGATAAAAATGTCCAATGTGTGACTCATTGTGTAGGTTCGCTCCGCCCATCGGCGTCGGTCGTTGCTGTACACTACGAATGGTGATCGCTGGTAGTCAAAATACATACGTTTATGCATAGCACGGTTACCAGCTTAATTTTTGCGAGTGGATCGTGTGTCACGTGACCCCTGCACCTGTTAACCATTTAATTTGCCAATGCAACCGACAGAGGGCGGTATATTAGTTTAATGGCGTTCGCCCGAAAAAATGTACGGACGGCCAAAAATATTAGACTTTGTGTAATAGTAAATACATGTACATTTGTATGTAATAAATTATGAATTCCATATTCATTTGTGAAGCTTATGTAAAATTTGCCCCTCCCAAATAGGCACATTTTCAACGGGCCCTGCACTAGTGTATTATAAATGTAAAAGACTCATTGTCATAATTGATTGTTTTTGTTCTTTTTCTGACGGCTTTCCATACTTGCCGAAGAAAAGGGGAAAATAAACGAAAGAGGGGAGCCTGAGGCAAAGAATTTGAGTTCGTTCAGTAACAGTACCTTAAAAGGCGACTAAAACACGGTTATGTAGAATCCACACAATTTTGTTAGCCCAGGTTCTACCCCATCTTCATTGTGCAATGACCTAACAATTTTATTTGCGTCATGCTGGCGATGGCCCGACCTCCGCGCGTAGTCCCGGCCCCAGCGCCCCGGCCCCACTTCCAGGGCCAGCCAATCAGGCAAAATTTAAACTGAGGTACCACCCCTTCCCGGAAATTTCTCGCTTCTGCTGGTCCAGCTAATTATTCATACAGTGTGAGCTACTTGCACACACAGAAATCAGATAGAATCACATAAGAACGTGTGCAATCCATTTTCAGGACTGCTTTAATGATCTAGAATGAGTTTTTTTGTTTGAGAATTTTGGAATTTGGGTTAAGTTTTAAAAAGCACTTCAAAAGTACCTTTTTTTGTAAAAAAAGAAAAAAAGATACACCACAATTTGGTTTTGCACTTCTCTCTGGTATGATTAAAGAAACATACTGAATCAGAGGTATAACAGGCCTACAATTGTGTTGTTATGACAAGTGAGTCGGTGTCATACACGATTTTTGCTTATTATATCGTTCATGGAATATTACTGATCCGATAAAACGGCTTTTGCAATTGATAACCGCAACAATCACGGGAATATTAGGCCTATAACCTTTGATCGTACAAATATCGCAATTGTAAATTAAGCCGGTTGACTTTGGAACAGACGGCGTACTTTTCCACGATTCTTATCAGCAGTCGTCACGTGAAATATACGTAATGTGTATTTTTTTTCTTCCACTTTAGAATATAAAACGAAGAGCCAACCACGGTCTAACCATTCTGACCAATTCACTGCTCAGTTTTGTCAACTTTGATCATTGTAGTTCCGAGCACGACCCAGTCATTACCAGCGACTGTTGAAAGTCAATTAAATAAAAACCCAGAGTAAAAGTCTGACACTATCGATAATTTTAAGTTTTGGAGAGATTTTTTTCCCCGCTGAGCTGTAGAATAGAATCATCATGGCGTCCTTTCCGATAGAACCGCTGTCACGCGAGTTAGAATGCGGCATTTGCTTGGAGATTCTGCGAGATCCTCGTATACTGGACTGCTCACACACATTCTGTGGGCCGTGCATCCCAGGAGTGGTAGAGTCCAGCAGGAAGGTAGGCAAACTTTTTGTCTGTCTATAATTTCACTTTTGCCTGACTAACTGACTGAGTAACTGACTATTAAAGGGAATAAACAACATTTGCAAACATCGAAAAATAAAACTACCAAGTTTTTACAAAATACCTTACTAGGATGTTGGTAAATGACAGTCTCAAGCATCCTGTCAAATTATGGCACCTGGTGTCAAGTCATTATCAAGAAAATGGTATTTTTGTATACATTTCCAACGGTGGTCGGCCGACCACCGTTGGAAAAACCTAACTATTTTTCAACTACTGCTCCAAATTTACAATTTTTTCAGTCCACATTTTGTTTGCTATTGGTTACATGTTCATGAACGGCTGTAGGCCAGCTAGACTGGTTCCCTTACCGTACAATTTTCAGACATCTATAAATTGATCCATTTTATCTTTAGTGGAGTCAGGGAACCAGACTACTTAAACGTTTTTGTTTTTCTTGGTTTTTCAAGCATTTTCGAACACGAAACTTCAAACATGTCAGTTAAACAATATTTGATCTATTATACTAACCCCTCAAATAGTTCGTTTCTGAAAATTAAAACAAAAGCCAATGATGTACATTCCCTTTAACTGAATCGATGAGCAATAATGTCTTAAATTGAGGGTTTTTGGGGGTTCCTCTCCACAGCTCGAGAAGGCACACTGGCGAACTCAGAATCCAATTTTTGGGAGGGGGTGCAAGTGGCTGGCCGGCCGTTGCAAAGTCGAAAAGCCGGGGGAGGGGGTTAATTAAAAAAGAATTATGAAACTAGTTCGGGGCGGAAACTATTACAGTGTATTCCTTTAAATGATCCATGATATGATTTTTTTTTCTTCTGAGGAACACATTTTGTACAACTTTCTACTCCTATTTAAGATTCCTTTTTGATTAAGTTGATTGAAAAGTGCACTTCTTTAAATATTACAAAATGTCAATACTTTCAATTCCGGATAGCTGAGGGTGTTGTTGCTGTGACGTTATTTCAGGAAGACACTGTTCAGTTTAGGGATTTTGTGTTCACATTTGTGAACCCAAATATTTGTTCACATTTTGTGAAAAAAAGTTTGCTCATTGGTTTACTACCATGTACTAACACAACAAAGAATCACCAGTGAAAAGAAAAATGTACAACAGCAAAATATCACAAATCTGGCAACTTTTAGTGCTAGAATAGCTGTAACATTGAGGGTTCTGCCTGAAATGACATCACACTTTTGCTCATGAAAGTGGAAATTCATATTAGCCAAAAAAAAAAATTAAAAGGCACCAAAATACCCTGGAAAATGGCAAAACGAAAATTGAAAGTAAGGTTAATGGCACACAAAGGTCCATTTTCAAAGATCGATTGCATTAAAAAAATAACATTACATGGACCCTTCAATCTAACATTTCCGACACCTGCAAGACAACGTCATTTTCTTCGACCATGGTCGGGTTATTGCTATGTATATTCAAGAAACTTTAGGTGTTTTTTGTGCATATATGCAAACATTAGTGACAGCAAATTAGCAGTCGATATCAAAATCGGCGTCTACCTATGTAAGTTCGCAAATTGGATTTTTTTTTCAGAATCTCAAGAGACTGGTTGAATCAAATCGGACAATAACTTTTAATTTCATGTTTGTGCTGTCATATAATTCCCCCGAGGTTAACATCGCTTAACAAAGTTAACATATTTTAAATCTTCCCATACGGGCTAATAAACCGTATTTTTTGTGTGTTTGTCTTGCAACAGAGCATAAAATGCCCCTTGTGCCAGCAACACACGGTCATGCCATCTGGAGGAGTCGGCGCCCTCAAGCCCAACCTCCTCGCACGAAGCATGGCTGAGGCAATGACCACCATGAATCTGGGGAGTATCGAGGTTGGCCAAGAGGCCACGGAGCCCCAACCCTTACCCCAGAGCAGACCCACCGCCGGTCCCTCTCCTTCCCTTCCCACGTGCCTCGCACACCCAGGCCAGAGACTTGAGTTCTACTGCGTGGAGTGCAAGCTGCCGCTGTGTCGACAATGCACAGTCGACACTCACCTTCCTCCGCAGCACACTGTATCCGACATCGACAACGTCGCCGGAGGGCCAAGAGCTCAACTCAAAGATCTGGTGGACCTGTTTGAGACGGAGCAGGCAAAGTATGACCAAACCTTGCAGATCGTAAAGGACAGGGAGGTGGATTTCACTGCTGCGGCGCAGAGGGCGAGAAAGGACATCAGCGAAGCTACCGAGATGATCATCGCTGACGTGCGGACAAAGCAGCAGCAGCTCTTGGATCAAGTCGACTTCATCACTGGCACCAGGAGGGGTGTGATCGGCAGGTACGTGGTAGAGATACAGGGAGTCTTGGACGGGTCGAAGGACGTCATTCCTATAGAGAAGAACAATTTCGAGGGTAAAGACGACTCGACCATCATGGCGTTACACCGGAGAATCAAGAACGGCCTAGAGAAAATGAAACACCAACCGCCACCGAGCCCTGAAGTGATTGATGGTCTGGGTTTTTTAAAGTTCAGCGCAGAGAGGACGCCAGCATTCAACCTGCACCTCGGGGATCTGCTGGAAGACGAGGAGTGGTCTCTGGACTTGAAGTTCGGCTCGTTTGGCTCCGATATCGGCAAGTTCAATTGCGCGCGCGGTGTTGCAATCAGCCCCGCTGGAGACATTGCAATCGCAGAACAGAGGAACAACCGCACCTGCATCTTCGATACGAACGGCAAACACAAGGTGACCATGAGCGGCAAGTCCAGTGGAAACCCCAAACGAGGGGACCGGGATGTGGCGTTCTTCCCAGACGGCAGATGCATGATACTCAGCAAAACCAGCAACATCGACATGTACGGCGGGAACGGCAGTCACCTCAACTGCATACTGACACCGTCTGCGAGCCCCTGGTCCTTTGCAGTCGACGCAGGAGGAACCATCTACCTGGGCGACGCATTGCAGAAAACAATATACATCATTGTCGATGGTCAGGTTATCAGGAAGTTAAAGCCAACTCAACAGCCGATTCATCTCGATGTGGATAACAAAGGTCGCATGTTGGTGTCGAATCATGTTTCCAAGCGAGTAGACATCATGAGCACGACAACCGGTGACGTCCTGTTCTCCATTCCTTCGAAGAGCATCGATCCGTCCAATCAGGTTTCGCCCTGGGGAGCCTGCTTCGGACCCAGCGGTTCCATCTTCGTTCCGTTCTACATCAACGACCCCAAGCTACAATTGAGTCAGCCTGGTTCGGTGCATGAGTTCGGTGCGGACGGAAGACACGTCGGCTGCGTGGCTAGGGATTTGAGTATCCCGAGGTCGGTTAGATTCACGCTAGATGGGAGGCTTATTGTCTGTGAGGGAACTCGTATTAAACTGTTTCGCAAGGTATAAATGGGGGTCTTCATGAAAGAAAGTCAGCTTCAGACTTGAGTCTGTATTATGTGCTTGGATTATCATGCTATGCAGCATCAGAATTGTAAAAAATATGCTGCAATTTTGCAAAGTAAAACTATCAATTAGCTTATACTAGACGACACATCTCCACAAAAAAAATGTTAATGAAAAAAAAAGTAATTTCAAGCTTTAAAACAATAGACGTTGAAACTATTCATCCAGCTTAAGAATGTTGCCAGTGATTGATTTACGATTAATAATACTTTGCATTTTCTTTTAAAAAGAGAAAAAAGGAAAAGACAGCAAATGTTGCTATGCTCAGGATAATTACGGTTTATTGTGTAGTGCTCTCCTCATTCTGGTGAATGGAATTCAGAAATTGTATTTACTGCAGTGCACAAAATAATTTGTTCTCCAATTTTGATTGAAGAAATCTGCAGACATAGATTTCTTTACACTACACGCGTTTGATTTGACCACGATTAAGTAAAATAATAAAATTAATTATTATAAACCAACGAGTATCATGTCCACGAAAAGTGAAATGACCTTTTTTTTTGGCAAAGAGCAATCCTCGTAATGTAACAACTCGAAGAATATTAATTCCTTCATGGGTTTAAAGTATATGACATGATAGGTCGCTGAAGAAATTGTCGTTTATGCATGTGTGAAGCACTGTTCGGTAAAGTGAACAGAATAGATTAAGGAATGGAGTCTGAAGTCTCGAGCCAATTTCTAGGAGCTCCTAAGCGAAATCAAAACAACTGGTAAGCATGGAAATATTTGCTTAACAGTATCAGGTAAACAGTAAAAAACACCCTAGGATTTATACTACTTGTGCCTATATAATAATATTAATAATAATTTTGTATTTATAAAGCGCATGTATCCACCAGTATTGGTGCTCAAGGCGCTACATCATGATTACCCTGCTCATTGGGCCAATGAAACATCCCAAAGACAATCTCAGCTCCCTGGGTAGTGTACAGATAGCTCGATGCTGTCATTTCGGCGTAAAGCAGCTTCAATCAACCACGATAACCATCTCTGCCCTCACAGGTACCCATTTACTATTGGGTGGAGAGAATCAATGAGTGACAAAGTGCCTTGCCCAAGGACACACGCACCATACGCTGGACTCGAACCCACGACCTGCAGAATTACCCGCAGACCCACGAATTCAATGCGCCAGACCACGAGGCCTCGGCACTCCACAAAAAATGCCTAGGTCTCAACTTACTCATATTAGCTTAGCACATACATTTTTAAGCAATATTTTCTGTTAAGCATCTCCATCGTCATTGATAATACGCTTGTCAAACCTATTGCCTTGTCTGTCAAGCCTGCTGATTAAATTTACATACATGTATGTTCTTTTTACTAAATAATTACTATGACGTGTGGGCCTTAAAACGCACATATTAAAAATATATATATATATATATTCCTAACGCCATATAAAGCATGTCCATGATTGGCTGTACATCTTTCTCCCTTACAAAGGACGGATAGTACCGTTTTCATAAATCTCTATTTCAAGTCTTTGGTTGTTACGTGCACGGTCCGGCGTGCATCTGTAATACACCGCCCATATGCAAACGGTACAGAACGTCAAATTCCCAGTTGAAGTTGTGGACGCCTTTGGAGATATTGAGTCTGTCGTAGTAATGGTAGGATACTGCACGGTGATTGGGGCCTTTTGCAAACGGCCAAAAGCCGTAGAGATCGGTGGAATTGCAAACAGACAGTGCCACGGACGCAAGGTAAAAACCTGCAGGTGGGGAAAACATGAGGAACAATCGGTCAATGATTAAAACAAAATCGATTGTGAAACTGATTCGATCCTTAGAGAGGAACATGTATCTATCTCAGGCTTAGCCTGACCATGGAGGAATAAGAACACGCCGAGGTTTGGCAGTTTTATCGTAAATACGAAAAGCATAACGTGCTCGGTTATCTAGTTGGATTTCTTAGGGCATTTGCAGGATGATTAAGTTGATAATGACGCAGACAGGACTTGAATATCAGTCACCACGTGGCGTCCACAAAAAACCAACCTAGAAAAGATCGAACACCGTAAAACAGTGATTAGCAACCCTCAAAACTGAATGGACCCACTGTTGACAAGTTGTTTCCCAAAATGATCGTTGAAATGAATAGATAATGCATTTGCTACACAAGGGGTCGAAAAAGCATTCGTCTTAACCGAATTCTTAGTTTTACCAAAGCTCGTACTAAGCATGTTTTTGTTCTTAATAGGAATGTGCACACTTCGGTCGCGATTGGCGAAATATGTTCGTCATAACCGGAGTCTCGTCCTAGCCGAGCTCGCAATAAAGAGAGTCGAGTGATTATTGTTTTGTATGTATTGATTATCAGGTTCACTACATTAACATTATACCACATTAGGCTATACCATTTGCTTTTCGAACACTGCGGCACTTGGTTGGAATATAACGCTCTTTAACATTCTGGGTAAAAAATCCATTCAGCAAGTTCATGTGCTTCAGAAGCGCGTGATTCCATGATAACCACCTCTGCTAAGCGGATTTTTTTTCGCTTAGCAAACTCCTGTGCTAACTAAACAACTACATGGAATTGTGTAACTGGTGTATACAAGCATTGGTATGATAAACTACTCCATGCAGAGCGGCAAATTTTCAGAGGGGCTTATACTTTAAATTAGCTAACGATGAATAGTTGTACACAAATGTCATGTCGTGTGTACTCCAGCGCCAAAAAAGTACTGCCCTCTAAGGTTGCAGACCAGTAAATAAACTTCCATAGACCCCAATGGTAAATGCTCCCACTTCAGAAATTCGGGAAAAATACTCACAACTCTCCAAGGTGTTCGAGACACACATCAAATTAAAGCTTATTTCATCATCTTTCATTTTCTTTTCAATTTTCGGGGGGTCAACTGATGACTTATAGGAGAAATTTCCATCCGAAGATGATCACCCCTGAAAATAGTCCTGCAGAGCCCATCGCCATTTTGAAAAACGATGCCTACGCTCCATTGCAAAACAGAGCGCTTTAAGGGCCCCAATTTCATCCAAATTGAACGGAACTACAAGCTCACAGTCCTGTGCACGGCTTCCACCCATATTTTTTTTACAAACGCTCAAGTTCATGGCCCACAGCATGCTCAAATATTGAAGATTTTGAGGGCATGCAAATCGTGATTTCGCCGGCGTAGGCAATTTCCGACCGATTTACTGGTCTGCAGCCCTATAAGAGGGCCGTTATACTGCCCTCTAGGATGACCACTATGTGCCTGAGGGTCCACAAGGTCCTGGATATGGTAAGGTAGTTCTTACCTGTTGTCATTCGACTTCGAAGGCCCATCTCACTCCACATGTCCTGAAGCCCTCTGAAGTGATCCGGATTGATGATGAGTCCCCGCGTCGTGGAGCCTTTCTGGTGGAGCAGCCGCAGGGCCAGCATGCTCGTCGTGTAGGCGTTGATGTTAACGCCATAGACCGGTATAAGGAGATCACCGTATGCCTTCATATCCGTCAGAAATCGGTTCCTGTGCCCTATATCAGGCAGCCGTTTGTATCTATTTAACAATCATAATGAGTTTATTGAAATCAAAGTTTGCCGACAGGAAAGCTTGTCATGCTTCAAAAGACGATTGGAGTTTAACAAATTGAAATTTAAGGGGTCCGTGTGATTTTTTTTTTATTTGAAAACATTTTGTACAAGTTTGTACTCCTCTTAAATGTGAAAACTATTTAACATCCGTTTTTGATAAATTTGATTGAAAAGTGCACTTTTTCAAACATTTAACAAATGTCCATACTTTTCTGGACAACTGAGGGCACTGTTGCTTTGATGTTATTTAAGGACGACACTGTACAGTTCGGGGATTTCTGTTCAAATTGTGAACCCAATATTTGCTAAATGGGAACATTGGTGATAAAGGTTTATAGTAAAGGTAAACGGGACGCGTAATTTTTTTTTCCTAGGAGGGTTAGGGGCAATGTCATGAATAATTCAGTTTTTCCTTTGAATCATTGCAAGACTTAGGTTCTCGTTCTATTTTCCCCTTAATTTAAAATTATCTCAGTGATAAACTTGGAGAAGAAAAATAGCTGATGAAAATGAGCAGCGACGACGTGGATTCGAACCAGGGATCTTTGTATCCACAGCTCATCTCGCTATCCACTAAGCTACTGTGTGGTAGCTCGACGACAACCGTTCTTTAAAATGCTTTAATGTATTGTAACTAGTTGAGTAACTAACAACAATGCTGTTGATGTCATTGTCCGTTCTCATGTATACACATGAATTATTCATGACATTGCCCCTAACCCTCCTAGGAATAAAAATTACGCAAACGGGACGAACCTGTATTCACAGGAATGGAGTGCCCATCTCTCTTTCATTAGCGATTGGGCCAGACTCGTATGCTGCTGTGGAGGGATCGCCACACCTCCTCCACAGCGAGTCTGTTACCCTCCCGGCATTGAACAATGCCGGTACCCATTTAACACCTGGGTTGAGAGGAGTAATTGAGGTAAAGTGCCTTACTCAAGGGCACAACACGCATGGCCACGGTGGGGCTCGAACCCACAACCTCTCGATCACGAATCCTGTGCTCCACCGCTAGACCACACGTGCCCCAAAGGTTTACTCGTTGGTTTACTGCTTGTACTGACACAACAACAAATCACCAAAGAAAAGAAAATTTACGACAGCAAAATATCCAAAATTCCAGCAACTTTTGGTGCTGAAATAGCCTAACTGTAACATTGAGGTTAATTTCTGCCCGGAGTGACATCACCGTGAGTTTTGCTCAAGAATATGGAAACTCGTATAAGAATAAAAATAAAAAGGCACACAAATACCCTTCAAAATGGCCAAACGAATATAAGATTAATGGGACACAAACGTGCATTAAAACAATCATTGTATAAACCCTTTAAATAAGGTAGCCTGCACTGCCCAAACTGAGATGATGACTAAACATGCCTGTGGTATATCAGACGAGTGGTTATAATCATACACACAAAGTGTTATTTAAACACCACAGTTTTGTAAAGTGTAACAGTCTTGGTTAAACATAGCTCGGGTAATACCTCAATATGTCCAACAAAATAAGTTAAGCCAATCCCTGTTAAATATAAAATTCTCCCCAAAAAACCCCAAAACAGAAGCTCTCTTATTGCAAAATCGTATTGCGCACATTAAGTCTTTCAGTGACACGTAGGCCTACTGCGTCTTCAAAATTTGCTATAAACTATGGCCTTCTTCAGTTGAACTTTTCAAATATCCAAAATGGTCAAGTGTACACGAGCGAGACCTAACAAAAATCATGCATACTTGGCGGCGATGACCCCGCCTGGATTTATGGAAGTCATGTTGGACTTTCTCCCTGTGTGCTGTTGATATCCCTTCAGCGGAGCTGCGTTGCATCTAAGGGTAAAAACGTAGGGAAATGGTTCACAGTTTGCAAATATCAGATTGACTCAAACATAAAAAAACTGCCCGAATCGTCAATCAAAATGCACAACTTGAGTTATACCTTACATTATGTGTTGTATATATGCAGTCCGTCATCCAATTACGTAAAATTTGTCTTTTTGCACACCAACAGATTTCCACCCAGTGGTGTATCCAAGTTTTGGTCGAGGGCCAACATTTGGGATTTTCCTGAAAAGGTATCCGTCACATTATTGTTCTCTCAAATTGTTAAAAGCAGGAGGGGTGTATTCACTGACTGGGGGGGGGGGGGGGGGGGGGGGTTGCACTGCTATGATTTATGTCTTTCTGTCTCAAGAGATGCCGGATGTCATAGTGTTAGCTTGGTCCCCCCCCCCCCTCCAGCTAGATACGCCTCTGCAATATCCTCAATAATTATGCATGAATGATCAGGATTTCAGTCCACTTCATAGATCTCAGGCAATGGTTCCCCACAATTAGCAATTTTACCTGAATACGAAGTCGGAACCGTCGATCGCCTTTCCACAGTAACTATGCTTAAGAATACCACCGTTCCCGACAACACTACATCGTTTCATTTTCAAAGTTGAGAATGGGGATTGCTGAAGGAAAAAGAAGAAAATAATCACGGGTCGAAATTCTTATAAGATGAGCATCTTTGGCCCAATATTCTAACCAATAAGCATCAGCTAAGCACTTGAGCCTGAGAGAGATTCTACGTTGTCCGTTGTGATACCATGTCCTGGATTTTCCGAAGGGCTAATTGGAGTGAAAGACATGAAGCCTGACCCAATGAATCAAGAATTGCGATATTGAATGACGACACTGTTCACGAAACAACGTACAGCATGTCCCATAATGCCCACAACTTTTTTTGGGGAGGCTCTAACGTCGGCGCGGAAACACGTACTGCCAATATTTTTATTCCATTTTAAAGCTTGGAAGCTGAACTTTATCTCTGGTGAGTATTGGTTTGATATATAAAAGAGTTTTAATACTATTCGTGTTCAATAAAGGCATGTCGAAGACAAACTCAACCGATTTCAAGGCAAATCGATGATGCGGTACATCAGATGCAAACTGGAGTCACACTTTGAGCGCTTTTTTAATAGGTACATACTTGCACGTGAATTTCAAAACTGAACTTGAAACGAAGAACAAGATTGTGAATTCATTTAAGGTGTAGTCTACGTGGATCGAAAAGAATAGAAAACACAGCAAGTAAAAGGCAACGAGATCGTCACATCATGAACATGATGAACCATTTCCACATTAGAAAACATGTGCATATTTGATTTTCCTTGAAATCGGTTGAGTTTGTTTTTGACATGCCTTTATTTGAACACGAATTGTTTCAAAACCCTTTTGAAACTCAAACCAATACTCACCAGGGATAAAGTTAAGATTCCAAGCCTTAAATGATATAAAAAATAACGGCGGTGACCGTGGTTCCGCGGCGACGCGTGCGTTCTGTTGCCGGGTTTGATGTTTTAGCGTCCAACTGGGAACATTGTGCAAAATAACATGACTTGTATATACATTAACTTCGTTTGACAAAACAAGATCACAAAATGGCTTCGAGAATTTTTTGTTCCTACCTCGGGAAGCATTTGATACACTTCATTCGTCAGATTACGAACTACACTCGGGGCTATGGCAAAGGTTAAATTCTGCCCGAGAACGGTGAACTGCTTCGTTAGGACGGCATATTCCGTGGCATTCATAACGCTGTCGAGCTTACGTCTGGAGTGAAACAAACAATATATAACAAGAAAAATAGTTATGTTCCTGCGTAGTTCACTGAGCAATTCATGAATGATGGCGACACGTTATATATATTTTTTTTGGTTACCAATTTCAATTTGAAGCATTCGTAATTCACCACATGCAATGTTAACTGGATGCCATTGAAAACGTACTGATATTTGATGTGTAAAACGTGTGACCAAAATGGTTTAATGATTCAATTAAGTAACAAAATAGTTAACAATGTTGCCGTGTAGGCCTACAGAAAATGATATCACTTTTAAGCATTATGCGACATCGACACAAAAGTCATTTAGCTACGTACCGTTTACTACATGTAGGCCTATGTTCTCCCTATAGATTTTATTCACGAGGAAGCCATTTTAGATCATGTTCCCTGAATCTCTTTTATAAGTTGTAAACTGGTGAATGGGATGGTGCCAGACTATTTTATGATTGGTGTGCGTTCCAAGCCTCACCTTCAATTTTCAAATGTGGCTTAAAACATTAGGGTATGTTTAACCAAACATTTTAAATCAGTCAACAGAGCAGACTGATATTGATTTCAATTTGTTATTTTATTTCACTGCAGCCTTTCATTACTCGCAAGTTCAAAAATGAAGAGTTTACCTCGCTTTCAATTTATTTGTTATATCGCCGACTGTGAATAAAGTATCTTGAAGGAATTTGTCGGTTAAAAACCAAAAGGTTCAGCTAAGAAGAGTCTTCATTGTTTATTCATAAATACCTAAGACAGTTTACCCATTCCCATTGGTCTAGACTCTAGAACCCGTCACGTGGCTGGTCTTAAACGGATGATAAAACATGGTATTAAACGCTTTTTCCTGTGTCCAATGAAATTTGGACTCCTATGAAATCCAGTGCCTTTCGCCGTTTTATTGGTTGAACGTTCACAATCCTCACGTAGGCATGAGCAAAGATTAAAAAAAAAAAAATTGACCGAAAAGGTATTTATGAATGGAAATAAATATGTGCTTGGTCGGTATTAAACACTATGTTCATGGTCGGAGTCTTAAACATAGTGTTTAACACCTCCGAAGCACATATTTATTCCCTTATTTATAATTAAACAGATAGTTGGAAAAAGCTTCAATGTGAAGTCCAACTAGAACTGAAAATATACATGTTTAGGTCTTGCCATCCATACGACGTGCTGACTATATAGTTCCGAGGGACAGAATGTCAAAGTATAGAGGGAGGGTGAAGGATTGTTAAGTATTGTTCAGTTACATACCTTATACCGACTTTGCGTGTTTCGTTTCCCACCCATGGCTTAGACAAATTGGCAATAACCTCGTCTATACTGTAGCTGGTTTGTGTACCTCCCTCCGATGCTGTTCGGTTATCGGTGGGCGCACTTGGTTGAGTCTTCTGTGCATGCTCGTGTGCCTCATCCGACGGTCTGCTGTCGTGAGATTTTAAAGAACCCATGACATGGATTCTACTTGAGAATTAACATATTTTGTGCAACTTTCTATTTCTCTGGACTGTATGAAAACTATTTGACGGCCATTATTGGTTAATTGTATTGAAAAGTGTACTTTTGTGACCATTTAAAATTGTGCATGCTTTCCTGACAAACGAGGGCGCTGTTGTATGTCATTTCAGGAAGACACTGTTCAGTTTAGGAGTTTTCTGTTCAAATTGTGAACCCAAAAAATTGCTCCCAATACTTGAGAGAAAAGTTTGCTCATTGGCTCACTGCCATGTTGATGTATTGATACAACGCATCACAACAGAAAAAAAAACAATCTACGACAGCAAAATATCCAAAATTCTTTCGACTTTTGGTGCTGAACTAGCTGAGATTTCTGCCGGAAATGACATCACACTTTTGCTCATGAATATGGAAATTCTCATTAGCACAACCCCCCCCCAAAAGCACCAAAATACCCTTGAAATGGAAAGAAGGTTAACTTGGACACGAAGATGCATTTTCAAGGATTGCATTAAAAAACTACATTGCATGAGCCCTTTAAACTTACCTTTTGCTCTTGACTCCCGCTAGCGCTCCGACCAGGGATTCCTCTCGGTGCAGATCCTGGTTTGTTTCCCCGGATCCGCCAAAGGCAACTAGCAGAAGTTCAAGCACACACACCGCAACCAATACCAAGGCTATCACTCCCCGTAGACGGGAATATCGACGCATCTCTCACTAATATACATGGGGGAAACCCTGGCAATCAATTCGAGTGTACAGTCTTTATCGCGCGATGACCGAGCACACTCCCATCCGAAAGGTCTCAGGTAGTACGGCAGATAGGTGATGGGACTGTGCCTTTGATGATACAAGCATGGAATTTGGCACACAGTCAGAGTATGTCATGAGAAAAATTACTGGCAAAAGGGCCATTGCAGATTTGTCCTTTGAAAAAAATAAAGGTAGAATAACAAGAAGTTTTAAAACTTTCAAAATGGCTGCCATTGCTTGTTATTCTACCTATATATATTTTTTTAAAGATCAAAATTCTGCGATGGCCTTTAGCCAAATATCTTTCTCTGACTGTGTGCCAAATTCCATGCTTGAATCATCAAGGGCATAATTCCCCCAACTATTCCCCTATACCTGCCCCACTAAGGTGCCCTGTGTAAAATTAGAGTCTACAACGTGCTGCTGACGCCTATAGTTGTATACTGTATGCCTTCATTTAGACCACACTTCAAACTCTATAGACATGATGTAATCAGCCTCTAGGCCCGCCCTATATTATGCCTATAGTATAGGTTGCAACAGCTAACGTATTTCAAACGAAATATGATATTTACTTCCATCAAAAGCAAAGTGAAAGCATCATGAGGAACATAGGCCTATAGGCCTATATGGAGGCATGATTTGAAAAAGTCGAAGCGTATAGGGGCATGCCTATTCTTAAATGCAAAACTGTAAACAATTTTTCTTAAAAGAATTTAAAGAAAACCAGAAGACCACTTATAGGCAGGTACGAAATGAAACACAAGCAGTAACCACGGACGGACTGACGAACGACAACAGGGGTCAAAAATGTACGTAGTAATGAAAATAGATTAATACTATAGGAGGAAATAGGGAGCAAAATATACTACGCTAAATAATGGGACACAAGATGGTTCTTAAAAAATAAAACTGATTTTGAATCGGCCCACAGAGAATTGAGATTGTATGGACTGATCAACCTCCGGCCATGCGACAAACAGTATGCAACAATATCCTATAATTATGACCAACCAAATGCGCAACACCGTTGTCTCATTTAACCAAACCATGTCGATTAGATATCGATGGCCGACAATTTACCTTTTAACCGCAACCACATCTTCGACTGCACGCCACGTAAGATGATTTTGAGCTTTCTGCATCTGTGATGCGGTACGATCCCTCTACTCCGATCCCCCGTATATACAGAATCAATGCGGAACAGGGTGACCGTAAGGTCATGGCTAAATTCTGCTAAATGCACTTCAAAAATCTGTCAGATTTATCAAAAATCTGCCAAATTCCCCAGAATTACTCGAAATACATTAAAAACACTTTAAATCACATGCAGATGTTGTAATATTGCTTTAATTAATGTTCAAATTACATTATAAACAATCTATAGCCACATAAAGATAATATGAAATTGCGTAAATTTCAGGCAAAACGCGGTTGCGTCACGACGAACTCCGGTTCCCAGTGAACCTCAGCACCTAGACCAGGCAACCTTTCCTATTTTGCAAGTTTTTTTTTTAAAGATTGAAGCTTTTGTAACCAAATATGCCTCTCTTTTTTCAAATTTGCTGTTTTTCTGGCAAGTAACCATTTTTCAGAATTCTGCCAGAAATCTGCCAAAAAAATCCATTCTGTCAAATTTTCTGTCAAACTCGTTTTTAACAAAAAATCGGTCAAAGTTAGCCGAAAATCGGCTAAAACGGTCACTACGATGCGGAAGCAGCTGTGTTTAGGGCTATGGCGGCGGTTCTGATTGTCGTTCAACTGCACGGTTGAAATATATGAATAAACCGAGTGGGTCTATTATTAGTTATCTTGCGAGCGCGAGTGGAACACGGAATGTCCCACATACCACGAGGCCGAAGGCCGAGTGGTATTTGCATAGATATAGTATACAAATATTGAATGTTTCGAGTGGTGTAGTATAGCTAGCCTGCCGAGGTGATCCAAATATTGAGTGGCTCAGCGTGGAATTGGAGGAATATTATCGCAAGGTAAAATCTGGACTTTTCCATTTCACGAGGCGAAGCCGAGTGAACTGGAAAAGCCCGGATTTTACCGAGCGATAATATTCCTCCAATTTCACAATTTAAAGCCACTCAATATTTGTTTTATATAACTGACATAGATCCTTGTCATTTGATATATTTGAACTTTTTTTCAATACAAAACTGGAGGAAAATGTATTTCTCTCTTCCAAACCACCCTTTCACGAAAATGTTTGAACCCAACGCTGTAGCGCTGGCTCTTTGGAACAATACGCGCTACCTACAACGCTGAACGCGCACACCAGCATGCATTTGCACACAAATACCGCGTCATGATCCTAACTGTTGAATAGTATTTCCAATTCCCCATGGGCGGATAGTACTTTTTGAGCCGCGGCATGAATGGGAGCAATAACGAATGCCACGTGATGTGAGTTCCACCAATCAAATGACAAGGATCTGTATGTCGGTTATATAATATACAAATATTGAATGCTTCGAGTGGTGTAGTAAAACTAGCCTCTTTAAATGTTGAAATAAACTTCAATTTCAATACAAAATTGGTGGGAAATGTATTTCTCTCTTAAAAACTAACCCTTCACGAAATGTTTGAACCCAAGTCTGCGGCGCACTCTCTTTGGAATAATACGCGCTACGCACAACGCGCACACCAGCATGCATTTGCACACGAATACCGCGCCGTGGAAATAGTACTTTGGTTGCTAATGGTATAGTACTTTGGTTGCTATGCGCATAGTACTTTTGGCCGTGCACAGAAAGATAGCAAAATTAGAAAGTAACATGTGACTCGCTCTCGGCCAATCAAGACACAGAATCTGTGGGTGAGGTGTTATAATACTTTGGTTGCTATGGGTATAGTACTTTTAGTCATGCACTGTAAGATAGCAAAAATAGAAAGTACCATGTGACTCGCTCTCGGCCAATCAAGACACAGAATCTGTGGGTGAGGTGTTATAAAATTCTATATCTATGGGTATGTGGGACACAGACGCACTACATTTTCTGTGTTCCACGAGCGCGAGCGCGATAACGAACTTATCTTCAAGCAAACTTGACGCACAAGTGGAACTTTATTCGAAGACCTCTTTACGTACGCCATGCTTATAACAGGAGAAAGTGAAAGCGAGCCGGGAAACGTGTGTGACGATCCTCTTTGGACGCGTGACGCAAACGCACAACTTTTGAATTCACAGTGAATTGTGCAGCACTAATCGCGTCACGCAGAGTGCGGTATGGACCGTGGCCGTGCGGTATGGTTATTTATACACCACCTGAATAAATCCCCGTCATCTGATTGGTGAATTGTAGATCACGTGACATATTATTATTCGGTATAATGCACGGTGCGACCATGCGTTATACCCATGCGTTATACCGTTTCACTTTGCGCTTGTTCCATGACGCGGTATTTGCGTGCAAAATGCATGCTGGTGTGCGCGTTCAGCGTAGCGTGTATTGTTCCAAAGAGCCAGCGCTACAGCGTTGGGTTCAAACATTTTCGTGAAGGGGTAGTTCAACATCTTTAAAATCAAAATAAATTGTAGTTTATAATTTACCAATCAAATGACGAGAATTTATTCAGGTGTTGTATAAAACAAATAACGAATGTTTTACGTTCGTGCGATGGAAAGAATAATTTCATTCGGTGACAGATTGAATGTTCTATTCCACTCGGCTTCGCCTCGTGGAATAGAACATTCAATCTGTCACCTCATGAAATTATTCTTACCATCACACTCACAAACATTCGTTATTTGTATAATGTAGCACGGCTTGTTGCCATGGATCGACCAATCGGGATCGGGGATTCAAGTTTGCTTGAAGATAATGTATATTATACACCTATATAAATCCCAGTCATCTGATTGGTGGATCGTTGATCACATGTCATTGAATTATTCGTACCAACGCACGGCGCGCGCGTTGCGCGAAGCGCACAGTGCAATGGAAGTTCTATTGCACTGCGAATAGAACTTCCATTGCACGGTGTCACTGTTGCTGGTGGTGGCTCTGCTTTAAATCGAGATAAATTAAATATGATTGTTCTTAACCTGTCGAACAGTTTGCATTAATATAAAATATGATGAACTTGTCGAACTTTTAAACAGTTTTTAACCTGAATAAATTGGCTATTTAAAGTCAACCAATCAGATGACAAGGATTTATTCAGGTGTTATATAAAACAAATAATGAATGTTTCACGTTCGTTCAATGGAAAGAATAATTTCATTCGGTGACAGATGAAATGTTCCATTCCACTCGGCTGCGCCTCGTGGAATGGAACATTTCATCTGTCACCTCATGAAACTATTCTTACCATTGCACTCACAAACATTCATTATTTGTATACTATTATGCAGCTGATATTGGCAATGCATTTTGTAAAATCACTCACCGCCGATGAGTGCATGGGGCCGACCAGCCGTGTGCATGCCCCACTTTGTACGATGTATATCGATACATGCAAGACCTCCATGCAGGTCGATTGTCAGGTTCACAATGTATTTTCGTTGGGTTTTTTTTTTGAGGATTAGCAAAACTATACATTTTTGAAAACGTTATGATCTACTGAATCCCAAAAAGTAATGTTTCCATTTTTTTCCAACGCCATTATGTCGGCCATTTTGGGTGGACGGGATAAAAGGGGGCGGATCCAACCCCCACTCTAAGATCTTGGCCGTGCCATGACAGATTTGACATATTAGACTGGCCTCCTAGTGCTACATTGTGTGGGATATGTGGAAATATGTTTAACATTACAATGTGGAAATAGTGCACGATTAATCAGCCCGCTCGGTTGGAACATATTTTGTTTGGCAAGGGGTGCTGGAACCAGTGTTCTAACCATGGCCATGGTGGAATGATAGCATAGGGGCATTTGCGAGTGCGGAGCTAGCACGAAGCTAAGCCCTTGGGGCGTTGGGTCCCGAGAAATTTTGGATTCGAGATGCTCTGGGTGTAATCTGAGGCAATTCCTGGCCACTTTCACCTGACTGTTTTAAGCAAAAGTTTTGAAGATTATATTGAGAATATATTTTGTTTAGAACATAACTTGATCTTTCAAGTTTCTACTATAGGCCTATACTCAAATTAAAGTCGAAAACCATGTTTGGATCGCCCCGTTAATATTATGAAACTTGTAAAATGGGGCCAATAATAATTAATGGATGCTAAAGTTTCTAAATTTATTCTTGAATTGCCTTAGAATGCAGGAGAAATCATCGTAGATTTTAAAACTTTCCGGGGGCATGCCCTCGGATCCCACCGACAGGGCGTGCCTTGGGCACACCTTAGACTCAATCCCCGTCCCCCTTTATATCGACCAATTTCCCCTCCCCCCCCCCCGGTTCCTGAAAGCTAGATCCGCCCCTGTATTGTACGCACGGGCGCAAAGGCAATCACCAATAAACACATTTTCCAACAAAAAACGTATAGGTTTCCGTTTAAATAAAACATACAAATTGAAAAATCATTAGGGGATGAAAAAATATGTTGAAGAGCACGGGCGGAGCAACTTCCAGATTGAAAAAAAACCTTTAATATGACTACACCTAATTTGGGGCGGGTCGTTCGGCGGCCCCCCCCCCAACTCCTCCGGGTACGGAACTGAATAGCATGATCTACCTTACTCGTTACATTCTTGGGGCATAATTTTCTCATGCTGGCTGTAATGTTCTGAAATTTGCATAAATTGAAACACTAAAGCCCGGTTCATACTCCACGCAAATGCAACTCGAATTTGACGTCATGAAACATTCGCTGCGAAATGCGCCCGAGCAGAAATATGTTCACTGCAACTTTCAGCGCGAATACTTGCCATGACGTCACAAATTAGCGTTCACTTTCGCGCCGCGTATGAACCGGGTTTTAGAACAACAAAACTTGGGTAAGGAGCGGACTTATACACTGAATGCATTCCATTTTCCCCTTTATTGTTTCTTTTGTTTATTCCCGCCAAATTACAGGCAGCTTTACAGACACCCCCCCCCCCCCAATCATCACAACTCTCTCCCCAACATTGCAAAATAAAAAAATAAACCGCGCATTGTGCATATCAAAATGAATACACAAGACAAGGGAAACCTAGTAAAGCTGGTCCCAGAGCACACCAAATTATATTCAATCGATTCAGGATGGAGGTCTTTCCTTGCACGTGTCCTATCAATGGCATTACGTGTTTTTATTTGCAGCACACATCGTCAATGGATCATGATTATTCAGCTAGTCCCATGTTTATTCATAAGAAAATAACAATGACGTTACACCATTGCTATTAATCAGTCAAGCTTGTAAATTAAAGCATTTCAAAGAACGGCTTTCGTCGAGCTGCCACAGTGGCCTAGTGGATAGTGGAGTGAACTATGTGATCTGTGGTTCGAGCCCTCGCCCATTTTCATAAAATATTTCTGTTGGTTGGGATAGGTTTAATTGAAGGGAAAACACCAAGAGAATCTAAGTGTCTTCCATCCACACAAGGATAAATATTTATGTCAGGGTGCGTCGTGTGATTGGTAAAAAAAAACGATGTATGCTGCAGAAAAAAATACGCGGGCAGCGGGCATAACTCTTGGACCAAGGTGAGACTTAGCAAGTTTAATTACCACGTGACAGTGAGTCAAGTCAAGACAATCAGTCAGGTGCAAAGAGGACTATAAGCTGACCCTCTGGGACCAGCACAACCGTTGTAATGCTACACGCACATTAAACAGAATATACCTCCACTATTTTTTTTAAATACAATTTTCAATATATATTAGAATTCTAGCATAAAAAAACACACCTGATTTGTTTTCAAAGTTCAAAGCTGCACAGGATCAAGGGCGGATCCGGGGGGGGGGGGTGCTTCAACCGGGGCCATGCCCCCCCCCCCCCCAAAAAAAACTCGAACCCATTTTTTTTTTTTAAGTGACGTCGCAATAAAGGCAGGCACTGCGTACACCACCATCTTCTCCTCAAACAAATTTGGTTTAAGTTGTCAGGTATTGCCTCGGATCGCACCACATCACTGAGCATTTAGAATTCAAAATATTTTCGCCGTAAATTTTGGAACCCACTTTTTGGTGGAACATTTTTTTGGCCCCCCCCCAAAAAAAATAAAATTGTGTTCTGGATCTGCCCTTGCACATGATTTCTATAGGACTTGACAACTAACTCTCTTTATACTTTCCCGTCAGTGTTTTCCACTGCAAACGTGCATTCTTGCATAATTTACATCATTTATACAATTGTACACTTTGTATATCACTTAAACTATGTATTACTATGCATTATAAATTACGGAAAATGGTACCTTTGGGGGAAATTCCCTTAGGGTTGTGCACAATATTTGTCCCACTCTAGTGACCCTTAACCCCAATTTTCTCTTATCCTACCCCACGAACGTTGGTATATTTCTGTTTTGGACTACGAGCAATCGATCTAACCTATTTGCGACGTAACTTTGCCTCTAAATAGGAGTTGTGACATTAGGGAACCAATGAAATGTCTCCTTAATCTACCTTGTCTCCCTAGGGTATAACTTATGACCAACAAAATATATCGTTAAGGCCAAAAAAAAGTCTCCGGTTTCTGGCATACGCGCGCGTCGCCGTAGCCATGCGCGTCGGCAAATGAAAAAGTTTTTTTCAATGAAAGATGATGTCTCAAAACCGCCAAACTCACTGGTTTGACTGGAATCCTGCTGCTGCACAATTTTAATGTGTTTTTAGATAGGGTTATGGTTGAGAATAAGCTTTATGTGGCCTCTCTGGGCTCCCATATAATTATTTGCACTAAGTTTAGTCGGGCACCATTTGCAGTCATCAGCCGACATTTGAAGCAAAAAAAATCAGGTAAAAAAAAAAAAGCCGCGTCGCCGCACCACTTTTTGGGCAAGCTCCATACCAGAAACCGGAGACTTTTTTTTTTGGCCTAAGGTATAACTTATGACGAAAACAATTATCGTTAAGGGTATATTAACAGGAATTACACTTATACCTTTGTCATTAAAATGTTGGCTTCACTTTTCAATCCGAGAATTTTTCTTTCATGTTTTATAACATTCCAAAACAAAACCTCTCCAAGGGGTCTGGAGAGAATGGCTTCATGATTTTAAATTAAAAGTCGACTGGTTTTTCATTAATAATATTGTTATTATTACACACACTTGTTTGAAGAGAGAAAGAAAAACATTAATATTAAGTAAGTTTATACAGGGTGGATAAAAAAACCAACGAAACCGAGATATTATTGCTAATTGGAACAGAAGTAGGGCACATGTGAATCAAAGGGAGATATCCTCTGTTAGGGTTGAATCTCCTCTTTAAAATGACACCCTGATCATGTCATTACATTCATGGTTGACTGAGCAGTGACCAATTTTTATGAAAGGGTCTATTTAGAGACTTGCGCCACTTTTCATGGTGAAATCACTTTTTTTCCCCCACCTGCCTTGATTGGCAACCATAGCCTTTCACTCCGTGACAATTGACACAACAAAAACCACTATTGAAAAGTGGCACAATTCTCTAAACAGACCCTTTCATAAAATTAACAGAGGATATCTCCCTTTAATTCACATGTGCCCTACTTCTGTTCCAATTACCAATTGTATCTCGGTTTTTTTTTTTTTTATCCACCCTGCAGTGGATTAAGACATGAATGCATGCTAACGCCCTTGATAACGAGACTGCAATAAATTATAAACTACATAAGTTAAATATCACCGCATTTGGTTATGAATAAAAATACTGTTTCATTTTGCTGTACTGCATGATAGAGCACTTCAACAATAAACACTCCAGTAAGCTAGGCACTACATAGGCGAAAGTAATCGTAACATTTGGAAGTTAATACCGTTATACTTTCACAAGATTGGCATGAAAAACCGATGTTTTAGCTGAGAAACACTGAGTTCAGACATTCCAAAATAGCAAGGTACAATTTTCAACCATGCATTCATTACTCACCGAGTCCAGGGACATGACCAACATTCAACCCAACCCCACTCAACATTTGAAAATTGATGATTTTCTTCTCTAATAATAATAGTTATTAATATTTGAATACTAAATTTCATATTAATTGTACCATATATTTTTTTCCTAAGTTGCACAACCACTGTAAAACTACTATGCCCCTCTCTGTAGCAAAACTGTAAGATTTTTTATTCTTGTACCCGTCCACTAATAAGTTATTTTTAAAGGCATACAGGATCAATTGCTTTTCACGCATTTGGTTCGTTCCCAATAATAACACCACTCGAAATCCAAAGAAGAATGTTCAAAACCTAACCTATTGAAGTTTCACCTCAGTGGCTAGTACACCTTTCGAGAAAACAGTGAGAAACCATGCACAACCTTGTGATCACGAAACATGATTTTGTCGACAGCACTGTTATTCCAAAAATCAGTCAATTGACTGATCGTTGCAAATCAGCTACATTTCTTTACTTCTTCTTCACGACAGCAAGCCATTTCATAATTTCACGGGGTGTTTAGTACCAGTATGTTCTTTAATCCAAGTTTGCATTTTGATAATAATTTGGTTACTTTTGGAAAAAATGCAAATTATAACATATGCCTTTAATGTCAGGTTTTCTATATTATTTTTTTCATTAGAGTGACGTGTGACTCGGACTAGGACTCAGCATTCAAGACTTCTGACAAAGGTTTGGAATCGATCCCAAATGACTCAGACTTGACACTGAAGACTAGGAGTCGAGGTTTGAGGACTCACATACGAGTCTGCCACCAGCGCCCACGGAAAGGGCAGTGAGTTTGAGCAAACTTCCCCATCAGCCCTGGGCCATCTCTAGGGGCTGACTGATGTTGCTGTTGGTCGTCATTGATTTCAGCTCCCACCTGATGTCCAGCGGCAAGCAGGTAGTATCCAGCTGGTACCGGACCGCAGCTACTTTGCACAGAGTCTTCAGGGTAGGGGCTAGAGAGAGAGAGAAAGGGGGGGGGGGGGGATAATCAAACCAGTACACTCAATTATCAGAAGAGGATATCAGAATATTTTACACAATGGCATAACTCCACTTAAGTGCAAAAGATAGTTTGTAAAGATAGCTTACAGATAAAGAAAAATATATTTGCCTTCCCCAAGTAACAAGTATACAGCTCAATGCAGCAATTTTTTCAGGCGCAAACAGCTGATGTAAACACAATAACCATCTCTGCCTTCACAGAAATCCCAATTTGCCCAAGTCCCCAAGGACATGCGCATCGCAACCCTATGGGCTCCGTGCACAAGTAGCCCCTCATAGTCAGGTGGCATATGGTCGGAATCGTGACCGACTGGTCCAAAGCACCAAACTTGGCAGATAGATTCTAATAGCCCTAGAGAAGATATTTAGAAGGGGTGACACCTGAAATTCTTTTGGGAAGGGTGCCTAATTTGCATAAATCGTTAATCCCTGCCGTGTAATATATTTATTCCCATATTTGGGTATATTTTCATTTTTTAATTTTTTTGAAAAGTGTATTTTGGTGATTGTACTTGCATATTCTTACTTCAATAACATTTTGTAAAACATATAAGTGACTGAATAATTAGGAGGTCATAGTAAAGAACCAAAATTGCTAGTATTTTACCCTAAAGTTACGCGCATTTACCTTTTCCTCAGATATCATCAACTGGTCTCGCCAAACGTGGGTACTGATGAGCTTCAAATTCACAAAGTTACTTACTGGTATAGTTACCCTAACAAAAATAAGTGGGAAATCAAGTGAAAATTGATAACATCTTGATGTTTAGCCCAAAAGACCAAAAAAGGGGAGAAAATAAGGTGTCCGTAAATTGGGCTAGTACGGGAAGGGTAACGTGGGGACTTCAACAAGTTCAACGAAATCCACCTAAATAAGAGATTATTGTTGTTTACAATAATTTTGTCCACGCCAAAACGTTTTCTCAACAATAATTTTGGGAATTTCCTTGAACTTGTTCCAGTGTTGCATGTTAGGCAACCCTTCACCTACTTGTTAGCCTAATTTATGGACACCTCGTTTTTTTCCCAGTGTTTGTTTTCTGGGCTGAATATCACAATGTTATCATTGTTCACATGATTTTGCAAAAGGTTTTAATAGTGTTACTGAACCAGTAAGCTACTTGGTGAATTTGAAGTTCATCAATGCTGATGTTTGGCAAGACTAATTGAGGATATCTGGAGACAAGGTAAATGTGCGCAATTTTAGGGCATAATAGTAGCCATTTTGGATCGTTACTATGTCCTCATAATTATTCAGTCACTTATATGCTTTGGAAAATGTTATTTAAGTAAAGATATGTAAGTAGAATCCCCAAAATACACTTTTCAAAAAATAAAAAAAATGAAAATATACCCAAATATGGGAATAAATATATTACACGACAGGGATTAACGATTTATGCAAATTAGGCACCCTTCCCAAAAGAATTTCAGGTGTCACCCCTTCTAAATATCTTCTCTAGGTCTATAAGAATCTTTCTGCCAAGTTTGGTGCTTTGGACCAGTCGGTCACGATCTTGACGAAAATTAGATCTAAGCCACCTGACTATCAACGGTGAGGAAGGGAGAGTTGGGGGAGACCACTTGGAGTGACATTCGAACGCATCAACGTTGCTGCCTGACGCTCACGTGAAGACGCTATGGCTGCGAGCACATTCAGAATAATATAAGTCGTGCGTACTTCGAGCTCAGTACGCACACGCGGAGTGTCCCATCCACCGGGCTCACAAAGGTGGTAGATAAGCGCCCTCTCTTGTTTGCGCATAGCCTCGACTCCAACTCACAACTTGCAGAATTGCCCACAGATCTTGAATTTGATGCTCCAGACCACAAGGCCACATTATTTCACGTCACAAATTTGTGAGAACGACACTAGTTCACAGCTTGTATATCAAGAGGTATGCTCGACTAGTTTCTTCTGAGGTGTCTGCACAAAACTCACACAGCAGCATAACTTGGGTCCCATTTGCAGGGGGGGGGGAACTTAGAGGGGCCTAATTTTCTGCAGGGGGCACACAGTGGATTTTGTCATAGTTTCAAACAATACGATGCTGTTTTGCTTTTGCCCAATTCTAAGCAGGGGAATAAGGGAGAGAGGGGGGGGGGGGACTGTACCCCATGGGGTTACTTGGGCCATAGGTGTCACCTGATGTCAGGATTTGATCACGTACCAAAGTCCAGAATGTGAAGGTCAGCCAAGTCCATCAGGTTCACATCATCAGAGCCTCCAGGGATGGTTTTAGCTTTAGGACTGCGAAAACCAAAGGGTAAAAAAAGGTATAAAAGCATATTTAAACCCCAGTTATGCCCAGAAATAACAATGTGCCATCACAATTGACAACTTCATAAATTTACTTTTGTGAACAACAAATATTCATCAGATATTAAGATTTTCTCTTGAAAAGTTTCAATTTTTTTATATGGCAGCCAATCCAGCCATCATAAATTAGCCTTTGAAACTTAAATCTTTGCATACACAATTACCTGCTTTGTTTTGATAGACTCAGTTAAAACACTCTGTTATGACATATCATCTTCATGCAACTTGAAACCTTGACCCTGATTGCTCGATCAATGGCAATGGTGGTCATATCGTACTCCGCGTATCAAGCTATTCTGAGACATGTACACTATTCTTGCTGCGCGCACATGTAATAAGATTAGCACTGGAAAGTTCCTGCAGTTTTTCAAGTTTGCTTGAAGATAAATTTGTTATCCCACTCACGCTCGTGGAACACAGAAAATGTAGTGCGTCCTTGTCCCCTTATTACCTCTTTGGTCTTGTGGCACGTGGGACTCAGATGCACTACATTATTCCATTTTCCATTGGCGCTCATGGGATGATAATGGCCATAACATTGGCTCACCATCTCTACAGGGTCGTTGGAAAAAGTTTACTCTTTTTCAGGCGCAGATTTCTCAAAATTGGGCAGACGTGTTGAAATTGTTTTTAAGATATTCCTCAACAACAAGATCTTGGTGATATATACTGGCAACAGTGTTGAAAATGAAGCCTCAATTAAGAAATGGCAGCCATTTACAGAAAAATGGTCAAAAACCAGTTTGTCCACACGCTTGTATGAGATATGGTAAACAATAGCACTGCATGCACAAAGAACTGCAATAACAATGACCATATCTCATTTATCTAGCATTTTTCTGTATAAAATGGCAGCCATTTCTTAATTTAGGCTTTATTTTCAAAGCTGTTTTCACCATATATCACCAAGATGTTGTAGTTTTGAAATATCTTAAAACAATTTTAACAGGTCTCTCCAATATTGAGAAATCTGCTTCTGAAAAGTGTAAACTTTTTTTTTTTTTTTTTTGGAGCCAGCCTGTAGTGGGTACATATTAAGCTGATATGTTAGCTTCATAGTATGGATAGTTCAGTTGAGATGGATTGTAGTGTTCCTATTAGATTGACCCCTGTTCTCTGTACAAGGATTAAAAAACTACCTTGTTCCGCCAAACAAGATGACCTGGTCCTGAACCACAATGCAACATTGCCGCCGCCGGTTACAAGGCGTCTCGCCAAAGGTCGTGACCTTTGACCACTCGTAGTTGCTGAGGTCAAGTCGGTATAGGTCGTTGAAGTGTGTTTTGATGAGGTCATTGTAGCCGCCAAATATGTACAAGTTGCCCCTGTAGATGACTGCAAGAAAAGGTAACAATCAAATGCTGCTTTAAATTTTGAAAACTCTAGAAGATGGGAGAGCTTTAGGCCCGCTCTTAACGCCGTGCCACCCACGTGCCAAACACTTACAAGCAGAGTGACTTCTCCTGCCAATGGGGACGTCTCCGGTTGTGGGCGGGGAGCTCCAGACTTTGGTCTGGGTGTCAAACACTTGCAGCTTGTTGCAGTAGAACTCCTGGTTGGTGTAGTGAGGGCCGGACTTGTCGGCACGGCCTCCAAACACGATCATCTGGTGGCGGTGGGCGGTGGCCGTGTGGAAGTCTCTCCAATGGGGAATCTCACCCTGCAACACAGTCATGAAACAACTCCTTGAATGAAATTTTAGTGTGAGAGAGATCTAAATGCATAAAGTAAACTCTGTCGCGAGCCAATATGGCACATCAGGCAGGCATTTGTTTCTATTCCCCCTGGATGGGATGCCAGTCCATCGCAGGTTACTCTGCAGCTAATGCCGGTACCCATTTACACTCCTGGATGGAAGAGGCAAATGGGGGTAAAGTGGCTTGCCCCAGGACACAACATATGGCCAGCAGCTGGATTTGAACTCCTGACCCTCTAATCATGAGTCATGAACACTAACAACTAAGTCACACTCCCCCCTTGTGTACTCTGTGGTATCTGAAAACATGGGTGGGTGGGTGGGTGGATCGGTCGGTCCACTGATAAGGAACTATTTTCGGCCTGCACTTTGCACTTTTCTAACCAGGCAGACATCTCTAGGCTTGTGGTCCTTGTGGGGGGCTGTGGTCTACTGGCTACGGTGTTCGACTCGTGTGCCGTGATACACGGGTTCGCATCCTGACCGTGGGAACATGGTCCTTGTGCTCTTGAGCAAGGCGCTTTACCATTATTGCTTCGTCCTTTGGATGGGACGTAAAGCCGTAGGTCCCATGTGATGTGTAATGCACGTTAAAGAACCCAGTAACACTTATCGCCAAGAGAAGGGGTTTGCCCCGGTGTTTCTGGCAGTGGCTGCAATATGCGCCACAGCACCTGGTATACCCTTTATAAAAGGTGCTGCATAATGGGTCTCATATTTCTCATAAACTTCATTTACCTGTCTTTAAAAAAATAGACATAATTACCAGCACCTTGAGTACCTAATTGTTGGTAGATACCTGCGCTATATAAGACTCTGGTATTATTATTATTATTATAATTTTCTATTTATGCCATACACATTGATATTGTGAACTGTTACCTTAGCCATGACGTATGTCCAGACCATGAGAGTCAAGTCCAGGCTGTACACTGTGTTAGCATAGCACTGCATCATCTGCACGATATGAAAGATCAGGTTAAAGTTTCAACTTGCCACGTAGATCACGAGTGGGTACCAAAGTTTCACCTTGCAAAGTGACCCTTCGCAAGCCAGGCCTTTAATGTTTTTTTAGCTTTTTGATATAGTGGAATCTGGCGAACAGATTAAGAAGCTTTTACTGCGGTGGTATCACGCTCAACGCGCATGCTACATGCATTCTTAAAGACGAGGCCCGCGTGCCTTTTGGTGTTCCAGTTGGTTGAAGGAGCCCGGAGTGCATGTTTACTACCTGAGCGCGACTCGCATGAGTCTAGTGTGAATTGGACTAACTATTTAAAAAAAAGACCCAACCCGACCTGACAAAAATTCAAAGAAAACCGACCCGACCCGACCCTAACAACCCAAATATCTGGCTTCGGCAAATGTGTCCGCTTTGTGCACCTGAGCTGACCCGCTTCGATTAAAAAAATGTCGGCTTTCATTAACTGAATCATGCCGTGCGGCACTCACAACGTGACCTACTGGTGGGCCTACATGTTCGAGACAGGTCACAAACCATTTTTAGTCGCACCGCGCGCAGTGACTCTGCACTAAATAGTGCACCATGTGAATTTCCATTCTGTTTCAGTTTATTTCGGTTTATTTTGGGTTTTCCAAAATGGTTTAACCGACCCGACCCAAAAATCGCGAACACAAAACCGAAAAACCGCCCCGACTAAAATGATGGACAAACTGACCCGACCTGACCAGAAATCGATTTCGGGTTGGGTCGGTTTCGGATTAGGTTTGCAGGACATTAGTAGTAACCCTTGATTATGTCGTGGACAACTTGTGACATTTGTTCTTTCGTAGCTTTTCCAAGTACGGTTCACATCACGTTTAAAGAAAAACGTTGGACATGATTTTCAATAGAGGGATAGGACTCGTGTGGTTTTCAACATCAGGATGAGAAAATCACATCCAAATCTAAGAATAGTAACAATAATCACTGAAGTCTAAGTCATCGGCTGCAACGTCATAACATAAAAGAGGACATATGGGGATTGTGTATAGAGTACCGAATGTGACATCATTTAGAACCGGGAAGTGTAGTGAACGAATGGAGTACGTGGGCGTGTTGGTTTACCGGCTTAATTACGCGCTGATGTCTTTTACATACATTGTGCGCGTGATGTATTCACTTCGGCACTCTATATTTACTGTTCACTATGTCCAATGAAGAGACAAGCGCTATTACTTACTCCGTCTTCGAAGCCACCGAAGATGTACATGAGGTCCCCTATCAGGCACGCCGAGTGGCCGTCTCGCCCGCCGGGCTTATCACCTTTAGTGTGTGGTCTGGACCACTTCAAAGTCTCTGGTACCGAAAAGGAGAAATCAGATATACTTCTAATTTCCGATAGCTCCATTTGCTTTAGCTTTTGATTTTATAAAGTCATTTCCGGGTGGTTTGCTATATGGCAGGCTGATAACAGAATAAACAACTTAAGGAAAACCTTTTTTTCAAATTTATTCCTGTCAATAATTGTGAAAGCAAATGTCAACGTAATGCCATCCGAAATCGACACTATACATCTGTTATGTCTTTATTTACCTAATATTTTCAATGTATTTACTTTTGTTTTTAGGATAAACAACATAGATAAAAATTGAACATCAAACAATAGCCGCCAGAGCTGGAAATAGTAATATTTTGTTCAACAGTAACAAGTTTTGATTGACACACTTCACAGCTGAATTTTACGTGCTAGCACGTACGATGCGCGTATGTTTTAAACTGTCGTGCGACGACTGTTAACTGTCTAAAAAGGGCGCAGCGTCCAGCAACCATCAGTTACGGACGTTCATCATTGCATGACCGACTAAAAGCCAGCCTCAAGTCTGATAGAAAGCAAAGTCAACTCACGTGTATCATAGCTGAATACATTATTGCATGCGCCGTGGTTGTCATTCCGTCCACCCCACAGGTAGATTGTCCCTTCATAGTTGACGACAGAGTGGCCATAGCGTAGGTACGGGACACACTTGGTGATTTCTTCCTTGCTGGCACATGGCAACTTCTTCCATCTTAACAAGACTACAACGAAACAGATTACTCGAGACCCGTAGGACGAATGAATTGCGTGTCTTTATTATTGCTCTCAAATGTATAAAGGGTCCATGCAATGTATAGTTTTAACCCTAACCCACCTCACTCCTCCAAAATCCTCCTGGTGGTTTTGGAGGATTCTAGAGGATTGAGGATGAATGGTGATTGAATCAAATGAGGATTCTGGAGGATTGAGGATGAATGGTGATTGAAGCACATGAGGATTTTGGAGGATTGAGGATCAATGGTGAATGAAGCACAAGAGGATTTTGGAGGATTGAGGATGAATGCATTTTGAGGCAGGACTGTCTGATGATTTTGAAGGATTTGGCGTTGGTTATCCTTCATTTAAACACGAGTGCAAAGTTTTGGGATGAGGAGGATTTTGGCGGATTGAGGATGAATGCATTTTGAGGCAGGACTGTCTGACAATTTTGACAAATTTAGGCGGAGTTAAAACATTTTGGAGGATTTTGGAGGATTGAGGATGGTTGTAAGCAACAAGGGCCTAAGGGGGTTAGGGTTAATGCAATCCTTGAAAATTTTAGTTTTGCCATTTTCAAGGGTATTTTGGTGCCTTTTTTTAATGCTTATATAAAGTTCCATATTCACGAGCAAAACTGCGATATCATTCCGGGCAGAAACCTCAATGTTACAGCTATTTCAGCTCAAAAAGTTGCTAGAATTTTGGAAAATTTGCTGTCGTAAGTTTTCTTTTCTTTGGTGATTTGTTGTTGTGTCAGTACATGGCAGTAAGCCACTGAGCAAACATTTCTCACTCACAAAAAGTTTTCAATGAGCAAATTTGACATGCAATTTGACCTACAACAAACCCTCAACATTTTACAGGAATACTATTACTCCCAGGCATAATATTTAAGACCTTCAATGTGTAAGCCGTCCTGTTTTCGAATGGGCTCATTCGGTCAAGGACAATGAATTAAGGGCACAAAAAAATCCTGCTAGCTTTGAAACGTATGGCCCCTTTTAAATTTGTTTATCTTAGGTCAATTCAGTCAGTAAGCAGTTTGCAGCAGTTTTATTCATTTTTAAATATTACAATCTTCAAAATTGGGTAATTATTATGAGCTCCATGCACAAGTACACCCTCTACAATAAGGAAGGGAAAGCTGGGGGGGACCACTTGTAAGTGACATTCAAAGACATCACGGACGACGCGTGAGAGGCCCAACGTTCATGCGAAGATGCTATAGCTTTCTGCACATTCATAATATTATTAAACATTATTCATAAATACCTCAGACAGTTTAGCTATTCCTATTGGTCGAGAGCCCGTCACGTGGCCGGTCTTAAACGGATGATAAAGACATGGCTAGCTGGTCTTAAACACTTTTCCAGTGTCACAATAAAATGTGGACTCCTAAAAATCCAGTGCCTCTTATCGTTTCATTGGTTGAACGTTCACAATCCTCACGTAGGCATGCGCAACACTACCAGGGAGTCAGAATTTTATAGTTCTAAATTCAAAACGCAACGCCCCAGGTGCGTTCTGCGTGACATCGCGCAGAACATGTTACGCGCACGTCAATCTCCATAAAAGGGTTGTTTACATATCTTACTCGCCAGCTGAACACTCCATTATTTTGCTAGAGGGATGTTTCAAAAAGCATGAAGTGAACTTGTTGAACAAAATCGGGATTTTTTGAACGAATTATTTGATATTTTTTTACGGATAAGGTATTTATGAATGGGAATAAATATGTGCTCGGTCGGTATTTATCACTCTGTTTAATACCGCTTAGAGTCTGGGTGCTGATAATTACCCTCGCCTCCGGCTCGGGTAATTATCAGCACCCAGACTCTAAGCGGTATTAAACGAGTGATAAAAACCTCCGGAGCACACATTTATTCCCTTATTAAAAATTAAACACATGCAAGCCAGTACGAGCACGCAGTGAGTCCCATACACGGGGCTCTCAAACATAGTACACCCTCTCTTGTTTGCTCTCTCATTGCAAATTGATGACTCTGATAATGAAGAGTTTGACCTCAAATTCCTTTCAATAAAAAATGCCCATTACTCGAGAGTATGAAAGACAAACGCAGGAGTCTTTGACTAGTAAGTGGTTGGTACAAAGACATTTGTACCAAGACATTCAGTCAGTGGCAGTCAGTCAGTGACAGTCAGTCAGTGACAGTCAGTCAGTGGCAGTCAGTCAGTGGCAGTCAGTCAGTGGCAGTCAGTAGCTGACAGTCAGTAGGTGACAGTCAGTCAGTGACAGTCAGTCAGTGACAGTCAGTCAGTGGCAGTCAGTCAGTGACAGTCAGTCAGTGACAGTCAGTCAGTGGCAGTCAGTCAGTGGCAGTCAGTAGCTGACAGTCAGTAGGTGACAGTCAGTCAGTGACAGTCAGTCAGTGACAGTCAGTAGCTGACAGTCAGTAGGTGACAGTCAGTCAGTGACAGTCAGTCAGTGACAGTCAGTCAGTGGCAGTCAGTCAGTGACAGTCAGTCAGTGACAGTCAGTCAGTGGCAGTCAGTCAGTGGCAGTCAGTCAGTGGCAGTCAGTAGCTGACAGTCAGTAGGTGACAGTCAGTCAGTGACAGTCAGTCCTTGACAGTCAGTCAGTGACAGTCTGTCAGTGACAGTCTGTCAGTGACATGCAGTCAGGGACAGTCAGTGACAGTCAGTCTGTGACAGGCTGTCAGTGGCAGTCAGTCAGAGACAGGCAGTCATTGACAGTCAGTCAGTGACAGTCAGTAAGTGACAGTCAGTCAGTGACATGCAGTCAGGGACAGTCATCAGAGACAGAGGCTAGGCTAGCCCTCTGGTACCCAGCTAAAAATCAGAGCCACCCAAGACAACTTGCAGGTTCTTACCGGTATCTAATACATAGACATCGATGGGGATCAAGGCATGGTAATCACCACCAGTGCAGTATCCACCAAACAGATAGATCTGGCTGCCGACCAGCGCGGCCGCATGGTTCACTCGCCGCGGTCCGCCGTCCAAGTGCACCGTCCAATGGGGCATCCTTCACATGTCATGTGACCTCTGACATCACAAGGAGGGCGGGGTCAGCTGGTGAGGCACAGTGTTGGATACAAACGAGAAGGCTACTGAAGAACTCTGAAAGACATGAAAAGGAATTAGCATGCCGCTAGGTTTGATACTGTTCTCACAATGCATTTTTCCGTCCAAAATCTAAAAATACATCATGAAGTTTTGAAGGGTTTGAGGATCAGTGACTGATCCGACAAAGAAAATGATGTCATTCAGTAGTCCCGGGCTTCATCTGTTCACAAATTTCAGATGCCATTTTAAGTTCTGTCTGAGGTCATGTTTATGTAAACACTATTAAACTGATTACTGTCAGTGTTTGGTCGTTCTGTCAGTGGTGTATTGTTTAGTCCGAAAATTTGGGACTCTCAATACTATGTACTATGGACTCTCAATACTATATCGTGCAAAAGTGTAAAAAAAAAAAAAACCAGCGTGCGTTAAATATGCAAGCATTGTGACATCGCACGTTATTTCTGCACTCTGGGAACGAATTAATAATGTTCTCTTTTGGAATGACAGAAATATATTTAAATGGCCACTAAATGCCGATAATAATATTGTAATTTGTATGGTGTCAACGATTCTTGACTAATACATGTAGTATAGCGATTGGGAAAGACATGATGATGAATCAGGGACTGAGAAACATTTCAAAGTTTGTTAGAAAATACTTTGAAAATATTCTCGGCTCTCCATAGTCGTTCTAGTCATAGACTTTGTGCACACCACTAAAGTGGTGTCTGGATATATGCTCGACACTCCATAATCTGCGCAGGTAACGCTTGCATCGCGCGCGCATTGTCACACACACACAAAATGACAAATTGAAGTAGTCCGAAAATTTGGGACTCTCAATACTGTATGAGAGTCCCAAAACTTAAGGTATTGAAAACATGCAAAACAAGAAAATAGACTGGCACCTAAAACAACCAGTCCAACACAGCTTCAGTATTGCATCAATCAACCATGCCAAAAGAATTTAAGAAACATGTGGCATGAAGCGGGAACTAGTCTCAATTTACTACACATTTCATAGTCAAGCCCGGCACCAGACTATTGACACTGAATGAAGAGGTCAGTCTTTTCAAATAGTTGGACCATGGTTGGACATGTACCAGTCTAGTATTTACTAGCCCCATTTTGAAATCAGTTGACTTCCCTCTCATGTGTAAAATATTGAAGAAATGTCTCCTTTAAAAATTGAATTTGGTCTGCAAACTTGGTTGGTGAAATACTGAGGAACTCCCATTTTCTTTGCCCCAGTGGAACTTTTGGAGAAATTTGCTGGCTAAACTGTGAGTAAAGTGGGCCTGATTTAGTTTTGCACGTTTCAGAGCACTCCAGAGCCCTGTCTGAAATAGCCTTTCACCAAGGCCATCGTGCTTCTTGCCCGCATTCAAAGCGGTGAAGAAGGGAAGCGACTGGAGATGGAGACCACACATGCGAGTGGCAAAGCCACGTTTGCCACTTGTGCGTGCTGACTTAATCTTTGCTCCAGTCGCTTCGGGTCTTCGCAACTCCGCCGCTCTAAGCCACGATGGCCTTGGCGAAAGGCTATGTCTGAAATTGAAGGTGAGTGCGTAGAAATAGGACCGCGTAGCTGGGGGTCAGACGGATAGGTATACATTCTTTCCCTGACTTGTTGCGAGGCGTTTATGCTATTTAAAACTCCTAAAATCTTCTCAGTAGTTGTTACCAATAATATGATGACGTTTCCTGGATACCCAAAAGGATTTTTCTTCACAATGTTGAAGACGATCGACGACTACCCTGGACGTGGTGGTTACCCGTTCTAGATGTTTATCGCACAGCGCCCTCTCTCGGGTGGAGATTTTTTTGACAGGACCTTATTAGACTGGTTCCCGGTCCCATGTCCGGATATATAGGGACTTGATTAGGATAAAATCATAGGGCAGGGGCGCGCCTGGGGAGGGTAAATGTAACCAAAATATGGTCTCTGATTTGATAATGGCCACTTGCTTAGTGTTATTAAGTATTCCTTTTTTTAAGGGGAGGGCAGGAATGCATTATTTCCGCTCTTGTATATGGGCTCAGCAAGGGCCTCTCTTGTTGCCCCACCCATTATTGACTTCGTATGTCCTTATACTAGTTTTGTTGTATTTAAATCCCTGCGCCCCCGTTCCTAATAGGCGTAGCCAGCGAATTTAATTTTACGGAGGCCAAGTGTCCGGAGAAAAAAAAACCTGTCTATATTTCACAACGGATGTGCAAGTGCCCTTTAGTATTGGCCATGCGGGGACTGAGCATTACATCGATGTGGCTGTGGTGTGGACACGCAGGCCGGCTGCGCGGGCGGGCAGTTTTGCCACCAGACAAAGTTTTGTGTAGTTATATTAATGATATTAATGTGAGCATGCACATTTTATGCTACCCCGCGCGCCAGCCATTCGGAGTCGAATTTGGAAATTGTAAACGTCACTTAGAGCAGAAATCCGGCCTCTTTATGTCAAGAGATGTCAGACGTTCTCCACTAGAGTTGGCTCCGTGGATAACGGGTGATACTCAGACTATCCGTCGAGCTGAGTTGCTCTACGGTATTATTATTGTATTAATTTACATTGTATTTTTTTATGTATTCCATTTGGTAATTTTGGCGAGCGTCCTTGGCTCTTGGGCGAGCCAACTTTCCATTTTTGCCATTGCACGTGGCCTTTATACATTGTGTATTTTGTTTTATGACAGTTTTGAGGTTAACTTTATACCGAAAAACAAAACACAACAATAAGCTCTACGAAAAATGTGATCATTGACGCAGAGACCCGACGTTGGTGGTAGTATTTATGACACAGAGACAGTTGAAACGAGGCTTCTACCCCATCTTTGCCGCATACTATACATATTAAAAGGGAGGTGCGGGGGGGGGGGGGGGGGTTCAGCTCGCGTAGTCTACGTACACTCTAAAAACAACTTTGTCAAACTATTGACTGCTTTTCCTAGTTACTGAAAATTGACTAGGAATTTAGTTAAATGTGCGAAGTTTCATAATGACTAAAAACAGTAGTTGGGTTCGACTCCAATTTCATTTATTTGCATAACCATTTTTCCAAAGCCAATAATACTGACTAGAAAAATCTAGTCAGACTGACTGATTTTCAGTTGCACCCAGCTGACCCTAAATGGCTAGTCAAATTTAACTGGTTTCTAGTCAAATCTGACTAACTTTTTTAGCGTGTACGTAACGCCACAGTAAGTTTCGTGTACTTTACTCAGTTCCTCTAGTTTTATTAACCCTAGAATCCACGACAAGCTTTTCCCCAATATAGTGTGCGCCATTCACTGTGTGTGTTCGTAGCGTGCCATTTGACGTGTTCTGATGACTTTATTAGCGGGACTGTCTGTATTTTCGTCCGGGTGTTACCGGGCCATTTCAGCGGCGTGCGGTACCGGTACAGAGCGTGTCAGTAGGCAGGCTCGTGTCGTGTCTAGAAAGAATCACAAGTTGCTCTGTACATGTACTTTTATTTATTCTAATTCCAAAAAAATTCTTAAAATTAAGTTTGTTATTTAGAAATAAAACTTAGTCATAGTATCAATAGACTGTACTCTTATTTACACCGCACGCGGGTGACAACTTTCGGCACGAAAAAAATACAGCTAAAAAATTGAACCTTTTAACTGCCATCATTAGTAGAGTTTAATAAACTATTTGTTCATGTGATATGTCAAATTGAAGGCTTCTATACAATAGTTTGATTGAAAATATTAAATGATGTTGACTGAGCAAGCCGATCTAAGGCGTACAAGCGCAAATTCTCCTCTTCGGAAATTCCGTCTTAAACAGCTCATTAGAAACAGAACCAGTACTTGCTCTGTCCGTTTGCTGCATCCGCAGCCCTGCATTACGATGAGAACATACATTAAAAAAACACCGACAATATCCTGACAGTACAATTACTTCTTCGTATCATGTGTGTAAACACGCCAACTGACAGCAGTGACGTAACTACGGGGTGGGGGGGGGGAGAGCTGACATACCGACGAATAAGCGAAAAGCCTGTTCCGAGTAATTCGCGTATGCAGTTGGACATACTGGGCGTTGTATTTTACCCTTTATGTTTCGATAATAACCCTTTTGGTGTATATTCGAAATAAAATAGGAAACGTAGTATCCATGCATCAGGTCACTTATTTCATCAGAGAAGTTGTGCGATGTGATTTTATTTGATCGTAAACTCATTCGTCAGTTTGTCAAATGTCACAAATCTCTAGCCGGTTGTTCTTCACACTGTTTTTATGCTAATCGTCAGTTTGTCGGATCGCGCGTGCACGTGCGCGCGATCTGACAAACTGACGAATAATATTCGTGATACTTTGAAGGCGCACCTTACATAAGCTGGTTACCAGCGCAATTCAGTATTCGTCACTATGTCATATTATGGATTTGTTATTGTGACTGGTTCGCCACGGGGGGGGGGGGGGGGGCTCCGAATCTCAAAATGCAGACAAGAATTAAGAATTTTGGCATAAATACTTGAAGGAGCAACCTTTATAAACCCAAAAATAACAAAATCTCAAAATCGCCAAAATGATCGATTCGCCGGTATGTCAGCTCTGCGACGAATATCATCCCCCTGCCATTTAAAAATTTTGAATTGAACAAAAATATATCATTTTGCCTTCAGAGCGCCACGTGTGCAGAGCCACCGTCAGCCACCGAACGTCTGATATATCCTTACGTGCAAATTGTATGCGATCCAGCGCGTCAGTCAATCCGAGTTGACTTTAATTTAAAACTGCGACTTCGTTTCAATCAGAAATGTGGACTGAGCTGTTGTTTCTTCAACTAGGATGCCAAGTTTTTGTAGTACAACAACGGGCTACCGAGGACCCAATATAGAAGGCGCCTGCCGAATGGTCAGAATCTCGAGGGTCAAGACGCAGTCGTGTTTTGCATAATCAATCTCCGATCTGCTCGCATTATCATAGACCCTCGCTGTGCAAGGGTATATTCCATCGACTATCAGTGCCCTCCCTCCCTGAGAAGTTTCAGCACCCCTTGAAGCTTGGTGACCCCCGGAAGTTTAACCCTAGTTACGCCAATGACTGGCAGTCATAATACCCCTTGCATAATGCGCCCCCACCAAGGAAAGGTTTTGTTATTTAAACGCACTCTAAAAACTGTGTTTAGCAATTAAACACAATCTTGCTATCACTTTGTAAACATGTTTAGGAGCTAAACATCACGTGTCCAATTCCTAAACATCAATGTTCAATGGCTAAACACTAGCCATCCTCACCCTAAACAAGTTTAGTATTTAAACATGTTTACAAACTGATAGCAAGAAAGTGTTTAAAAAAGTGTTTAATTATTGCTAAACACAGTTTTTGCAGTGCGCTTAGACAATTAAACTACAAAGTCTCTACTCATTCGTACACAAAGGAACTAAGACCTGCCTCTGGTGCAAAGCCGGATGCACGGGGTCTATGGCGTCCATTGCTCACACGATCAGAAAAACAAAACCTGTGCCCTTCATATATCGCATCAGTTCTACAGACTGAAGCCCTGCCGTGACCCAGGACCCAGTCTCGACACTTTTATCGTCGCGGCCTGAAGTTTGAATAATTTGAAAACCATTATGTGCTGCGACAACTACAAACAAATGAGAATATTACTTCACACACAGATCCAAGGGGGGGATAACATTGGTTGGACGAACACCTCCGAATGACCAGTGTTAATATACACAATGGGAAAAACATCCAAACTCAATATTGAAATTCATCTTTGCTTTTTTATTATGCGTTGCTTCACCACTCCACATCTTGAAAAAACCATGGACTCTAAGTTTCAATGAGTGAAACAAGGGACTAAACGATTGATTAGCGCCACTGATTTTGTTACTCGAGTCGAGTCGAGTCATTTTCTCGCAGCGACTCGAGTCGAGTCAATCACTCGTTGGGACTCGACCCCACTCAGACACCAAGACATTTTTTAAAATAACAATTAGTGCATCAGTAGCAATGTGCTGCATTACTATGTCCGTCTGTCCGCAACAATCGGACATAAACAAAATCTGACGGGACTGACCACCCCCCCTGCAAAATTTCTGGATCCGCCCCTGAATTGCGATTGAACGAATTTCACTCTAAATCGTCTGGTCCTATAAGGCGTCATCTGTTGGGAGTATATCTTCACTCGAATAGAATCATAGGAGAGAACACCCAAGCCACCCTCTTCTGGAACATTCTGGATTCGCCGTTAATCCAAGTAGCCCATGCAGGAGGGCTGATGGGATCACCGCCTTGCAACAATTCATCCACAAGTGACAATTCATTAGATCCAACGTGAATGTTATGAAAATAAAATCGTCAAATTCATTGAAAACATGAAATCGACTTATCAAATCTCATTGTAGATTCCGAATTAAGTGAACGTTAAGAGAAATTTGCTTGTCTCAATGAAAATTATCCCCACTTTTAAAAACTACCAGTTAGTCACAAGAGTAAACGGGACGAAAATGAAGAGGAAAAAGGAACTTGCATTTGTCGACGTTCATTTGAATATAGAGCTTGGCACTTTGTGACTTGTGATAACGTATGAGTTTGATATCTCAATCAGAATTATTTACCTTTTGGGTTTTTTACGAGTAAATTGTGTAAGTGCTCTAGAAGGAATGATATATACTAATCATGTAATTGTAAAAAATATGTGCAATTTGCACGGTTATTATTTTTAAAACCCTGCTTTTTTAACTTCATGAAATGGGCTACAAGTTTCAACAATTAAACAGTGTGTCCTTTTAAATGCATGAGAATATATAATACGATTCCAAAGCAAAAACCTCCATGGTATAATTTGGTTTACAAAATCTATGGGTAGGTTGTTTTTGCAATGAAAAGGGAAAAAAATATTGCAAGACATTTTCCATTGGACGAGACTCAGCCTGATTTGAAGTTTATCAGGGTCATTATCATTTTTAAACCACGAACATCACCATGCTCCTCCTCGGCATCCCGACTTGACCGCACTGCTCAATGTATGCACTGCAGCTCACTGTCGGGCGTAAGTTGGAGATTGCATGCACTAAGTATCGGCTGAACGATGCGGGATGCGTCACGAAGGAGCAGTCACGGGGAGGCGGGTCTGAACGGCGGTCGAGGCTGATGTGACGGGGGGAGTACGTGCGGCAAAACACGGTGGAGATGAGGGTGCGTTATTACGGCACCAAGAAGTTGGCTTCCGACTTGGAGCTTGCATCTCGAGTTACAGTTTGTTGGTTCTGAAGAGACAAGGATTTTGGAAGTCGTGGTGAGGCATCCAGAACGACTACATGCAAATTCATCTTGCATTGATTCTCAAGTTATCAGAGGAACATCATTGAGGCAGTCTGTGACATCTTTGAGGAAAGGAAGGACATCTGACAAGCAAAACACTGTCTTATCACAACGGATGAGTGTAGTCAGACAGGCACACAGACTGACAGAAATGCTCGTCAGGATTCAACCGACTGATGACGCTAACTGCAGCTGAAGAGTTGTCGGATAGTCGCAAGTTGCCACGCCAAGAAATGGACAGCAAAAAAAATGTATTATAAAACACAAAATGATTCTTTTTGAGTTGTAATTTACGCAAACTAATACGTGGAAACTGATCGTATGGCTTGCCAAAGTTTTGCAGTTTAAAGTGCTTCTAAACAAAAACAACTCACAAAATTCAAGAAGTAGCCATTTCAAGATGCAAACTATCAACTAGCCATAAAAAAGATCTCCAGTCACTTCTTAAAGCTTGTTCATTTCTTGAAAAAAATACCCAACAGGCTGTAAGAAACTTAATATCATCAGCAACATATGTTTTCTTAGAAATCCACAAAAAGACAAGCGAGTCAATGAAACGACCTGCTCAAATTCTCAGCAACAACAACATTCCATTTTTCTTTACAAAGCCAACTAACGTCAAAACGTCAATGAGGAGTTGAGAGGGATCCGCTCTGCATGCTGTACTGTCATTCCATGCTTGTAGAATATAGAAAATTGGACACAGTGAAAAATGAGTGGTTAAGAGTTTACAAAACAATGAGTAGTCGGCCTGTCATCAGTCCTTTCGAGCAACAAAATCCACTTTGAAAGTCGTCCGAAACCTCCTCGAGTCTGTGTAGTAGATTCTAAAATTTTAGAACTGCTCGGAAATTTAACACAGATTTGACTGTGACGCCAACCCATTAAAATAAACTTATTCAACAATACATCGTTGGAAGAAACCAATCATCAACACAAGTACTTCGGAAAGCATCTGGCAAGCTTCTGCCCTTCCTTCACCTGCGGTGCTGTCAGCGTTGGAGTGCAAACCATGCACCGGTCCACGAGCAAGGCATCGAAGCAGAGACGGGAGCTGATCAAGACGGAGATTGACCGGCTGAGGGAACTACTTCCCTTACCCAACGCCGTGAAAGCTCGCCTGTCCTTCCTGCACGTCATGTCCCTGGGCTGCGTCTATGTCCGTAAGGGCCATTACTTCAATCAAGGCAAGTTTTGTGTAGTTTTCAAGCCCGTAACGCAGACTATAGGGCACATCCAGGTTTGTGGTGGGGGGGGGGGGGGGGGGGGGGTGACCTGATACTTGTCAGGGAAAAAAAAGACACTTCTCTTGATCATTTATCGGTTATTTAAGACCGGTAACATTTTTAAAGTATCTTGAAAAGTATCGGGACTTTTTAGAGGGTTAAATCGGCATTTTTATCTGAAAAAGTGGCCTCATTTGTTTCGTTTTAGAAAACGGTTACAATCGGGCCGAGTTTATCACTAGTATTGGTAATGAGGTGCCCACGCGTTTATTTTCTCTAGAGGCCCTGTATTTTCTAAAAAGAGGCAAAAACATCCCCATTTGCAGTGGCGGCTCTGCGGGGGGGGGGGCTTGGCTTTAGCCGACGTACATGCAACCGGTCTCCCCTAGATAAATAGTCGTGAGAAGGGTGCATTTGTACACTTTTAGTTGATATAGTGTGCCTGATTGTAGGATTTTATCAGCGATTTTATCAATCTATTGATTTTCGGAGGCCTAAGTGTCCGGAGAAAATAACCGGTCTACATTTCAGCACTCCTACCTGAAAAAAATTCTGGATCCACCCTGCTAGCCCCCCAAAAATATTGGCTTTAAAACTGCGCCTGCCCATTAGTTGTCCACTGTCCAGTTATATTTTCATCTTTGTCAAAATAAAATTGTGGAGTCTGTATGCGCATGAGGTAAATCAATGCCCAAGATGTCTTACAGTTGTGAAATTGACCGAACGCGTTTTAGTTAATATTAGGTCAATTTGTACTCAGAAAGATCCAGTTTTCGTGAGTTGCCGTGCAACTACGAGAAAAGACGTCAATCCAAAACGGCTTTATAGTTTCTTTTAAATCTTCCCAGTGAGTGCGCGTAATTATGAGATGCGAATGCATAAAACATTTTCCGACCCATACTATTTTTTTTTTTTATCCCATATTCCCATAACATTTTGTGAAAGCATAGCTGAAATGCACTGTTGACAATTAAAGTATATTTTCCCTTATAACTTGGCACAGAAAGGGGCGGATCCTGAACCAAATTTTCGGGGGGGGGGCAGAGGTTCGAGTATTTTTTTCTTCAAAAACGGGAAGAGAATTAATTATATAGTATCGTGCACTATTTCCAAATTGTAATATTAAAACTAAAAGGCACGTGTAGCTGATGGCTTACGATGGAAATACTCAACGTTTAAATTTAAAAATATGTATTTCCTGAATATTAGAAGAAAATCACAATGAATTTTTTTTTTAACGAATGAATGTATTGCTTGGTACGCTAGTGCGAGGCGATCTTATTGAAAGCCACTAATGGCTTATATAAAACGTACTGCCCGTGTTCCTTAACTTATTCATTGTTTCTTCAAGATGAATTGTCAGCATGTATGTTTTATTTTTTGTTCCCAAGTTAGGCATCTGAACCCCCCCCCCCCCGACAAAAAAAAGTGTTTTTATTTCAGTTGCTTTTGCATATAAACACATCCTTTCTGAACGGTTCCCGGTCCATACATGGATCGGTACGGATAAGAGGCGGGAACAAGTCTACCCTGCGGGACCAACTTTAACTGTCGACCGCAAATTATTCGACATTAATTTATCTAAGTGAATATTTCAAAACTAAAAAAAAAGTTCTATGGCACGCTAGCACGGTAGCACCCCCAAAAAACTCAGTCGGGTTAATATGAGAAAATCTTCAATGTGTTAGTTTGCAATACATATAATTTTGGAGGTGAAACCCCCCCCCTTTTTTGTTCTACAAGATCCTGGGCCACCTTCAAATAACACACCTCGTTTTCTACTGCGCGTCTTTTTTATTTAACGCCTCATCTTATGAGGCTAATAAACTTAAAGTCTTGAAAAGTGTTCATTTGTCCATTCCGAGGTAAATGCATAAGATGAAGCAACACAAAAGTGGTGGCAGTTAGTTTAAACCCGAATTGATCGAATGTAAATAAAATCGAAATATCGAGAATAGCTGGGCAGGACAGGTTAACGTACTTTATAAGAATGACCAATCAGCGTGAAGGATTCTGCAACTGTCAATACTGAAATATGACTGGTTTAGAAACGTCACGTGTCAGGTTCCTTAAACCAATAATGACTCGTATTTGCGCAACAGAGTATACCATACCATTTGACGTTGTATCTTTGGGTGAATATAAAGCATGAGATAAGGTGGGCAGATAGTTCTGTATATCGTAGAAAATGTCTACAGAGGCCCCTGGAAATCATATAAAAATAGCAAAAGCAACCTTAGGCAGGAATGTCAAGACCTTTATAAAACCTCCACTTTATAAATTATTACAAATACCATTATTTACTGAGGAATCGTTAACTGTATATTAAAAAAACATCTCAGAATAAACACAAATTCTACATAGAACAAGGACAAAACACAAACAAAACAAAGGAAAATTTAATTGAATAAACAATGTATGTAAATGCGAAAGGGGAATATTACCAGAGTCAATGGGAGATTTATAAACAAAGTAAATGAAATACTGAACTGAAATTAACTAAAGCCAAATGAATATCAGTAAGCATGAATGACTAATGGCTTAGGACAAAACATGTAAGTGGAGTTGGTCAACAGAAGGATCCCATGAACAAACACACGACATAAGGAGTAAGGAGGGAAACCGTCTTTCATGTATTTTGCTTGGAATTTTTGCCAACTCCACGAAAGTGGCTTCTCTTCGATTCAATCAGAAAAAAAATCTCGTGTTATCTCGTGTGACATGAGGTGCATCAATGATGCCACTTTGTGAATGTTGCAGTATCATTCGGGAGGACGGAAGCCCGGACGGGACACCACTTCCGAAAGTAAAATAGGGGATCAACTGCATGACTGAATCACTCAAAGTAAATACAAGGAAACAGCCTCTCTATATATATTTTAATTGAATGTTCTTCTTGTTCTCAAATATAGATCAAGATGTGGTGCCACCTGTGCCCATCTGGGATGACACCTCACCGTTCGATTTCACACAGGTAAGCTAATGAATATTGAACCAAATTCATAAATTTGACCCAATTGACGCGTTTTAATCCCAAAATACACAGCTCACTATTGAAGGCAAATTTAGGCCAGAGACAATGACAAAGCGAAAGTAAACCAACTTCATCAAACTAAAGCATTTTGAAAAAAAACCTTTACCAATCAGATTCGGCCAAACATTTAAAACGACTTACCAATTTCCCAATCGAAAAGTGTGTAGACTCAGAAAAAGCTGTAAAGTAAGTCAGTAAATTGAAGTAACCATACTTTTTTTCAAATTAAATAAAAACCTCTTACTTTTGTGTTTGAATGAAATTCAGAATTTTCGAAATACAAAATCATAAACTACACTATAAAAGGACCAATCGGCCCCTTGTCTCTCTGATCCTCCGAAATTCAGTCTTTTGATTTATTTTTAAAAGTAAAAAAAAATTTAAAGAGCCAAACGTTTTGATCTTAGCAAGATATTTTTCGAAGGCAAAGATCGTAGCAGGATTGTATACCTTTGACAAAGTATTTTGTAAACGTAATAGTATGAAGGTCGACACAACATCCTCAGCCTGAAAAGCTCCTTTAAAAGTTTACGTGCCCCCAGACCACCTCGTCGACAAACCTGCGTATCCGCCTGTGAGACACGTAATATAATTGATTGTATCATTAATGAAACCGAACAGACTTAAGGCCCCAGCTCATCTCGCTACGTTCGTCACGCACTGCTTCCGCCATCATGTTTCCACAAGCTCCGTGCAGCCTCAGGCTGTAAGAAGAGAGAGAGAAAAAAAATCGGTAAAAAATCCTTTTCATTATCGTCGTCATCTACGGGATGGGTACGTCGGAGTTTTGATGCCAGCGGTGGTGAATCGGCCGTCACGGGCCAGTGCTCGTTCCGTTCCGTCCCCCCTCCTCCCCCCGTTTCACTAGTTTTGCCGCTGCCTGCTTGTACGTCTGGGGAAAGAAACAGATTGTTGCGGTTTAGGGATGTTATAGTCTCACCGCCCGGACGACGCAAATTCCCGTCTAGCTTGTTAGGATGAGTTAAGAGGCATTCGGGATATTATCATTTCGATGAATTCATTTCCCTAATGAAATTGAACACTGGAGACATGTGGATGATGGAAAGCGCGCTATTGTGCCAGGACATCCTGCTGTGGATTTTTTTTATGCATTTATGAGAGTCGGGTATTTTGGGTAACTCGAGCTTTTTGGATCAGCGTTGGCCATAAAAGGAAAACCAGTCATGAAAAAAAACCCTCACTTTTTACCGTACGTTGGACACCATCTGCGTCACCCGTTGTCGTTTTTACACTAATTCAGTGTGGCACCAAATGCATATTACCGTCTCCTATAACGTCTGTCCAGACTGCTCATTTTCAGAATACCATGAATAAAACATCAATGGTATTTATTTTGTGTAGTTTTATACTTATTTTTGCGAACAGAACGTAAATGGGAGGACACGTGGGCATGACTTAGAAACCCCGACGGATGTTCCTGTATCCACCGTGGCGCGTCCCTGAACTTGGCGCTCTTTGATTGTTCTCTATGTCTGGGCAAGAGGAATTATAACACGCCCGAATATATACAGGGTGGCTTAAAAAGATGGAAACCCACTTTTGACAACAATTTTCACCTACTATTTGAACATACTTCAAAAATTCAATTTAAGGGTATTATAGATATTAAAAACAAAGATCTTTAAAGGGAAGATACAACATTTGCAAACATCAAAAAACCGAAATGATCACATTATCACAAAATACCTTACTGGATTGTTAGGGAATGAAAGTCTTAAGCATCCTGTAAAATCGTAGCTCCTAGTGTGCAGACATTTTCAAGAAAAATTGTTTTTTTCCAACGCTGATCGGCCGATCAGCGTTGGAGAAAACTGGCTATTTTAAAAAAAGTGCTCCTAATTTTTCAACTTAGTCAGTCCGCATTTTCTTTACAATTGATTACACACCTGTGAAGGAGTAAAAGCCTACTATACTGATTCTCTGACCTTACACGTCCACAAAGTCTATAAAATGCTCCGTTTCATCTTACATGTAAGTGGGGTCAGGGAACCAGACTATACAAGAATACGATCGGTTTTCTTGGTTTTTCCAGCATCTACAAGCCCAAAAAGTGAAACTATTCCGTTTAACAATATTTCATATAACATACTAATCATCCAAATCCATTTATTTCTGAAAATTGCATGAAAAGCAAATGTTGTACACTCCCTTTAAACATAAGTGACGAAAAACTGATTGCAAAGGCGTATTTTGTCTCTGAGATAAAAATTTAAAAATGTCACGTGCCAATCCTGTTTGTCCACGGACGGCTTTATTCTATCCACGTGACTGAGCTCCGGAGCTTGATTTGAAGACAAAAAACATAGACTTACACATGGACAACAGTGATTTTGGTGACTTGTAGTCAAATTAGAATAATGACACTATTCTTGCGAGTTTTTTCACCACAAAAAAAAACAGTTCAAATATAGGTTTTCCCGGCCAATTTCCTGAAACGTTCATTCACTTCTGCAAATCGGTCATTCGTTTTCGTCTGAATTTGAATGCACGTCTTTGATCCCATTTCAATTCAACGAAAGTTTTATGTTTTCATTGTCCGTGCATTCGGTTTTGAGAAACAGACGGCCAATTACGTTACTGTGCATTTATTTTCGCAAACATACCTCTTCTAAATTGATTTTAGGTACAGCTAATTTGATTGACGGTTAATAAAGAAGAAACCCCTAATTGTATCTGGTGCCGATGGCATTAAACTAAAAGTGAAATAAAATTGTGAATGTTTGAAATCGCCCTCTAAAAGCGAAAAAGAAGTCTTGTAAACGAATCTGAATGGATATAAATGAAAGGTGCTGCTCAATCACTTGATTGATTGAACTGAAATGGAATCGAATGCTCTGGTAGCAAAAATGAAACGCGTGTTCAGAGCGATTCTCAAATTCGGACGAAAATGAATGACCGGTTTTCAGAAGCGAATGAACATTTTAGGAAATTGGCCGGAAAAACCTATATATTAAGTAAGTTGGTTAAAATGTCCAAAGTGGGTTTCCTTCTTTTTGCACCATCCTGTAAAAAAAAAGTACTTTTTTAAAAATAAAACATACAGTTTATCTTTTAAAGTAAACAAAAATGTCTTTTGAGAAATATTCTGCTAGCATGTAAACGTCACGCCCTCTGGGATCTCTTTAAAAAAAGAAAGCCATTCGAATGACAGTGCTGGCCCAGAAGAGCCAGCTTAGTCTGAATGTCACCATCCTGGTTTCAAGCCGGTGAAGTAAGTCGAGCGGTGCTGTTGTCTAGGATTACCCCGTAACACCAATGAATGGGCCAAAGCCGGTGTCATATGAAAATCGGACTCGTATGAAAATCGGACTCTTTTTCCCTTTTATTGGTTAAACCCTCTCACGTGACCGGTCCCTCTCCTAATTATCTATGCATGAGCATGCGTAAAACCACCAAGGAGTCCGTATTTCATAAAACCTAAATTCATGCTACACCGGCTCCTTGTGTAGACACGATGCATGAAACTTCTTCCAGTGAGCCATCGGAATCAAAGATTAAAATATTGTGAGCTCTGGGAACAGCTTTACTAGTCTTGTCTAGTCTTTTTTCCAGCTGTCATTTTGTTAACCTAATCTGTGATACAAGCTTCGTTACGTAAATATTGTTTAAAGAACGCCCCCACTTGAAAGTTACACTACAAGTGCTTTTCTATGCTTCAATAACGAAGTTTTGATCAGGTCCCACAACAATAAAAACACGTGTTTTTGAAGAAGCGTTTCGAAAAGAAACATTTGAGACTTGACTAAAGACTAGCACTTTAGGCCCGATTTTGGTGAATAAAAATGTTGTACCCCAAAATTCCTTTGCATGAAAATATTGCACACAAAAACACATTTTAAGGTATATGATGTGTGCAAGTTTATTGTCTACTTCAATTATCTTTCCAACTGTTATTTCGTAGGAAACGCGTTTTAGAGCCCCCAAAAGGCGCATACCGGTCGGAAGTGCCCCTTCAAGTAGTAAAGAAATCAAAAAGGGATATCTCGACATCAATTCCCAGATATCTTCAAATTAAGTTCAAGGTTATTTTATATCAAATTCAAGATATCTTGAAATCAACTTCAAGATTATGATTCCAAGGTATCTCTTAATAATTTTGAGATATCACTAAATGTAATTCAAGATAGCTCTTAATGCATTTAACGACATCGTTGATATGAAAAGACGTCACTTATACGCGCCATGCAATAACAGAAAAAAAAGTCTAAATGCATTATTGTGTGAGGAAAGCGGGAAAAACACTGGATGGATTTCATAAGCGTCTTCACAATATGGTTCTAGTTTTGACAGCATACGGTAACGTTATAGCGAGAGGTAGTACGCGCGCAGAGACGGTCAACCGTACGGTATTAACTCGATCCACGGAGTAAAGTATCAGTCTATGACCGCACCGCCCTAGCTTTGAAGAAATCAAAAACTCCTTAGTCTTTCCCCTGCCTCCTTCAGGAAGTTTCAAATGACGCTAAATCTCCTAATAATCTGATCTCCCGATGCAACTTTGATGTCTATAATTACCCTAGCGGCCCTATTATTTTCCACCCACCCGACACGGCCCGGCTATATACCGCATTATACCCCATGGGCATCCGAGAGCTGCACATGATCATGCCATCCAGGAAGATCTTCGTCAAAATAGATAAGAAGAAAAAAAATAAAGGACAGTCACAGAGAAAAGGAAACCTGGATAGGTTACTATCTACGGATCTGAAAGGGAATCATAAATGCTACGCATGAACGAGATTTCCCCTGAGGTATTACACTCGATTAATTCGATTTAATTTGTGGGAGTAGAGTAGTGTTCCCGTCCTCCTGTACTGTAGGGATTGCGGGCTCAAGGCATAGAGAGTGCGTATGGCAGACACGGATACAAGGCCCGAACCAGACCGGTCTTGATGATTATTGGCAAACTGATCATACATAGAGGCAGAGAGGGTCCGGCCCAGGGAGAAACGAGGGGAGGGAGAAACCAATTTTACGTGCGGAACAAAGTACGGGAGGGTATTAGCGTGAGACGCGGTCATCAATCATGCCCGCAATCCCGCGCCGATCCTCGGCCGCTGCCGACCGGCAGGCCTCGCTGGGGCCCCGCGACCGACGCGGCGCATAGATGCGGAGTTATTGCCATGAGTGAAATGAGTGATCTCTCAAAGTTTGCGGAATTAAAACCTCAGTGCTCAGCGGAGCAGTGATTTCATTTAAAGCTGGCCTCATATTCCGCTGATGGATCCTTACGCTTTTTACCAGCAGATGATTTTTGAGAAACAATAATTGTTTTATTATTTGAAAACAACTGACTTATCACAGCTTGGTTAACTAAAACAAAAAGCACCACGTTTACTATTAAAAGCATATGGGATCATTGCTTTCCATGTATTTAGTTTGTTTCCAATAATAACACCACTCAAAATCCCAAGACTGTAAAAAAAAACTTACCTGTTGAAGTTTCAGCTCAGTGAATGGTGCGCTTTTCGCGAAAACAGTAAAAAGAAACCTTTTGATCACGAAACCCGATTTTGTCAATAGTACCCTTTGTTCCAAAAATCAGTCAATTAATCATTGACAATTATCAACATTTCGTGATTTCGCTGGACGGAATAATTTCACTATAGGTTTTTACAGTTCAGTATCAGTACGATCTTTAATCTAACATAGCTTTTTGATAATTGTTCAATAGGGACATGCATTTGTCGACAATTGTAATAATTTGCAGTTACGTGAATGCATGGACGGTCATTCTCATATTCAATTACTTGTATAATTTATTCTTTGAAGGGTTGATTTCAATTTTTAGCAGTGGGCGCGATTTCTGTGAATAGTTGGCACTCATGTTAAATTCCATTGTACCAGAAGTAACATTATTAGAACATTATTAGAACTGCACTTCAAAATTACATCTTTTGCTAGCGCCAGTTCTCTTGCAAAAGTCTAATTTTAAGGGCAAATCCACAACCAAATATTGGGGGGAGGGGCAAGGGACTCAGCCGCTGAAAATTGGAAAAGCGGGGGGGGGGGGGGGGTTGACCTCATTTGACGCTACGAGCGCTGTTCCCCCTTTTAATCTATCTTTTTATTCATATTTCATTAATCAGTAGCGCGAGGGGGGATGAGTACATTTTTTTAACCTGTCGTCTTCAGTCGTCTCTTGTTTCATTACTTTGAAAAATTGGTCCTTCTTTTTTTTTGGGTAGGGGGGGGGGGTTGTTGGGATGGGGGTTGCCCCCGTTGCGTCTCCCTCTCCCCAGATCTGGCTTTACTCATTTCCAACCGAATGTAGTTCCAGAAAAGGATTCAGGACGAGGTGTGTACAGGCAGCGAATCCGGGCACCGACAGTAAGAAACAACGCATAGTTTTCATGGACAAAATCTGGGAGCTTCCACGCGTAGATTTCATTTTGTTTCTGAGATGACCTCCCCGAATTGACAAGCATAATTAACTACAATTCATTCCTTTATTTGATCAAACTGGTTTTAGGTAAGAAAGTCAACTCACCTGAATTATCAGAGAGATAGGTACAGGGGACACGAGGCTGCCCCTCTGCAGGACCAACAAACAAATAAAAGACATTGAGACAAAGGGGAGGGGTGGTGGTGATAATTGAGGGGGGGGGGGGTGGTAGAGCACTGCTGAGCTGAATCTGTTTTCGGGAGTTGTTATATTTTGACTGATAATAATAACATGGTGTATTTTTTTGTCCGTGTTTTTAGGCATTACACGGGTTTCTCTTGGTCATGACAAGGGAGGGAAAACTCCTCTACATATCGGAAAACGTCACTGATTATCTCGGTCACTCCATGGTAAGACAAATGTTTTTAGTTGCTTTCATATTTGTATTGTTATCCACATAAACATTTCTCAAACCTATAGTATACACAACAATGTTCACATTTTAAACTTGTCTGCCTGTCATTACAATTGGCCAAAAATGTTATGACGTCGTGCGTGTGCTTTTAGTTTCCTATGGGAGCCAGGTGGTGACGAGACCCACCTATAAGAAAGCGTACATGTAAATAAAGCGGACGTCATTATGTGTCAGGTCCGATTTTGGCTAATTGTTGCTCATACTAGGTCAAAATATCAAACACCTATTATAGGGCAAATTCTCCTCAAAAATGTTGATACATTAGACCTACTCGCATCAACCAAAAACCTAGGTGATATACTTTACTCAATTAATGTCGGGTAGATTATCAATGCCCGCTTTTTTAAACAGTGTGATCCCTGATCAGAAGCAAAATCGGATATAGAAATTCTTGTTAACGATGGCAAAATCACCTTCACGTTTTTAATTGATGCATACAAAAACCTGCAGCATGTTGAACATTCGTCTTGAATGTTTTTTTGTTGTTTTTTTGCTTCGGGCACAGGTGGAGCTTCTGTCAACAGGTGGCGATTTGTACGAAGTAATCGATCCCAGAGATCACGCTGTCGTCCGGGGACAAATGGCCGTCGGTTCCAGCTGTGGCGGTGCCGAAGCCGAATATCAGCCGGGTGAGCGATCATTTCGTTCGGTATCGAAAACAGCGTGTCGATTCTCAAAAATTGTGTGTTTTGTCACCGTTTAAATTTGGTATTCTATGGAATAGGCTGGTGCCAGATGGCCTGTCTAGTGTCTTCTTTGTGACTTTGTATATAGTACTGACTGACTCTCACTGACTGACTGACTGACTTCCGCTTCAGAGCCGGGCAGAGCTATCGTATAGGAGTACCTTGTCATGCCAACGAATGGGCTAGATGCGGCCCATTGTGTAGACCATAGTTAAGAGACTTCCAGTGAAAAGCCATTCTAAATCAATTTAGTCAGGGTTTGACCTTTACTTTTTTTCACTAGCCAGCCGGGATACTGAAACAGACTCTTAACTAGCCCGCGGGCATTTTCACTAGTCCGCATGTTTTTTTTCTTTTATCATAGTGTCCCATAAACAACAATAATGTGCAATCATGTAAAACGTGTATCCTGAAGCAATCTTGTCAGTGTTTCTAATAAACAGATCAAATAATTTAACCCTAAACAGTTAGTAAAATTAGACACAAATAATTGATACAGGTTCGCTTTCTGAATTTAATGATTTATTTCTTCCTGTTCTTTCATCTTTGCTGTGTAGTCCAATATTGTTGGACTCGCACACCAGCCGGGCTACTTATAATAAGGAATAGTTTGACTAGCCCGCCGCTGTTTTGGCTGGGGTCCGCTCATAAGTCCCACGCCTCATAGGTCCGAGGTCCGACGCCTCGCACGCTTCTTTTTTCCGACGTCGGACTTAAAGCTATAGTCCATCATTTGTAATTAGTGCATTTTGTTCGTTTGAAGCAACAAAAGTGTTCAAAATCTAATGAAGGGTGCTGAACAACTTACTTGATGAAGTTTCAGCTCAGCTTCAGCTTCATATTCCGAGAAAAACAGCATTCTAGGATCTCAATTTTAAATCAAAAGTTGCTAAATCATGTTTCGAATTGTTTTGAATTGCAGCTTTACGCGATGTTGCGCACTGATCCAACGAATTATAACAACCTCGCGCGCCTGTGCGTCGTTCCAATGCTTGTGCGCGCTGCGCCGAATAACAAAACGAACAACTAATTTAAATTTTCCTACGGTGCCTCTTAAGAAGCACTGTTGGAAATGCCTTCTTTAGTTGATTTCTTCAAAATGAGAGCTTGCCAGAAAGGATATAATTTCACAGGGAGTTTAGTCCCCTTACTATCTTTCAACCAGTATGTTTTTCAACAATAATTACGCCGGTTACTTTTTTGGATAGCTGCTAATGATGGACTCGGGCTTTAAGAGTTTTTTCCGACGTTGACTTATGAGGCGTCGGACCTATGAGGCAGAATAAATACATTTTATGCAGCATAAGTCCGACGCTTCATATGAGGCATCGGACCTATGACCCGGCCCCATTTGGCTAGCGGGCTACCGCTAAAGTCGAACCATGTTAGTAGTATTCTGTCCGCTCTCGGACCCCTTTTACAGTCGGCTTGCCTAGAACATGTAGTATAACAGGTTGGCCAGCAAAATGTCTTTTTAACTGTTGGCATTTTGTTTTCTCACCAGAAGTCTTTTGCAAAAGTTATAAAAAAAGAAAGAACACTAAAAAAAACTTACAAGCAAGGCCTGAATTTATGTGCGTCATATTTCAGCAGTGTCACTTTTCCCGGTTCAAAGATAAAAAGAGGTACACCCAAATCGTTTCTATACTTCAAGTCATTCTGATGTGATGCAACAAGTATCGGCCTAAGGTTTGAATTTGCCCTGCAAATCTTTCGGTCGGTATTCCATAAAGCGAAGGCCCTAAGTCGGCTACAATGCTTTCGCGTCATTTTGGTTGATAGATAATGGAATTGTACTTTCATTAACTGCGGAAGACCAGAAAAGATGATTCCGCTTCAAGCGCCCACGGGCAATTTCGTGGTTGACTCCCGACCTTTAACGTCCCTTTCTTTTATCCGTTATACCCCAAACCGCTTGCCAAATACATCCATGATTAAACACAAAAAGACTGCGGCTAATTAATAGCTATATTGCCCGCAATTCTTCATTCAATCTGCGTTCTTTTCCTTCTTTTTCTTTTTTTAATTATTGGGGGAAGCCAATTCGCTGTGATTAGTGGTTTTTATCACCGGGCTTAGAGAAAAGATGATGGTTTGGACCCAGGACTATATCCACAATAAGCGATGCTGTCACGACATCTAAGGCCCCGCTTCACGAAGGGACTTTCCCTTTTTCTGCCCTCTCCTGATCCAAATATTTGCACGTCGACTGATCGCGCGCGAATTCATTCTTTGTGGCCCACAAGAGCCACACGGGTTTGTGGGCGCGTTTTCTTATCCGTAATCCCTTGCGTCCTAAGGGAGAATGAACGTGTGGAATTTCGGGTTTTTCAGACCATCGGTGGCATCGAGTCGGAGATAGTGTTTGCGGATCTTCCGTCTCCTTACTCTGGCCGTGTAGCCGTTTATGGGTTTGCCAACAAACGGGTGGCGAGACTGCTTTTTAGTCCACCAGATGGCCGCAGTACACGGCGAAGGGATGCGACAAATTTACGCCACTTGCCGGCGATGGTCGGGCTTAGACCGTCTAATCGCTAGTGCCCGGGCCAATTAAGTGCCGATTTAGTTGTGAAGAATGGAAAACAAATAGCGGCGCTATGTCACAAAGACAGACCCGGATACAGCCATTACCAGGAAATGTTACAGGGGAGTCTTCATTATGTCAGGCAGATACAAGATACAATAGACTGGGTTCTTCTGAAGTGTGGGCTTCAGTTAAAATATCACAGCCACACTCATTCTTCAGAAACGAAACAGCCGTTGGCTAACCAAATGCGTCCTATAATACAGTGAACTTACGATTATCAGAAAATAGATTCAACTGCTATTTGCAATCTGCGCAAATAATAGTATCATGTTCGGAGACATGAAGTTTGTCCTGTAGGTGTTTTGGCAATTGATAGGTTGGAAAAACGGTCATCTCGTAATTACAAATATTATCTTGGATATTGATACAGTTAAGAGGATTGAGCAGGATTATAGGCGGATCGGTTGCCTTTCAATCCCTGCCTTGAAGCGATTTAGGGCAAATCAAAAAAGGAGAGCGATTTTTTTTTAATCACACCGTGGACAGATTTGGGACGCAGTTCATTCCGGGTTCCTTTGGCGTCTGATGGGTGATTTATCATGTTAGGACAATTTAATTATGGATAATTGGGTTGGGGACACATGCAACAACACGCACCAACACCCCCAATGCGCAAAGCCTGTCCGAGTGCATTATGTTTTTGGTTTCAGAGAATTGTGTTCTTTTGTCGATGTTGTCTGACTTCGACAAAATATTTCTGATTTTTCGAATGACATTCTGGCCACAGAGAGAGTTTTTCATGTTTTTATGTTGTTTTCTGTGGTTAAAGAGACGAAATATACACAATCGCATGCAGTCCTTACCTGCAGCTGTGAAGCAGGAGTCATTATTTCAAAATTATAGCACTTCCGAAATGCAGGCAAGAACAGTCTTTGTCATAGGACCGATAGTTACATTTTTTTCGACGGGACATTTTTATATAATTATTGGCATGGCACTAGTTACACGTCAGTGCATGTCAGACGTGTGAATTGTCTTCCTCTTGCAACATGACACCTAACGGCTACTAGAGTTTCCAAAAATGGAAGAATTTTTCTCAAAGATACAGTTCAAATATGAAACACTTTTTCGGTATCACAAGCTCCATACTCACAGTGAGTTAGGCCTACTGACTGTAAAAGGAGGGGGTTTAGCCAAGTCAGTCATGTTAATTACGAATCATCAAGTCCAAAGTCATAAGTTATGAATTGTTGGAAAGGCATTCCTTTGTCTATGCTCATCCACTGTTAATTTTTGCCCGACTTATGATGTGACTTCACTGACTTGCGATTTGACTTGTCATTTGACTTGTCATTTGGCTTGTCTTTTGACCTGTCATTAATTTGTGATTTGACTTGTGAGTTGACTTGTGATTTGGCTTGTCGTTTGACTTGTCATTTGACCTGTCATTATTTTGTGATTTGACTTGTCATTTGGCTTGTCGTTTGACTTGTCATTTGACCTGTCACTATGTTATGATTTGAATTGTGATTTGACTTGTGATTTGTCTTGTCATTTGGCTTGTCATGTGACCTGTCACTATTTCGTGATTTGACTTGTGATTTGACTTGTGATTTGACTTGTCATTTGGCTTGTCTTTTGACCTGTCATTAATTTGTGATTTGACTTGTGAGTTGACTTGTGATTTGGCTTGTCGTTTGACTTGTCATTTGACCTGTCATTATTTGTGATTTGACTTGTCATTTGGCTTGTCGTTTGACTTGTCATTTGACCTGTCACTATTTTATGATTTGAATTGTGATTTGGCTTGTCGTTTGACTTGTCATTTGACATGTCACTTGACTCGCCCCTTGACTTATCATTTGGCTTGTCATTTGTTTTGTCATTTAACTTTTCATTTGACTTGTGATTTGACTTGTCAATTGACTTGTCATTTGACATGTCATTTGACTCGCCCTTTGACTTGTCATTTGACTTGACATTCGACATGAGGCGGACTTGACCACAACTTTGCGAAATATACGTTTGAAGGCCAGAGGACTGTACATTCCATGTTTTTTTTTGGTTTCCGGTTTCAGTAATTTTACAGAACTCAAAATTTAAATCATTATCGGGCATCTCATTACAACCCTTTGATTAAAGTCTTGCCGTATTTTGTAATCGACCACCGTAAACTTCACTTTGATATCTGCATTGATTTGCGTCATTTTCTTCCCTTAGATGACGAGAGAACATTATTGTATTATTATTATTATTATTTATTATCAAACCCTCGCGACCAGATGGCCGAATTGCGGTTTAATGTACAATAAAATGTTTTTAAAAAGTAAAAAAACAGTTAAAATCACAGTATTAAAAATATATACTTCATTATTATATATTTCATTATATACTTCAATATTATCAATATATACTTCATTATTATATGCCAAAGTTTGTTTAACTCATATTCTGAATTTATTGCATGTTTATAGCTCTACAGAGATGTATCGAGCACTGTGAATTGTGATAGAAGACGATTTCATTGGATATACTTCATTATTAGATATAAAAAATACCCCAAAATGGTAAAGACCCACCCCTGTAATATTCTATAGCAAAGCCCTACTCCTCAATAAAAACAAGTTAGCAGATTATAAGAAAATGAGCTTAAAAAAAGGTTTTATCAAGTAAAAATTCCACATACCAGTACACAACGGGATTATTGAAAGAAAAAAAAACAGTCACTGTAAAAGTAAAAAAAAAAACATGTGTGTTAATTTAGTAAGGTACGGGATAGAGCTTTTGCCGCACCTTTCAACTCGGACTTAAGGTTCAATCAAATGCCGTTTTTGCCGAAGTTCCATTGCATGAGTATAATTATTTTTTTTAGAAAACCAGCTCTAAAACGTTCAGAAACAACACAAGATTTGGCAAACTGTAAACAAAGGTCTTCCCTCCTGTGAGCCAAGGTCTAAACATTAAAATTTAGACAGTGAATTATCGTAGGATGAAAAATTATGGTCCAAATTGATTCTGGAGGCCCTTTTTTGTATTGCTAATTCGATACTTGAAGTTTGCATTGATTTGCGTCATTGTCTTTCCTTAGATGACGAGAGAACATTCTTCTGTCGTATGAACACATCGCGTAACATGCGGCGGAAGGACCACTGCACCGACAACAAGGTACAGCATTATTGATCATGCATGGATTGAGCTTGATGTCAAAATGTAGGACAATTTCACGGAAAAATCTGAAAATCACATGAAGATAATGTACTTATCAAATCTGAACATCAGCCAAAATGTAATGAGATGTACACGTGTTCTGCCTGTGACGAGTTTCAGAGTTTTTTTTCAGTGAGAAATCAAACGTTGAGTTATAGGCCAAATGGATCGCCATATAGCTGGGATACTCGAGAGATTAGATCTTATATTATGTATGTCGTATTAAAAAGAGTGCATTTTTTATGACGTCATGATGACGTACGGCTATCCGAATCCCGTTCACATCTGTATTTCCAAGATATTAAACTTCGGAAAAAAAGATGAATTTTTACAATTGAATTTTAATCCTTTCATTCCCTACACCAAATTAGAAATTGAAATGCTGCTTGACCAAAAGGTTTTAAGATCGGGAATAGCTTTTACTTGAAGCTTTCTTCAACTATCTTTGGAATTAGAATAAAGAAATAATAAAATGCTATATATCCTGTTTTTTCCCCCAGTTTATCTGAAACCTGTATAATAAGTTTCTCCATGCTTGCGAACTACATGCCTAGGGTGCTTTTGAGGAATCCTTGCAAGGATTATAATTATTATTGTAAATCATTTCTGTTAATGAAACCAAGGCCTTGGTTTCATTACCAGAATGAGTAATAATAATAATAATTATAATAATAATTATGTTAATTTTTTTTGGCAAAGATGGTCCGTATTAAAGGTCGGTTCAGGATCCTGTGGTCCGGGTGTTGCTACAGCTGGAACCAGGTCGAGCCCGTCTTCACTGCCGTCTGCAGCCCCGTGGAGACCCTCACGCCCATCTCGGACGAGATGGTGCCGCTCAAGACCTCCATGTTCACTACGGAGCACGGCATGGATATGGTGCTGTACGACGCCTCGTCCAAGTGAGTAAGATAAGAGGGGTGGGGAGGGTTCAAAAACTAGGGGCTGGAGTGATAATCAGTTTGGTTAACCGATGAGGGTGGGGTATGTGGTGAACGCCCTTCCAAGGCCTGTGTCGTTTGTGCCCCCCTCTCCCGCTCAAAATTTAGAGAAGGCAAAAGATAGCTTTACATTGTTTAAACTAAGACAAAAGCTTTGCATTCCCCTCCAGAAAATGAGGTCAAAGTACCCGGCACCCCTGCAAATGGGACCCCAGTAACGCTACTCTGGTCCAGTGCCTCTGAAATGAGTACAGAATCCTTAAAACATGTAACTTCAACATAATGGAGTATTTTCTTCCAACTGGGAGGGCATTACATTTCAATCTCAAGTTTTTGATCGCATGAAAATCATGCGGACTAAATATTCGGTCACTAATTTGACGATTTCCCTTATGAGAGGCGAAATCGTCAAGATTTGCACAAGTGCATGATGGACGAGGCTTCAATGATAATTGTTGATATTGCTCGAAAGTGGACATTATAGGCCCATGGATGTTGTTTCAGTTGTTGCTTCGCACAATGGACTTGGCACACAATTTGAATAGATGGATTACAATACAATGTAAGCTGTGAAACATAATTCGTAATCCTGCAGTCAGATGCACTGCGTGTGACAGACACATCTCTAATGTTTTACTATTGTAGGCCTTTGTACCAAAATGATCTCCTAATGCGAGAAGGTTATTTCCTGCGTGACCCTGTATAGTGTTTCCACCAATGATATGTGTTCATTAAAGATACACTCCCCGTGCTATTTTCGAGTTTCATCTCGTAAAATAGATATTTGTTTTCAATAGCTTTTTTGAATTCCAGCAATATCGAAAATGTTCACTTTTGAATGAGACATTGAACAAAACATCCACCGACGTTTAGTCATTGAATTATTTCTTCACAAAATTCGAATTATTGGCTGCCAGACAATAACTCGGCTCTCGCAGGGTGGGTTTTTGTGCACAAAACAAAAGCCTTTTCAGAGGGTTACAGACTCCTAAAATCGGAATAAACTACTTTTTGTCATTAAAACATACATAAATGAAAATTCGTCAGGAGAACAATAAAATAATTTTTTTTTGAAGAGCATAGCCATGCATCTTTAATGAGGCATACATCTTTAATGTTAAGTATGTTGTGTTTTTTATTCATGAAATACTATAAGCTTTGTGAGAAGTTTATCGGCCTTTCCCTTTTTCCTGAGGAAAAAAAATAAGCTTGTCACTGCACGCGATATTCACGAGTCTTTTTATACCGGTTTTGATGTGTGTATTCCTTTACCATCATCATAACTCTTCCGAAGATGGCTTTGTTTGTGCATAGTTTTATATTTCAAAAATGTTTCTTTTATCACCATGGGTTGAATTCTCTGCATTATGACTCACATGCCAAAAGTTTACATTTATTAAATACCACAAGCGTTGTTGATACCTTTGTTCTTTATTTAGTTATTTCTTAGTTTAACTTGGTATAGCCCATTCAGTGGATTCCACTGGTCTCTCATGGGGCCCAGTAAAGAGAAGACAATGAAATTACAGTTTAGAGGTGGGAGGAAAAACCCAGAATATTCTGAGGAAAACCCACGGAATCAAGTAGGGACTGAAAACCCCATCCATTATTGGCCCAGGCAGGAATCGAACCTGGGTCACAGCGGTGGAAGGCGAGGAAAGTACCGCTACGCCACCCTGACTCCCCATTTTGTCTTTTTCCATTGTTTATATGTGGCCCATGGTCCAGTGTTATCCTCGCCATATTCGATTCATCTGTATAGTATGATTATGACACGCATAAGAGACATTCACATGACCGATGTCGTTCAATGCATTTAGTGATATCTCTAAAATGCATTTAGAGACACAAGTTAATATATGTAGTGATATCTCTAAATTTATAAAAGATTATCTTAAATTCATTGCAAGCTATCTAAAAATCATTTCAAGATAACTTGAAATGATTTCGAGATATCTTGAAAACATGTAAAGATCTCTTGAAATGATTTTGAGATCTCTTGAAATCCATTTCGAAATATCTCGAAATTGATTTCCAGATATCTCGAAAACGATTTCAAGATGATCATTTTGTGAGGTCTTGAAACGATTATGAGATAACTTGAAGTCCAATTCGAGATATCGCAAGGATGCAGAAAAAGAAAAAGCAAACAAACTGGATTCTGAAATTAGCTATAATCGTTTCTCTGTACAAAACGCTCGTCAAAACAACAGAATGACATTAAAGGAGGACACGGAACGGAATGCGCAGTTTTGGGCTCTAAAACGCGTTTCTCATGAAATGATAATTTGTTGGAAAGATCATTAAAAAGTAGAACACAGCTATATAACGTCCACATATTTATACCCTAGAGAAGGAATCTGAGCGTACAACAGTTTGGTCTCTAAAATTCGAGACGATGCAGTGCTAGTCTTTATTCCAGTCACACATGTTTCTTCAATTTGAAAACGTTTCTTTTCCATTGCTATTAATGTTGTGAGACCTGATTTCTTACATGGGCATTATAATGAGGCGCAGTGTTGAAAGCTTTGACTCATAATTTCTGACGGCGTTATTCACTACTGGAAATACGTATTGCGAGACAAAAAAAGGCTGTTGCGTCAGATGTAAACAAAACGGATTTTCCCCGTTACCAAAACCTTTGAAATAACAGACAATTGAACACTATACTAGATTTCGGCGATCACCAGATGAATATACACCTTTAAAGAGAAATATGTTTTGATTGCAGAATCAATATGTTGTTTTTGTTTATACAGCGTGTTTTTCCACCTGGGTTACGAAGTGAGTGAGGTGTGCGGGATGTCATGGTACGCGATGGTACATCCGGACTACCTCGAAACGGCCAGGAAGTACCATCAACAAAGTAAGCAAACAAATCGAAAGTCAGATGAGCTAAACAAAATTACACTTTCTCTCACATAAATTGTTAATGTGAATTATGTATCGCTCCCAACTTGCTCCTGCATTTTGTGTTCAGCGCGGACGTCACACGATGAAACTGGCCATTGATGCAAGTTGTGCTTACAGGGCACCAGCCTAGTTTGTCTTGAGCTTTGTAAATGGGTCATTTTGAGTGGTGTTATTTTATAAACTTGGGATCCAAAAGTGTGACTTTTTGGTGTACATGTTACACCCGACCTGTGCTTAATTTGACATAGAAATATTAAAAGTGACTGTAAACTACACAGCAGGCACTTTGCATTAATCTCTCTTGGATGTGTAGAAGGCATTAACTTAGCATGTGTTCTGAATTTACATAATCTTGTGTCAAATGTAACAGGGACACCCACTAATATTTTGATCCCAAATTTATAGAATGACCCAACTGATCTGATTGAAGCCAAGTCCGAATTAGTTGGCTATACGGCTTGAAATTATATACGAGTCTATAGGAAGTGGCTGCCTATAGACTCGTGTGTAATTTCAAGCCGCATCCGACACGGTGTAACTGTCTGACTGGCTGACTGACTCCCCTTGTGCTTGGACCAGCTCTATATACAAGGCTTGTCTACTAATGTGTGTCATGTAGAATCTGCACCACATGTGCTTTAGTCTGGCGCCGATTTGAAGATAGCTCAAAATATTTCGCCCAAACCTTGATGCGCGATTGGATTTTGAAAAACTATAAGGAAAAACAAACTCATAAAGAAAACCAGGGTTTCCTTAAAAAAATTCCCAAAGGGAGTTTTCTTTTTAGGGTGGCAGGGTTTGTGCTATAACAACCTTGGAAAAAATAGTTTTCGACTCGGTCGAATAATCAATCAAGGATGATTAATCTTGGCACCCAGTCGCGCATGCGCACTTTATCGACTTTATTCGACTTTATCGTCGAAACAATTCAAAAACATGGTTCTTTTTATGCAAGGGGGGGGGGCGTCCAATGCAGCTCCCAACTCGACTTCTGACCTGCCCTTGGCTTCAATATTATAATCAGATTTGGTTGATTTCCCCCAAAAGTAAAAATTACATTTGATTCAAATAAGTAAACGATATTGCAACAATAAATTATGAATTTCCAACATTACCCCCTATAGCACTCCGTACTCACTGCAGTGAAGGCGACTGCATGAAGTGTACCCCATGAGAAACGTTGAACGGCCACTCATAACCGGAGCTATTTCAATTAAACTTTTACACACAAAGCTTCCAAGGAAACGAACTATTTAATTGCATTTCCTTGAACCCAAACGTCAACACGAGACCGGGATATTGTACCCCTAACATTCCCGAGCCAGCTCAGTTTCCGGGAGGGCAATGATATTGCAACAGGACTGGGTTTATTCTAGTGGGTATATACACTGGGTGGAAAGTGGGTGGGTGGGAAGGATATGGGTTTCAGGATCTCTAAGGGGGAATACCCGTCTGCGATCGTCAACACGGATTCGACTGTTTTTATGGGAATTTTTTTTCCTAGTGGAACCCCACTTGGGTCAACTTCCATTTCGTTGCGTTGACCTTTGACACGGGCGAGAAGCCGAGGGATAACACACATTGAAATGAACGATTGAAAAGATGAGCTATCCCACAGTAATAATGAGTGGGGGTCTGAACATGGAAAAAAATAATGAATAATAAATAAATAAAATAAAGGCATACAAGAAGTTGTTAGGGCCATTACTACAGTGATTCTTAGCAAATGAATTGGCACTTTATGTCTTTTTCTAAATTTTATCATTTTTTTTGGGGGGGGGGGCAAAACGAAAGGTTAGTTTTAATAGAACTGATAGGTTGATAGTTGCATATTTCTCCTACTTTATAAACTTTAAACATGTAGCTCAATTTATTAGCTAATTATTTGGCAACCCCAAAAGACGAACTGCATGCAAGTTTGTAGTATAACATACTCAGATTACTCTTTGTTTATTTCAGAATATTTCCACAACAATGATATTTCCTCGGCCTATAGGCCTAAGCCTAATTATCCGTTGTGTTTCGTTTCTATAAATCTAAAGACAATCGACTTAAATTGCAAAGATATAAGGAAGAACAGTGCATCCTCAGAAAGGGGCTTTTCCAACGCCTGTCCCTCCGCTGAAATGTGACTTCCTCCAGGGGCAGTATAATTTTTTTATTTGGAGATTTTATGAAAGAGAAACGAGAATCCCATGCGGGACCGAAGGGCATGACGCAGTTCAAATTATGCAAGGAAGTAGCTGCATATTGTTTTGCGGTTGACACTGTATTTTATAGGGATGCGTTTACATGTTCAGCAGTAGTAGTCCAACCTCCGCTGCGAGCCAGCTGTGTGTGGTTTCCAATTTGGCCCGCTGCCTGTAAGATTTGTTGCATTAGCCGAAAAAAAACAAAAGACTGAGCGTTTTGAAATTATCTTTTTGAGAAATACTCCGCAACTATTCGGTCTGTCTGCGGATTAAAAAAAACATAAAATATTGCCAGTAGTTCGGCAAAGTCACGACAATTGTTGAGTCTGACGGACCGCAAGCGACTACTGAAGACACATGCTGAAGACACTTGCTGGCTGACCTCGATTTATACCGACCTTTTACTGTCTTGTCTCCCTTCCCTAGTGCTTCAGCCGAGTATTGGAACAGCGGCCAGTCGTTGCGCCTTCGTCTTACGCCTCCTTCGCAAGGACTCGGGCTGGGTGACGGTCAGCGTTACGGCCTGGCTAGACCGGGACAGTACGGTCAACCATTCCGCTGTCATCATGTGCCAAAACCTGGTCATTAGGTAGGATGTTTTTGCATTAAAAAGTATCAAATTTTAAAGGCATTTAGGATCATTTGCTATTCATGCATTTTGTTAGTTTCCATTATAATACCACTCGAAATCCAAAGAAGAATGTTCAAAATCTAACTTGTTGAAGTTTCAGCTCAATGGATATTACACTTTTCGGGAAAACAGTGAAAACCATGCACAACTTTTCGTCAATAGCACTCTTTTTGCCAAAAATCAGTCAACGGAATGATCGTTGGAAATCACCCAAGTTTATTGATTTATTCTAAAGCCAGATGGAACTATTTCACGCAGTATTTAGTACCAGTACGATCTTTAATCCAAGTAAACTTTTTTGATAATAATTTGGTAATTCACGTTTGGTATACATATACATGCCTTTAAGCCATAGGCTTTTGCAGTGATGTAACGAGTGTCTAACTCACAGGGGCAAGGGGATATAATAGGCTTGGTCATAGTAACTGTTCAGTTAATGCAAAGCTTTTCTTCTCCAAGTTATGAGGGGGAGGGGGCAGGCCTTGAGCTGTGCAGACCCGTACCGACTTTGGTTGCGCCACTGGGCTTTTTGTAAGCCACAGTAAGCAGTATTTGCAGAGATTGGTCATTTCTGTCAATCTAATCTCTTTTATAATGAATGTTTATGGTAATTTTTTAAGGCCACAATCAAATGCTGAAATGCATTTTGTCAACCTTGTAGCATTGAATCAATTTATTCGAAACAGAGAATCAATAACGACAAGCAAGGATACAACTGTGACACTGTCCGACAAAATGTAATGATCTAGTCGGGTTTGTTTCCTTTTTCTTTCTCCAGAGAAGACGAGATTGCTATGTACGAGTCCCAAGCTCTTCATGAGTCCCTCGCCCGCCGGTCCGCTTGTCTGGTGTCACCAAGCCCCGCCTCGGCCTCGGGCTCCAGCGAGCGATACAGCTGCAGTACGGGAGATGATGGCTCGTCACCCTGGCCAGACGCCTACCTACGACCCGAGGCAGCACCGCCTTGCCCTGCCGACTCCACGCCGGTGTACGGCTACGATGTACTGGGAGGTCAGACCCAGCGGTCGGTTCAACCGTACCGGGGAGAAACCGTCCCGTATCACTACTTAGACGACAGAGGTGGAGGAACCGAATGGGGGTACGATGGCGGTTGCTACTACCAAGGAACTCAATTTAACAACTCCGCATGTCAAGCGAGTGGGGGTTGGGAGTCCCGCCAGCTTACCGGGAGGGAGTTTTATCAAGGGCCCGGGCAATACGGGCCTTACTCGTCCGTACTGGTCGGGCCGGCTCGAACCAGTCAGTCTCTACGGTCCTCAACCTGCTCTCGCAACAAAGAGTGCCTCGTGGAAAGGTGTAACGGGAACATGGTTGCCTCGAGTCGAAATCATACCGCTGCTACTCTTAGCAGCGATCCCTGTCCCGCTCTGAAGAGGGCGGTTCTCGAATGGGCAAGGCGCTTGAAAGCCAAGAGGCAAGGCGCAGCGACGCGTTTGTCACCCGGGAATGACTACGACAAAGGCCGCAAAAGGTCATTCCGGGATACTGTGCCCGTGACACAAGGCCCGTACAAAGCCGAGGCGGACTACGCACCGTGTGGAGGTAGCTTCACTGCTTCACCCTCGAAACATCGACCGGACAGTTCCTACAAAGCTCCAGAACCTAACCAACCGCACATCAATGAATACCCTAACGCGAAAATACCCGAAGACGTAACCAGCGCAAATGTACGGTATGTGACATCTTGGGCTGGGCTAGAGCGGGAGCGCATGTGGTGGTCGGATTCAGGGGCAGGTGGGGTGCACCAAGTCAGCGTACCGGACAGTATCCTCACCCCGGAGTCTTCCCCGACCCACGGCGATACCTCCCCGGGGAAGCCCGGGCCCGCGGGGTCCGGTGCGCACGCTGCCTCCCCGGACGCCGGTGGACTGGCCCGCGGTACGCGGCAGCAGAACGAGCGGCTGGTATCTGACGAGGAATCTGAACCGGTTGTCGGTACCCTGGAGGCAGCGGTGGGCAAGGCATTGTGCGCTCTGTCATCGGACGAACTTAGACTCCTTGACCAGGCAACACTGTCACTACTGTATCAGAATACTCCCATCCGGCAACCCGCCTTCCCTAAAAGGACACTGGCCAGCTCCGATGATGAGTAGAATTGCACTGAACACAATCCAATGAACAGTGTTTAGGATAAACAAAACTCACTCTTAGTTTGTTGCTGCTTTGAGAAAAGATGATAACAATACGATTAATGTTTGTGCATCTTTTGTTTGCACTTGAAAGTGTCATTTATTTGTGTCAAGATAAGCCGAATCGAATTATATTTAATCAATTTAATTGATAAAGACGTTAACAGTGTGTATTTTGTTTATGAAATAATCGTAGTGTTTTGGGTAATTGGTTTAGAAACAGTAAGTTTACAATGTCATCGTCTCATGTCACTTCGAAACAAAGACCCCTCTGAATACCATTCTCCCATTGAATTCCACTCGCAATCAAACTCTGGGAAAATAAAGAAATCATTTCCGATATCGCCAAATTTATGAGGACAAAAGTCAAATCCACAGACTATAAGGCAGGATTTACAGGAGACCGAATGTTTCTTCAGATATTGTCTTATATTCATGTTAAACACATCTCAGATGTCAATGGAAAACGAAAACAGCTAAGCAGAATTACAAAGCACCTTTTTCGTAATGAAAATTGTGTAGAACAGTAACAACCGTCATAGAACTTGGGTAAATTTCACTATCCACTGTACTTTATACTATTGATACAGATTTTGGGAATAGTTTGAAGTACCCACTTCTTATTACTTTTAAGGTTTTTGTTCCGATGAATGCATGGGACCCTATAATAATGTTTGAAATCTTCCACCTATAAGTTGGAAAACTTCTCATATATACGGTGGGCCTTCTGCGTGACTTCAGGTTTGCAACCCCGAAACAGTATGGCAGAATGGTGTTCTTAGAGGAATAAATCGTTAATAACACCTCTCAAAATCCAAAGAAGAACGTTCAAAACCTAATCTGTTGAAGTTTCAGCTCAGTGGATAATTACATTTTTCGAGAAAACAGTGAAAAACTATGCACAACTTCAATCACGAAACATCATTTCGTCAATAGCACTTTTTATTTCCAAAAAGCGGTCAAGTGACTGATCGTTGGAACATTCTTGATTTTTCTAAATGACAGCAAACCAGACGGAATAATTTCACGGGGTTTTTATATAGTACTAGTACCATCTTCAATCCAAGTAAGCTTTTGGACAATAATTCGGTTGGTTACTTTTGGGATAAATGCAAATGATCCTGTAATTATGCCTTTACATGTAAGAAGGGGTCTTTATATGCTGAAATAGTTTTACAGTTGTTTACTCATTAATTTTTAAAGTTCTCGATCAGAATGATGAACCAGTATTGATACTCTTCTTTCTCCGTTTAGGATATTTCTTTACAGCTAAATGTGTGTTAGTTTTGAAGCTCGTTTCGTATTTTTCTTGAGGATTATATTGTGTATTATTAGCAATATAGAAATCTGCATAGCTATTTCTTTCAAATACTGATATAGGAATTAATATTCGTAGAGACAAAATTTGAAATCTACACTTCTGTCATTTTATGTAAGATCAACTGAGAAGAAAACGATCGATTCAAAGATCTTTTCCACTTAATTCAAATGCGTGACCCATTTTCTTTTTTTCTGTGTGATTTGTGCCCATGCAATGGACAGCCGTGTTGGTCATTCAATGGTCAGATATTTAGCTTCTGGTAAAGAGGGCAGACAAAATTCCAACGTATATGAAAAAAAAATCTGCGATTTTACACGCAACAGGCTCGCTTGCGCGAGCTGGCTACATGACATTTTGTATGTCATCATAACCGTGGGCTGTACAGTCAGTCGGCTGGAGGTTCTCTATAGCTCAAACTGTCTTTTATAAAACGTAACCTATTTATGCTTTTAATCCGGGCTAAAAGTCAACACATTTAAAGAAACGGTAAATTTCATAAAGGAATCGTCATCTTGAATTTATTTCCGCGGAGTACCCGCGGGCCGACACGCGTATTAATTTTGTTTGTTTTCAAATCCACGCCGTCTAGCGAACAGATTGCAAAGGCACACAAATTACGAGTACAGCGCGGAGACTCCAAAGTCCAGCCTGCCAAGACGTTGGGACCTATAAGACGCCACTCAACGGCAAAAGGCCGGCCAGCAGGTACGGGCTTTTAACCAAACTGACAAATTTTGACAAATTATACTTCTTGGTTAAGAAGGCCAATTAAAGGGCTTGATGGGCGATCATCACAAATCAGTGTACTCGGGGACTGGTACCGGGGCACGGAGCTCCTTCCTAGGTCCTCCTGAAATGCGGGGGCCGGCAACAAAATAAGAGTCGAGTGCCGTCGCACACTTATTAATCTCCTGTAGTCCGAGGCGAAGGGGCCCGGTTTACAGCCCCGCGGACAATTCCGACTTTGCCTGGAAACTACAAAGTCGCTCCGGGGACAGGAATTACGGTAAAGTAGTCACAGGAAGAAGGAAAAATTCCCCAATCTGATTGTTTTTTTTTCTGAGTCGGTGCTCTCGAGGCAGTCGGTCGGTAAAAATAATGGTAAAAGTTTCAACTCTTACGAGTGCAGGACGAGTAGGGCTTAATACAATGCAAACTCGTTAGCCGACTACCGGTACTGTGCCCGCCTACGTGTTAGTGTATTTAGAGACTATTGTGTTTAGTACAGAAATGCTGCAGCAGCACTTAAATTCTTCAGCATCCTTTAAAGTATGAGATGTAATTTCTTTTCTTAATGATTAACCAACAACAACCGATTTTGGTTCTTTCTTAATATGTTGAAATGAATTATCTGGAAAATTGTATTCCGACTCGGTATGGAGGAGTTAATTGATTGATTGCTCTGATTTCATTTCGAAGCCAATCTCTGTCATTTTTTGTTGGTAACAATTTAATGAGTTCAGCTGTGGCGTATCCAGAGGGGGTGGGGGGATGGGGGAGAGTGTGGGTGGGGAGAGTGGGGGGTGGGGAGAGTGGGGGGTGGGGGAGGGGGACACCTTGTTCCCCCGGCGGAATTTTTTTGAATTTTTTTTTTCAGCAATTATTTCGATAATTGGTGAGATAGTTATTCTGACATCAATCCCCAAAAAGAAAGCCCTCTCAAAAACCATTACAATGCGCCGTGAAAATGGGCATATAATTTGCAGTACGCATAATAATGGTCAGTTTTGGAGAGCTCTTCTGTGGTCTCATGGTGTGGATTATCGACATCCTGATCTGTAGGCAATTCTGCAGGCTGGGGGTTCAAGTCCAGCCTGGTGTTTTTATTGCCTGTGTGCATGTCCACGGGCAAGACACTTTGTCACTGCTTGCTTTCTCCCAATACACCAAGGAGTAAAATGGGTACATGCCAGGCGCGGTTCTAGAACCAATAATTTTGGGGGGCTAGCACGGTGGATCCAGAATTTTTTCAGGGGGCCTGCTGAAATGTTGACCAGTTATTTTTTCCAGACACTTAGGCCTCCGAAAATCAATAAGTGGTGGTGGGGGGGGGGGGGGGGCGGCTCATGCCATATTTTCAATGGGGAGCGCCAATAAAATCATAAAATCATTCACACTATATTAACTAATGCATCCTTGTCACGGCTATTTCTTCTTTAGGGGGAGACCGTTCGCATGTACATCACAATCCTTCTTTTTGCTAATGCAATTTTTTTTTACGGAATTTATTTTGGGGGGGGCTAGACAAAATTTTGGGGGGCTACAGCCCCCCCCCCCCCACCCAGCCCCCCCCGTAGAACCGCGCCTGGTACATGCAGGGCATAGATATGTTTGAATTGGACGTTAGCGCCTGCAAAAGACTGGCTGCACGGAGCTGTAATTCTCCCCCAGGAGTGTTTTATAGCGCCGTGTTGAGCAGGGATAGCAATCATTACGTAGAAGCGTTTTGATCTTTGATAAAAGCACGATATAAATACCCATTATTATTATAGGTTTTCCCGGTTATTTTAAAACATTTTTTATTCAAATTCACCAAATCTAACATTCAATTTCGTCCGAGAGAAAAATTCACACGCTTTTACCAAAACAATGTAGTCATTTATTCAATTTCAAAGTTTGGTCACCCTTTTTAGTCACCGAGTCGAGAATATTCGTCATTACAGATCAAATTCGTCTAGGCTGTTGCTGAATGGCAACATTCAGAGATCAAATTCGTCTTTTAACAATCAATTTAAAAGTTGTATAAAGTAAATTAGTCAGGAGGGCTCTAAAGCATTTTCCTTGTGTTCCCCAAGCACAATATTGGCACTTACGATACATTCGCTCTTACGATATTTGGACCAAAGCAGAGTACTTAACTGAAAGAAGAGTCACCCAAACATTAAAGATTTAAAACCAAGATCACCAATACAACGTTATTTAAAATAAACAAAAGAAAAGAAAAAGAAATGTCAAAAGCCACAAATCGATAATCAATAAATCCTCGTGTAACATGCCTAAAATATTGAGTCTAACATATTTTAAGGTGAATCAAAAGAAATGACACATTTATGAAGAAATAAGGAAAGAAAGAAAAAGGAGAGATTTATTCTTCTTAGAGGCCTATACATGCATTTGAAGATATCGCTATGAAGTGTAACGAAATCGAAAAAAAATGTTTAAATTGTGTGGCATTAGACGAATTCGATTCGGCGTAGACGAGACGAAATTGAAAACTCCAGGTCGAAAATGTGTGCTCATTGTTTGAATACGTTTGGACAAAATTTGAAATTGGCTGACAACAGACGAAATTAAGAATTGCAAGTGCACTAAATCGATGTTGCTGTTGACGAATTTGAATACATGTATAAGAATCGGTGAATTCGAACAAAAAAATGTTTTAAAATAGCCGGGAAAACCTATAGTATAATATATAAAGCTTGTCATGCACCTAACATGGACCAAAATAAAATGAGCCCAAATCCCAGTTGCTTGACAAGGGTTTTTGAGCCCTGAAGAAAAACAACATAGGTTGGCCGTTATCAAGATCTTATGATATTGACAAAGTAACACTATTACCAGCTGTTATACACACATAGATAAACATGTTGTATCCTTATGCGTGGGCGAATCACAGGATCATGCACTTCGGCGCAGGAAGTCAATAATTAAAACATGGAGGAAGGGACACAAGATTAAGACAAGTTTCATTTTATCCAAGGTCGTGAACCTGAAACGCTAAGGGTGCAGACCAGTAAATCGGTCCGAAATTGCCTGCGCCGGCCAAATCACGATTTGCATGCCCTCAAAATTCTTCGGTATTTGAGCATGCTGTGGGCCATGAACTTGAGGGTTTGTAAAAAATATGGGTGGAAACCGTGCACAGGACTGGGAGCTTGCAGTTCTGTGTAATTTTGATGTAATTTGGACCCTAAAAGCGCTCTATTTTGCAATGGAGTGTAGGCATCGTTTTTCAAAATGGCGATGGGCTTCAGGACTATTTTCAGGGGTGATCATGTTCAGATGGAAATTTCTCCTAAAAGTCATCAGTTGACCCCCCGAAAATTGAAAAGAAAATGAAAGATGATGATATAAGCTTTAATTTGATGTGTGTCTCGAACACCTTGGAGAGTTGTGAGTATTTTTCCCGAATTTTTGAAGTGGGAGCATTTACCATTGGGGTCTATGGAAGTTTATTTACTGGTCTGCTACCCTAAGACCAAAAAGGCTCACGATTTAGCCGTCAAGAGCAGATGGACGTGGATCATTCCATATATTGGGTCCAATTTGTTTTCGTGTGCCTGTTACATCTGATACAAGATTTTGTAAATTCAGCAGGAAACATTCTTTATGCCTTCTGTCTCCAAGAGTGATTACATGTATGTGAAGCAAAGTCCATGCCCAACAAATAAAACATAGTTTGAAGTAAATTTTAATGATACTTGCAGGGCTAATTACACAGGCCATGTTGCAACAGGGACACACAAAAAGAATGTTGCACTCTTGGACCCCAAATTTATGGAACAACCCGTTTCTGTTTTAACGTTTAATCTTTCTGGTAATCAATTAAAGTGCTCAAGTTTTAAAGCACAGAGGCGCACAGCTTTTGCTAGTGCGGTCCCCACCGCCCTGTTCAACTTGTGAAGGAAACGCAGGCATCGCAAAGCATTGTGGGTAGGGCAGTTCATTCCTTAGGCGTGCTGACTGACAGGATCGCTGAGTCCGGGTCGCTGGTTGTACAAAATGCATCCAATGAGGGCGCTATATAGAGCGCTGGGGACGAGCGAAGCCGGGGGCGTAAACCAGCGGTGGAGGGAGGGTACCCATTCCCCCCCCCCCCCCCCCCCCCCCCCCCCCCCCCGCTTTTTGAAATTCGTTTAGGTCATAGGATCGCCAAACCTAGATGGGGGTTTTTTCTGAACAAAAACTCAATCATGATCAAGTTAAACAAAAAAATCATGACGTCCCTCTTGCCAGCAGTAGGAAAGTAGTCGCTATAAATTTTGAATGTCATCTTACAGGTATATAGAAAGTAGGCCTACATCATTCATCATTGCCCTAATCGTTACTTCTTTTGTCAGATATACTGGAAGTAACAGACAGCGATCCGAGGGAGGGAAGGGTGGGACCCCCCATGCCCCTTACTCTTTTGTATTTACCAAAATTTACCTAAGCCAGAAAGCGATCTCCTATTATGTGCGCTATATCTCAAAAGACATATATAGTTTCACGGTATATTGCACCGTGAATGATTCAATGAGAACGAAGTTTCTTCCAATGCTTGAACTGGTTGCATGCCGCTTAAATCAGCGGCTGCATGTGGATGGGTTCGAATGTAAAATTCAATGGAGTCGTCACTTCTTAAAAACTGAAATCCCAAGGTCAGCGAATTCGCCTCACTTATGTAATCATAAAAGGCTACAAGCATATACCTCGAGAGCAAGCGTTCCAGGATATTTTCGAGCACACAATTGCTGCGGGGCCTGTTTCTAACACTAATTGTCACTTACTTGGTGTTCATCATGTGGTGCTGTTCTTATGTTGGCACTTATGCTCACACTTCAATATGTATTGCCGGAAATACGTCAATAGACGTCAATACGGCAAGTCAAACGTTGGCTGCCAAGTCAGATGTACACAAATATTTTCTCTGTAAATCCAAGGCATTATTTCCTGTACCTCAGACCATTGAACATTTCGATCATCTCAAGACGAACGTAGGCCAATACATCTTTACAATATCTTATTGCATGGGGTGTGTGCATGATCCCATTCAGTTATTCATCTCAAACTCTTCTCACAAAATGTCCTCGCTGTAGGTTCTCCGAGGGATAAGAGTCATTACAAGTGAACTATCTGTTAACAGCGAACACGAAAACTAATACAAGTACACCAAAAATAATTAAACAGACTGAATTTTAAGCAGAGAGATATGAAGCCAAAAGCATGTTGTTCTGAAACCCAAACACTCGTTAAAGTCTCAAGTCATTCGTTTGGTTGTCGTGTTTCTCTGATTTCCCTGTAAAATACTTTCCACGCTGAGGATGGTTTATACACACTCGTCCTCAAAATGGCAATCTGATCCGCGCTGGATACCTGCAAAGAAAACAGAAATTAGAAAAGAGAAAACTTCTTTTCCTTTCTATATAAGCAGGTGTCGACTATTTCGTATCCTTATAAAAACCTAAACGATCATTGGTAAGTAAAAACCCTTTTATCGACCAGGAGTTTAAGTTTTTCTTGAGATTTAATTCAAATTCATCAAGAGATTTCCTCTTGAAAATGCTCAGCTGAGAAGGTCATCAGGAAAAGATGTAGGCCTACGTGTACGTGCAATCGCCGCCAAGCGTCTCCGCTGTCAGGCTGTCGGTGTCCAGTGCTTCGATTTACGAACCAACTTAATAAAATGAGACTCCGACTTTTGGCCACATAGTGAAAAAGAAGTCTGTTTCTAATTTTTGTTTTTGCCTTTTAAAGTGCCAGTTGTTTCTAGTTATATTTATTAATTTTCTATTTCCTGAATGTCTGTCCGTAATGGCGACTGTGGATCATTCTCGATGCTGGCCAAGAATCCGATACCAATTATCAGGACAACGATGTATATAATTATGTCACAGTAAGCATTCATCTTCGAAGAACTGCTTTTTCAGAAGAAAAACAGAACAATTACTATAAGCTGCAATTTAAATGATTTGAATGAAACAAATCCACAGCCAGGAATGGTGGGTAACGTTACGTAATCACTTTGAAAACGACGCCTACGTTGCTAATCATAACTGTTCCCCAATGTAGAAATACTAGGGGAATGAAGCGAAAGGACACAGCACCCAGACGCCCGCAAATCTTAGATGAACATCATTTTTCCCCAAAAATCATTTTTGGGATGACAGCACATCAAGGCTATAACGTGAATCATACTATTGGCTTACTATTGGAAACGAGGTTGGAAATAAAGTAAGCTCTTTGGACGAGGTTGATGAAATACCGCTTTGTAGTAGTACATGCCACTGTTATAGCGCCCTCTGTTGTAAATCCTGGATCATCCAGTAAGTCCAGTTATCCAGTAATTTGCAGGTGGAAGTTGCAGAATAAGTCCATAAATGACTGGAGTATTTTCTCGAGATCATGGGTCATGCACCTTAGAACTTTTAATTCCGCGTGGTTGTTAACAAGGTGAGAAGATTCTACGGCGAATAGGAAGTGAAAAAGCAGTCTAGATTTAAAATTCAGAAAACAACGTTTTTCAGGAATTTTTTTAGCAAACACACAAAAAGTCATGTGTATGAGAGCACGGATCCTCTGATCTGTGATGAGAGCAACATAATTATGAGTATGGGACTAAATAGCATCTTCCATTAGAGGGCGCTTTTCAAAGCGTACTATCACCGCAGACATGAGCAAGTTCGGTTGCTGACATTTTGTCAATTTGCGATTTTAATAGCGCATAATTTCGTGGTCTGTTTTTCACTCGAGCGCGTCTAGTCGATGACAAATGTAGTTAGTAACAGGCCTTCACATTGCTAACGAAGCAAACGTCGGCACGTCATGTTTTTTATTTTCATTATTTTCTCTATATAACTTTTATGCAATAAATAATTAATTATTTAATGTGCAACTGAGATGTATTATTATTGAACACTGTTGAATAAAACCTACAACTTATTGTTAATGTTAACTGTGATATATAACAAAAGTTTCCAAAACTTGCCCTAGTTTACCTCTCCGCCATCTTGAAACTGTGACGTAAATCGCGAATTGACTAGAGACACAGTGCTCCGGGGCTAGGTTGATCCAGTTGGACTAGCTAGTCAAACCACACAGCGTTCGAGTGAAATATATATTATGGTTAAGTCTAGTCGACTCAAGTCACCCAACCGAACTTGTTCATTATAAACGCTCATGGACAGTATCGGACATAGGTGGGGCTCTATTGAGCGATTTAGTAGTTCCGACGTCGATAGAAATAATTACGGGTAAAGGGTTTTATTTGAATCACGTGATATATTTCCCGTACTATATCAGTGGCGTGTCAGTGACGTAATGGTGGGTGGGGGCATGGAGGATCCCTCCCTCTGCTCCGTTTGAGGCAAGTGCCCTCCTCCCTCCCCCGTGCCCACGCCCAGAATTTGAAGAAGACAGTAATAGCTTTGTTATTGTTTGAAACTATGACCAAACAACCAATTGTATTCCTCCCTCATGAAATGAGGACCTTACTATACTTTAAGCCTATGGACAATAAGTAGTTCAGACATCCCTTAAAAGTGAGTTTTGATAAACACTAAAAATGTTACTAAAAATTCGAATGTCACTAAAAATAAACTAATGCGCGCATCACGTAAGAACGTGTTCAACGCCAGTGGCAATCAGTGTCATTGAATTATAGGAGGCAATTTTTATAATGAATAGTGAATGCCCTTAAGATAAAAAAAACCCAAAAAACAATACGCTATAGAAAATGGTGGAGGCATTCATCCATTAGCCCGTGTTAAGCCAACCGTTCAAGGTTTAGCATCAATTCTTGAATGGCATCACTTGACCTGCAACTGCCAAGTAACAGTTCAAGAGAACTGTTGCGTTCACGCGTTATGTGAGCTTCATCCAGAACTCAGTCTGCAACAAGACGATGCGGCATGGCAGAGCGACGACTTGTATTGGCGGTGGTCTTTGTTGGTAAGAGTAAATAAAGACAGAAATATTCTTAACAGTTCATTTTGTGGTGAACCTCTCACGGCTAAAACAGATACTGAATTCGAGTATGTTTGGTCGTGATAAACCTGCAAAAAAAATTGGAGCATTTGCATTTATCCCAAAATTAAACTACGTAATTACTATCAAAAAGGTCGTACTGGTGATAAACAACCCGTGAAGTTATCCCGTCTGGTTTGCGTCATTTAGAAGAAATCAAGAAATGAGATTTGAAGGTTTGGAAAGTTTGGTGGAAAGATACTAAGACAAGATAATTTTGCGGTAGCACCATGTGAATAAATCTCTTTTGTGAGTATGTGTGGTTCTGAAAAGAACCGGAGGGACTCAACGTTTCGAACAGTATGCTCTGCCCGTCGTTAGGAGAATGAGGGATTCCAACGAAATGTAGGCGATTTCCTTATCAAGAAATGTAGGCGATTTCCTTAACCAACGATCATTCAACTGACTGATTTTTGAAAATGAAGAGTGCTATGCTATTGACGCAATCGTGTTTCGTGATCAAAAGGCTGCGGATGGTTTATCGCTATTTTCTCGCAATGTGTGATATCCACTGCGCTGAAACTTCAACGGTTTGCGTTTTGAATTACGTTTCTTCTTTGGATTTTGATTGGTGTTATTATTGGAAACGAACAAAATGCATATTAAGCAAGTGATAATTATGCCTTGAAGCATAAAAACGGAAGATAATGCATAGTTTTCTGCCCATACAAAGCTCAATAGCTCAATTGCTCATCACTAACAACTTTAACCCTAACTCCCTAGCATCTTTTACGAGGACTGGACCAAGTCCATCAAAATCCATCAATCACTGTGCGTCCAATACAAAACTGTACATGACATAATGGAATCCACCACTGACACACTGTTTGACATTCATGGACTTGCTATATACACATGGCTTTGATCACAATAGCAGTATAGGAAGTTAGGCAAAATCAATCGGATACCCCTAGCACTGCTTCAGGCCTTTTTAGGCCCAAATCCATCATACGCCATCATTATTTAGTCAAACAAGGCCTACTAGACCAAGTCCCCAAAATCCACCCAAATGGGGGGATGGATTTTGATGGAGTTGGGGTGGTTGGGTTAATGGTAGCTTACCATTTTGCCATTGTGTTTGTTTCAAAAGGCAGTTTTGCGGTAATGGTGGCTGATGGGATGGTGTGCTACTTGGGGAACGAGCCGGATTCAAACGGCACCGTCCAATGGGTGCTGCCCTACCGAGACCCGTGCGAGTGCAAGGAGATACGGCTCGGTAGCTTCAACACCCGAGCACCGAGCCGGCCCTTCACTCCCACTTACTTCAACTTGACGGCAGTGGCAGTGGGAGATTTGAACGCGGTTCTCAAGCTTGTGGACTGCAAACCAGGTAGAAAAATATTTCTATTTTTTTCCCGATATTTCTATTGCCTTCTTTTTAAGAAAACGTCTTCATTAATATGAACAGAAGTAAAAAGCGTCTCCAGTGTTTGGGTCTAAAGGACGTTAAAACAAATTCTGGAGGAAAAAAGGCCCACTTTATTTACGTTGGTTGATGAAAGTAGGAAGGATACTAGCGGTTGTGAGGTGGTGCTTTCATTCCCTAAAATTAGAATAAAATTCAATAGAAATGGGCAAAATATCGCTGACGAAAAGGTTGCCCCCCCCCCCATTTTATTACAGGTATCCGTGTATCAACGAATGATTCTTAGACGATAATTATATAGTCAGCCTGCATATGCAAGTCAAGTTAGGTCTATTGTTACCAATATTTTTGATTTCGACTAGATCGATGTATAGAAGATTTTGAAGCACAGTAGTTCATTATGAAATGAATTCAGCCGTTCGGTGGTTTTTTTTAACAAAGGATGAGGACAATGTCCTCCGCAGTGCGTGGTACTGTGAAAGAAACGCGACGCGACAGTTAAAGAGATCATGCCATACAGTAATTACCTATGCAGGAACATAGTTTGTGCAAATTTTTGTTTTCTCCTCTAAAACTACTTGACAACCCTTTTGGGTAAATTTAATTGAAAAATGAACTTGTTTAAACTTTTAAAACATGTTATGCTTTTTCTGACCACTGAGGGCGCTGTTGATGTGAAGTCATTTCAGGAAAGCACTGTTGTTAGTTTAGTGGATTTCTGTTCAAATTGTGAACCCAAAAATGTGCTCATTGAAAACATTTGTGAGAAAAGTTTGCTCAATGACTACCGTATTACACTGTCATGTACTGAGACAACAACGAATCGCCAACGAAAACCGAATTTACGACAGCAAAATATCCAATGGTTAAAGGGAAAATACAACATTTGCAAACATTATAAGAAATAAAACTACCAAAATATATTGAAATACCTTGCTGGACTGTTAGTGAATGACAGTCTAAAGCATCCTGTAAAATCATGGCACCTCGTATACTGTCATTTTAAAAAAAAAGTGTTATTTTCGTGTCAATTTCCATCGCTGGTCGGCCGACCAGCGTTGGAAAAAACTGGCTTTTTTCAAATACTGGCCCAGTTGACCATATTTAGTTAGTCTGGTTTTGTTTGCAATCGATCACACACCTGTGTACGGGTACAAGCCATCTAGACTGGTTCCATGACCTTACAATTCTCCAACGTCAATAAATTGCTCCGTTTCATCTTAAATGGAGCCAGGGAACCAGACTACAGGAAAATGATTGTGTTTCTTGGTTTTTATAGCATCTACGAACCCAAAACGTAAAAAATTGTGCACAAGTCTAGTGGAAATGTCGTGTACCATCGTCAGTTATCAACACTATATTGTGGCACCATAGCCTTGACCAAGGCTGTGGACAAGGCTAGTGGCACTACTGGTCATACACTGCTTGGCGTCAGTACCCGACCAAATACGTTTTTCTTGAATAATTCATTAGTTTTAATGGGAAAAATATCCGTCTTCATAACTACTTCAATACTTTTCATTCGAAAATTATCATTATTGTTATTATTTATTTATCTCTGGTAAGGAAACCGAGGATTTCTCACAAGCCCCCTTGGCACTCAGGCGCGGACGGATGGGGGGGGGGGGGTCTGTCATTTCATAGAAATTCCTTACAAATAATGCGCCCCCCCCCCTGCTCTGACACCCAAAACACTATATTGGTTATAATGTCCGTCTCAGCTCTGTGAACAAAATACGGACAGAGCCAGCTTGGTTTAGCTGTTCTGTAATATAGTGTTAATAATCTTCGGATTAGAATAGCGCCCCCGTTGAAAGTATGCTACGAGCCCCCCTCCCCCCCCCCCCCCCATATTGATTTTCGGAGGCCAAGTGTCCGGGGAAAAAACACTAGTCTACATTGCAGATATGTTTGCTGATGAAAGCATCCCAGCCTTCTTTTTACCTAGTTCTTCAGTTCATCTTCACCAGACTCGTGGTTCAGCTAAAGGGAATCTTTTTGTGAAACCAAGTAGAACTGAGGTTTTTTTTTTAATAAAGAGTGTCTTTCAAGAAGGGGTCCTATGCTGGAATGGTTTAAATACAGAACTTTAACAGTCAGCCAGTTTTTCATCTTTTTGTAAAAAACTAAAAAATGGTATTACTGATTTATACACCACTTAATTTATTTGTATTTTATTTTTTATTGTTTTTATTTCTTTAATCCAAATTTATTGATCTCTATAGTGCCACGTCTCACTCGTGCATAACATGTCCTTGTCCCCATTATTTCTTTGTATGTTTGTCCTTGTGCCAGTATATTGTTTTGTTTTTGTCTTCATAGGGAAGAACAAAAAACAATTGCTTCTCCGAATCTCCTTTTTTCCTACATGTTAACTTCACTTTATTTGTTTATTATATATTGCTATAAACAATTTCTTTTAAACAAGGTGCAGTGTAAATGATGAGAATTGTTATAACATTTTTTTCCAATGATGTTGACATGAAATAAATGTATCTGAACTGAACTGAAAACCCCCCTTGCAAAAATTCCTGGATCCGCCCCTGGCACTGTAGCTCGCAAACCTGAAGAAACCTGTAGAGAGGAGACAATAAGAAGAGATTACAGTTTTAGAGGTGGGAGGAAAAGTCCAGATTAAGAATATTCTGGGTAAAAGCACACGGAATCCAGTAGGGGCTAAAAAACCCAATCTACAGCCTCTGGTGGGATTCGAACCCGCGTCACGAGGAAAGTACCGCTACGCCAACCCGACTCCCCTACCTATAGGCTCATGAAACAAAAGGCACACAGGAGGTATGAGACATGCCAAATGAAATGCTAATAGCAGCTTTGGGATGACGTCATGGATTTAGAAAAATAGTTTTGTTGTATGTTTAGTCATGAAAAAAAGATAAATAAATCTACATATTTGTTATAAAAATAACTAGTGTACCACGGAGGAATGTCGTCGTCAAGCCACAGTAGCAAGATGGCAAATGAGATTAAAGGGCACGTAATGTAATGTTTTAAATGCAATCCCTGAGAGTTTACCTCGCGCACACGCGCACTTCAAACGGAAACAAAATGAACAAATGATAGGCCTTTACTCTACCTTTAAAGAAGTGTACTTTTCAATAACATTATTCAAAGAGGGGTGTCAAATAGTTCTCATACATCTAAGAGGTGGAGAATGTTGCACAGAATATGTTTCTATTTTAACAAGTTTTTCATTCAAATTCACCAATTCAGACAATTCTAATATTCAGTTTCCCTCGTAAACAATTTCACATAGTTTTTGCAAAAGCAATATATCTTTCAATTTTTTAAGTTTGGTCATCTTATTTAGGTACTTGTTCAAGAATATTCGTCATTCCATATTGAACTCGTCTCAGCTATTGCCCAATATGACAGCATTTAGAGATCAAATTCGTCACATAGAAATTATATTAATCAATTAAAATATTGTGTTAAATAAAAATTAGTCTGGCGAGTGCTTATCTTCCTCGTGTCATCGGGCACAAATTCGGCTTCTGCTGCAGATGTCTCAGTGAAATAAGACGAAATTTAACAAATACTAGTTTGGTATATAGGACGAATTTGTTTTCTGGAAAACGCGCTTTGGCGTAGACGAGACAAACTCCTGGACGAATAATATGTACGTGCGCTCATGGTTTTAATTTGCATGAACTAAAATTGTCTTGTTTTTCTTTAAACAAACAAGTTAATTTTGTTATCGGACATGTTATTATTCCGTTCTTTAGGGTGCCACATCTTCGAGACAAGCGGCTATGTGTATAACTACAAGTTTGCAGCGCTCCCTCGATCTACCGATGGGGGAGTTCTTGTCAGATTCGCCGTGCGCGTTGATTATGACGTCCACATCGCTCTCACCGGACAGAACGCCGACTCCCTCAAAATGTACGAAATCATCATCGGCGGATGGACTGACACGAAGTCGGCGATTCGTCGGAAGAAGCAAGGAACAGCACTAACAACACGTTACGAGTCGGCGGGATGGCTGGACGGGCAGACCTACATGGATTTCTGGGTCAGCGCATCCCCTGGTACCGGCACTGCCGACTTGACCATCGCGGTCGGTCGAGGCTCGGACACCGCGCCTTTCATGAGTTACGTGGATAGCTCTCCGCTACCGGTGACCCACTTGGGGTTTAGCCTGTGGGGCTCGTCGTTGGTCGGCCAATTCAAGTTCTGTGGCCTTAATTTAGTTTCCGATTCTTAACTTTAGTAATGGCAGTTATGTTCGAATGCACCCAGCTTGACTATACCATGAGGGTATTAAGGCTATAAGAATACCTTAAAATCTTGTTTTATGGTTAGGCTATAAGGATATGCATAAAACATATCAAAAAATCAAAAGTTCTTAGCATTTCATTCTGATAAACGACACACCAAAAATCTGTAGGTTCCAACAATAAAAACGCAATGAAAGAATGTTTAAAGTAGCATATTACAAGCTTTTCGTTATCAAAATTCGGCTTGTTGTACATCGTCAATCTAGGGCATATGCTTTTGGTGATCAAACTTGATTCGGCTCGTTGTTACATCGTCAATCTAGGGTCTATGCCTGCATTGGAGCATAGAGCAAGGAGCATCACGATTAGTTTAATAGACTCAGTTGTTCATGGAGTCGGCCATATCAAATTGAAAGCGAGAAAACCTCTCTTTTTTTGGAACTTGCAAGTAGAAATGAAGGCAATGATATGAACGTTCATTACAAATATGCTCAGTGTGATTGAAATGTTAATTTATAACGGAAGAAGAAATTCTAAACTTCATGTCAGTGAACAAAATCGCCGTCATCAATGCCGAAACGTCAATACTGGTTACTGGTAAAGCTGACCTGAAAGTCGGGAAGAAATCGTTCGAAAACGTCCCCAAATCTATGTATTTTTCTCAATTTCTAGGAACCCCTCAATTTGTTATTTCACAAGTAGTTGAACACTTGTATCATTTAAGTATATTCCGAATTTCAGCTTAATCTGTTGTTGCTAACGCTTGTGTTAAACCTTGAACTATCTCCAAGGAAAACTTTCGACGAGTATTTTTTTTGCCGCCAAACTCGCGTGCATGGTTTTCAGGTTGGCCGATTTTGGGACGACAATGCTGACGAAGCGCATATTAGCATATTCATTAGCTTCACTCGGCGTGACTTCGCGTGGGGGTCTTGGTATCGACCAATGGAAGCAGGCAAAAAGGGTGATATTTAGTAGTTAATAACTCGTGAAGGAGGCGATACTGCACATTTTTACTGCGCACCAAATGGATAGGAACCTTATTAATATTCGCGAGGCTTGAAAAAGACAGATATTGTAAACACCAGGGTTACAACTTTTGAAAATGCACGTTAACAGGCCTATTTTTCCAATTTCAACGTAAAGTACTGAACATATCAAAACGATGTTTTGCACATAGGCCTAGGCCTATTTGGATCATTATGAGGTAAACAAACCCTGAAAGTTAATGAAGATACGGTCTTCCGAACAGGAGAAATTGATTTTCAAAGATTGCACCCGCGAACATCAACATGTAGTGTGTGCATGTTGTTTCATTCCAAATCAAGCATTACGAATAAGGAATCGGCCTTCGCAATCACATGGCAAAGCGGGGCAACGGTTTTCAAACCGGGGGGGGGGGGGGGGGGGGGGTTCACTAAAAAGGGACACTTGCTCAGTCAAAGGCGACGGAAGATCCACAAAAAGTCTGGCGCCATGCCATTAAACAGTTTACAATTTATAACATGAATTCAGGGAACACGATCGAAAATGGCTTCCCAGTGAACCCATTTTTTTTTAACCATTCACTCACGATATCACAATTCAATTGTTCAATTAATCTTTCCTTTTAAGCACTTTGAAGGCTGCGTCCTTTATTAACATAGTAACAGAGTCACAGAAATAAAATACTAAGATTTCTTTTAAAATAAAATGTACGGACAGTCCTCAAAACACAATGTAGGCCTACATAAAATTGTGAAAACAAGTTGCGCTTATTTCATTAAACTTTCTTAGTCGTGGTGATATATTGTTAGTTTCACAACTTAAAAACAATATGTATATGGCAATGCAGGGATATTTCATAGTAATTATACCAGAGTAGTGCTGTGTTGAAACCATCTGACAAGGTCAGCCACAGTGTATGTGGTTTATGACCTTGTCTTCATAAATACACGGACACTATACAGTCACAGGCTAATATCACTGAGCTCCCAAGTGCACACAGAATTTGTCCACTAAGCACAGAAAGAATTTTGCTTAGCCGAAGCATGCAATCGGCCCCAATATGTAGTGTATACTGGGGCTTGCTAGTTTTTATTTTTTACTAGGTATCACTTGATGTTACGCAGAAGCTCAGTGAAATTGCTGCAGCTGTAAATATTAATTAAAATGAAGTATCCCTTCAATAGTCTTTCAGTTTTTAATTTAGAGGTTTCGCCTCAAAAAATTTGAACATAAAAATGTGAGGATATTTAAACTTACTTTTTCGGAATTAGCTTCTAAAGACTCTGTACATATTACTTAAAAAAGAGATTTCACACGACATAATTACATTTACCATGCTGGTAAGTTAAAGAATGTACTTCCTCCTTTCATTGCACCATTCCTAAAACTGACCGAAATAACCATAAGATCAATCGTTTTGGAATAACTTTTATACTGCTAGAAAAATAGCAATTTAGAAAATCTATTTTCGGGATAAGACTCCAAAAAAGCACAGGCAAGGCCATTTTACCAATAATGAAGTACATTTCAGTGATAAAGTAGAAAAAGTAAGTTGGTACCATTAGCAATTAAAGCTAATTTACAACATTTGCTTTTGCTGTAATTTTCAGAAGTGGATGGATTTTGGGAATAGTATTTTATAGCAAATATTGTTACACTGACCTGTTTAACATTTTGTGTTGATATAAAAAATAAATGCTTGTAGTCTGGTTCCGTTACCCTACTTCATTTTCTGTTCATGGGTTGGAAAAAAACAAGAAATAAATGCTTGTAGTCTGGTTCCCTGACCCTACTTCAGATGAAAAAGAGCACTTTATATACGTCGGGGAATTGTCAGGTAAATGAACCAGGCTAGCTGGCTTGCACCCGTTTCTGGATGTATTACTAATTGCAAACAAAATGTGGACTAACTAAATTTGGTAAATTGGAGGCAGTATTTGAAAAAAGTCTATTTTTTTTTCCAATGATGGTTGGCAGACCATCATTGGAATTTGATACAAAAATTCAACTTTTCTTGACAATGACAGCATACCAAGTGCCATGATTTCACTAGATGCTTGAGACTATTATTCACTAACATTCAAGTAAGGTATTTCATAATAATTTGTTTGATGTTGGCAAATGTTGTATATTACCTTTAACGATTAACAAGTATTTTTAGCCAAGAAAGCTTACACAAACTTTTATTCTTGTTAGTCATGTTAAGTGCTACCTTACTTTCCCATGTGTTTTTGCTTGACTTAACACAGCTGCCCCCACTTGAAGTTGGTTAGCTGATCATATCAGAGACACTCATGTTATGTGTAACTCTACATATTGTTTAAATAATCAAAATTTAAATTCATTCAATATTGAGAGAAGCCAGAAATTATATTAAATTATATTAACAAATGAAATGCTCTTGTGCACTAATTGTAAAATATTGATTCTTTTTAGAATATCTTAATAGTTAAAATAATGTGATTGGTGACAACCATAGAGCTATATTAAATCACTAGAGCACTAACTCTTCATTCTTGCGCGTGGAGACGCTTTGAAGCCGTCCTGGGCGCAGACATTTTGAATTTATGTGTGTGTTTGTAGAACACAATCAAAACAGATGGATTGAATTTTAAAAGTGTACTCTAAATGCAACGCGCAAGTAGAACATACCCAAACAACTTAAGCGCGTCATGATGGTTAAAAAAAACGTCACGGTGAAAAGCATCTGCAGCGGAGGGACGCGCACACGTTGCGCTGTTTGCGTAGAGCAAAATGAAACCCTCATTTGCTGATCGTGCATTTCGGTTTTGGGCGTATCTGCTTCGATGATGCACCGGTATGGAATGCAGATATGCAAATAGCCGTACAAAAGCCGTACAAAATTTAGAGTTTTCCATAGGTTTGTGCACAACTAGTAATTTAATATAGCTCAATGGTGACAACTTAAAACACGAAGTAGAAATAATGCACACTAAAAAAGCAAACAAAAAATAGATCAACTATGTTGAAAGCAGAGAAATTTCAATACATTAAAAAAAGGTATAAAAATAAAAATGGCACTGTATGTACTTACATAAGTATTGGCTTGATATGGAAACATTTGGCCAATATATACAGACGTTTTCAACCGTTGATAATCCTGGGGCCCGATTGCATGGAGCTGTTGAGGGCTCGTCTCATCATACCTGGGACGAGTTCCTGACAAGTTGCGGGTAGAATCATTCACTTTGTCTGGAAGAAGCTCTGCATTTGTCCCGGACATGTTCCGGGGAAATTATCATTAGCAACTGCTTGAATCAGCAATACTTGATAACTTAATTACGGGAAGATTGTGCTGGGAAGTTGTTCAGAATCCTGCAACTTATACCCGATACTTGTTCGGAACTCGTCCTAGATATGAATTTGAGACAGGCCTTAAGCAGAAAATAATCGCTAGGCAAATTTAAGTCCTCGTCATTTATGGGTGAGATGATAACATGATTTTCTAAGCAAAAATTGGCGTTTACCAAATTTCTGTGATAGGACTCCACAAAATTCCTGACATAGGCCATGTCTGAATGACTTGGCTATGGCTAGATATAACACACGGGTCTATGAGAAGTGGCCGCAGCCGCATTCATAGCCGAGTGTGTAATTTCCAGCCGCGGCTAAGTAATTCAGATACGGTCTCAATTACATAGAACTGCTAAGTGTAAAACGCTGCTAAGAAAATTTTACATGCTTAACCCGTACCACCCCAAATCCATCAAAATCCATCCCCCCATTTTGGTGGATTTTGGGGGACTTGGTCCAGTAGGCCTGGTGTGACTAAATATTGATGGAGTTTGATGGACTTGGGCCTAATGGCCTGAAGCAGTGCTAGGGGTATCCGATTTGATTTTGCCTAGCTTCCTGTACTGCTATTGTGATAAAAGCCATGTACAGTTTTGTATTGAAAGCACAGTGATTGATGGATTTTTGATAGACTTTGTCCAGTTCTTATTAAAATACACTAGGGAGTTAGGGTTAACTGAAATTTGCTGGGAACCACTCACAAGCAATATGCATTCCATGGGTATTTGGTTGGTAACCTGTTTTCGCTTAGCAAATCTTTCCTGTGCTTAGCAGCTCCCTGCAATTGACCCCAGCTGCTGGGTACCGGTGATTTGAACCATGATTTTTACTCTTCTTGTGCCGAGTTGCATCCTATTGAAAAGCTTTTGCCTTGTCCAGACCTGTTTCAAGGAATTTGACGTACGTCGACACCAGAGGATCCGTGAAAACCCTGTGGGTACGAAAAACAAGAAATCTGATGATGCAGTACACTTCCCACTTGAACAAATTTGTGGGCATATTGCATTGGGGGAAACTGATTTCCAACATTAGCTAGATGTTGAGTTGGGAGCTGGTCTGCAGGTAATTCTGCAGGCAGAGGCGCACCCAGGATTTGGTTGGGGGAGGGGCTCAATTTTTTTTTTACAAATTTGTTAAAAGTTGAATTTTTTTCAAACAATTTTTTTGGACGCAGAAAAAAATTGGTGGTTTATTTTGGAGGGGCGGTCTGTTTTGACGTTGGTGGCGCCACTTACACCCCTATTATACTACTCAAAAACAGGCCACATTCATATCACCAAGACCAAATCGTGGGACTAAAAAAAAAAAAAAAAATTGACAACCTCTTGGGGGGGGGGGGGGGGCTCAAGCCCCCCGAGGCCCCCCTCCCCCTTGGGTGCGCCACTGTCTGCAGGTTGTGGGTTCGAGTCCAGCCTGGGGGTTGTGGTGTGTGTGTGTCCTTGGGCAAGGCACTTTGTCACTCATTGCTTCTCTCCACCCAGGAGTAAATGGGTATCTGTGAGGGCAGATATGGTTATTGTGACTGATCTTAGCTGCTTTGCGCCGAAAGGCAGCATCGAGCTGTATACTCCCCAGGGAGCTGAGATGGTATGTGGAATGTTTCACTGGCCCAATGAGCAGGGTAATAATGATGTAGCCCCTTGAGCACCAATAATGAGGGATATGTGCGCTTTATTAAAAAAAATACAAATAATTATTAATATATTGTTCCTTCATCTGTTATTCTGGGAAGCACTGAAACATTTGATTGGCTCATCAGAGCTCACACTATTGTTAAGCATGCAGTCCTTTTCAGCTGATTTACCCTTTAGTTGATAGCTGATGTGGCTATTCTTTGCATTCAGTTCACTTTCGAACTAAACCAAATTCAACCCTTTTATTTGTGCCTCTAAACTCAGCTGTCCTCTTTGTTGCATACTTCATTACTTGTTCTGTGGAACAAACCATTTCTTTCTGCATAATGGTTCACACAAATTTCCCAACTACAGGGATATGTGCAATTGATGCACTTCATCGTTAACCTTTTTTGAAGCTCGCCAATGGAAACTTGAAATCTTGTTAAGCTGGAAAATTAACTCCAAGTAATGCTGTGCAAACCCGACCCAACTACAGGGATGTGTGCAATTGATGCAGTTCATCGTTAACCCTTTGTAAAGCTCGCTGCTGCAAATTTGAAATGCCCGTAAGCTGGAAAAGTAACTAAAAGTAACTCCGAAACCGACTCAACCCGAAACCAACTTTGGTTCGGATCGGGTCGGCTTTTCCATCATTTCATTCAGGTTGGGTCGGTTCTGCCTTTATGATTTTCGGATCAGATTGGCTTGGTTAAACGACCTTGTGAAAAATCAAAAATAACCCCCCCCCCCTCCCCCCCAAAAATAACAAACATTTTTGACACGTGTTGCAATATTATTGCAGCTACTGTGCCCGGTACGACCAATATCATTCCAAGGCGCGACTGTGCATGTGGTTTGCAGTCTATCACCCCCGTTTATAACGTGTAGGCCCACCAGTAAAGGTGTCCACCCACGGATCCTCTACACGAGGATAAACGACATCCCCAAATTTCTGGTTAGTGGCGTGACATGGCACTTGGGCATTGTGCGTGCACGTGCGCGAGACTCAGCGGGCGACTGCAGTCTTTCAGTGGTCAAATTTCTTTCGGGAAGCCAGCTGTCAGCGATCATGGCACGCACGTATTGTTCTACATGTTCTATTCGTTGTTCGGACACGGCATATGTAGCCAATCCTTTCCATACACACGCACAGATGAGGCGTTTATCCTTGTGTAGAGTATCTGTGCTTCACTGTACCGTACGGTATGATCCTTTAGGCTTAAGGTCACAATACAAACCGTTCACCGATCGTTCCTGATAGAAAAATGATAAGCCCCCACACGCTTCAGAGTGACGCGGGCAACGATACAGACTGGCCATCAAAACCCTTTGCGGTTGGGTGCACTCAACTCCTCATGGACTTCGCTCAACAATAGAGAGCTTATAGGATTACGTTCTATTGTGGCTGCTGGGCGACTTATCACATGTGACCGGCTCGACAAAAAAGGGTATTAAGTTGCGCTTAGCATTATTGTGTAATGGCCTGCTCAACATTGAGAGGGTGTACTATTAATATGTGCTCTACACGGCTGGCCAATTGACACAACAATCCTGCCGCACAATAGCTATTCATAATAAGCTGCAATCCCCAGCATTCATAGCACTCTGCTCTGAATGGAGGGATCGGAGAGGATCAAAGAACCTGCCGCACAGCCGCCTTCCTTTGCTGTCGGGAAACGCTTCCTGTTGAAGCGGGCAACTGCAAACCCAGCTTGCAATGTACCAAAGCAGCAGCTACAGCGATGCAAAGTCTAAGAGTCATCAAGAGGACATTCAAGCACATTGACAAAGAAAGCTTTGGGATATTGTATAAAGCCTACATCAGACCACATCTTGAGTACAGCATTCAGTCTTGGAGCCCCTACCTAAAGAGAGACATCATGGTTCTAGAGAAAGTTCAGAGGAGGGCGACAAAGCTAGTACCAGAATTGAGAAGAAAACCCTACAGCGAAAGGATGGAACAGTTACACCTATTCCCACTTGCAGTGCGGAGAGTAAGGGGTGACCTTATTGAGACATATAAGATCCTGAATAGCTTCGACGATATTGATCCAGGAAAGTTCTTCTCCAAGTCAAGTATGAGTACCCGAGGTCACAGGTTGAAGCTGTTTAAGAAGAGAATGCATAAAGGTCTCCAACTGAGGAAACACTTCTTCTCCCAACGGGTAATAAGCAACTGGAACAACCTCCCAGCCTACGTCGTAAATGCCATGAATGTCAACCAGTTCAAGAATAGATTTGACAGTTACTTGAAAGAATCTGGATATGGGGTCTTAAAAGGCTTAAGCCTATAATTGATAATCCCATCAAATCTTAAGTGTAAGTGTAAGTGTAAGTGATAAGAAAAGGGATTAAGTTCTATCAGGAATGATTGGTGAACCGTTTGTATTGTGACCTTAAGCCTTACTGGGAGACGATGATTTTTTTTTTTTTTTTAAACTCATGCGACGCACATAAGTTCAGGCACAAAAAGCGGACGCAGTGTTCGTGAAATATAGGACGATTTGCCCAAGCCAGATATTCACTTCAACTGAGAAATGTAAGCATGAGACTTACTGTGAGATGGTTGGCTGCTCCTGGCCCATGTCCAGGAGATCGTTGGCATTGACGCTGTGAACCACTGTGCCATTAGGAAGCATAATGGACATTTGCACCGGAAAACTGTCAACAGGGAGAAACAAACCACATCTCAAGTCAGTCGAGGGCCACTTATGACACATTCTGAACGTTTATGGTCTGTAATGACACCATTTTCTATAGACTAATCGGGTGAGTAGCCATTACTGACATGGAATCACTGATTACTTATAAAGAGGGGACAAAGCACACACCATGAAATCACGAACCATGAAAGAAAAATATGGGCTGGACGTCATTGTGTGCATACCTTTTCTCCGTTTTCTCAAAATCTATAGTATCTACTGAGCTGAAACTGTTTCATTTAATTGTTCTGCACCCCTCTTAAGATTAAAAGCAATTTTGTTGCTTCCGACAAAAATAGAATGTGATGCGATCAAGCTAAATGCGTTGTTTGTCGACCCTGGTCAGTTTTTTTTTTACAGTTTTGAAAAGAGCACAATCTCAGCACTACTGATGTGAAAACCGCATGCTGGTACCATACTTCAAAAATTATGGAAGTTGGAACATCAAGAGATGTGATGTAGTGATGTGATGAAGGCCTGTATCTCCAAATGAAAGTTCCTGACAAAGGACTCATTAAGCTTGATCAAATTAGGTTTTGCCCTTCACCGACGTATTAACACTGTATACTCAGTGCGGTACCCGCTGCTATGTACATTAGATTCTAACCGGCCAACTGATCCCGTTAGCTCGGTGGTCGAGTGGTAAGACATCTGCACTAGAAAGCAGGAGGTCGTGGGTTCGAGTCCCACCCGAGTGATTTTTCCAACTTTCAGTCGGGAGGTAACACACTGAGTATACAGTGTTAATACGTCGGTAAAGGGCAAAACCTCATTTGATTTACATCACACCGACGCAACATTCCATCTTATGAATCATTTAGCTTGATCACATCACAAATGCACAAACAGCAAATGATGCCATGTACCTTTAAGTACCTTTACTTAAAATCTAAAAAATTAATTTCAGCAACCTGTAAACTAACGACAATAACCTTGGCTACACATTTGTTTATACCCTCAAAGTAACATCATAACCTCATTCGTTCAAGATTACAGACCATTACACCAAAACACTAGGGTTAAAGAGAAAGGAGCTCACGAGTAAGCATCCAGACAAGTAGAAGCCAGCTTGGCCACTGGGGTGAACTCCCTGTGGTCCTGGGTCCTCTCTTCTTTCATCTTCTCCAGGTCAGCCACCAGCGACCAGCTGCTGATGAAGTGCTCCTCCAGCAGCGTGATGACGGGCGTACTCTCGAGAGCCGTCTCTCGAAGAGTACGCCCCGAACCTGGAGAAGAAAAACACAGGAGTGTTCTCTATTACAGAAAAGTAGGTCAATTACAAAGCAAACATAACTCAAGTATAAACCAACTGCACATGTGTGAAATGGGTCTTAAGTCGCCTGAGTTACTTTCGACTATGGGCTCCGTGCACAAGTACCCCATCAACGGCCAGAAAAGGAGATTTGGGGTGACCTAGACTGGTTCCCAATCCATCCACTGCGTATTTTGAATGTATCCAAAGTTATTGGAGGCGGGGACTAGTCTCGGAGACCATCGCAAGTTGAATTCGAACGTATTCGCGCGCCGACGACGCCTGATGCTCTAATAGCTTTTGCACATTCAGGAATTCGTGCGTACTTCGCGCGCAAACCAGTACAGTACAGTACCCACACGCTGTGTGTCCCGTCCAAGGAACTCTCAAAAGAGCCATCTTTTCTTGGCGCATGGAGCCCATACAGGCCCTTAACTGTATCTTGTATAATCAATAGGTAGTGTCATTTTTGTTCATCAACATAATGTCCAAACAGGGGCGGATCCAGGAATTTTTGAAGGGGGGGGGGGTTTATCAGCAAATCAATGCTGAAATGTAGACAGGTTTTTTTTGGCAATAGGGGGGAAGGGGGAGGGCCTCGTACCATACTTTAAACGGGGGCGCTGTTCAAATCCGAAGATTATTAACACTATATCAAAGGATAGTATACAAATACCCAGCAGGCTCTCTCTGTATTTTATGCACGGCATATATTAATACTAGTATAAATTTTTTTTTGGTGTCAGAGCAGGGGTGTTTGGCATTATTTTTTATGAATTTCTATGGAAAAAAACCACATTTTTGACAGAGCTCGGGTGTTTTTTTTTGGTATTTCACATCAATGCCTTACCTCAGCAGGATTGGTCATCCAGCGACCCCCAGAGAAGAATGGAATGGACCAGCTTTTCCTCTGCGGCTGCACGCTGGAAGGCTTCAGAAAATGACAAATAAGGCACCTAGCATTGTATCAGTAGAAGAAAAAGTGAAAGAGAGTTAGCTTTTTCTATTTTAATAAAAATTGATTATTATATTGATTATTGAGTACAGTTAAGCCCCTCACAAAGTGAAATGGTTTCACAATTTAGAGCTTAATGTGCTTACAAAGTGCCAGAATATTATAATGAAGTGCAATGATTATTATGCAATGAAGTGAGAGCCCATATCACAACAATTTTAAGGGGGCAAAAATTACGAATTTCCTCACATAAAAGTGCTCCTTTGTGTTTGAAGGCACTGAAACTATTATAAGATCGCCTGGTCAGAGAAAATAGAGACCCGTGGCAAATGAAGTGTTTAAAACTAATCAGCTATAAAAGAGTGAACACCCAAAACATGATGTAATAAAACCCAGTACAATTTGTGTATAAAGAAAAATTACATTGCAGTTCATCGCGTCGCCGCACCACTTTTTGGGCAAGCTCCATACCAGAAACCGGAGACTTTTTTTTTTTGGCCTAAAAATGGCGGCCATTGCATGTTATTCTATGATATTTTTTTTCAAAGGACAACTCTGTGATGGCCCTATAGCCACATATCTTTCCCATGACACACTCTTACTGTGTGCCAAATGTCATGCTTTTATCATCAAATGAACAATTCCATCATATTGTTGCACCAATCTGCCTGACTAGGCTTTAAAATGTTTCAAACTTTTTTTGCAAATTTCTCATGCGACTTATTGCTTTGACATAATAAATTTACATTTAAAATTGCCCACGTGCTGTAGTATGAAATGGTATCCACTCACTTTTTTAAACGAATAATAATGGAGTTCCAGTATGCTGAATGCATCTTCCATGGTGATCTGGTTATTCCAGACGACGTTGCCGTTCAGCAGGTCATTTATCGGGGGCGCGGCCTCTTGAAGGACCTCCCCGTTCTCGCCGTAGACCGAGATGTGGCTGGAGGGGCTGGAGACGGTCAGCTCCATCTGTGGCATGTAGCCGATGTCCACCTCCATGTTTTCGTTCTCCATGGGGCCATTCATCCACTCCATATCTGTGGAGAAAAAGAAAGCAAGGGGAATACACTATTTGAGACCACAGCCTAATTTCATGGTGCTGCTAACCACAGAATTCTGCGCTTACCATCACCATTCTGCGCTAACAGCACTAGCAGAGAAATTCTGCACTTACCCAGTCAGCAAAGAATCCGTAGTTACGGGATGTTTATGTACGAATGCGCATAAGCCAAAATTCCTTACTAACCCGTGAAGTACGCTTACCGTAGGCACAGAATTTTCTGCTACAGTAAGCAGGGACTTTACGCTAATGGTAAGCTGAGCCAAGAAATTGGGCCCCGCTTCTATAGAACGAGTCTGCAAACCAAAACTTTTCACGTGTCCTGCTTATAAACGCAGTACATGACGACTTGACTCGGGGAACATACGGCTGGGTAAAAAAAATGGTTTTTCGTCCGGGCTTTTAGAAAAATGAAGGAAGTGGGCTTTTTGTTTTTTCCAATTTTTTTCTCAAAGATTTTCCAAGATGGCTGATAAATTCTTCTATTTTCTTGACCATTTTACTTATACATAGCTACAATTTGTTGGAAACAAATAAAAAGACAATATTGATAATACATTTGCAAACTATATATGCAAATGTACGAATTAACAAAAAATCATTAAAAAGGAGGGAAAAGGAAGCAGGCTGTTATGAGAAACTGGTTTATTTTTTTACTTGGCTAATTTTCAATTTTCTGGTTATTTTTTATGTTTTGCTACAGATTGTGTTTGCCAAAAATCAAATTGTCGAAAAACAAACATTGCAAAGTGTTACAGTGAAGGTCAAACAATATATGCCACGTTTTAAGCAGGTACATGTAATATTTGAGAACATTTTCTGTGCAACAACTTTTTTCCTATTATAGTTTATTTCGTGGATGTTGATAGAGTATGTATAATACATGTAAATGTAAGGACACCTGTGCTAGATTCCAATTTCATCCCTTTAAAATTTTTAAAATCTTAAGAAACAACAACAACTCAACTCAAATAACAAAATCAACAAACAAAATTGGTCCCCCATTCCTACCAACATATATAAAAGCTACAATGAAATGGAATTAGTTTAAATATTTATTCAGTCCAATCTCTTAAACAAAAAACTGCAAAACCTGTTCCACTAGCTTAAACTCACCAACATTGAGGCTCTTATTGCTGGGTACATAGAGATGGAAGTGTTCAATGTGGGAAGAGTCTCGCTTGATGATGAGGTTACCAGTGAATTGAGCTGGTGTGAACCAAAACGGGTTGATGGGAGGCTCATTCAGCTGAAACTCAGCGTGAATCCTGAAAGGATACCAACATTCAATTTGTCACAAATGATAAAGATAAAGTTGAACAAAGAAGTTGACTGGAGCGGGATTCGAACCTGGGACATCCGGATTACCATAACCAGTAGGGCTGTGCCAAATATACCGAAAAGTCAAATATTTGATAATCAACCGATCGCCCAAATAGCGTTTTGTTTTGTGAGCGGTCTCGAGGAGACTATGAATTTTTTTTTAATGCCACACTTTTGTTGAAAGCCACTTCCGCGCATGATCTGAGAGCTCCCGGGAGGAATACATGTATCAGCTCAATTTTTTTCTCTGCATTCAGTAAAATATCAGCCATTCCACTAAATGTTTTCCAAATTATTTGAATATAAGCTTTTTGGCAATTCTTGGACAAGGTGCAGGTGCACACAAATCTTGATCGATGGCCAGTTCAGACTGAGGCTGACGCATGTTAAAACTTGTTCAGCTCATTTCGAAATGGAATATTCAAATATTCAACTATGATTCAATCAAGTCCAAGTTAGAATAATCAAATACTAATTTATTCATAAATGCACAGCGCTGATAACTGATTTTTCGTTTGTTTCAAACTATTTTTACAAGTCTTGGGCTTAATTGTTTTGCCCAAGTACATCTATTTTTCACAAACAAAAATTTCTTGGAAACTTCTGGGAAACGTACAAACGTTTTCAAAAGGTAAACAAATTAAACAAAAAAGTGCAACATATATTGAGATGGGCCACGTCATACAACCATGTACAAGTACACATGTACACTGTATATTCCTACATATGCTGTTACATGTAAAGTACACATGTAGATTTTGTACTAAAAAAATGTTTAGATTGTCTACTTGTTTTCCCAAGCATCAAAGCCACACTGTCGACAAAAAAGTCTGGCGCTGCAAAATGTATTCAATTCACTGCGAAATTCACTGAGAGATATCAGGTCCCATGCTAGCTACAGAATTATACACACATTGCAATCCTAGGCCTAACCCAAGAACGGCAAATTTCCAAGGTATAGTTGTGTGGGCGGGCCGTCACCACGTTATGGGGAATTATTTTTTATTGTTAGGCAAATTAGGACCGAGTGATGTGGACTTTCTGCTGTCCCCACAGCATCTTCGGTCCCCATAGTTCCATGGGACAACTCATATGTAGTCCCCACAGTTACTGAACAAGTATGTGTGAGCATTTGCATTCTACTTTTTAACAATCTTTCCAACTTTTATCATTTCGTGGTAAATGCTTTTTCAAACCCAAATGGGTGCTTTCTCTCAAAGTTTTCATTTAACCCTAACTCACTAGCATGATTTACTAGGAACCATACCCATCGTTGCAAATTCCAACACCATATGGGAAACTGCACACACATATTTCTGACTTTGATTCTGGAGGTGTGCCAACCCAATGTAAAAGAGTGTCAGTTTAGGGGTAATAGTCCTGTACCTATCCTGACAGATTCCAACAAAACATGCCTTTGGGTTTGATGGGTTGAGTTCTGTTCTGTACCGTAAAGATGAACAACAATCAATATTTTGCATTTGTGTAAACTACAGACATAGCTCAGATGCCGGTACAAGTAAATACTAGAACAGTTATCATTCCTAACATGCTTGGTAGATAACGATGGGCTGTGGAGATAAATAAATGAGCAGCATCCCAGACAGTGTTAAATAATCCATTGATAGGCCGTCCTTTACAATTTTTTTTCCATTTGGCAATGGAGGATAATAAATTAATGACAACACAATTACAATTTCTCTTCAATTGAACTTAAAAGCAGAGGTTACGTAACTCCTTCATCTCACTAGAAATGCCTCTTTCCCCCGTTTGGCCTTAAAGTGTTAAATTAATGATGAGACAATTACGATGAATATTTCAAAGGAAATTAAAAGCACACGTCCTCAATCTCCTTGGGAGGATTGCAGAGACCTTCTAAGCTGACTGGAAATGCTGTTTTGTTTTTAAGAAGCTTAGTGGTGTAAGATTAGAATATAAATAATGCATGGCTATGAGTGCAATGGTATCAATAATTTCATGAGGTGACAAATGAAATAATTCTTTCCACATGTACGAATGTGAAACATTACTTCTTTTATACAGGGTGAGTAAAAAAAAAACCGAAACCCAAATGTCGGGCCTATTGTTTTAGTGCAGTTCTGCATGTAGCACTTTCAAAATCTAGGAATATGAAAGCCCAATTCATAAGCTTTCTTAGGCCCAAAAAAAAATATATTTGGTCTCTGTTCAGACCAAAGTTCCGGAATTGACGCGGCCACGCGGCTTTTTTTTTTTTTTTTTGCTTTTTTAAAATTTTCTTCAAGCTTGGATTGTACAGACAAGGTGGGGTATTGTTTTGCTTTTTTGGTGTCCTCATGTACATTGGTGTCCTCCATAATTTGCCTTGGCACTTTTGATGATCTGCCTTGGTGCAATTTCCCATTCCTTGGTGCTCTTTGGTAAAACAATTGAGGAGGTGCGGAAATAGAGGGCGCTGTTGGAGCTACCGCGGAACATTTTGGAAAAAAAAAAGATCGACGCGCATGACCGACTTATTATTTTTTTTGGCCTTAGTACAAGAATCATTCAAATCACTCATGTACTTTTCAAGTTATGGAATTTTAAACACAACAGTTTTAAAGTTCAGTCCACGGATCAGAAAAAAGTGTACGTTCTTTCAGCAAAACGAAAACAATTCACACACATCCATATGTGATTTGTTTTTGTTTTGCTGAAAGAACACTTACCTTTTTGTGATCCGAGGACAGAATTTTAAAACGGTGGTTGTGTTTAAAATTCCGTAACTTGAAAAGTACACGAGTGATTTGAATGATTCTTGTACTGAAAGAAAGCTCATGAATTGGGCTTTCATATCCTAGATTTTGAAAGTGCTATATGCAGAACTTCACTTAAACAATGGTCCCAACATTTGGGGTTTTTTTAAAATTCACCCTGCATAAAATAGAATATATACAGAACAGGCAAGCATATACTGTGCATGTACACAAGATAAAAAAAAAACCAAAGTAATGTCGTTACTCTTCAACAAAAACTTTTACTCCTAACAAAGTTGGGCCTTTGCGTGTTTTATTTTAACAGGAAAAACTGCTATCGTCTAATTTGGGCATCTGCAACCAGCTGGGAAAAAAAGCCTTTTAGTTGGGATTGCTATTGTACACCAAAAAACCCCAGATCCAACCTGCGAGTAGACTGGTTCCCGGTCCCAACATTATCGTTTCTAAAAGGGGGCAGGAAGCAGTCTGCCCCACGAGAACTGAATTATTGATGGCCTGCAAAGAATTCATTGTACAGTGATTTATTCCATGGTGACATGTGTGCGTTTTTTTAGTCCATGTCTCACTCAAAGTGAAAAACTTTTGTATTGCAAGAAGAATAGCAATAAAAAAAAAAAAATTTGAGTGACATTAACAAAAATATTATTGTTAATTTTTAGATTTTATATCTGAAAATTAAAGGTTACAAAAAATGAAATGTAGCTGTAGCAATGTGTAAACTTACGTTAATAACTATTCACATCTGTCTATTCCCCCAAAAGAATTAAGGAATAAGCTCAAGAATAAGGACCGGAAGTAAAAAGAAAAGTTGACGTACCTGAAGACAACGTCAACATACATCTCATTCTCAGCGCGGATTAGGGCCGCTGCCCCCTGCGGCCCGAAGCGCGTGTGGACAAACGGCCGCGGGTGGAACATGCTCAGGAGCGCGTGCAGTAGAACCTCCCGGCCCACGGTCTGCGGCGGGTAGTAACGATTGCTGGACAAAGTGTTGGAGAACACGTTCAGGTTGGACCTGACCAGCTCGTAGACCTGGCCCACCGGAACGGCGCCCTCGGGCAGAAAGGCGGTAAACTGCGGCACGCCAAAGCCTGCCACGGAACGGAAGGGGCTCATCCAATCATCAAGCCCTGCTAAGTTAGCATCCTTATTCTAGAAAAATGGTAAAAAAATTAAGGCCATACTGGTATTAAAGGGAATATACATCATTTGCTTTTGCTGTAATTTTCAGAAATGTATGGATTTGGGGGGTTGGTTATATACAGCAAATATTCTTACACTGACCGTTTTTTTACATTTTAGGTTCGTAGTTGCTAGAAAAACCAAGAAAAACAATCATTTTCATGTAGTCTGGTTCCCGGACTCCATTTAAGATGAAACGGAGCAATTTACAGACGTTGGGGAATTGTAAGGTCAGGAAACCAGTCTAGCTGGCTTTTACTCGTTCATAGGTGTGTAATTGATTGCAAACAAATGCGGACTAACTAAATATGGTAAATTGGGGCCAGTATTTGAAAAAGCCAGTTTTTTTCCAACGCCGGTCGGCCGACCAGCGTTGGAAATTGATACGAAAATACCACTTTTCTTGAAAACGACAGGACACCAGGTGCCATGATTTTACAGGATGCTTAAGAGTAAGACTGTCATTCACTAAGAGTCCAGCAAGGTATTTCAAAATAATTGGGTAGCTTTATTTATGTTTGCAAGTGTTGTATTTTCCCTTTAATCTACAGAAAACCACAATTTACAAAGTAAGGTCAACGGTGTATGTAACTACAGATGAGAGTTTAAGATGTGATGAGGAGTCAGGTTTACGTGTTGGTTCTTTCCTTGTCTGCCACCTCTGTGACTTGGTTTCGATTCTCATCCAGGCTGACATGTGGATTGACCTATCGCCGTTTACGAGTTAGCCACGCCCCTTAGACAACCCCATGGAATTTTGTATGTTAATTTTTGTTTGTCTCAGGTATATCATGTAATTGGACAATATTTCACAAGCTGCGTTCACGCGATTCTACCGCGATAGGTTAATTGTGTTCCAGTCCCTGCTCGATTCTGTGGTGTTTGCTCAACGTATTTGTCTCCGGTTTTCGTCCCATCTTTAAAACTAAACATTTGGATCACTGTGTTTACCATTCAGACTGGCCAGCTACTTTGCCATGGGTACTTTTTTCAAGATTGTTTCGGTTCAAATTACCAGAATCAAGTAATTGTGATACCGGTTTCAATAACAACAACAACAGTTTTGAATCAAATCTTTTTGCCATTATTGCTGCACAATATGATGCAATTAATAGGGCAAAGTTGACTGTACTGCAGTGGTGAAGCTGCAATAATTAACTGCAATATTTTTGGAAGGAGAACATCAAATTGTATGCTAATGCCTTATTTCCAATTATAAGCTAGTTCAGGCCAGTTCATACTTCATGGAATGTAGGTGTCAAGCGAATTGTTGACGTTATGAAATTTGTTTCGCTTTTGTTTTCAAAAGTATTAACAGAACAGTTTATCTGGTTGCAGGTATCCAAAGAATGTCACAAAATACAGGGTGAGTCAAAAAGAATCTGAAACCCAAATGTTGGGACCATTATTTTAGTGAAGTTCTGCATGTAGCACTTTCAAAATCTAGGATATGAAAGCCTAATTCATAAGCTTTCTTTTAGTACAAGAATCATTCAAATCATTCATGCAATTTTCAAGTTACGGAATTTTAAACACAACCACCGTTTTAAAGTTCTGTCCACATATCACAAAAAGGTAAAGTGTTCTTTCAGCAAAACGAAAACAAATCACATAGGATGTGTGTGAATTGTTTTCGTTTTGCTGAAAGAACGCACACCTTTTGTTGTGATCCGTGGACAAAACTTTAAAACGGTGGTTGTGTTTGAAATTCCGTAACTTGAAAAGTACATGAGTGATTTGAATGATTCTTGTACTAAAAGGAAGCTTATGTATTGGGCTTTCATATCCTAGATTTTGAAAGTGTTACATACAGAGCTTCACTGAAACAACAGTCCCGAAATTTGGGTTTCGTTTTTTTACTCTCCCTACATATGCACATATTTACTATGATGAACTGAACATAAAATCATCTTCAAAAATTCCTGAAACTTTTTGTATGGGAATAACACAATGTGAATGTACTATCAGAAGAACTGCAAGATAACAGAAAAATGGCTTGACAAACAAAAAGACACAAAGATTGAGTTGAACTGGCACAGCTTACATTGAGCAACACAAACAAAAAACTTACACTGAATACACCACCCCTTTCCGTGGTCATGGATTCTGGAATGAGCGCCTGGAAATGAGTCTCGACTGAGAGAACCTCTTGTAAAGGGTCAATGTCTTGCATAAAGCTGTCAAAGTCAACAGGCTGTGGAGAAAGAAAATACATGCAAACATTGTAGTCTTGCTCCAAAACTGAATTTACTTTTTGTTCCAGTCATTGCAATGCAATAATTGTGGTAACAATGCACACTGCGGCGTTAATGGGTGCTATCCTCAAGATGAACAAAATCCAGTAGGAACTTTGACCTTTGAACCCAAGAAAGTCTGAGCATACCTCTCCTGTACTATATTCAACTTATCGTGCACAGGTGGGGCAAGCTTGGAATTTCTTGGGTCCCGAGTGTTGAAATTCTCAAGACTGCCTTTAATTCAGGGACCAGCTAAATGTAAACTAATATGGGGAAAAAGTCAACATCCAATCTTGGGCCAAGACTAGCAAACATAACAACAACCAGGAAATATCAAGTACATGTATGTTGGAATAAGACAAATTTTGCACATTTACAAGGAAATTCGAGGAAAAATTCATCCGTGGTACATTTCCGAATTGAAAAGAACCATAGGCATTTCAAATGAGTCTGCAAGTTACATTTGATATGGTATTCAATTTTAAGTGAATTGTTCTACATTTTTATCACAGACTACCTTCTGTTAATTCTACTAATTTTACTGTGAAAGGCATTCATGATATATGATTACTTTCAGTTCTACACTGTGGAGAAAACTGTACACTAAAAAAAAGATGTGTTCAACTGATACCCAAAACACAGTTTTCTGTGTGTTTTTGTACGTTTTCTGTGCGTTTTGTTATTTTGAAGAAATCAGTTATGGTTCACAAAAACCACAGGGTTTACAAAATATTACAGGGACAAACAAACGTTGAGGGGCTACTTGAAAGGCCCACAACCACACCACAACTCAGTCCCATTGGGTTTTTTTGTGCCAGTGCACTCGAGAAACCCAAGTATTCAACACCAACAAGGTCATGTGGTCCATTCAGAATTTGAGGCTGCTTGGCCATACATTTTTATCAGACACACACATGAAAACCTTTCAGTGCTTCAAGAAATAACTTTGGTATCTGTAGAGATGAAGGTGACACATGTCACATATGTGGGGTTATCATGGGTGAAACTCCTAGCACTGTTGTTCCTTGAATCAGTAAAACTAATACAATTATGCAAATGATTTTTTTAAAAAGATGCTACAAATGCAATGTGTTATCTCAATAAAACAAAATCCTTAGTGAGATGTTTTAGACGTGCCTACAAACAATTCCGAATCTCCCAATATGTAACATGGTTCCTTTTTGCATTTTTGTCCCTCATCTTCCCATTCCTAGTTTTTATGTTTTAATGTCTTTGTCTGTATAACGTGTCTGTATGTCTGTCTGTCCGCTATCACGGGAAGGACTTGTGGGGTAGGAGCATTGTTGTCCTTTTATCCCCTTTTCCAAAGATTTCACTTGTGGGGTACCTCTCCCTTTGTATGTAGTACTCCACAAGTCGTCCTGGTCAGTACGTCCGTACTGTCAGCGTTGCGTCCATCTGCATTCGCCTTTGATTTTATTTTACATTACTTGTACTGTACTATTGACTACTTTTCGTTTCAATATACTGCTTATTGTTCTTATTTAAAGCTATCGTCCATCATTTGCAGCCATCCGAAAAAGTAACTGGCGTATTATTGTTGAAAAACATACTTGGTTGAAAGATAGTAAGTGGACTAAACTCCCTGTGAAATTAATCTTTCTGGCAAGCTATCATTTTGAAGTAATCAATGAAAGAAGGCCTTTCCAACGGTGCGTTTAAGACGTCGGATCAGTGCGCGACATTGCGTATAGCTGCAATTCAAAACAATTCAAAATATGATTCAGCAACTTTTGATTTGAAATTGAGATCCTAGAATGCTGTTTTTCTCGGAATATACAGCTGAAGCTGAGCTGAAACTTCATCAGGTTAGTTGTTCAGTATCCTTCATTAGATTTTGAACACTTTTGTTGCTTCAAACGAACAAAATGCACAAATTACAAATGATGGACTATATCTTTAATTCTTTTGAATGCAGAGTAAATGTATATCAAGCCCTTCCGTAACAAGCTTTTGCTTTCTGTGAATTGGCCACTATACATTTGTTTAATTATCTTTCCCGAAGTTATTCTTTATCCTTTTTCTCTGCCGCAACGTATGGAAATAAATGTATATAATCTCTTTCATTCACACAAGTACGAGAGTTCAGTTATATTCACATGTTCAGTTATATCACATGAGGTATCGCCTCGCCCGCTTTGAAGGGCGGGGCAAAGGCTTTGCTGCCTCGCCTTTGTGGGCAAGACAAGGCAAACCTAGCAAAGCTGGTCCCAGAGCACACCAAATTCTATTCAATTGCTATTCACTGGAAGTCTTTTCATGCATGTGGCCTACAGTGTACACCAGATTTAGGACATACATTAATGCTATATATATTCCTATTTTAAACGTTCAGGCAAGGGCGAGACGTAAGCAAGTCTAATTCACTAGTGACAGTCAGTCAATGAGTCAGTCAGTCAGGGCCAAGTTCGCGCAAGGACTATAGTTGACCAATGGTTAACTAGCGTTTGCCCGAACTCTGTCTAGTCAACGGTGGTTGACTACGCTAGTCGACTATTTGGAACCAGCCTACTGGGGTTGGTTGCTTCGCTGGTAACCAATAGCTGCGCGCATTCATAACGCCAGCAGAGAACCAGGATCCAGAAATTTTGCGATGACATTTTGACTAGCGTTTGACTAGAGACGTTCGCACGTTGCTATTAGTGCGCAGGCGTAAGGTACGTCACAAATCAACCACTAGTCGACTAATGGTCCTTGCCCGAACTTGGCTGGCTCCTATCCAACCAGCAACAGCTGGACATCATGGCTTTCATGATACACAGGGCAAATACAAATGTATGAGAAAGACCCCAGTACCCCATTGCTGTTGTCCATTAGTCAAAAGTTTTGTGGTATCTATCAACCCTTTTGTCAGAGAAGTGTCACATCAAATGTATAGTTTCAAAACTATTCAGCAACTTTTACTTACCGTTGTAGAGCATTATGTTTTTTATGCACCTACTGATGGAAAGTGACATACCTACATCAAGCCCACTGTCTGACACACTAAATCAGGACCCCCCCCCTCCATCACAGTAATAAAGGACATGACACACAAGCAACTATTTAACCCCAATGGCCCCGAATCCTTCAAAATCCTCTTTGCCAAAGTGGAGGCATTTGGAGGATTGAGGTTATGCAAAGGTGCGTTACTGATTTCGTAGGATTGCTCAGCCATGCATAAATATAGGCCTGGATTATGCTTGAAATCCTCCGTACTGCTCCAGGATGTCACCGGCCAAGCCACAACATAATAATAATAATAATAACTTGGGAGGCTAATCATCCTTACTCGCAGCTGGTATGCTAAATTGCGAAGGACGCGGCTACAACGTGGTCGGGCCGCTGGCACGTAAAGGCGCCTATGGCTGCCGGCCACATCGACCCATACATGACCACGGAGCAAAGCCTGAGATCGAAAGTGTTTGATTTTTCCAGAGGGAGGAAAACCGGAGGGCCCGGAGAAAAACCCTCGTGGCACAGGAGAGAACCAACGCACAACTCTACTCACATGTGATCCGCGGCCAGGATTCGAACCGTGGTCACCTTGGCGAGGGGCGAGCGCTTTACGCACAAGCCACCCATGCCACCAGTGACATACCGACAGTCACTGCTGCAGGATTTTGCTGGATTCAGGCGGTTGCCACCCCTCCCTGGACCATATTCAAGAAATAATGGAGGAACTCGCAGGATTGAGGCGATATGCTATTTTTCCACAAGGCCAATTTGAGGATTTTGCAGGATTGAGGCAACATGCTTGCAAAAAGGCCTAGGGAGTATTAAAGTAGCGACTAAACCTCACCACATTGTCAGGGGCAGCCAACTTGTTCAGAAGAGGTTCGAACTCAGCCAGGCTCAGATAACCATCCGAGTCTCGGTCGTAGGACTGGAACATTGCGTAGCCTTCCTCCCCGATCTTGCTGCGGACCATCATCTCCCCGATTCGCCTCATCTCGTAGCTCTTGACGACGAGGGCTGTAGCCACGGCCAGTACCGCGATCACCACCGACAGAAGGAACACTAGCAGGCAACCACATCGCTTTTTAGGTTTGCGGCCCACTGTGCCCTGCTCAGTTGTCTGCACAGCAGCGTCGATAAACTCTCTCAGCTTTCTTTCTCCGTCGCTGTCTGGGGGTGTCTTTTTCTTGTCTCTATCCATTGTACCAACGACACACGTACTTCTGGGAAAGCAAAAAAAAAATCATTTGGACTCTTTGCTTCATTCAAACTAGGGAGAATTTGTTGTTTTTATGGTAGAAGTACACTTCAGGGCCCTGTTCCACAAGGCTGAAAAAATAAACTGTGTGTTTACGGAAACATGACCTACATGTAGGCCCTACCTAGATTTTTTTTTTGGTGGCCAATTTGCTTACCTAAAACATTTTATTGCTACATTTGGCCAAAATTAAAAAAAAACTACACTTTACAATTTTATTATTAATATTATTATTAATATTAACTATTAAACAATAAAACAGGTTATAGTCAGGGTACCACAAAGTAAACAACACATTAAGGAATAACAAATTAACATAGAAAAGTTGCAAAATAAATATCCAACCTACCCTACCTACCTTGATAATTTTAGAGCATTTTAAAACTAAGCACACAGGCTACATGTAGTAATTGCCCCCCCCCCAGGCCTCCAGGTATGGAACTATAAATTAACGAAGTGGCTATCGTTACGGCATTCGTTGTTTAGCGCCCTCAACGATTCTTTTTTGATACGCACGCAGGTATATAATTATTTGTTTTCCCGTGTTTTGGTGAACAGTGCGACAGCTCAGTCGATAGCGGGTAGGATTTTGCACCGCGAGGTTGCGGGTTCGCATCTCAGTTTTGCACTCAAATTTTTTCCCTTTTCTAACCTTAGGCTTTGGAGGTTTTTTTTTAAAAGGGAAATAAAGTCCGAATTTTATAACGTTCAAATTCACTTTTTTCCTTCTTATTTATATTTTCTTCTCATGTTTTTATAAAAGTTGCAGTAGCCTACTACCGTAACGATAGAAAATGGGAAATGCGTTACGGCTGCCGTAACAATAGCCACTGCGGAAAAATCACACTTTGGTCTTCTTCTTCTTCTATCATATGGCATGCACAGCCTACTTTATGCGTACTCCTAGAACTATGAGGCTCCACCATAGTTGTAGGATAGCTGGAGTTACCCAGCCCTGAGTTTTATCATTGGGTTGTCATCTAGGGCTGGAGCGAATTTTTCTCGTAACTTGTAGTATAGGCAAATTTTTTTGGAAAATGTTCAATGTTGTCCCCGTTACACACTAATTGCAACTGCAACTCACCCCAAACTTGCCTGGAATAACCATTACACAGGTCCTTGAAGTAAAAAACGATCCACGATGAAGATTCAGCCTACAATTGCAGTGAAAACAGGAGGAATAACCGCTAACTTGACAACCTTGCTGGATTGGCCAGGACCGCAATTGGTTTGTGCACAAAAAAAATTGTGTACAATGAATGGCGGTCGATTAACAGGCACAGAGAGCGATCGCTGTCAACTACTCGTTTTTGCCGGCTGCGCTGGCTGTTGGCGCATGACGTCACGCGGAAGCGTAACACCCGATGACTGTTTCATGCACTATTGGTTGCGGTTCCAGTACCAAAGCTGTGATGCGAGTGGTAAACCTTATATTAGTGCATGAAACAGTCATCGGGTGTTACGCTTCCGCGTGACGTCATGCGCCAACAGCCAGCGCAGCCGGCAAAAACGAGTAGTTGACAGCGATCGCTCTCTGTGCCTGTTAATCGACCGCCATTCATTGTACACAATTTTTTTTGTGCACAAACCAATTGCGGTCCTGGCCAATCCAGCAAGGTTGTCAAGTTAGCGGTTATTCCTCCTGTTTTCACTGCAATTGTAGGCTGAATGTTCATCGTGGATCGTTTTTTACTTCAAGGACCTGTGTAATGGTTATTCCAATTTCCAGGCAAGTTTGGGGTGAGTTGCAGTTGCAATTAGTGTGTAACGGGGACAAAATTGAACATTTTCCAAAAAAATTTGCCTATACTACAAGTTACGAGAAAAATTCGCTCCAGCCCTAGATGACAACCCAATGATAAAACTCAGGGCTGGGTAACTCCAGCTAGTTGTAGGAGTACTTTATGCGCCCATCATGCCCATCAAAGCCCCCCCCCCCCCCCCCCCCCCCCCCCCCCCATTTTAAGAAATGAACAGAATGCAGAAGAATGTACACACCTCTCTAGTCTAAATTACAACATCTCAGGTTCGTCACTGTCGTGCTTCTTGTCCCATGTACTTCCTATACTGCTCACTAGTTGTACTTATGAACTCTTCAGCAGGAACAAAGAGAGCTGAATCTGAGCTGGGATTTTTTTTTTCCAATCAACTTCCTGTTTATGTTTGCACGTAGTCCATCGGCGCCACATGCTTTTTATATTGCGCCCTCAATAGTCGAGTCTAGTCGAAAAACTCCATTGATTGGAGCAGAAGGTAGAGCAGAAAGTTCTGCTGCTGTGCTGGTACGCTCAGCTCAGACTATTTTTGTTGTTGAATATTAAGTTTCATGAGTGAAGTCTGTATAGTCGGGCACACATTGGTGGGTATGTAATAAACAGTGTCAACTGTAGCCAACAACAGATGCACAATGCCATGTGCACTACCACATGGGAACAACATCTGAACATAGAGCAATCAACATTGATTGACTGTTTCGTTGGGGGGGGGGGGGGGGGGGGGGGGGAGGGGGGGGGGCTGGGAGCGGGATTTTTAGTACTGATGCCCTAAGTTACTATGGCATGGCCTAACTACACCGGTCATAGGTCCGACGCCTCATCATGATCATAAGTCCGAAATTTTGGACTTATGAGGCGTCGGACTTATCGGATTTATGAGGCGTTGGACTTATGAGGCATATTTCTGCCTCATACTAAGTCAGACGCTGCATGAGTCCGACACCTCATACTATAGGTCCGACACCTCATAAGTCCGAAACAGCGTTTGTCCATTGTCGGACTTATGAGGCGTTGGACTTTTGAGGCGTCGGACCAGTATGAGGCAGTTTTATGCCTCATAACTTGGACCAGTATGAGGCAGTTTTATGCCTCATAACTTGAGTCCGGCGCCTCATAAGTCCGAAATTTCAGACTTATGAGGTGTCGGACTTATGATACGGCCCCACTACACAGTATTGAGAGTCCCAAATTTTCAGACTAATGCGGCACTCATTTTCACAAGTATAAGTACAGTTGATTGACCGGCTCCTCAAATTGCCCGGTTCCGCAATTTCGAGAAATTGAATCAAGTTTTCGGAAAGACAGAATCGCCGGAGTCATCAAACTTGCTCCTGTTGGAAAGGTTGTTCATACTTCTTACAAGAAATATTTTATTTTCCAGGTCGAGCATTTTTGTACGAAAATAATAGCTAAATGCTTACGATCGTTGATTACTCATCGCGCACTGGCACAACTGCGCGTGTGCGGAACTTTGATGTCATCATTTTTGCCCGGTTCCAGTTGGTACCGCCCCGACTATGGAACTGGCCCAACTAAAGTTGCTCCCATGACCATAGTTGGGGCGTAACATAACCACTTGGGGTGTTAATTATGAACTTTATAGCTTAGGAGATGTGTGTCAAATACATGTAGCCTACTGGACTTCCTCCGTATTGTAAGCCACACAGCAGTCATGGCAGTGATGAGTGCTTTTATTTTTTAGGCTACTGCTAAATTTCCTGAAAAGGTTTTGTTTCCTGAATTTTAAAAATGTTGGAACCTGACGCCTTTTTCTTCGTCATTATGTCATCTCAATAAGGGTCAGTCATTGCAAAAATTTTGAAAGACATGAATCTTGGACTGAGACATGTATTTCCAATTTTGTTCGGAACTACCAAGAAAATTTGCTTGACTCTCCATAGACTTTGTACACAACTGCTGAAGTGGCGTCTGGATACTACATTCTTTCCATCGATTTTTTGCAATGGACATTAATTAGAATAATCAAATTCCCTACCTCTACTAGACGTCAACGTTTCCTGTAGGCCTAATTTAGGGGAAATAAACTGTTCCTTGCTCTATGGACAGAGATTGTCCGATTGTTCAACTGCAGGATTTTTCTCGAGGTCATGGGCATGCACCATTGACCTTTTGATTTTACCCAAATATTGAAACTGCAATTTAAAATGTTGGCGTCCAAGTAGACCTATAAATGGGACCCAGAGACTGCACTTTTACAGTATTTTCCTTAAAAGCAACAGAAAATAACTGGTAATTTAAAATTTTAGTATAATCTGCTGACTTTAAAGGGAATATACAACATTTGCAAACATCGAAAAATAAAACTACCAAGTTTTTGCGAAATACCTTAATAGGATGTTGGTAAATGACAGTCTAAAGCATCCTGTAAAATTATGGCACCTGGTATACTGTCATTTTCAAGAAAAGTGGTATTTTTGTATCAATTTCCAACGCTGATCGGCCGATCAGCGTTGGAAACAACTGGCTTTTTTTCAAATACTGGCCCCAATGGACCATTGCACTTGTTTGCAATCGATTACAAACCTATGAACGGGTACGAGCCAGCTAGACTGGTTCCCTGACCTTACAATTCCCCAATGTATGTAAACTGCTCTGTTTCTTCTTATATGGAGTCAAGGAACCAGACTACAGGAAAATGATCGTTTTTCTTGGTTTTTATAGCATTTTCGAACCCAAAACCTCAAAAAAGTCAGTGTAACTATATTTGCTTTATATTTCCAACCCCCCAATTCCATCCATTTCTGAAAATTACAGCCAAAGCAAATGATGTATATTCCCTTTAATAACTGAAATGTGACCTAAATCATTGAACTCTTTCATGTTGGAATATGTGTACATAGGTCACAGGGCTTGGCATCTTACAGCCCTTTGCATTCGTCAACAATTTTCAACAATGTGAGGAAACCCTCCACTGTTTGATCCAGGATGAGTTTCCGTGCAGTATGGGTCTTACCCTTGCCGGGAAGCGGCCCAGAAGACCTCATATTCATCAAGTAAGTGTGAGAAACATTTGAAATATTAATGTTTCAATTTTTTAAGTGTCAACTGTATAGCATTGGTCCTAACTAGAGTTGCGACTGTCCCAAGTATTGTGTTGAAGTTGGGCTTGACAACTATATGGTTTCGCTCGTACCCCCCGCCCTGCAAACAGGACGCTGGGATACTCTGCTGAATTCATGCTCTGAGTGGTTGGATTTTGCATGACTTGTGACGTGCGCGTCATCACGGTCATGACTCTGCAAGGTTTGAAATGGCCGTTAAGACTGATTCAATACTCTTTTATTCCAGTTTGGAGATGTTTTTTTTTCCGTTGAAAAGCGTAATAATGTAGGAAATTCTGTAAAACTTATCTGTGTTGTAAACTACAGTTCCCGTCACTTGCTCAGGCTCGGTTTTGAATCACGAACGGTCGGATTGCATTATGCGACGCTCAAAATTTTGTCCACATGGTCCGCAATGAAACAGAAATCACATCCGGTATGGAATGTGCACATTTCTATGGGAAGTTTTCGGATAGCATTTGCCCACATTGTCTAACTGCGGTCTTGAACAGCTGCAGCCAGATGCTTTATACATAGGTCATAGGCCACTTCCTTCACAAGATTCTGTGAAGCTCATCAGAGTATCCCAGCGTCCTGTTTGCTGGGTGGGGGGTACGAGCGAACTATATAGTTGGACACTGCGACTCCATGCTGATGATCAAATGGCATGTTAGATGGCGAGCATTTACAAACAGTAATATTGTAGAATGTCAGCAATCTTAAACTTACAAGCCAGTAGTTTCGATTGTGAGTTTGAAAAACTATTCAACTCAGGAAAAACGTGTTGAAGGTGATAGAACTGTGCATAAACCACTCTGCTGGATCCAATAAAAGAAAGGTTGCCTGAATGCACTTGTGATTTGACTTGTGATATGACCTCACGTACGTACTCTGTACTATTGTAACTGCCAATGAATGTTGTCTAGATATAACTTGGTTGTCAATTTTGGTAATTGAAACTTCATAACACTTCTTTGAATTGTACTTTGTACCACTTTTTAAACTTCTTTTGACTACTTCAACCCATGTGGGACTTTCTACAAATTCAGTTGGATTATTCACTTTTCAGTTTTCATGATGTGAGTGTAAAATGTTTTACTTTTAGGACTTATCCAACTGTTGAAAAGAGAGCGCTCGTCTTCAACGGCCCAGAGAACCATGTTTCCCTGCCATCAGACGGTGTCTTGTATGATGCCACATTGGAGGAACTTGGACTGAAACAATCTGGCACCAAGGTAGAAATTGCCTGAAACCACAATGTTTTTTATTTCTCCTAACAGGTTTTAATATACAGCGTATACATATCCAAAAACACAACCGAATGGCATATACTTCCACTACCTTGAGACTTAAACAACCAGTACCAATGGATGGAGGATCTTTTAAGAAGAATTATGATACCAAGATCTCCCGATTCGGTCCAGTAGTTTTTGCTGCAGAGCCAATTTTGTGAAGCGCACATCTTTCATGTGGGTATTATAACATAATAATTAATCCCTCTATCCAATTAATTTATATTCGCAGGCGGTTTAGTAATTCATCAGGACTAAATGACTCCCAACTTTGTTTCACAACATAGGCTCTAGAACCAAAAATACTGGACCGAATCGGGCGATCTTGGTATCATTTTTCTTTTAACAGAATTCCCCGTGCATTGGTACAGATTGTTTGAGTCTCAGGGTAGTTGAAGTACGCCGTTCCTTTTTTTGGGAGGCCACCCTGTAGTGTTTATTTTAATGAAAAAAAATGTTTTTTCCTATTTTTTGCACTGGTTTTTTTTGGGTTTGGTTTGCTTTTGCACATAACACATATATTTGTCCCGGGAGTAGACTGGTTCGTGTATCCACATAACCAATTGTAAATGGGGGCGGGAATCAGTCTTCCCAGGAAATGATTCAAAATTTGTGAAGTAATCATTCCATAACTACACATGGGCTGACTTTTTTTCATGCAGTGTTTCTTTTAAAAGTAAACAACCTTCGTATTGCAATTAAAGAGCATTTTAAAAATCAAGATAGTTTTTGTTGGTGTAGGCCTACAACTTGAAAAACAAAACATGGAGAGTACATCTTTGAGGAAAATGCCAAAAATGTAGTAAGAATGGAAAACTCGACCCATGCAGTGGCTTTGGTTGGAATGCTAAAGTGACCCATGTGCTTTTGTTTGTGTGTTTGTAGTATGTGGATTCCAGAGATACATGTGACAAGGAGTTCCAGAAGCCAGTCTTTGAGATCAAGGTGCTAGGTGGCAAGCTGTGGCCAGTTGTCATCATCCAGAAGGTTCATAATGACAAAAACATTGTACAAAAAGTGCCAAATTTCAATTGCTCACTAGAAAACTGTTTCAAAAAGTTCATATAGGTCATTTCATAAAATTTGGGGTCCAATTATGTATGTGTCCCTGTTATATCTGATGTAAGATTCTGTCTATGCAAAGTACCTGCCAACCTATTAAACAATACTTTGAAGAGAACTGTAATGACTTTGCAAATTACACAGGTCAGGTGTAACAGGGACACAAAAAATGTCACACTTTTTGTCCCCACATTTATGGAATGACCCATATCAGAAAACCCTGTTTGGATAATACTCAAAGAAAACGGAAACAATCAGGTAGGGCTATGTATGTCATATTGCACAAAGGCCTTCCTTACGTCTAAAATTGGAGAACTGCAGGATATATTGGATGTGTTATGGGCACAGTGTGGTCTTTCTGTCAAGTCAAGGAATTTTAAGTGGTGTGGTGTAGCTTCTGTAGGCCAGCTTGCATAAATTAATTCATCCAGGTTCAAACAAATTGAGAGTATCTTTGTTTTTTAGGGGTAAATAATGAAAGGTTTGCGGAAACACCATGTGGGAATAATTTCTCAACTAAGAGAATGGTTCTGAAAAGAACCAGAGGTATAAACTCGACGTTCCGGTCAGTATGCTCTGACCGTCTTTCAGAAAGACGGTCAGAGCATACTGACCGTCAGAGCATACTGACCAGAACGTCAGAGCATACTGACCGGAACGTCGGTCAGACGGTCAGAGCATACTGACCGGAACGTCGAGTTTATACCTCTGGTTCTTTTCAGAACCATTCTCTTAGTTGAGAAATTATTCGCACATGGTGTTTCCGCAAACCTTTCATTATTTAGTATCTCCACCATGCAAAGCCTCAAATCTTACTTTTTAGGGGTAAGTGTAGTACTGTAATCAGTTGAACTTCATAACTGAAAAGATCTATCAATATCGTATCCAAAATTATCCATACTTTTCCTGGCTTTGAATGAAAATGCAAAGGATCCCATCAGCCTGTAAGCATTAGGCCAAAAAATATATATATTTCTTCTTTCGATTACATGCTTTTCAAAAATAGGGTAGGTAGGTCAGATTTTGTTGGTTTTTTGGGGGCCCATTTTTGTTGTGCTGATTGAATGGGGAATTCATTTATACGCAAATTTCAGCCTGAACCTTTCCATTTGGCTACAAAAGCTATTAAAAAAAGGCCACAAAAGTGATAAAAATGTGCCTCAATTAATGTCAAAAATAGTTAAGGTCGATAATTCTTTAAAATAATGGAGAATTCAGGTCGTTTTTTTAACTTGCCGATAAAAATTGTAGGGCACTGAGAGGCGATGTCTTCCTCTGGTTACATTTTACTCTGTAAATTACACAGAAGATGTAACCAAATTTTCTTATGTTAAATGACGATTCTTTTTTGTTTCTATTTAGTTTGGCCTTCTGTTTTGCTGCCTGCCTCTTGTCGAGCAGAGTTGTGAACCCAGGCCACCTCTTATAGAGATGTAAGTCCACTGAGGATGGGAACCCATCTTGGTAAATGTTTCGGGACACTTTCTTCGTTTAAGTTTTGCTGGTCCCAGAGGGCCAGCCTTGAGTCCTCTTTGCACCTGTCTCACTGATTGACTGACTGACTGACTAACTGAATGACTGACTGTCACTTGCGATCTTGGCAGTGCTATCATATAGGATTACCCAATAACATCAATGAATGGGCTAAATCTGGCCCATTGTGTAGATCAGGGGCGAATTTTACGAACTCTAATTCTTAGGAATGGTTACTCGTCTTGCTGAGCTCGTCTTAACTTAAGATCGGTCTGAGGGTCGTCTTATCTCATTAATGCGTGCGTTAATTTTTATACATCATAGCAATATCTTATCATTAAAGACGAATGTTAATTAGCCTAGAGTTATAGTTTCGAGGAAGAAAACCACTTATGAAACAGATTTTAAAAGATTTCTGGTATGTGGGTAGGTTTAAAAAGATAACTTTAGAATTAACAAAATTTATTATATGCCAACAAGTCAACTTTTTAAAATAGAATGAAACGGAGAGCAAGAATGACTCTTTCTTGTGTAGAACTACCTTGCGTGTGAAATTTATTGAGTAGAGTAATTTTTCTGGCTAAAGTTCGTGTTCTATGTGCACACACACGGGAAATTAGTGTTGTGCATTTCTTTTCAACGACTGTTTCGTCAAACGGTACAAACAAACATGAAACAGCCATCGAATTGGTAGTTTTGATGTGTCTTGCTTAAGATTGGTTTAATCGATCTTAGAACACGACTGAGCTTTTTTTTTATCTTAGAGCAGGGACTCGTCTTAAGTCCTACGATGACTCACAAGATAATACGAGTTTCATGAAATCGGCTCATGAAAACACCTCCAGCAAACAGCCATTTTGAATCAATTGAAGAGAATTTTGTGTGCCCTGGGACCAGGTTTACTAAGTTTGCCTTGTTTTAATGTACAATCACTTTCTGCAACTTTCTTTTCTGTCTGTTCAACCATTTAGTCTGGGCGTGTCATTGGGGCTATCTTTACTGTCTGCCATAGCCGACTTCATGGGTCATTTACCAAAGGATTTCAATGCAGTAAGTACATATGAGTTAAAGGGAAGATATAACATTTGTAAACATCACAAAACGAAATGATCAGATTATTATGAAATACCTTACTGGATTGTTAGGGAATGACAGTCGAAAGCATCCTGTAAAATCGTGGCTCCTGGTGTGTTGACATTTTCAAGAAAAATGGTATTTTTCCAATGCTGGTCGGCCAACCAGCGTTGGGGAAAACTGGCTTTTTTCAAAAACTGCTCCTAATTTTTCATAATTAGTTATTCCACATTTTCTTTGCAATTGAGTACACACCTGTGAAGGGGTACAAGCCTGCTAGACTGATTCTCTGACCTTACAATTCCCCAAAGTCTATAAATTGCTCTGTTTCATCTTCAGTGGGGTCAGGGAACCAGACTACAAGAACATGATTGGTTTTCTTGGTTTTCCAGCATCTACAATCCCAAAATGTGAAACAAGTCAGTTTAACAATATTTCCTATAACACACTAATCCTCCAAATCCGTTTATTTCTGAAAATTTCAGCAAAAGCAAATGTTGTACATTCCCTTTAATTTTCTCCTCCCAAAAAGCATATTTTACAGGCAGAAATTCGCTTTGCCTTTAAACCCTAAATGTAAGCAGTTTTATTCCATGAAATCACTTGGGGTTTAGGGGATGATTCCTGCAGGATTATTAAAAGGGAGGGTGAAGATTTTGGAGGTTTTTAGATGCAAGTTGCTCAAGGCTGTGTCCAAAGTATTTGGTTACTGTTGGCATTAACACATGCATCTACATGTATGAGAATCACTTGATAAACAAGGTATTAACAGACATGTCCTAAGTATTTCTTTTTTTCTGGAATCTCATAATTTTTTTTCTTTTCCCTTTCTGTGGTTAAGAAATTTGTGGAAATATTAGAATGCACCAGTTAACCCTAACTCCCTAGGCCTTTTTGCTAGGATGTAGCCTCAATCCTGCAAAATCCTCCAATTGGCCTCATGGAAAAATAGCATATAGCCTCAATCCTGCCAATTCCTCTGTTATTTCTTGAATATGGCCATGGAGGGGTGACCACTGCCTGAATCCTGCAAAATCCTCCGGCTTTGTCTGTCAATAGGCTGAGGCAGAGGCAGTGACATCCTGGAGCAGTGCGGAGGATGTCAAGTATAATCAAGGACTAAATTTATCACGGCTGAGCATAAACAACACAAGGTCCGGCCCAAGACCTTGACACAGTGCGTACTCCGAAATCCGCAACGCACTTTTGCCATGTAACCTCAATCCTGCAAAATCCTCCAATTTGCAAAAAGGATTTTGGAGGATTCAGGGCGGTTAGGGTTAATGTGCATGAAGAGCTGCTCATTAAATATTGTAATTAATTTAAGGCAATTTGGGTACCATATGTCTCTGAAAGAACTGTCTTTTTTTCAGAGAAAATAATTCTTTTAAAAAATCATCAAACATTTGTTTGATGCTGCTCTGAATAAAACTGGAGACTTTATAAATCATCTAAACTGCCATTTCATGGGTGAACAAGAGTGGATTGGTTGACACAATGAACATTTCTGTGCTGTCCATTTTTTCAAATTCAATTACACGTTTTCTTTTTTGCTAGTCTCATCCCAAGGTATTGGAGCTGTACTCCTACATGTGTCAGGCAGCACCATTTGGTACGCTGATTGACAGCAACCCGACTACTGTCAGGGAGGCAATACAGAATAAACACTCAACCCAGTTAGTAGCTGCTCATGCCAAGGTACGAGTCAATCACAAGTTAGTCACAAGTCCATCACAAGTCAGTCACAAGTCAATCACAAGTTAATCACAAGCAAAGACCTATGTTAAATTACTAGAGCACTAACTCCTCAGTCTTGCGCGTGGAGACGCTTTGAAGCCATCCTGGGCGCAGACATTTTGAATTCATGTGCGTGTTTGTAGAACACAATGAAATTAGATGGAGTGAATTTTGAAAGTTTACTCTAAATGCAACGTGCAAGTAGAACGTACGCAAACAACTTAAGCGCGTCATGACGGTTTAAAAAAACCATGTCATGGTGAATCATCTGCGGCGTTATGCTGTTTGCGGAGAGGAAAATGAAATGCTCATTTGCTGATCGTGCGTTTTGGTTTTGGGCGTATCGGCATCGATAACGCACCTGTATAGAATACAAACGCAATATGCAAATAGCCGTAGAAAAGCCGTACAAAATTTCGAGTTTTCCGTAGGTTTGTGCACAAACATGAATGCGCCCAGCAGGCATCACTTTCCACATGAGTCAGCGCTCTAGTAATGTAATATAGCTCTATGATCACAAGTCAGACACAAGTCGATCACAAGTCAGTCACAAGTCAATCACGAGTCAGTCATAAGTCAATCACAAGTCAGTCACAAGTCAATCACGAGTCAGTCATAAGTCAATCACAAGTCAGTCACAAGTCAATCACGAGTCAGTCATAAGTCAATCACAAGTCAGTCACAAGTCAATCACGAGTCAGTCATAAGTCAATCACAAGTCAGTCACAAGTCAATCACGAGTCAGTCATAAGTCAATCACAAGTCAGACACAAGTCAATCACAAGTCAGTTCATAAGTCAGGTTACAAGTATCAGAGGATGAAAAATGATGAATGTAATGTCTTTGTCACAGTGTATTTCAGTAGCTTGTGACTGGAGACTGGAGCACTTGTGAATATCTGTGATAACTTGTGATACGACCTGATAACAACTTTCCTGATTAAATTCACAACTGTGCTAAATAATATGTAATTAAGGTCACAGGAACGTCTTAGATGCGATTGTTTTCTCAGTTTTAGTACCAAGTTTTTATTTAGTTAGCTCCAGGTTCTCTTTGTGATGTATTGCTTCGTCAAACCTTTTTCAATACCTCTTGTGCTCTTGAATGGGATGGAAATTCATGTCAGGCAATTGACAAATGATATGTCTAACTTGTTTCTCGCAATTTGGTTTATTTTAGAAAACCATGTTATGTGGCTCATAATACCCTGGATGAAATTATGAAAAACAAAATTGAACGAGGGGCTTTTCAAGCATTTTGTATGTGGCTCATAATACCCTGCATGAAATTATGAAAAAACAAAATTGAACGAGGGGCTTTTCAAGAATTTGTCAGACCTTTTACTGCACAAAAACAGTGCAAGTCGGTGGGTACTGGTAATGTTCCTGGCTCAAGAAAAAAAAATTGTCCAGATAATCAAGTTTCAATATCATTTACTGTAGGTAACAAAAAAATATGCACCAATGGGAGAAAAGGGCAAAGTGAACAACTACAAGAAGACCATGAGCCTGCAAATATAATGAAATCAAATGGTATACATGTACACAGCAATGCAGAAGATCAGTAGGCATTTGTGAGTGCATGAGGACGCTATTGACATAAGTTTACATGTTGCTACAGTAAGCCAGCTCGGTATTTCAACTGTGCATGCCCACATTGATATGGGTCACGGGTTATCCGGGATAATCGAACGCTCATTGAAGGCGCATGAACGCGCACGGACCCGGGCAAATGACACTCGCATGTTAATTACAAGCAGAATGGGCGTCCGCTTAACATCGCATATCATCACGTCAGTGATTTTATCCCGTATGACCTTTGACATGGACTACTTCATCGAGATACCAAATTGCACTTAAAGGGAATATACAACATTTGCAAACATCGAAAAATAAAACTACCAAGTTTTTACGAAATACCTTACTAGGATGTTGGTAAATGACAGTCTAAGGCATCCTGTAAATTTTGTTTGCTATTGGTTACATGTTCATGAACGGGTGCAGGCCAGCTAGACTGGTTCCCTTACCTTACAATTTTCCGACAACTATAAATTGATCCATTTTATCTTTAGTGGAGTCAGGGAACCAGACTACTTAAACATTTTTTGTTTTTCTTGGTTTTTCAAGCATTTTCGAAACACAAAACTTCAAAACAATATTTAAACAAACAGTTAAACAATATTTGATCTAGGCCTATTATACTAACCCCTCAAATAGTTCATTTCTGAAAATTACAGCAAAAGCAAATGATGTACATTCCCGTTAATGTTTGATATTTAAGTTACTGAACTGCTTCGGTGAACTGCATTTTTCTAGTTTTTGTACCCACAAAATGTCGTTGCTCAAAAATGTGAAGTGTTTGTTTTTGGTTACCAGCAACCGGCATGGAGACCAGTCATGACCAAAGGCAAAGGGCAGTTGCACTTCACCATCACAGAACAGGTGAGGGCGGTGTTGTACAACAGCAGCAACATGGAGGATGTATGCAGTGTCTATGGCAGCATATCATGCAAGGTAAGCTGTGGCTATTGCCAGGGGTGATTTTCGCTATTACACGGACAATGTTAATATTTACCAGTGTTGGCAACGTTTGGTGGACCGTCTGTTTGCCACCGCCATTGGCGAACCTTTGCAACATGAAACAGCAGTTGGTCTCCCTGCTTCATTTCTACTGTACCAAAAATGGCTGACTCGCACACAGTGAATGTAAAGCTTCAACATTCACCAGTAATTTTGGAGATTTTTAAAGCTGCTATCCAAACAGTGACATTTGTAACACTGGGAAACACAATGACATTATCGTTCCTCCAAGGTTTGGCACGTTCTAGGGAAAGGGCCTTGCCAAACATTTGCGCTACCGCTGGTTTTCTGGTCGTAGTAAAGCTGTAACTTGTGATTATGTGAGACTATTGGTTGAATCTTGCATTTGCAAGAGGACAAAAGACAACTTGTGGTTGGCAAATTGTATTCTAAAATTCTTTTAGATAGTCCAGCACCCGATTTCACGAAGCAAAGTGACGTGTCACATCACAAGTTTTGACGCATAACACGTCGCAACTTGCAATGCGTCGTATGATCCATTTCACAAAACTTAAGATATGTTGAAGGTGTGGTAAGTTCCTTGACAGGAGTCGTGAGCTCCCGGCTGAAAACACCTCGCAAGTAGCGACATGTCTAGTGGTCATCGCAAAATAAGAAGCATCAGTTTCTTAGCCAGTTTCATGCCATAAAAGTTACATAAACGAGAGTATAATACAGAGACAATGTGTGTGAAGTTGTAAATGGAAAATGCATCAAAGTAAATATGAATTAGCCTGGAATATTGCAGTTGAAATTTCAAAGTAGCTATACAGTCCACCGCGAGCCTGTTTTCCTTTAAAACTGCATCATGCATCCGCCATTTTGTTTTATGTCTTTTAAAACTTTTTGAGAGGAGATCCGATGACTCTTTGTTGAATATCAGAGGACAATTTACTGTACGCTGAATAAATACACATAACAGTCACCGTGTTGTGCTATTAATACACATATGACGCGTCGCACTTGCGACGTGTTTTGTGAAATGAAACGCAGGATGCATCACAGCTGCGATACATCATAGGGAAACGGCACGTCGCAGCGCTGCGATGCATTGTAAGTTATGAGTTACACGAAATTGGGTGCTGGTATTTCAAGCCTATCATAAAAGCAGAAATCGTAGTTAAGCGATCTCATGTCAGAAGCCATTCAAATGACTTTTAAGGCATTTCGTTGTCATTGTTCATTCCCTGTTGCTTGTGACCTCACTTGTGCCCATAGAGCTATATTGAATTACTAGAGAGCTAACTCGATGTACAAAGTGATGTCTGCTGGTTGCATCAATGTTTGTGCACAAACCTATGGAAAACTCGAAATTGTGTACGGCTTTTGTAAAGCTATGTGCATATCTGCGTTTGTATTCCATAACAGTGCATCATCGAAGCCGATACGCCCAAAACCGAAACGAACGATCAGCAAATGAGCATTTCATTTTGCTCTACGCAAACAGCGCAACGTGTGCGCATCCCTTCGCTGCAGATGCTTTTCACCATGACGTTTTTTGCGTATCTTCTGCTTGCGCGTTGCATTTAGAGTACACTTTTAAAATTCAATCCATCTATTTTGATTATGTTCTACAAACACGCACATAAATTCAAAATGTCTGCGCCCAGAGCGGCTTCAAAGCGTCTCCACGTGCAAGAATAAAGAGTTAGCGCTCTAGTAATTTAATTTAGCTCTATGCTTGTGACTGACTTGTGATTTCATTGTGACAGACCACAACTCTGTACACAAGGCTTCAAGAGATGATGCAATCCTAAAACCAGTCTGGTTAAATATGGGGACATTTTCTCAACTCATGTAAGTATATCAACCATTTTTTTTGTGGTCAAACAGGCAGACTTGGAAGGAGCAACACCAGAAGTCAGTGTGGCTGTCATTGTACCACATGACTCCCCACCCCTGGATAATCTCATTGTCCACCCGTGTGTCCAGGGTGGTGACACACAAATCATAAGCTCAGGTAAAATTCATGTGACTTTAATTTGAACATTCCTCCTTGTTTATGCAGTGCATAAAACTTTCCCATGTGTTGGTCTCTTATATTATCAACAAGAACATGTGCATATGCAAACAATCCAAGAGAGATTACTAGGTGATGCATTCTGGACATATTTATGACCCAACATTTGTTTAATGTACAGAATTTTGATGACCTGATTAGAAAAGTTTGGCAGTTATTCTAGTAACAGTTAAGAGCATTTTTCAGTTGTATCACACGCTTTAGAAAGTAATTAGGAAACACACTGAATTTGGTCAGATGCCCTCAAACTTCCAAAAATAAAAGTGATTCTCTGTGTCCTATTTTAAGAATTTACACAAAATTTGTCCGAGCACATTTGTTTTTGTTCGGACAAAGTTGGTAAACAGTTGGAAAGTTTTATAAGATGGAATTTTGTTAGAAAGTGTCGTCAGTAAATTCAGCCCCTGCGGCCCAATTTCCCTAAGCGTGTTCCCTCTTGTGCATCGTGCCTACAAAGCAATCAGACTGCCCAATGCCACATTTTAAAGGGTACTAATTTTGATAAAGAACTGATACAATATACAAGGGGGATCCAGGCTGTTTCAAAAGGGAGTTGTTGGTTGAGGAGTTGAATCTTCAAGTTTTTTAGCAGGTGGCTTAGGAGTTGAAGTCAACACATACAGTGACCAAAGGCCTTAAAAACTAAGTAAATTCAACAAGACAATCAACGGCCGCTCAGAGAGAGGTTCCGAGGAGAGTCGTGAGAGGGTGCTCATATATTACCATGACAACCAACTATCCGTTCCCATCAGGCATGCCAGGGCTGACCAGCCAGGCGACACCGGCCAAGCTGACGAGACGCAGGCTCCGTTTCATCCCCCCGAGGGAGCCCTTCACTCTGGGCTACTACGCCTCTGCCTCCTCCACCCCTACCACGCCCCCCATCAGCGCCACCTATCAGATGAGAGGCACCGACAGGGAGGTCACGCTCACAGTCAAGGTCAAGCTGAGCAGTAAGGTCAAGAATGCCTTGGAGTACTGTGAGGTTCAGCTTCCGTTCTACAACAGGTAAAAACATGGGAATGGGGCTGAGCCTTGATTGCAACATGCTCAGGATAATAAGCTCTGTTCTAAAAATCGTGCTACTGCCGTGCCAAACTCAATTAATGTGACTTATTTGAATTTAGCACGGCGATATCGCGGTGTTTAGAACCATTTGGCTCCGCATATAATTGAGTTCGGCACGGTAGGGTCCGTTGGCACGCTAGGGTCTCCCGTGATATTGTCATTCCAAATGGTCGTGGCACGGCACTGTTCTGAACACCATGCAATTGCTGTGCCGAACTCAATTCAGTTTGAAGTTAGGACAAACAGTTTAGGAATACGCATACTTGCAATAACCTCCCTAGCATCTGCATCACAGAGAATGAAATTGGCGCAAATATTTTATCGCGCGGAAAATTAATTGAACTGCTTGAAAGTTATTGTTAACCTGGCAAGCAACTGTAGGATGCATTTAGTTCAGCTATTAAGCTCGGTGTTTAGAGCAACTGCTGTCCTATTGCCGAGCTATTGCCAAGCTCAGTGCAATGAGTTTGGCACGACAGTGGCACGGCATTTAGAACAAGCCTAAAGTATTCAATATTTGAAGTACAGTGTAAAGGAAGGCTTAACAGCAAGTGACGTGCCAAAATTGTATTGTATTGTATCCCAAATATGATTCTTTATAGACATTTACAGCTCCATTTATCAACTTTTGTAATAATCTCTTTAAATGGCTAGAAGTTTTTACGGAGTAATTTTGTCCCAATGACACATATGGCCCATCCCATTAGAACCTCTTTTTCTTCCCAACCCTCCAAATGTTTGGACTCATGGATGCCCTGTCCCAACTTTAAACAGCAGAAAATACAGCTTTGCAAATTTACTTACATTGTAAGAGTGAGTTAAGAGCCAACCAACACATAGCTTTCCATTGTATGTAGCTTTCCATGCCGGACTGGGCAAATTTCTGTGCATTAGCAGTAATCTCAGCCTTTGTAACCCCCACCTTCCAGAGGAATAATTACTGAGATTGACCCCGTCCCCAGCATGGGCAGTGTCGTGTTACCAAATGACAGACGCCGCCTTGGGTGGAACCTTGGCGCCCGCTTCCCCACCCGCAGCCTGGAGGCCACTCTGCAGGCTAAAGTGCAATTTGCCGAGTATGACGAGAAGAGACAATCCAGTACCTACGAGGATCCATTCTGTGTCGGGCTGAATGCATACGCCATGGTCAGTAGTCCCTTTTTGACTTGCCTAAAATACTCAGTATGATTCTTGTGTTAGACTGCAAAATCTAGCGACTAAATTTCACCGAGTGTAGATTTAGTTAATGATGACGTTTTTATATGTCATGGGAAAAAAATATCTGCTCACTAGAACATCTCTCGCGTCTGAATCACAGAAAATAAAATTGGCGTAAATATTTGACCACCCTGAAGGTGCACTGAACTGCTGGAATGTTATTGTTAAGCTACTCTAGATGCATTAAGTTTGACCATAGGTCTCTCTCAAATGACGTCATTTCCTACAGACAAGCCACGTGCATCGGCATTTTGAGCGTCAACTTGCGTAATGCACATCGGCTGCATCATATTTCGAACACATTCCGAGCAACAAGTGCGCGTGTTTGGAACATTTTCAACACTGCGCAATGCGTGCTTGATTGCGTAGAATACGCAGTTGCAGTTCTCCTACAGAGACGACCGTCTTTGAGAGAGACCTATTATGTTGGGTGTTTAGAGCAACTGCCGTGCTATAGACGAGCAATTGCTGAGTTCAATTTAGTTGAGTTCAATATGGCAGTGGTTTGGCGCTTAAAACTGGCCTTACAAATGAAATGCCACCTACATGTAGTCAAGTAAGGGATAGACAATTAAAAGCTTTAAAGATATGCTGCCTGTGCAATTTATGAGTTTCACCATGAAAGGAACAGATTTCATTTCAATGTGCTATTTATCTAGCAAAACAAACTGTTTTCACTTTTGAGTGGGATATCAAATGCAAAAATTAGTCATGGAATAATTAAAGTTGCAAATTTGTAAGGAGAAAAAAAAAATTGAATTGTTGAAGAGCATGGACAGTGCATCTAAGTATTGAGCAGATGCTTGACAGTGTTAACCTTTTTAACGAATTTCAAAGTAAACAAGAAATGCTCCAATTATTTATATCGCCCCAAATGAACCTCCCTTTTCCATTGACCAATCAGCAACAAGGGTAGTTTACTTCAGGTTGATACGAGGATAAGATTGAAGAAAAAAAGACAAACTTAAAAACTATTTAAAGTGAAGATTCAACATTTGCAAACATCAAAAAAACAACTGATCAAATTATCACAAAATATCTTACAGGATTGTTTAGGGAATGACAGTCTAAAGTATCCTGTAAAATCGTGGCTCCTGGTGTGCTGACATTTTCAAGAAAACTTGTATTTTTCCAACGCTGATCGGCCGACCAGCGTTGGAAAAACTGGCTTTTTGTGAAAAACTGCTCCTAATTTTTCACATTTAGTTATTCCCCATTTTCTTTGAAATTGATTACACAGCTGTGAAGGGGTAAAAGCCGGCTAGACTGATTCTCTGACCTTACAATTCTCCAAAGTCTATTAATTGCTCCGTTTCAGCTCAAGTGGGGTCAGGGAACCAGACTTCAAGAACATGGTTGGTTTTCGTGGATTTCCCAGCATCTCCGAACCCAAAACGTGAATTTCAGTTTAACAATATTTGCTGTAACTTACTAATCCTCCAAATCCATTTATTTCTGAAAATTGCAGCAAAAGAAAATGTTGTACATTCCCTTTAATAGCATGAAAGTACATGTTCTTGTTTTATCATCTTTAGGGATCTTTAGAAAGAAAATTGAGGTCTGTTTTCTGTTCTGTTTTCTTAGATTTACTTCAAAGTGCCAGACTACACCCACACAGGTTGCCAGATAGATCCCAAGTCTGTACAGATACACCCAAGTGCCAAACCAAAGTTGAATCTAGGTAAGTTTGGTTTTTGTAAGATGTCGATAAGTTTTTGGACAGTTACACAATTAGTCTGTGTTATATAACCGGCATACAGAGCCTTGTCATTTAATTGGTGGAACTCACATCACGTGACATTCTTTATATTGCTCCCATTCACGCCGGGTCTCAAAAAGTCCCTTTTGCCAATGGGGAATGGGAAATACTATTGAACAGTTAGGATCAATCTTGTTCCATGACACGGTATTTGTATGCAGATGCGTGCTGGTGTGCGCGTTCAGCGTTGCGCGAAGCGCATATTGTGCCAAAGAGCCAGCTCAGCGCTACAGCGTTGGGTTCAAACATTTTCTTGAAGGGGTGGTTTGGAAGAGAGAAATACATTTTCCACCAAATATGTATTAAAATAAAAGTTCAAAAATCTAATGATAAGGATCTATATGTCAGTTATATAAAACAAATATTGAGTGGCTTTAAATCGAAATGAGAGGAATATTATCGCTCGGTAAAATCTGGACCTTTCCAGTTCACTCGGCTTCACCTCGTGAAAAGGAAAAGTCCAGATTTTACCTTACGATAATATTCCTCCCATTCCACGCTGAGCCACTCTTTATTTGTATACTAATGTCATTATTATTTGTGCATAATTTTGGGGTTTTTTTAAAGCAACAAAAGTGCTCAAAGTTTAAAAAGGATGCTTAACAATATTCTTGGATCAATGCTATTAAATTATATTTCTACTGTTGTCACACAGAAAATATCGTCTTTTTAGAATCCTCATTTGCTAAAAAATATGGCCAATTGGAATAAAGCTATTCAATGAAATTCTCTCAACAGTGAGGGAGTTTACGTCTGCCGAATACAAAGTGTGGAACTCCCATGGGGATGCTCAGGCGGTGTTCCCTGTCCCAAAGTACCTCCTGCACTGACTGCAGACACGTGTGTCGTGACTGAGCTTTAGCTGATTCGTCTTGCCAAAAAAAGAACATTAACAACACAAACTGTTTCGTCATCCTGTACAACTGTGTCACCTATAGGTGTGACGTCATTAGGTTTGTGGTCTATCCCGCACTTACGATCACCATTCTGTGCTTACAGCACTAGCAGAAAACAATTCTTTACTCAATCTGCAAGCACAGAATCCTTAATTAGAGGATGCGCCTCGGTCAAAATTCCTCGCTAACCTGTGAAATATGCTTACCGTAAGCACGGAATATTCTGCAACAGTAAGTAAAGTAAAGTCTGTCCCGAGCCAATGTGGCTCATCAGGCCGGTGTTTATCTCCGATTTCCTTGGCATGAAACGACTGAGAATATTTCTACTCCCCCTGAATGGGATGCCAGTCCATCGCAGGATTACTCCCCAGCTAATGCCGGTACCCATTTATACTCCTGGGTGGACAGGGGCAAGTCATGAGTCACGAATCCTAACCACTAGGCCACACACTCCCTTTCTGCAAAAGTAAGCGGGCATTTTCCAGTAACGGTAAGCAGAGCCGTGAAATTGGGTCCGGGTAGGTTTCTCTCGTGACAAAATTTCAAAAAGTCTGTACTGTTTGCCACACTTTTGTTCAGTTTTGTAAGCTAAAGGTTTGCAGGGCATGATTTTGATGCAATTGTTGTTGAAGTGACCATGCTAGCATCTCAGGACAATGCTACTCTGTACTTTCAGTAATTAACGCAAAGACTGAGGTCACGCGGATGTTCTATGAATATTGTGATATTGTACTGACTTATTACAGAGCTGCAGTTTTCCTTACCTGACATCAGTGGATTACGAAAGTCTTCATTTTTCGCAAAGAAGGTTGTTAAACCGACCCAGTTCCATTCGTGAGTCACAATTCAGTGAACTAAGAAGATTATAGACTTCTTGCTTGAACAGTAGATAATATAGGTTTTCCCGGCCAATTTCCTGAAATGTCCATTCACTTCTGAAAATCGGTCATTCGTTTTCCTCAGAATTTGAATGCACGTCTTTAATCCCATTTCAATTCAACAAAAGTTCAGTTGTTTTCATTGTCCGTGCATTCGGTTTTGAGAAACAGACGGCCAGTTGCGTTACCTGTGCATTCATTTACGCAAGCATACCTTTTCGCGCAGAGTTCTGGAATACAATTTCGTGAATGTGCAATCAAAAGTACATATTTCTCATACAAAATAGCATATGACATCACAGAACATTAAACTAAAAGTGACAGAGAATAGTCAATGTTTGAAATCGCCCTCTATAGCAAAAAAGAAGTCTTTGAAATGAATCTCAATGAAGTCTTGTAAATGAATCTCAATGAACCTAAACGAAAGGTGCTGCTCAATCACTTAATTGATTGAACTGAAATGAAATTGAATTCTCTGGTAACAAAAATTCAGAGCGTGTTCAGAGTGACTCTCAAATTCAGACGAAAACGAATGACCGATTTTCAGAAATGAATGAACATTTTAGGATTTTGGCTGGGAAAACCTATAACTTGGGGGGCTATAGTCATCCTTACTCGCAGCTGGTATGCTGAATTGCAAAGGACGTGGCTACAACGTGGTCGAGCCGCAGGCATGTAAATGCACCTTAGGCTGCGGCTATACGACCCTTGTCCGACCACAGATCACTGTCAGAGATCAAAAGTGTTGATTTTTGCTTTCACTCAGAATGTTCACATTCCCACAGCCTTGCCTCGTGAGTGTCAGGCGTCATCTGTCTCTCCCAGTGGTCTCCCCCAACTCTCCCTTTAAAGCCTGGTTCATACTTCATGCGGAAGCGAATGCGAAGCGAATTTGACGTCGTGAATCATTCGCTGCGAAATTCGCCTGAGTTGAAATGTGTTCAACTTTTACGAATTTGCAGCGCGAATATTTGCCGTGACGTCACAAATTCGCGTTTGTTTTTGCTTTTGCGTTGAGTATGAACCTGGCTTAATCTGTGGGGTTACTTTTTCACAGAGCCCATATTCTATTGTGTGATGAGCTTTGGCAAATTCCAATGAGTTGCATGCTGTGCTAATGACACAAATGTATGAGCTGAAAGTTACTCCAAGCTTCTTGAAAATGTGACTAGGATCTTTTTTTTATGTGTTAAAAAGGAAAATTGCTTTGAAAAGATGAATCTGAATACAAAAAGGAAAATCAATCCACCTTAAAGTCGTAATATCCCGAAAGTGTTTCTTTGAAATCGATAAAAAAAAAATATCAAAGTAACATAGATTGTATAAGTTTACTTCTCAAAATTGTATCAGTAAGATTATCTGCATTTCTCTTTTTTATACATAATTTTCAGAATGGTGATGAATATGTACTTTTATATGCAACTGATAAATTTGTATGATATTGACATAATAAATTTTCATAGAAATTTGTAAATTTTGAAATACATTTGTAAAGTGTAAAAATGGTTTCAAAGTGAGTTTTGTACGTGAGTTGAAAACTGACAATAAAGTCATACTCTATATAAATGCAAAATGTGGTGACAAAAGAGTTCATAACAACAGAACCAATGACTGAATAATGTTTTCTTTGATACCAGTGTATAAATGCAGATTGTACTGTAAGCATTGATATATAGCTCCATGTTGTAAACTGTTAGCATGGACATATAGCTCCATGCTATAGGTGATTTTCCCCCAATATAAAGCACTGAATAAAAGCAGTTCCCACTTGAACCAAAAGGAACCAAAATTTGGGAAAAACAACAAAAATCAGGGGAAACTCAGTGGCGGTTCTAGGGGGGGGGGGGCATTTAGCCCCCCCAAAATTTTGTCTAGCCACCCCCCAAACAATTCTATAAAAAAAAATTGCACTAGCCAAATGCAAGAATGTGACGTACATGCGAACGGTCTCCCCAGAAATAAATAGTCATGAGAATGGTGCATTTGTATACTTTTAGTTAATAAAGAGTGCCTCATTGTAGGATTTAATCAGCGCTCACGATTGCAAATATGGCACGAGCCTCACCCCCACCCCCAGTGAGTTTCGGAGGCCTAAGTGTCCGGAGAAAATAACTAGTCTACATTTCAGCACGCCTCCTTGAAAAAAAATCTGCATCCACCCTGCTAGCCCCCCAAAAATATAAGTTCTAGAACCGCGCTGGGGGGGGGGGGGGGGGGGGAGACATTTGAAAGGCGTACCGATCGAGTGTACGAGCGCGCGATGAAATAGCGCCCCCTTCAGTTTTGCCAAGAACTATTTTGTTATGCATGTGGCCGGGAAAACACCCAACTTTAATGTTCTGGCGGATTGACTGGCCTGGACGATTTCTCCTGTGTTTGTGTCACGCTGTCATCACGAGAGCCTGGCATATGAGGTCATCATCGGACAAGTCCTACCCTTGCCCAGCTGCGATCTGACTGTGATTGCTCACTTGACGTTTTATCCACCATCCAGGTGAGATCAGATTAAGAACTTAATCAGATTAACTTCCGTATTCGGGATTGACAATGTCCGGAACCTCGACTTCCGGCCTCCAGTCGTAGACTAGTTTTGACAAAGTGCCCATCAAGTCTTACAAACGGGGCTATTAATTTTTGGCTCTCTTTTGAAAGTTAGGAAAGAATTCCATACTTGGACATCACGTGACACCCAGTGTACAAACCCTATTAGACTGGTCTGAAAAAATGTTCTCAGTAAATGCTTCAATACTTTCCCTGCTGAATTTGACTAGGCCCTATCATCATCATGCCTGTTTAGGACATGTTTTATCGCTTTCTGATGGCCAGTAGGAAAAATTTGTGATGTCCAGTGATGAGGCAAATTTCAAAAGAGCCAATTACAATTTACAGCCCAGTTTGTAGGGCTAGGTCGAGGTCATTACCATCCTCCATATGGTCAAATTAGTGAGTTACCATGGAGCATAAGTCCCACGCCTCGTAAGTCCGACGCCTCCTACCGGGTAAGTCCGACGCCTCATAAGTTCGAAACATCGTTTGTCACTGTTGTCGGAATTATGATTGGGGAATTATGAGGCTAGGCGTCGGAGAGCTATGAGGCCGAATCCTCATACATTTTTGTAAGTTCAATGCCTCATAAATCCAATGCCTCATAATTCCGAAATTTCGGACTTACAATGTATAAGGGATCGGTCTTCCAAATAATCAAATTTAGGCCTAGGCCCTACTTGATTTTAAATCCGTGAAATTTTTAAAGCAAGATTTTTGTGACTTAGTGTTAGTCTTTTGGAATTTGGCTGTGAAGTATATAAAAATGTGGCTTAACAATTTATACACAGATAAAAATCACAGTAGTGAAGGAGAAATTACCAATGCTGGGCAAGTTTCTTGGCCAGTAAATAAAAGTTAAATCTGCATTTGAGAAACTTTCTAAATAATTTACCCTCCCTCCAAAAAAAGAGAGGAAACCATGGTTGGTTTTCTAATCAAATCCTAGTATTAATCTCAAATGACAGCGAGGATCAATTCATGCCTTACTGATCGCACACGTACCGGTAGGTCAAGTAATTGAGGGAAACAGGTGTGATTTACACATTAATGCCTGCAAATTGCAATACAGAACCTCGTCCCATTAATTGATCCCCCTTTCCAAGTTCAATATAAAATGACGTCAAGATGTTTTACAGTAAGACACCCCCCTCCACCCACTGGCAATTTTTTCAACGTCAGAAAGTCTTGAATTTCCTCCCCACTTTCCCCCAGTGGTAACAACGGTTGTAAATGATAAAAAAAACATGGGCAGGATGTACGTTACAACACAGGAAACTATAAATGTCAAAGCGCGGCCTTACACTTGCAGTGCATACAGTATGTGCGCAGATTTTGCAAGGTACATGTAGAAACGGCTTCAGAGTTTATGTCAGCAGACAAGCAGTACTCTCCAACTCCAAGCAGTCATTTTGGAATTTGTGTCAAGACATTTATTGGTAAGTAACACTTAAATTTCTCAAACATGCATCGTACAGGTTAAAGGCACATAGGATCATTTGCATTTACCCCAAAAGCAACCTACCGAATTATCATAAAGCATACTTGTATTAAAAGTTGTAGTGGTACTAAACACCAGCTTGCTGTCATTTAGAAGAACTCAAGAAATGTAGGTGATATCCAATGATCTGTCAATTAACTGATTTTTGGAACAAAGAGAACTACATGTATAATGACAAAAGGACAAAATTGTGTTTCGGGATCAAAAGGATGTGCATGGTTTCTCACTGTTTTCTCAAAAAGTGTAGTTCAATGTATCCACCAAGCTGAAACTTCAACAGGTTAGGTTTTGAGTGGTGTTGTCATAGGAAATGAACAAAATGCATGACCAGCAACTGATCCTATATGTCTTTAAGTAATAATTGTGTGGAGCCCATTGAAAAGTAATATGTTCCACTTTAAAAATGATGACTAACTTGTCTTGTATGTGGTGTAGGGGTGGAACACAGGATTCATGACCGTGAGATTGTGGGTTCAAGTCCCACCGTGGCCATGCGTGTTGTGCCCTTGAGTAAGGCGCTTTACCTCAATTACTCCTCTAAACCCATGTGTTAAATGGGTACCGGCATTATTCAATGCTGGGAAGGTAACAGACTCGCTGTGGAGGAGGTGTGGCGATCCCCCCACAGCAGCATATGAGTCTGGCCCAATCGCTAATGAAAGAGAGATGGGCACTCCGTTCCTGTTAAAGGGAAAATACAACATTTGCAAACATCAAAAAATAAAACTACCAAATCATTTTGAAATACCTTGCTGGACTGTTAGTGAATGACAGTGTAAAGCATCCTGTAAAATCATTTTCAAGAAAAGTGGTATTTTTGTATCAATTTCCAACGCTGATCGGCCGATCAGCGTTGGAAACAACTGGCTTTTTTTTCAAATACTGGCCCCAATTGACCATATCACTTGTTTGCAATCAATTACAAACCTATGAACGGGTACGAGCCAGCTAAACTGGTTCCCTGACCTTACAATTCCCCAATGTATGTAAACTGCTCTGTTTCTTCTTATATGGAGTCAGGGAACCAGACTACAGGAAAATGATCGTTTTTCTTGGTTTTTATAGCATTTTCGAACCCAAAACCTCAAAAAAGTCAGTGTAACTATATTTGCTATATATACATGTATTTCCAACCCCCCAATTCCATCCATTCCTGGAAATTACAGCAAAAGCAAATGATGTATATTCCCTTTAACACAGGTTCGTCAACCCTTTTTTGTTAGACTGAGCTATCAGACCCCGCCCACTGCCCATGTGTGCAACAACGTATGCGTCTCGCCAATGCCACACTATACAGTATTCCAGCGTACATGTGCATGCATACATGGCAGACTTTTGTGCAAGCATGGCAGATATTAATCAAGGGTTTTATTGGTCAAAACCGTGATCACAAGGCGGGGCTGGTTCGGTCTATTAAACTAAATCCCATGTAATTTTAATCCAATTAATTTATAACCGTGATCAAATACATTTGAATATTGTCATAAACCCTCATTTTATTGTCATTTACGTTTGCATGAAAGTTTGCAATTTAATTCATGTGCTAACAAATATGTTTTAAAATAAATAATATAATTATTATTGTAGCAAGAATGTCTCTGACAAATTTTTTGGTACCATAGTTTTATTGATCTATTTCAGAAGTTTTATCTGGATCGTTGACAGTTAATAATAATCATGTGATGCTAGGCAATAGTTCAAGTATTTTGTTCACCAGAAATCTAAGTAATCTTTGAGCCTCAAGTAGGGCCGATGTAGTTGCACTTGAAATCTACACGTGATGTCAAAATAACTATGAAATTGGGGCTGGACCCAATCCACCCTGAAAAAAAAAATTCTGCAGGATGGTCAAAGTTGTGAACTTTAAACATAACAACAAAATCAAAATCAAGAAACGAATAATGTATGGAATTTAGTGGTGTTGTGTGTTGAAGTATAAGATATAGCTCTGGATGATATACTTACTAGTAAAACAAACTATTCAACACAGAGCCTGGGGGCTGAGAAAAATTGACGACTTTGTTAAAAAAAAACTATGGTTTGTTATTATTTGTAGCAAAGACAACAAACCATATTTTTGGTTCCAGTTTGATTTGTGCATACATTTATAGGGTTTTTTTCCCTCCAATGTTGGGTTTTGCCCTATGCCACCAACATATTTTCATAAACACTGCTAGCCCGACTGCGTCTGGCCGTACAGTACTATCGAAAGCTCTGTACTACAGAGCTTGCGATAGTACTGTACGGCCAGACGCAGTCGGGCTAAAACACTGCATACTCAGTGTTCTCCGGATGTTTTTGGTTTTAGGAATACAATGCCCTATTGGATATGATTAAAAGAAAACTATGATAATGTACTAATTGCATTTTAAATTAAAGGGGACTTTGTAATAAATAGTTATTTTTTTTAATTAGAATTTTGGGTTCCATTTGAAGTTTTCGGAATATTTGAAAGCAAATTTTGATTTTTCATTTGCACATTGACATGTTTAAACACCACAACCTGTGACAACCATAATAACGTTATTCTTGCAATATCTGCTCTGCTTCAAGCACCTAACAAGTTGAAGTACATTAATTAACAACCTGAGATTATCTTGTAAACATGTAGTTTTCAAAAACAGTTTCAAAAAATGTAATATTCGAGAGGAAGCCCTTTAAAGTAAAGAAAACTGTTTGACCAGAGTCTAGACAAAGTGTAAAGATATCAGTAATATTAGTTTGTTATGGAACGCCAGATAATATCACTTCATCCTGTACATGTATATTGTGGTTTTTGTTGTTGACTTAACCTTGGAAGTGTAACATGTGTTTCATTGTGTTACGCCCTGAATATACATGTAGAATGTTTATAATAGGCAATAGATAACAATAGGACTTATCCATTGTTTCAAATCAATGGTGCACATGTACATGTATAACTTGGGCTATTATAACTTGATTTTCTGGTAAAAGGGGTAAATTCCAAAAACAAAATCATTTTCCGTGTCACACTCAATAATTGCACACATTGATAAAACTACATCGTGTGCATGTGCCAGCTTTAAATTCTAAGTCTGATACTGAGCCTTATGAATGCCATTCATTCTTATGTTTTCATTTTAAGTTACAGTATCACATGTAGAAAACAATATTTAGAAGGAGAGCTACATGTACAGCTTTAGTATTGTTTTAATTTTAGCAGTACAAGTTACAGTTTTTGAAAGTATAGTCACTAATTTTATTAGCTTGAGATGTTTTAGGGTTGATGAGTGCCAATATGTTTGTTGGTCCTATTATACCATTGCCTACATGTACATGTATGTGATGTGAATTTTGCCTTGCGTTTATGCTACCCCACTCCCATTCTGACTAGTGTGAGTCAGTCCCATGACATCTTGTTGATTGATACCAAGATATTTGATACAGACTGTACATGTAGGCGCTTGGCTCTTCTATTTCCGACGGGA